AGCTTTAAAAGTGGAATGGGGGCATTGGTGGAGTTAAACGTCCCCGATTTTGAGCGTGGTCGGACGGTAAAATGGCTACTGGTACGTTCGGTCGAAGTCTACTAGGACGTACGTGGGCCGCCCCATACTTAAGGAAACCCTAAGCTGACATAAGCCTACTGGACCCATTAACGTCCCAGTAACCCCCATGGGGTAGGGTATTACCGAAGATCGACCTATGGGTCTTTAGATTCTAGCCTGAAGTATACCGACGTGATCTTATAAATATTTCGCCTCATGTGATAGTTATGAATCTCAGAGCACGCTCAGGGCCAGAATTCTGTATGTGAACACTATCCTTAACAGTTTCTTCCCATCCATTATAATTAGTGTGCATGAGCGGCATGTTTCCGCATTGATCTTTTCGGCCAAGGTTCGCTCTAGCACTGATGAGAATACTGACTATTGTTTATCATTCTTGGCTATGGCGTAAACAAGCGATGTATTCATAAATTTATAGACGTGTTTTTCTCAGACTCCAAAATATGGAAGTACTGCTCAAATATGCCCTCACTCCACTGACAAGCGGTGCCCGAGCTCGGAATATCCGCAGGGGTACTGAATGACTCTGGCTGAGATAAAGTATAGGCGGCAGCTGTCTTATTTGCCTCTTCTTGGGACGTTGGTCGTGACATCGGCAGCTCGAAGGGACGTTTTGAACCATGACTGTCCGGGTCTAATGGCTGACCCGTGCACTGTTTGTTACCATATTTAGATACCATCGGTGAACTATGCCGTTGGGTCTCCAGCTTGGTTGTGTTTAAGTGGCTCCAGCTGTCACTATCAACGGATGGTGTTCCCCGTTGTGTTAGAGCAGTTTGTACCATGTCCCTAGCGACCAAAGCTTGAGAGTGCAGCTCCTCGATCTGCACCCAGCGGTGATTTCGATGATGGTCGGTCTTACTCCTCCAATAGTTATATGTCTCATAGACAGATTTCCACGCCATCGCAGTGCCGTTGCCTTTGGGGACCAAAGAAAGGTGGACGAGAAGACATGCCAACGCATCCCATTCGATATAGATCTGAAAGAGCCACAGCCAATGTTTTCCCTTGTCATAGTGCCGTAAAATCTGGGCGCACTGTAAAACCTCCACGCAAATTGTGCGGAAATTCTCCTGCATGAGCACGGTCTGGTTCTCCCTCGTCTGTGGCTTGCTTACGCTCAGCTTGAGTTTCACGAGGATGAGCCGACAGGAAGCTGCAGTGATAAAGTCCAGGGGCAAGTTCCAATCGCAATGTGACAGGTATTTCGTCTCGATCCGCTCTTTAAACAGATCGATCGCTTTGCATTTTTCCGGGGATGATAAGATGCGATAGGCATTCTCGCGACAGAACTTGTTCGAGAAAAGGATCCGGCGTGCAAAATTGCTCACTTCGAATCTCACCAGAGCGAACAACATCTCCGTCTTTCCTGTTCTGCTCAGGGGTGGTGCACTCATGTCGGGATCAAGGTCGGTATCACTGACATTCAAGGGGAATTTGGTGTCGAAAGACGACACTAGGATGCGTGGATCAGAGCCATGATCCTCAGCTGTGCGCACATCCAGGATACAAATCTGCCACCAGAGTCGCCGCCGCATTTCTATCTCAAAAGGTGAGAAGCCTAGCGGCACTCCGTCGCGATGAAGGCCGATCTTGACTGCGATTCCGATGGCAACCCCAATGAGCGTGTCGACGTCTGGCCCGTCTTCGTCGTGTCGACCACAGATCTAGAAAGAGCAAATATTAGATGCCACTTAGCGGATAACATGAAGAGCATACGGACCAGATAGATAACAAATGCTTGCAGGACATTCATATCTAAGGAGTTCAGAAGATCAGCCCGTGAAAGATAACCCTCCAATCTGGTCTGGTATCTTTATGTATTGTTAGAACGATCTACATCCTGAGGTGAGTACCAGCACGAATACCTTTTCAATAATTCTTGCTTGTCTTCATTGAATTCAGCACGACATTCTTCGACTGGCATCGTAACCACCGCCGCGTAATATATGGCGGATATCAAGCATTGAGCAGGAGTATCAAGGCTAGCTCGGCCTCGAACTATATCCATGACCTGTTTCTGAACCGTTCGGGCATGGAAGACTTTCAGAATGGGGTCCACGGTGTCTAGGTATTTTTGCCATAGAAACATTATCGTCACCGAAGGAGGATGGAGGGAGGTGGTTGCTTGCAAGAGGTCGGCTTTGAAGAGAAAACATGTTCGACTATGTTCGTTTTGATGATACCGGACTGAACGTTCGTGGGCATCGTGAGAATTGACAGTCAACATTAGGGTCTCAATATCACGCTCAGTGCTCTAGATTGTTTGTCAGCATATTCTCTCTGAATCTCTCGGAGATACTGGCATTTTCGCTTCGACCCCGAAAAGAGCTCTGGCCCATATTCTGGCCGCGATGCTCATCGCAAAAGTCTTGTTCCCGGAGGTATCCACTGCTCCCGACCGTCTGCGCCGAGGGAAGGTTTGTCTGCAAAGCTCGCCAGATCTGTGAGAGCCCTTGCTCAAAGGACTCAAGCGTGCGTTCGATTCTCTCGATGCGAGCGACCACGTCGCCATCTGAGTGGTGTATATTCGGACTCTTCTTCGGCGGCGGATAACGGCATTGGATCTTGACTCTGATGCAATAGGCACAAGGGACGGATCGGTCACATTTGATTTTCCGTCGATGGCACTCAAGACAAGATCGTCCCGCTGCACCTGCTGTGTGCGACATGGAAATTCGGGTCTAGCGTACGAATCCGGTGTGTGGCTTGGGTCTGAATGAGTGCTTGCAAGAGCAGACCTGACTATACGAAGAGGGGGAGACCACAAGGACAAACGTTGATTCGTTGGAGCGGAGCAGCGGACACCCGCACCGCATTATTGATAAGCATGGCGGGGCTCGGATGGGGCGAAAATCATCGAGAATGACCGTCTCTAGTGCATAGTCAACTACGATCAAGCAGGGTCGGACTCGTCTCCTTGGTCCGAGCGGATAAGCGGACAGGAGTTCGGATTGCTAAGCAGATCGGAATGGATTCAGGGACTATGATTTATGATATCGAGTACAAAGAGTGACAGATATATAGATCCAGCGCAGACCGCCAGCCAAAAACATATAAAGATGCCGTCCTTCTCCCTCCGTCGTATTTCTCCAGACGTGAAAAAGCAGAAAATACCCTGAAACTGACTTCTTCCAAGACTCAGAAAACCACAATGGCTTCCTCTTTGAAGAACGTTGCAATCATCGGGGTACGTGAACTCCTAAGCTACGAGAGGTAGCCACATCAATCCCCATTGACACTCTTGCAGGCCAGCGGCAGCATTGGCAAGATCATCCTCGACGGCCTTGTCACATCCGCGCAATTCACCATCACCGTGATATCCCGCAAAGAAAGCGAGGCCACATTCCCCTCGGATGTCGTTGTTCACAAGACCGACTTCTCGGGCGCGGGCCTCGAGGCCGCACTCAAGGGCCAGGACGCCGTGATCTCGGTGGTGGGCGCCGCTGGATTCGGAGAGCAGAAGAAGATCGTTGATGCTGCCATCCGAGCGGGTGTCAAGCGCTTCATCCCCTCGGAGTTCTCGGCAAGCAGCCAGAACGAAGCGGTGCTGCATCTCCTGCCGCTGTTTGGGCAAAAGAAGGAACTGGTCGAGTATCTCAAGACCAAGGAGTCGGGAGGCCTGAGCTGGACCGGTATTGCCACTTCGTTGCTGTTTGATTGGGTAAGCGATTCAGGAGACTCGAATTGTACGAACAACCCCTTCTGACCAGCGTCTGCTCCAACAGGGTCTTGGGAACGGCATCTTGGAATTCGACATTGCCAACCGCAAGGCTACCATCTGGGATAGCGGCGAGAAGAGCTTCACTCTGACAAACGAGAAGCAGCTCGCCAGATCTGTCGTCTCGGTCCTGCAGCATCCACAGGAAACCAGCAACAAATACCTTTATGTTGCCTCTGTAGAGACCACGCAGAAGGACATCCTGGCTGCTCTTGAAGAAACCATGAAGACCCAGTGGACCGTGACGGAGACATCCACCGACGCGGAGATCAGTGGAGGGGTCAAGAGGCTCTCTGCGGGAGATTTCAGCGGTGCCATCACGCTGGTTCGTGCCACTGCGTTTGGCAATACCCCCGGCCTCCATGCGAACTATGCCAAGGAGGAGACTCTTGCCAACGAGATGCTGGGATTGTCGTTGGAGAGTGTACAGGACACGGTCCAGCGGGTGGTGGGGCAGTAGATCAGTTCCAATGCTTTATTGGATACACAGGATAGCTCTCTTCCGGGCATTCTTCTCTTTCTTCTCTACAAAGTACTCAATACATCGTTTTTTCATCAATATCTCCAACTTCCACTACAGCTGCATTTTCATCTTCCGCTTCAAGACAATCAAGCATCGTCCTCGATCCTTTCGGTGACAGTACCATCGCGCTAAACGACAACCTATACCTTAGAGGTGACTACAGCTCGAACCTAATATGGTGCAGTGTATTCGGATGCCGTCACCTTTATTACATAACCAAGAACGGTCGCCAGAATTGTTTAGTGTAACTACTTCGGGTAAATGAGGGTTAAGTGAGAGTATACCGCGACAATCATCGGACCCTGTGCGATGAACACCAACCAACCTTTGATCGCATCCACCCACCGCTGCCTTGATTCTGGATTCCTGCTTCCCACTTGGATGCAAAATTTATCGCCTATCTTCCTCCACCTTACATGGTAGACTTCGCCCCACAATGATCTTAGCGACTCTAGCATGATATCACATCCCGGCGCAATCGACATATAAGAATGTATGAATGTCTGGCATAGACATACGACCACACAGTAGTTCTCTCAATCAATCCTCTACCTCTTCAAAATGTCCGACAACAGCGGTATGCACGGAGCCAGCCAGTCTAGCGTCGGCCACGCGCCTATATACGAAGCCGGAGACTAGCGCAACGAGCCCTAGTCCGTTATCAACGAGCGCGAGCGCTACAAGGAGGGCATATAGGGCAGCCACAAGAACCTTAATTCTAAGGACTAGCGCTCAATTGCCAACAAGCTAGCCTCGTAGGGGGGCAAGCCCAACCCTTCGCACTACCACAACGACGACGTTAACCCAGAGGCGGAGCTTAGCAAGAATAATCCCACGAAGCTAGTGAGTGTTTACAATTAAGCCTATGATCTTTGATCAACATTTCTAACATATCCTTAGGCTCAATTACATGGCAACAAACCTTCCAAGGGTGCTCAAATCGATCGCGAGCTATAGATGGAGGATGAGCAGCGTCTGCGCGAGAAAAGTGTTAAGAAATAGATGATATCTAACGTCTGCGTTTATGGGGAGTTCCGTCCCTACTAGGCACTATACAATATGACCATTGCTTGTTCGAGCCGCACATCACTGGAGTAACGTGGAGTGATGAAAATAAACACATTAAAATGTAATCGTGGCTGTTTGAGTGTAGATGAATCTATGTATGATTATGCATTATGTGCGATACACCGAAGCCCAGTCGATATCTGATTACCACATGGTAGCATGGGTCGCTAAGTTTGCGCAGTGCCTCTTAAAAGGTTAGCGTTTCAGCTGGAGAGGCATGTTCCTAGTGGCACGTAGTGCCAACCACTTTTGGCGGATAGGGAGACTAGTAGGACACTAGACATCGACGAAGCGTCGTGACCTATGCCTAACATACAGGTCGTCTGGTCGGCATGTGTGTTATAGGACCTTCGTACGAGGTCCTGATATTGTTATACTCAGCTGAAGCTTCGTGACTACTAACCGCCTTTCCATTCTGCTATGTTTACCTATACATCTTGTTTCCCCTTTCTTCCCCTTTTCTTTCTTTCCTTCTTTAATGAATCCTTCTTATGCATAGAATATACTATCAATTGATACAATTTGGTCTGATCCCTAATATTAGGATGTATTCGGCAACCCACATGCTAGTTAGGAGCCCTACTAGCAATAAAGCCACTACAATACTAACCGTACGATACGTTAGCGAGGCGACCTCCTAACTATAATGACGAACGTGCAATCCCCACGGCCTATATACCCTGATATACACTATTACTATAGAAGTGGCCTAAATGGTTATACGGTGTTCCGTACAAACCTCAAGGTCAAATTCATAATAGACTATAGATATCTATAACTTTATAAAAGTCATCTAGTATATAGGGTTCCCTTGCTTCCTCTTTAGTAATAATCTAAGCGTATATACGTTAGGGTACATAGGCCATAGAGTTTAGACGTTTGTCATTATAGTTAGGAGATCGCCTCACTAACGCGTCGTATAGTCACTATTGTGATTAGTATATAGCTAGTAGGGTACCTGACTAGCTCGTAGATTGTTTGAATGAATCCTAATACTAGGGATCAGACCAAATTGTGTTAATGGATAGTATGTCCTATACACAAGAAAGGATTCATTAAAGAAGGGAAGAAAGAAAAGGAGAAAAAGGGGAAACAAGATACGTAGGTAAAATGGCAGAACGAAAAGGCGGTCAACAGTCACGAAGCTTCAGCTGAGTATAACAAATATCAGGACTTCGTACGAAGGTCCCATAACAGAAATATTATCCATATTTTCGTTGCGTCTATTTGCTAAAGCCCTAAAGCCCAACGTTCATAGCAAACGTTCACTGCAACTGCCTTCAATCTTGAATGACAACTTGGGTCGATGCAATCAACTTCCAGTCCTTGAGCCCAGCATCACGATGCTCTATTGCAGTCGCAGCGTAATCATCACTGCTAAGTGTCTTGCGGAAGGTATCGATATTCGGATATTTGACTAACACGACCGCATCCCAGTTTTCGTCGTCTTCGCCAACGATCTTTGAGGCGGGCAAGCCAAGGTAGACCAGTTCGAATCCTCCGGCCTCGGTTGCGAGTCTGCGGAATTCTGTCACGTATCTCACAATCCAGGCTTCCTGGCCGCTGCAGGGGGGTGCTTGCTTCCTTTAGGATACTGCGTTTGGTCGTAGAACTGGAGAAGGTTCTGCATAAAGACGGGCTTGTCTTCGGGAAAATCCGCGGGGATATTATCAAGAAGGTGCTTCCACTTTGCCATGATGAATCGGTGAACAAGAGCAAACGTGTTGTTGTATCTTGTTTTAGTATTAGAGTAAATGAAGTTCAATATGTCACGGTGATCATACGCTCTGTGGCGATACGAAAGTCATATATATATGGATGGGATATTCGAGAACTCAACTATAGTTGAGTAATCACCCGTCCTAGGAGCCGATGTGGGGCGGAGTGATTACTTTTCGCTTCCGCGGATGATTAACTGCTGTATCGCAAAGGGAATTCCATCGGAATGGCGCCCATGGTAGGGCCATGGATAAAAGTTATACAGCACTAAACTGCTTTGGTGTTTTGACATTCTTGGCATTGTGCGTTGATTTCGCTTATTATATGTTTTGTACTATTAAAGAGATAGCTCGATTATATTCAGAATGTCAGACATCTTCTATCTTGTTGATTTTGACCACATTCCCACATCCCGCGTTAGGTGATGAGTGGCCAATCAAGGATCCACTTGGTCAGACAGATTTCGAAAACAGATTCTCCTTGGGGACACACGTGTTGTTTCTGGCCCCGTACCCAATAATACCCTGACTTTATTTGGCTAAGCTGTAAAAAATGATTATTTTAGAATAGATCCTTTTTAATTCCTGAACGATTGCATTACGTATGATACTGTACATTATATGAAACTTCTATACACTATGCCCCTCATGCGGGAAGACGGCAAAGGGCCCGTGACCTGACAGAAAAGTTTTCACATTTTCAGCTTTCAAGCCAAGACGTGTCATTTCTTTCTACGTTTGTTGTTCAACCATGGCCCAAGGAGCAAAAATAGCCAACCCCAATGGAAAAAGCTCGATAAATGCGCTGTCTTTAGGCCCCGATATATGGCACCTCATTGCGGAGAAGGTTCGTGATTGGCGAATCATACAGTATCAATCGTCTCATGCTTTGGTTGACTGACAAGGGAGTCGCAGCTAGATACCCGCGAAGACCTCTGCAATCTATGCCTGGTATCGAAGGCCGTCTACCCCCTGGCCACACTCCGACTACATAGATCAGTCACTTTGGCGGATTTCGCGAGGCTAAAACCTGAGTGGAGCAAGCGGAAAGATCCCTGGACAAGCATTCGTCTCTTGCTATGCAGGCTTTTAGATCTAACTAATGAAAGTTTAAGAAACGCCGTCCGTGAGGTGGAGGTAGGGGAGCGTTTGAAGCCCCGCTACATCGGTCCCATTGCGGCTCTCACCAAGTCCAATTTTCTTCCTAGTTTGGTGATTGCTCTGCCAAATTTACAGCACTTTAGGTATGAGATGTTCTCCCGTTCATATGGATCTGCGTGCGGTGCTGATTGAAAACCATGCAGGATGAACTGTCCTATACCCATCACAGAAGAGTTTGTCAACAATCTCTCCAACCACGAGAAACAACCTGAGCTGCATCTTCGGGGGGAAGATGGTTCGCGAGTAGTGACGGCTCCTATGGCATGTGTCACCACTCTCCAAGCCCAGGTAGATCCCTTCCGGGAAGATCGCGGTCCGAATCGGAAGATGCTGGGACTTCAGCAACTTTTCTTCGCGTGTCCTAACCTGCGGTCCTTTCCATCTCCTTGTATGGGAACTATGGTGGATGCGTCATTCGAATGCCACAGTTTCCGCAAATTCATTGCTTCCAGATGACTGCTAGCGAGATTTTCCCGTCCTTGGAAGAATTATCACTTAACGGATATTACCACAGCATCAATGAGTGGGCCCACTGGAGAGACAAGTTTCGTTGGTCTAGTCTGAAATCGCTCAGTTTAGGACCTCAACGGAATGTGGAATTTTTGGGGCTTATCAAGGGTCATGTCACATCGTTACGGAGTCTGACAGTTCAAGTGTTTTTTGGTGAAGGGGAAGACGAGTGCTCGGTGTTGGAAGACTTTTTGAGGTCGTTCAACACTTTAGTCAGTCTCACTGTCAAGGGACATTTCTTAACGAATGGCGCATTTAGCCACCACCCTAACCTGAAACACTTCTCTCTGCACACAATCGAGTCACCTCTTCCTGGTGTATCACGGAAGACTCTTGGAGGAACCGGACTATACGACCTTGATATAAATTGCCCTCAACTTGAGAGCTTAGAGCTTGACGTTGACCGGGAAGGTGAATGGGCGAGTAATTAACCACCCATATAAAGAATTTCCGACTAATCACATCATCACTCCAGCCGGAAGATATTTTGGGAATTATAGCGACTGGGTTTGAGTACCTCCGCCACTTGACCCTGCATTTGCAAGTCGGAATTCGAGATCACTATAAATCACGTTCGCTGTTCCCCGGACAACCACAACCTACACACGAACCCATTGAGCCAGTGCTGAACGAGACGTCTGCAAAAGAGATTGGCCAGGCCTTCTTTCAATGGCGGGGACAATCGAAATTAAGAACTTTGAGTTTGAAGACAGGGGAGTCTTTGCGACGATTTCCACAATGGGCACCTTTTTTTGCTGAATGGGAAAAATGCTATGCGCAGCTTTACAAACTTCATGCGCCGCTGGATCCAGGTGATGAACCTCGATTAGAGGATTTGACGGACATGGACCCTTACTATCGTACACTATCTCAAAATTTTAGAGGTCTATAAATAAATAAGTGCCACTCTGTGGCTTTGACTTTCCAACGATCTCAAATTCCAGTATATGCCATTGTTTCTCCTTCCAATGCATCGTCGTTCCCTCTTACTGCAATGGATTCATTACAGTGGCTTGCAAAATTGCAATACTTATGCATTGTTTCCAGAACCCTGATGCCAAGACATAACCAACCAGACCTAGATCAAGCCAGATTTGGGTTCTTGTCAAGAACCTTCTTACCAGATTCGCAGGAGACTTACAGTACAATATTTTACAGTGACAGTTTTAACGAGACAATTAGATACGATACAGGTAGGCAGGGTCGTCGACAGGTAAACCAAATAGGCTTTAGGTCGGTATTGGATACGGGCCAAGAAACACTTCGTGAGTGTACGGTAGATGGGGGAATCTGTTTTCGACTCCGACTGTATCATGACAGCTAGGGATGATGCGTAACAAGCGAGTACATACACTTTTAAGAAAGTCTCGTCCAGAGCGTAGTCAAAAGATTTGAGATCACTGCGGCCAATAAGCCGTCCTGGACGCCAGTGTACGGACTAACATCAAGAGCGAGAGGGTATACGGTGCTGCAGAAAAAACCACCAAGTATAGATATGATATGTCCATATATGCTGCCTATGCAGTTAAGGTTTTAGATAAAGGTCTGGGATTATAAAGCCTCCTCACATTACTGTTGATCCGGGAAGTCTAAAAAATACCGAGAATAGTCACTACTTCGGGATGCTCGGGTCGAAGCACCACCTCATATCCTTCCAGTGCCCGTCGATGCATCCCTTCCGCCTGTTCATATTATAACCGCGCTTGTAGTACTTTTCAGCCTAGTAAAGCCACTTCTCCCAAAGCAGCAGTTGATTGGTTTTGATCACAATGGCGGCGTGGGTTTGGTGATATCTTCTAACAAGCTTGACGTTGTTACTCCTTTTTCCACCCGCTCCACCGTTCAAAATTCCCCGCATCGAGGTTGAACAAATCAAGCATTCTCCCTACACTCTGGTTGACCAGATCCTCAACCGACGAAGGTCTAATGTAAAACGCTGGCACAGGTGGAAATATTATCCCTCCACTCTGTGATACAGACAACATATTTCGCAGATGAATGTCGCTCAATGGTGTTTCTCTGGTCACCAGGACCAATTTTCGCCTCTCTTTCAGCGTCACATCTGCGCTCCGTGAAATCAAATCGTCGCAGAACCCGGAACTTATCGCTGCAAGTGTCTTCATACTGCAAGGCAGGATGATCATTCCATCTGTGTGGAACGACCCACTGGATATGGGAGCTGCCATGTCACTGATATTATAGACATGATCGGCGAGAGCCTTGACGTTGGAAGGGTGATAGTCTGTTTCGTATTTGATGGTTGATTCAGCCCATTTGGACATGATCAGGTGAGTTTCGACGTGCAGATGGCGAAGGGCAACAAGCAAATTGATTCCCAGTATTGTTCCGGTAGCGCCTGTGATGGCTACCACAATCTGCTTTCGTGGCTCGCCTGCTTGGGGCTGGCTGGCGGGCATTTTCGATTGACTAGTTTTAGAAGCGCACTTCGGGTTATCCAAGCGATCAGAAAAGAGCGTGAAACTGTATGTTGCTTTTGTGCTGGTCGTTATAGAAGCGATGGCCAAGGAGAAGGAGCCTCTTCCATTTAAATATGCCCATCTCTACCTTCTTTACCCTACCGTTGTCATAAATGACATTTGTCCTTGCTTGAAATAATAGCGGCGTTTGTTTTTGGCTTGGTAATCGCTGCCCGGGTGTAAATCGGGTCCTTTCGTAAGGTATTTCCGATTTCGGAAATCGTATTCTTGAGTCGGATTCGCAAGCTAGGGGACATCATCGGCTTGCCGGGCCTGTCGGACAGTCGGACCGACTGCCGTAGGAAATCAACCCCTCCAATCCGATGGCCTGCCGCCGTCGAAGAGGTAAGTGACAAATCGGATTTCTACGGATAGAGCGGCCGGGGAGATAGGATGGCTTCTCGGGTGCAAAAGAGGTTTTCGGGACATAGAAAATAGTGACGTGGTCATAGTTTGGCAATGCACGGCTGCTGGTATCATGAAACTTCGGTGACGGATGTTCGGAATACGATCGGCATCGCGAGGCTTACCGAACGCCACCATGTCCCTATCTCCCCAGTCGTAGTTACGCCGTAAGTCGCGTGATCGAGAGAAGCACAAGGACGAACATATTAAACCAGGATCTCAACACAGATCAAGACGAAACAGAATTTTCTACTCATTCGACTTCTGCGATCATCTACTATTGCAAAGCAGTCACCCCAAGAACTATTTGAAGACGCCGCGGCAACGAATAAGCAATTGCTGACATCGACCTCTCTGTTATTCCCAGAACTCTCAAGTATCGAAACATGTCTACAGGAAAGCTCTCTGCCGCGTCATCCCTACGCACCTTCCTTGAAGAATGTAAGGCGGAGGGAGATGTTGTGGAAATTGGTCTGGAAGTGGATCCCCATCTCGAGTCTGGTGCCATCTCTCGCCGTGCATACGAAACGGGTAGTCCAATGCCGCTCATCAACAACCCCAAGGGTAAAGATGGTCCAGAAGGTCTCTTTCGCATACTCGGTGCTCCGGTGGGAGTCCGGAAGGATCGAGCAACTAGATACGCTCGTTTCGCGAAGTCTATTGGGCTGCCTTCCAACGCAACTGGACATGACATCATCCAGAAGCTCATAGCTTCAAAAAAGGCTGAGCCTATTCCATCTGTTCAAGTTCACGATGCACCGCTCAAGGAACACAAGATCTTCGGCGATGAAATCGACCTCCTCAAGCTGCCAGTTCCGAAGAATCACGCTAGCGATGGAGGCAGATATTTTCTCACATACGGCCTGCACAGTGTTCAGACTCCGGATGGGAAATGGGTAAACTGGGCTATCAGTCGTTGCATGGTGATCGGTAAACGACGATTGACCGGTCTCGTGGACGTGAAGCAGGACATTGGGGCCATCTGGGCGATGTGGAAGGCTCAGGGAAAGGACACACCCTGGGCTTGCGCCCTTGGTGTTCCGCCAGCAGCCGTAAGCTATTATCTAATTTCTTTGATCATTTGTGTCAGCGCCATACGCAATTGCCCAGAACGCTGACATATGAAAACTTCCAAGGCCGTGGCTAGTGGTATGCCACTCCCCAAATTCGTGAACGAGCCGGATTATGTCGGTGCTATCACAGGAGTTCCTGTGGAGGTCATTAAGTGTGAGACAAATGACCTTGCAGTGCCGGCACAGTCTGAGGTGGTTCTTGAAGGAACTATCTCCGCAAACGAGACGGCGGTTGAAGGGCCCATGGGAGAATATCACGGTTTTATTTTCCCAGCCAAGAAAGCCCCACAGCCGGTAATGACAGTCAACGCGATTACCTATCGAAGCAACCCCATCGTTCCGATCAGTGTCGCAGGTCGTTCTCCAGACGAGACTCATACTGTTTGGGCCTTGTCAATCTGCGCAGAAATTCTCGACTTGTTGCAGCAGGCAGACCTACCAATCACCAAGGCCTGGTGCCCGTTCGAGTCCCAGGCCATCTGGTACGTAGTCCAGGTGGATCGGAAGAGGCTTGTGGAGATGAAGACCACGCCTGAGACATTCTGCCGCCAAGTCGGGGAGGTCGTTTTCACTTCTAAGCCTGGTCGATTTGTTCCAAAGATCTTTGTTGTTGGCGACAATATCGATCCTAGTGACTTGCACGAGGTCGTCTGGGCTGAAGCGACCAAGTCCCAGCCACAAGACAGCGACTTCTTTTTCGTGGGTAACTATCCAACCTATGATCTAGTGCCATACGCCACCCACGGCCTTAACCCTCACGAGCCCCAAGCCAAGGTTGTCAGACTGTGCATGTTGCCTGCGGAATTCAAGACTTTGGATCTGCCATGGGTTGAAGCTTCTTTCCGTGCATCTTACCCGGAAGAACTCAAGAAGAAAGTCCTGGATAACTGGCAAGCATACGGGTTTGGGAAAAATCCTGTGAATATTTAAGCATCAAGAGAGTCAGGGTTGTCATTCCGTTTGCAGTGGGAAGAGAACAGCTAAGTTTCGAGGGCATGATACGGAACACATGTTGTACTATTAAAGAGATAGCCAGATTATGTTCAGAATGTTAGACATCTATCTTGTTGATTTTGACCACATTCCCACATCCCGCGTTAGGTGATGAATGGCCAATCAAGGATCCACTTGGTCAGACAATAGAATCCGCAGATAAAAAGCAAGAGCGCGTATTTCGCGATCCAAAGTCTATCAAATATGATCAATTTGCTGTGTAAACTTGAGTCAAGGACCCAATGAAATCATCGGAGCGCACCTTGAAATATAAAGGATGCGTACAACTAGGGTGGGCTTGCTGCCGATTTCAGAATGCTGAATCTCCTAGGGAGAAAAGCAGTGACTTGCTCGAGTCTCAAAAGGAATGTTGTTATTGCCCCATATGATAACGGAATGAGAAAGTGAAACGTATGTCACTATGAGAGAAATGTTGATAAGGCATAGGTAATCGCCACTGTCGTAATTGATATGCAAATTCTTATGGATCAGCAGCCGGCAAAAAATAAGGAGAATCGATATCGATGAACCGAGCCAAGTAGTGGCTAGCTCTCCTGTCATCACTTTGGAGCATCGACACGAGGATTATAATTGTCGGTTATGTTTGTAGCCATTTGGAAATAAGCGAAGTCTAGACGTCGCATCGAGCGGAATCCGATGGATCCGGCTTACGTGCATGTCGGGGGATCTGACTCGACCGCCTTTGTGTGTAACTTTTGGGCACTGGATGTATTGCACCCGGTCTTAGGATTAAAATGCATATTTTGAATTGTTTCGTATTCCAGGTACGCATAGTTATTGTCCAGGCACCTATCAGGGGTTAACGAGAGGGGCTTAATAAATGCTTTTCTTTTCAGCCACCTTTGTCTGTTAATAATGGCAACGTATATCTCCCCTTTACCCGTTGCTACCAATCCCTCTTTGGTCCATTGTCAAACATATCACCGTCTTGAGAGATGCTCTATCCCATCAACAACGTGGGGCGCTGTGTGTCATGATAGTTAGAATTTTGCTGATTATGGGAGCTCATTTTTACATACCAGGACATGCAATTGCAAATACCAGTATGCTTGAAGCGATGCGGTGGGCAGTAAATTGGTGATAAATTAAAAGTGCCATTTCCCACGTAGAGTGGCACACTTAAAGTGTATAAATAAACTTAAAGGACTGGTTATAGGGGAGATTAATCAGAATGTGGTTGACGGAGTCGCAATCAGGTGGTCATTAGAGACAAATCTCATGGCCGCCCGCGAGTTATCATTTGAGGGGTTTTCTAGAGGGTCCTTTTGCAGCTCGATGGAGGGAAGTTGCTAAAACCTACAGGATGGTGGCAAGGGCGAGAGATTCAACTTGAACTATAATTGTACAAAAGTTGACTTTGTGGCCTGGTTTTCTAAATCTACTACACGCATATTGGCGTTTGATAGTATGTTCACCGGCTTCCGCAGGCCTAGAAAGACTTCAAGCCAATCAACTAGTATCTACATGTAGAGAAAGCTTGTTAAAGTTAACCAATTATGGTGCTTCACCATGATGTTGGAACATTTCACCTAGACATACCTGACAGGAAGATGTGCCTCTCCAGAGAGCTTGTCCATAAAGACTCCGAAAAAAACATGACGAATTTGGCATCGCAGCAACTTCATTGAGTCTAAAGATGCATATCCGTCCATGTATCTTGTGGATGAACGATCGATCGTGATAAGGTATGCCATGCAAAATTCCAAAATCTTCACATTTGTTTGCTGTTGTTTTTTGGTCCCACATTTGGGAATCGAAGAGAAAAATTGCTGGGCACTACATCCGCAGGGGTCCGGGCGCCGCAGACTCCGAGGCGCAGGAATTTGCCTCTCGCCTGGCCACAAACTTCCTTCTTGTTAATTGACGGTCAAATATCGGAACTGACAACTGCAAGTTTTCTCTTAGGCTGGTTCACAACCTCTCCCTCGACGGCCGTCGCTCTTTCAGCCCATGATGCCTCCTGCACCAAGTCTGAAACGACGAAGAGTTCCCCTGGCTTGCAGTTCATGCCGGCAACGGAAATCTCGAGTGAGTACTATCAACAGCGGTAAAGCGAATGGAAAGAAATGTGTTTTTTTTTTTTTTTTTTTTTGGCATCTTGCAACATTCCCTTCACTTTCCAGAGCCTCCTTTTCCCCTCACATACACACACGCGCACTTTACAGCACTTGACTTCCCTATGGCAAATTGGAGGTCAATAGCGAACGATAAGTCAAGGCATGAAAGCTTACTGTTTTGGCTTAAAATAGTGCACTGGCGAAACACCGTGCTCTCTATGCAAGGAACTCCAGATCGACTGCTTGTATTCGGAAGATGGATCTCCGAGCAAACTCACCGGGGACAGAAGGTATTATTCATGTTACACAAGTCATGATTTTACAAACAACATAATAATGAAGGCAGGTACATTTTACGCCTAGAGAGGCGATTGGATGATATTGAAAGAACTGTCGAGCATCTGAATCGAGCACAAGGTGTGGCTCCCTCGGTGGTTTCGGAGAGCCTACCCGAGGGTAGCACGCGCAACTACCCAGACCATAGTGTCTCCGAACTTGGACAGGTGGATTCATCGGAGAATGCTATAGACGGAATGGGCGCAATGTATTTCACCGATGAAGAGGAGTGCGGCTTTTTCGGTAAGACCCCATCGTCATCCAACAACGGACCTGGCTTAAGGAGTCATCGAAGGTCCTTCCTCCAACATAGCCTTCATCAAATATCTTTCTCGGACCATGGCAAAAGTGAATTCAAACATCGTCTCCTCACCAGTATCATCACCGGGAAAAATGCGCGGTGGCTTGGTGAGCGTCAGCCGGTCTCGAGCTCCGCCTTTACACCAACGAGTCTCAATCAAAGATTGTAGCGTCACGACTCATGTCAATATTTATGCTTTGCCACCAGAAGAACGCACATTGAGCTTGATCGAACAATACTTTCGAAAGACGGGCCAGCTGCTGCCCTTCATTCACGAAATGTCGTTTTGTGAGACATATCTTTGTATGCGGCGAGAGGGGTTCAGCAAAATCAGCCGAACATGGCTTGGGCTGTTGAACATAATTCTCGCAATTTCTACAAGCTTATCGACGAATGATGAAATATCGCCGGAGGAACGCATTCAAGAATCCGATATATACTATCAGAGAGCTAATGGCCTCTGTGACAGAGACTCCAGGCGTAATGCAAGTCTTGAGATGGGTGGGTATGGGCTGCAAATGGCCTGAAACTCGGTATCACACCGTGTATTCATATACTGACGTCCTCAAACCAGTGCAATATCTTTTGATACTGGGACAATACCTCCAAGGAACCCAAAAGTCAACACAGGCGTGGACCACCCATGGCCTGGCTATCTCTGCCGCTTATCAGCTAGGTCTACATTCCCCAAGTGCCAATATGAAATATTCGTCTCTGGAACATGAAATTCGCAAGCGGACTTGGTATGGTTGTGTTCTACTAGACCGGTACGTTTCCCTAGTTCTCAGTATGGTCATGCTTGGTGTATTTATGTCGGGTTAGGACTTTGAGTATGACCTTCGGCCGCCCATGCTCTATACCGCATTCATATATACGTCTGGATGCACCTGCTAAAGACGTACAAATGCTCAGCCCTAACTCAGAGACGAGTACTTCTACCCAGCTGGATGGCAATTTCTTTACAGCTGCAATGTAAGATTTCCCGAGCTGTCGTCTTCGGAGTGCTAACGGTCATCCAGACAGCTCTATGCCATCTTGTACAATGTATTGGACTTTTGCTACGGTCAGAATCTTGATTTTCAGAATTCACCGAGCACTACAGATTTAATATCACACATTCTGGATGGACAACGCCAGCTCAACAAATGGCGGACTGAGCTTGTGCCGTCCCTAGGTCTGCATATTTGGGAAGGTTTGGTGACACCTGAGGATGTTGAGGAACTGATTACGGGACCTGTCGTTAACCATCGGTTCAACATCGTCTTATCTGTTCGCTACAACAACCTGCGAATCCTTTTGCACCGTCCCCGGTTAGAGAGCTTCCTGGAGGCGTTTTGGCGTTCGAGTGATATGTCCACTGAGGACAGAAGGGTAATGCTGCCTCTAGATATTGCAAGCGTGCAGAATTGCATCGAGTCCTCGACCGCTATCATTTCTATGATCCATAGCATCACGACATCTGGAGCTCAGCATCGTCGGCTTTTGGGTGCGTGGAACTATTCATTGTACTACAGTGAGTCAGGCTACATGAGAATCCATGTTCTACAGGGATGGCACAACACTAACGCCGTTTAAGCATTCAATGCTGCGCTAGTCCTCGTTGGCTCTCTTATGACAGCATCCAAGGAGCGAGAAGGCTGTCTGTTGGCATGGAGCATGGTGGATGGGTCTCGAGTGTATATTGACAAGGCGATCGAAGCACTATGTCAACTTGATGCTGGCAATCGGGTGATAGGAAGATGTGTTGAATATCTTTCGCAACTTGCCGTCATCTTGGATGCTCCAAGTAAGTCGAACCTCCTGCTTTGCATTTCTGGAGACAATTGTGACACCATGCGCGCTGCGAAATGGTTAATGCCATTAAGAAATAGCTATGGACCGTTAACAGGTTGTCTATTGTTTTTTTTTTTTTTTTTTTCCCTCCCCTTTTCTTTCTTTTCTCAATAAACCTGACTTAACCTCACACAGCTCTAGACGGGACAAACTCGCTATCAGGATACTCAGGCAACTTCATATCCTCTGATATCACCGACCCATTTTCCTATATGGATTTAGGGGAATTAATGTCTAGTCAAGACCTGGATGTGCTTGGTAGTATCCTTTACGCCGGCGGAGAATGAAGGGGAAAGAAGTCAAGTGAGTCTCAAGGTAAGTTGAGGATCATCATCAACTTAAGAATAACAAAGCTAACCAAAACACTTGAATAATGTAAGGATGACCTCGCTAGTCGACCGAGATACTTCGTCTCCTATATATCACCGCTCCGATGATTTTGTGCTTATACTTGCTACTGAGTTCGAATTATCTCAATTTGGTCTTTATGATCCGCGGCGGATTAGCTTTTGTGAAATTGCGCCTTCAAGAGAGAATTTGCTTTCCACCGATATCGACATCATTAGGTGTGCCTTAAACTCAAATATCTGTCGAATATAAATAGGAAGATGAACATTGATCTAGGGAGTGGGTTTCTACTCAACTTATTATGGTCCGTGCGCTACGATGATGATGATGATGATGATGATGATGATGTGTTTATTTGACGGTGTAGCTGGCTTCTGACATTCGCTACTATGCGGTGAAAATTCCATGAGGGTTATCAACAGCTAGAACAAGATCATCAGCCCATTGGACGATCGTTCTTTAGAAGCTAGTAGAAGGGAATTTCAGATTGGTCACCCCTAGATGCAGTAATGCACGATGCCAACGTCTATAGCCATAAGGATAATTCTAGGCTCTGACATGCTTATACTGTAAAACGTCAAGCGGTGGCGCGGGGCACCTCCACGTCAGGTCTCGGAGGAAAAAAATGCTAGACTGGCATTTAGGCTCAACGGCCCGCGTTGTCCGGGGGTGATATGAAGCCTCCCCCGCTCCCCCCTCCGGCCAACAGAAAAAAACCGCGCAGCACCAACCCCAACTCCCGACAATTGTGGGGATTGTTGTTAATTTTTGAACCGAAATACGGAGTTCATATACAGGCAGCGTTCATTGGTATTTGGAGCATGCTAGATGTTGCACGTATTTTTCTGCTAATGGGAGGAAGTACTGTGTTCCAAATACTAATGACCGGCCACTGTATACTGATCAAGCAGAGAAATGTCCATTTATCCGAGGTAGAGTTACATTGTCATCTTCTTTTAACCGGAGGGGTTATATAGTTGGTTCGTTGATGATCGATCTTGACGAATTTCCAAACCCAGACGCTGTTCCATGATCCTTGTTGTTCCAAGGATATCCACTCCATTTACTTGATAGCCAAACTCCCTATTAAATTTTGGACGCGGATCTCTCCTGAGTACTTGAAACGTCATATTCACCACCATGGCGTTCTTAGTTCTCTTCGGGGGACTGATATTCCTAGTCCGTCTTGCCACGGCGCTGAACAATGGCCTTGCCGTGACTCCTCAAATGGGATGGGGTATGTTTCATCCAGACGAGATGATACTTCCTTAGTATGCTTGTAAGACGAGCTGTGCTGATGCAGCTTCCGCCGACAGATGACTGGAATGCATTTGGTTGTAGTCTTAGTCAGAGTCTGATCCTCTCTACGGCCAGCGTCATAAAAAATACTGGATTAAGGGACCTGGGCTATCACTACATCATTCTGGATGATTGTTGGTCTTCTGGTCGTGGATCGGATGGGGCTCTCATTCCAGATACCACTAAGTTTCCCAACGGAATGAGCTATCTAGGCGCCCAACTTCACGCAGACAGCTTTGGCTTTGGAATCTATTCGAGCGCCGGCACAAAGACGGTAAGAATATATTCCCTCCCCGACGTTGCAGTCGATTCTCTATTTCTTTCCTTTCTTTTTTTGGCCTCTTCGAAATATTATCCGATATAGTTTCTCACGTGGCAGCGAGAAAAGTGTGCCGGATACCCCGGCAGCTTAGGTTACGAAACAATCGACGCGAACACGTTCGCCAGCTGGGGCGTGGATTATCTGAAATATGACAATTGCAACAATAATGGGGAAGCTGGAAGTCAAGCCGCCAGCTCTGATCGGTAGGAACGTCCTCTTTGTCTTGAAGCGATTTGTGAATGTCCATGCTAAGGCTGTGGCTTCCTCTGTAGATACGAAGCGATGGAACAAGCGCTCGCAGCAAGTGGCCGACAGATTCTTTATGCCATCTGCAATTGGGGTCAAGACCAACCTTGGGTCTGGGGTCCATCCGTGGGAAATTCCTGGAGGATAACAGGTGATATTTCCGATAACTTCAATACGGGCAATTCGGCCTGTGCGGTGTAAGCAACTCTGGTTACCCTTGTGGTATACTCGTGCTCCCTGCGCTAATGTGAATTGATAGCCCAAATTACGGGGGATATGAGTGTTCTGTGACCCAGATCATGTCCATGCAAGCAACGATCTCATCGTACTCGGTCAAAGGCGGCTGGAACGACCTGGATATGCTAGAGGTCGGCAACGGTGGAATGTCTGATTCGGAATATGTGGCACATTTTAGCATGTGTAAGACTCCCCTAGTTCCGGTTGCGATCGATCAAGCTTGTTGGCTGATTTGACTAAAATTTGCTTCTTTGCCTGTTTCCAGGGTCCGTCTCGAAAAGCCCACTCATTATGGGCAACGACATGTCGAAGTTGACTGCCAGCGCCTATTCCATCCTGGCAAATCCGGCCATTATCGCCGTCAACCAAGACCCCCTAGGAGTGGCCGCGACGTACCGATGGACGCGCAATAACGTGCAGTTATGGAGTGGCCCTCTGGTATCCACCACTGGAAGCTCAATCAACGATGTCGTTGTCGTCTTATTTAACAACGGAGGCTCAAGCACGACGGCATCTGCCACCCTTTCCGACATCTTTGGTTCATTGAAGGTTCCACTATCTCAATTCGAAATCCGGGACCTGTGGGCATCTCGACTCAATGACAGCCAAGCACAGGCGATTCTCAATGACGGTGCGACCGCACATCCGTCTTGGTTTTATAACGCAACTGCTCAAAGCTATTCGACTGGTCTCTCCCAGGGGAATTCGATGCTGCTGGGGGGGGTTATCGGGACGGTGTCCGGAGCCGCGGGGACCATTTCTCAGTCGATTCCCGGGACGGGATGTCGGGTTTTCCGCCTACGTGCCATCTCAGGCACTGCCACCACCACCACTACATCCGCGTCGTCGGCAACGGGTTCGTCGACCCAGCCTCAACAGACAAAATGGGGACAATGCGGTGGCCAAGGTTGGACTGGACAGACTCAATGTGTACCCCCATCAACCTGTCAAGCGCAGAACCGTAAGTGTTTGCCCTCGGGACCAATTGGACATTGCCTTACATACATACTAACTGAATGCTTCGTCATTCTCCCAGAGTGGTACTCCCAGTGCCTTTGACCGAACCGTCAATGGTGACTACCGCCGATCGTGATGCAACTAGTCCCTAGGCTCATACGTTGACCGACCATGTGTGTACTTAGTTCGCGCGCTAGGAACACGGTTGGTTGATCATTTGGTTGTTCCTAGACGGTTCTTGGTGGACGGTAGACGAGGGGGCTCCATGATCAAAGTCGAACCCCTAAGGTTGTTGAACAGTGCCAAGGGTAAATAGGTTATCGACGTCCAATATCACTTTCCAGTAGCCTGTTCCTCGTCATCGTATTTGTCGAGGAAACTCAATACAGTAATGAAACGAGTGGAAATTAAAATAGAAAGGAAACCGATTCGAGTGAAGAAGAATAGAATTAACCGATGAAGCGAAGAGTGGTAATTCCGGGAGTATGTTTCGTACCCATATAGAAGGCCGAAGGGAATCAGCTGCATTAATAGTTTCGCAAAAGATCTCAACCAACTTCATGGCAGTTAGACTTCACCAGGGCCCAGATCGGCTTAGGCCCAACCCTACTCAACCCACGAATGGGTTGGCCCTTGGGCCGAGTTCTATAGCCCACAATAGTCCGTGGGCGCCTAATTGGGGGTCCACAAACGATTCAAACACGTATTTGTGATTGCTAAGGCCTTGATTCTATGCAAAAATGGGCAGGTGGTTAAGGCCCAAGCCCATCGTGGGTTGATCCTTCGGCCCATTCGTGGGCCCTAATGACGGTTAGCTAAGTAGTGCTCTGGAGCGAGCTGACCTTTATCGTGGAAGGAATCGTCTCCTAGATCATCGTCGTCTTTCAAATCCTTGCTATTGAGCCAGGAGGCGTTATTAGACTCGCTCTCTAGCCCGTTGTCAGAAAAGATCGCACTTACGCTAGAGCCAGCATCGCTCTCGTTCTAAATCATGGTTACATTAAGTCATACGTGTTGGGAACGAGGAGCCATGGTGGAGATGATCTAAGGACAACTAAGCACGAATAAAAATCTAGGGAAGGAAGGGAGGGTAAGGAGAGAGTGAAGTTATAGTGGGCGAGGAAAGAGTTGTATGAACCAGAGGAGATTGGGTACAAAAGAATACAGTAGAAATGGGACAGTTCTCTATTAGAGAAGACATGTTAGTCTAAGGGGGAACCATTTTTTGACTCTCCGCGACGCGAAACTTCGAAGTTGGTGAATGAACGCGGACTAATCAGTTAGACGAGCACCAGGGAATCAAGGTTGAAGGCTAGCGTTCGCGGGTTGGGTCTTAGGTCCAACGTTGCATCCATTTGTGGGTTCTTCCGAAGTCTATGTATATCCCAAAGGTCTAAGATAATATTTATTGCATGAACGTTTTTTATCCCGTAAGACGATAACAAGTTCTCAAAGCCATACCGAAGCTCAGACATAATTGTAGTGCTAGGTACTGTACTATACCCCGGACCATGGGTAGAAAGACGACATATTTCATCCAAACCACTGAAAAGATCTATGAATGCCCTACAGAAACAGAATACTCCACCTCCTTCCGAATAATCATCCTCGTACTCCCATCACTCCCACTGTGTACACTGCCCCCCTCCCCTTCGGACCTCCCCTCCCCCGAATGCGCCGGCCCCACAGCCTCACAAACAACTGTCCCATTCTCCGTTCCATCGCCCACGTCCGGCCTCTCCCTGAACAAGCCACTCGCCCGGCGCCCGGGCCGTCCCTTCAACCTCCCCATCTCGTAATCCCGCGACCGCCCCGATGCGTACGGGTCTGTATTCCCCCGTCTCCCGGACCCAAACCCGTAGCCGTAGCCGCCGCTGCTGCTACCGAGGTTGGAGTCGCCGGCAGTGCCGTAGTAGGTTGTGAGAGCGTTCATGAACGGGCGCAGGCAGAAGACTGTGCATGCTATCAGGGCGTAGTTGAGGTGGAGCTGGGTGAAGACCGTGGGGCTGATTGCGGTGAAGGTGGGGTTTTTGGTGGTTGTGTATTCTTTAAGTGCGGATAGGTGGAGGACGGAGAATATTATCAGCCTATCGGTTGGATCTGTGTTAATTTCATGTAATGGTGCGTGAGGGAAACATTTGGGGAATGGAAGAGGGACGTACGGTAGTCTCGCTGCGAAGCATACCATGATCACGGTTTTATGTGAGACGTGCATCTGCAGACCCCAAACCAGGGCGATGCAGAAGGTGAATAGTAAGATTTCGGTCGAGATGTCGAGCGCAGCAATTGCTTGCCAGCGGGGGAGCTTGTCACCGTTAGTATATCCCATCCCATGTCCGTATATTTGGTTCCCGGTAGCTTTTACAGGGCGGTTGGCTCTTCTGCAATTATAGACATACCAGGTTATGACACTGCTCGCCAGGTACAGCCCACGGTTTGTTCCCCTCGCAGTTCACCACGATAACCAGCACCGACACGATAATCCCAACTATGCTGAGCCCGAATGTCGCCCAGAGGATGCTCTTGTGGCGCTTGCTGGGCGTCAAGCGCAGGTAGATGGCAATGATGCAGCATTTCGAGAGGTATAGGGTTAAAAGGTAGAGGATGTCGGCGGAGAGGAGGGACTATGCTGTCAGATATTCTTTTGTATCCAACTGGATGGGGTGTTGGGTAAGGAATACATTTTGTATGCGATCAACGGCCTTCTCGGTCAGTAGCGATATGTCCGTCCCGAAGCCGATACTCGTGGCGTGAAAGATGATAATAGACTCGGCGATGGCGGAGATCTATCCAGTTAGCTTCATTCACAGAACAGGTCAATTTGTCTCCATTGCGTACTGTCGCTCCCAACAGGATGATATCGTCTGATCCCCATGGTGGATTGAGGAATATCCGCACGTACACCCGGATCAGCAGACAGACCAGCGAGATCATCAGACATATGGCTGCGGTTATAATGATAATACCGGCATGGTGCTTGTTGTCTATCGTCTCGAAAGGCGGCGACTGGCCCGGAGGAACTTTGATGGCCATCACGGCACAAGGGCCAAACCGTGGTCTGTGGATTGGGAGTGTCAGGGAGGGAATGGTGTAAAAGAAAATAGAAAAGGACGATAATCAGCGATCATGATGATGGCGATTCCATGGATGGTGGCCGAACAGCTCGGGCGAGTTAAATGAAGGGACTAGCAAGGATGGTATCCAACACAACGTGGTGGATTAAGTTTACTAGGGCTATTTTATCAGCTGAGTGCGATCCTCCTCGTAGCCACCCGTGGAGCGGACGTGCGTGGGCATACGATGAATTTCGCCCGAAGCTCGGCAATCTCGCATGCACTGGTGCTGTATCCCAAGCCGGCATCCCTGTCTAGTATGACAGCTAGCGCACGATTGACAAATATACCCAGGCAAATGGAAAGTGAGACGGCCCAACTGGATCGCTAGCATCCAGTTAGGGGATAGTCGGGCCAATCGGACGAACTACTCGGTGGAATTGAGTTCGCGATATGGGACCGCATGGGGGCCGAAACCCTTCCGCTTAAAGTATCTTTCCATCGAGCTGCCCCTCCGCCACCGATATAAGAGAGTATTCATCAAGCTTATGCTGACGACCTTATTGTTTCTTATTCGTATTATTTAATATATCCAGGGTACTGCTAACTCAGAGATGCCAAGTCGGAAAGACCCGGGGCACGAGGCAAAAGGTAGGACAAACTACCTTGTTTCAGATCCATGAGGCATATACTCTGCCAAGCCCTTTCTTCTCTTTAGTTTTGACATTAATATACAGACTTTATTGATCCCTGTATTAACTTACTCCCGTATATACAGACGAGGACCGTTTTAATACACTTCTGACGCTGCGAACGTTTACCGACATTTCGGGATACCGGACTGACCGACCACCGTTGTGCTTATGCTTGCCAACCGCTCCACTATGTCCTTAACTTCTCGATGTTGCACCGAAATCTGCATTATTATAGTCTGAGCATGTGATTCACTCTAACTATTAGCATACTGAATTCCTTTTCCTCCCTCAACGTAAGAATTATACAAGTGGGTAGTGATTACATCTCTCGCTTCACCAGCGCCACGGGCGGAATGTAATGGTGCCGTCCCCGCAACACATAATACACCACCGCAATGATCAGAATTGCCCCGTACATCACTGCGCACCAGTTCATGCTGTCTGGTTCCACAGTCGAGGTGAGTGGGAAGAAGGCAAACACGAACACCGGGAACAGGAAGCATAGCGCCCCGATGTTGATTGCCATGCCGTAACGGCCGAGCGTCCATCTGTGTGGCGGGAGAGGTTCCCCTCTGATACGCTTGAGGAGCACACAGGCGATCGTAATGATGTACGAGGACATCATTGCGCCGATTGTCAGGGTCACGATGGCGAGAAGCGCGGTCGTGGAGCCGATGTTGATGAGCGACAAGAGGACTGTCACTGCCAGTGAGACCATCACGGCGTTTAATGGGATGTTCCAGCCGGGGTTTACCTGGTGCTGTTAGTGTCGTCAAACATGGAGAAAAAGGGGACGACGTACATATCCGAAGAAGTCGGAGAATGGAAGGCCCCGATCGCGCGCGAAAGACCACAACTGGCGCGATGCCGTTGCTACTTCGGTGATTGTGCTCGCTGTCAGCGTCAACACCAGAATGGCGGTCATGGTGTTTGTTCCCGGTAGACTCTCCGTCGCGTTGTAGAACACCTGTATGAACGGGTACCCTGTTCGAGTTTTTAGGATGTCGTCAATGTCGCCTAGCGTGAAGCAGACAGTCACCAGCATCAAGAAACCGGAGGCGGCGTTGACGCAGACAGAGGTGATCATCGCCTTTGGCAGGGTCTCAGACGCATCTTTGATCTCCTCCGCTGCACACTATTAGTGAAGTTCGTCAATTTTAGAGAGAGACTTACACATGTGCACCGCGCAATCATATCCAATCAGCGCCGTGATGGTGGTCGAGAATCCAACAAGCGTGGCAGTCCCGGCGCTGTTCCAGGCCCCGCCGTTATTAAATTCGGTAAATACCTGCGTCGCACTGCGGCGAGGGGCAAGCACCCACAGCGGAATTATGATGGCGAACAAGCCGCACACATGCAGGATCAGAATCAGGACCTCTACGAAGGGCAGCCGCTTGGCCAGGAAGGTGTTGAATATGATTGAAAACAAGGTGATGGCGATCACCAGCAGGGTGCCGTGCCACCGCTGGAAGTCGTAGTTCGGGTTGTTCAGCACGATCAGGCCTTGGATAATGGTTCCAGCCAAAAAGGCGATTGACACGATAGCGCATTGCCAGCCCATGGCACACAGCCAGCCTACATTATTAGCTTAGTTGAGCAGGAGGGGGCATAGGAACGTGCCAGTGATGTAGCTGAGGAATTTCTGGCAGCTAGGAGGAGCAAACTCCGATACCCAATGGTACTGTCCGCCGGAGGTGGGAGCCCTGGGAAGTCAGAACGGATACGCGGTCTCAATGGGTAGACTCACATGGATGCCATCTCGGCCAGACTCAGGAACACCAAAAGGAACCCAGCAGCGACGATGAGGAACCCCCAGATCAGACCGGCAGTTCCTCCGTCGGTCAGACCTTGCGCCAGCAGGCTAGACAGTCAATCTTTGAACCAAAGAGTAAGTATGGATGGCATACGTCAAAACAACCTCCCACGTGGCGATCAGCGTGCAGCCAAATCCCACGATGGAGATGTATCGGAAGTTACGCTGCAGGGTCAGCAGAGATGCATGAGCCACAATAATACTATGGGACGTACCCGCAAGACCTGGTCTCTCCCCAGAGCGCTCATATCGGCCTGGTCGGCCTGAGTGCCGCGCCATTTGGGGGCGACATGGCCTCTGGAGGGGGCTTCGTCGGCCAGAGTCATGGCGACTGTTGAAGGATCTTTGTTCCAGAGCATATTGACATGTAGACAGCAAAGATCACAACGGAATAAAAGACAGGGGTAACGGTAGGTCGCGTCGGTATAAAAGCAGGTCGTGTCAAGGGTTGGAATATTCTCCGCCCCTCGTGGAATCCACCCGGCGCATCTGCCCGACAGTGGAGCAGCTCGCCTCTAACAGAATCTGCGTTCTAGACAGTGAAACTCTATAGTAGGACTAGAGCATGGTTGCAGCACCCTGCAGGTTAGTGTGAACTAGGGCTTCGTGTTAATTGTGTCTCCACTAGTGATTGTTATTGCCACGCCAGGAGTGGGGGCCTCAACATTGCTTCGGCAGTCAACAAGACGAGAATGAGAACCGAGCATAGTCGGAACTGATTATCGATTGACATAGGCGCCGTCTGATTGGCATCTTATCTTCGTCCTCTTTGCCCTCACCCATCCATCACCATGATCCCCTTCATCCCCCTCGCCCTCCTCATCCTCACCTCCTACCTCATATACCACCATGTTATACACCCCTACTTCCTCTCTCCGCTATCTTTCATCCCCAACGCCCACTTCACATCCCCTTTCTCCAGCTACTGGATCGACCGCAAGCGCAGCACAAGCACGGAAGTCCTCACCATCTACGCCCTGCACCAAAAGCACGGCCCCATCGTCCGTCTCGGCCCCAAGGAGCTGAGCGTCAATTCTCTCCATGGCCTGAAAATAATATATACCGGCGCATTCGAGAAACACGCCTTCTACAACGATGTGTTCGTCAACTTCAACACCGAAAACCTGGTCGGCATGGTGCACAATGCGCCGCACGCGCACCAGAAACGCATGCTGAGCAAGATCTACTCAAAGTCGTTTCTCCAGGAATCCAGTGACCTGCGCGCGATCTCGAAGGTTGTACTGTGGGAGCGGTTGATGCCTATCCTCAAGAAGGCGGGGGAGGGTGGGGAGGCGTTGAACGTGCTGCCGCTGTTCCAGGCTGTGGGAATGGACTTTACCTCCTCTTTTCTGTTTGGACTGAGGCAAGGGACGAGGTATTTGTTTAGTATCCACGAGTGGAAGATGTGGTTGGAGGAGTATGAGCGGTTCAAGTATTTGAGTCGGGACGACAGGTATATGGGGTTTATTGAGACATGGTGCATGGGGTTCTGCGAGCGGATGGAGGCGTCTAAGAAACAGGACGTCTTCAGAGATGAGGAGAAGCTGCCATCCACGAACCCAGTTGTCTACGACCAGCTACGCCAGAGCCTTCTCAATCAGAAAGAACACGATCCGCGTCCGCTGAACCTAGCAATTGCGTCTGAACTGCTGGACCACCTGGTAGCAGGCCACGAAACGACAGGCATCACATTCACGTACATGATGTGGGAGCTGTCGCGGCATCCGGAGCTTCAAACCGAGCTACGGAAGGAAGTACTCAACTTATCTCCGTCCCTCCGATACCCAGACACAGACGGAGAGAAACCCCTTCCCTCACCTTCCGCGATCGACGCCCTTCCCCTGCTGGACGCTATGGTCCGCGAGACCCTCCGTCTTCACTCTCCAGCCCCAGCCCAACTCCCCCGCGTCACCCCCGCCACAGAAAAAGGAACTTCCCTGCACGGGTACGACAACATCCCGGGCGGCGTGATGGTCAGTTCAACCGCCTACTCCCTCCACCGCATCAGTGAGGTCTACCCGCGCCCGCTGGAATGGCTGCCACAGCGATGGCTCGAGCCAGGCGACAGGATCCACGACATGAGGCGGCTGTTCTGGCCCTTTGGGAGCGGCGGACGCATGTGTCTAGGGAGTAATTTCGCAGTGCAAGGTATGCCTCCCAAGTATGGGTTCTGGAGAAGAGACTAATGGCGCAGAAATCAAATTGATCATGGCGGCTCTATATTCAAATTACACCACGTCTATTGTAGATGACGAAGGCATAGAGCAGGATTACACATTTATTTCCCTGCCGCGGGGGCGGAAGCTTATGTTAACTTTTATCCCGGTTGATGGATGATGCGATGCAGTCATGATAATAACACTAGTAATGAAAAGCATTCTTTGGTATTTTTGAACCTTGCCTGGACCTGTCGCATAAGATTTGGCCCCCAGCTTTCCAGACGAACACCGAGCGACGATCCCGCGCATAGACCGCCAGATATGTCCTCGTAACCGATGAACGGCCACACAGCCTAGCCGACCTGCGTCCCGTCCTGTCGATCATTCGCCACGCACGCCAGATCCGATGGGCGATCGAATATATGAGGGAATTTGTCAATTTCAGTGAGTATTATCTGTCAATATACTTACCCCCTGGCTTAGTTGTTGCTGAGGATGATTTCATCCAGCCAAGTATCCAAAGGGCCGGGCGAATCTTCCCCCAAAGTTCGCTCCATTTTGTTAGGACACTTATGTCGATCAGAAAGAATTTCCAAGAGATTGGGCAGACCCTACTGGCAAGATCGTTGACGGTCGACTTCTGTTTCCGTCTGATTTTCATTAGACTCGATCATCCCCGGGACTAAGCACCTGGACTCGTAAATGCCGATTTTATGTCTCACCTATCCGAATATTAGTTTGACGTAATGATATGCCGCAAAGTTGTCTTACATACACGCAGAACGCCTATGACGAATCGATAACTTTGTTCCAACAGTTCTTAATTATGTTTCTAATGCTATTTTGCAGCTAAATCAAATGACTATACTACACCAAATCTCCCCTATGACTGAAACAGCCTGACTCTATCCTAAAGCCAAGAGCAACCTATGTTATTTCGTATTTGTTCCTTTCATCGTCCATTTAACAGACATTTAACTCGCCGCTCCCGAGCCCTGGCTATAGACGTTCCCTACCAGGACTTTTCTACTATTTCCTGTTTTCACGCAAATATTTGGATTCTAATCTGGACATGCTTTTTGGTTGTGAAATGCTAGTTTGTTACGGCTTTCGTCATCCAATCCGCACCGAATCCTGGGATCCCTGGGGGTAGGATCCAGCCTAGGCCTTAGGTCTTCACACTTTTACTATATAGATATAAAAGAATTATGAATCATTATCTATCTATTCTGCATTCTACTAGCCATATCCATAAATCTTCTACATATCACAAGACGAAACTAGATTCCGATGTTCCCCTAGCACTTCCGATCTTTAAAAAGGGTGGCCGTATCCAGCACCGTGCCGTTCGAACTACTCACAAACTGATGCGTCAGATGCGAGCAATTGTGGAAAGTGAGCTTGCTCCATCCATACGCGGTGTCCTGCGCAGAGCGCGAGTACGGCTGCAGCGGGTACACCAGTGAATCCAGGCCGTCGTAGTGGCCCGCTGCACCATTGGTGATATACCACGGGGAGCTAGGGTTATTCAGCTCGTTGGGATCACTATTGAAGTTGTTGACGGGGGCGTTGCGCTCATACGCATGTACGTGGCCAGACAGCACCAGGTCCACGTTATACTCGAGGAAGAGAGGTTCGAACACCTCGCGGCACTCCTCGCATATCGTGCTGCTCTTGTTGGAGGCGCTGATGTACCAGGGACGATGACCGGCTATGAGAGTGGTTATTGACGGCAACAATGGCCCAACATCAGAGGTGACATACCAACAATGATCCACGGGGTAACGTGACGGTTCACGGAGCTAAGGTCCCGCTGCAGCCATTTGAGCTGCGCATTCTTCACGTCACTGAACGGGCCGCTGTCCTCGCCCTCCGAACCACCGGGCTCATCAGGGGCGATGAGACCATGGCCTAGGTCGGTCTCAGTGTCAAGCTGCACGTAGTGGACCATGCCATGGTCGAAGGAATACCAGAAGTTCTCCAGACCACCGGACTGCTGACTGGGCATCCGGAAATGGTGGCGGTAGCCAGTGAAGTTGGTCTGACCTGGGAGGCAGATGGAGACATCGTAGGACTGTCCGGTTGCTTTATTCGTAGTGCCGCCATTGTCACCTAAGTCGGATCCGTTAGCGGCCGATCCTGTCAGAAGGGCGAGGTAGTCTTACAGTTCGCTTCATGGTTGCCGGGGCCTACCATATACGGCTTCTGGGAGGTGATAGGGGTGAGCTCGTCATAATACGCGTTCAGCAGCGCCTCGTACACCTTGTACCCGTCGTGGATGGTGGTGTTGGGAAGGAAGTTCTGGATCTCCTCCTTGAGCCAGTAGTCGGCATAGGCAATGTCACCGGCTGACAAGGTTAGCACGGTTCAGTGCAACCAAGAACAGGTAGAATTTACGGTGCCACAAGAAATCGGTATCGGCGCCCTGTGCCTGGAGCGACTGTATAGTGTTGTTGTCATCTGGCTGCAGCGGATTGGCAGCACCATCGCCCACATGCGTCGTCAGGCCCCTCGGGCCCATCAGGCCCATGTCAACAGCCACGGCGATAGAGTACGCGGTTTGGTCACCCTTCTCGCGACTGGTCTTGAATGAGTAAGGCATGCTTGAATTGCTGTACTCGGGCTGGAAGTAGTAGATCGTATCCGACTGTAGACCATGGAGAGCGACATGGTTGTTGTAGGTGGTTGAGGTATGGTAGGTGGACGAGACCGTGGATGTCGCGACCTGGTTCAAGACTTCCGGATGGCGGCCGTAGCGCACCGTGGGTAGAGGCAGTCTGGAGTAGGTGTTCCAGCTCACCATCATGCCGGATGGGCCCGCATAGGCCAGGCGCAATTGCATGGGGATCACATCAACCGAAGCGGCGGCGGCGGCGACGGTGCCCGTCACCAGCGAAATCAGGATGGAGTAAGCCATAGAGAGCAGCAGTGAATAATGGAGAGCTGACTACCTGTCGTGGACTGTTTCTTGTTGGACTCTTATATAAATGTCGGTGCCCACACGAGTCGGCATTGAAGTGGATCCTGGTGCCCTATGGGCGAAATCAGGAGCCGCGCACGTGGCGGAATCCCAGCTATTATACGGATGGAAGAATATTCTTAACAGAGTTTTAGAGATTGGTCCCTGCAGATGCCAGGCATTTGTGGCTGATGCTTGCCGAGGATGGAAATAAGACGATAAACCACCAGCTTAGTTATTGCAATGCTGACATGCAGCTACATACATGAGAGAATCGTACGCAGGACCGCCAGAGTCGAGTACAGAAAAACTGGCACATACTATGGAACATTGCGAAGCACCCATTTTTGTCTAACCCCTTAGGAGCGGGGCCCATAATTAATTATCGACACCATGTTGCCTTCCAACCACACGAGACGGTTATACGGCTCGCTCCCAAGGAACTGAACTTATCTACTGACACAACTGTGGGTGGACCACTCATGGTTATCAACATGGCGTAGGGCCCGCAGTTTCATACCAGACGATAAGTGCGTGTGCGGCGTCAAGAAACGGCAGTCCATGTGCTAGTGGACTGTCCGAAGATGAGAGTCATACCGAAGTTGGGAGTCGTACAGCAGAAATTACTGAAAATTGGCGGTAGGTTCAACGACATGTCGAAGTCTCCTGGGGGGTTATTGGAGAGAGTAAGAAAGGCATGCCAGACGGTGCCTCATGAGTCAGCGCAGTAGGGGATGTGCTGGACTTCGGATGCATCATAACAGGTTCGAAGTCGCGCGCGACGAGGGCGACCTAACAGCGAGAACGGCAATTGGGCTACGATAGGGCTTAGTGGGTTTAAGTTTGTCTTCAGGAAGTGGTACACCATACATGCACGCATGTGCAGACATATTAGTTGTGGAAGCATGCATATCGCTCTGAGCCATAGATCGGGCTAAATGAATTACACACATACAAACACTCTTTTCTCTATCCATTGTAGTCAAAAATAATCGTATATTGTATTTCAATCTAAAAGACTGGCGAGCCCTCAATGATATCTAGCTACTGTCAGAAATACTAACGCCTTCAGATCTATCACACAATCACTAGCAGTGATTCCTTGCGCGGCGTCTGGGCCATCTCTATGGATTCGTATTCTATGTCCTCTTTTCGAGTGACTACAAGGGCGGGTTTCTTTCGTGGCTCACCATCCATATGTCGCTTTTCATTTCCAGAAGGGGTCGCACAGATCATTATCACATCAAGCGACGGCATACCATATTGCGTTCCCACACTTGTGGTCCTTGATGTGCGCAGGCTGCATAAGATATCTTCATAAAATTGAAGTCATAAAGATAAACATCTCTCTAGAGAGTATAGAAGAGGAGTCTGTTTATTCTTGTTTTGCTAGTCGATTTCTGCTATGAGCTCGAATTGCGTAGAAGACTAGTATGTGAGATTGGCTTACCCCCATGGAATAGAAAGAGTTGGCTGACAAAATTAAATAAAAGGAACATGAAGAACACGATTGCAATACCACAGGCTCCCATCGGGCACCAGTGGACAGTGTCGGGGTCTCAGTCTCAACATCCGCGGCGATTATCATTCAGATACCATAACCGATAGCAACGAGGACTAATAAGGTCTTTGGCCCGAATCGGTCGGCGATCCATACGGCGACGAGAGTGAAGATTATTTTGCAAATCTGAAGTATCAAGAGTAAATAGTGCGCACCCGCCTCACCACGGAGGCCGGATCTGGCCCTGTCCTCCAGACTTCGCTGCCTGGCAGCTCGTGGTAGACCGGCTTGACCTGTATATCGTGGCCGTCTAATTCCAAGCCGTGCTTGTCAGCATTATTCTCACTGTTAACACCGTCGCCACTACTCTCGCCGTTATGACTCTCGCCGACACCGCCATGGACCGCATCTGGAGACCAAAATCTTGCCTGTGGAGGACACTGGTCGGTATGTAGTGGGTCGAGAGGGACGGCGTTGTTTACTGGGCCGGAGAGGACGGATTCGTCCGGCTCGGGCGGGGTCGCTTTGTATGCGGCCTTCTGGCGTTGACGACGAATGTAAAATATCAGGACTGCCGCGAGAATGGCGACTCCAACCAATGCAGCAATCGCGATACCAGCTACGGCGCCGCGGCTGAGTGGTGAGGAACTTCCGGAACTGCCAGTACTAGACGAGCATTCGCTTCCAGAGCAAGTGGACGAGTCGGAATCTTTGGGTGTGATTGTGACGATGTTTTGCTCAGCATCTTCATTCCACGCGCATGCCGACACATTGAAGACGCCGTGCTCGTAATCGACAGAGAGATATCTATGAATCAACCCAAAGAGATCAGTGTACGTGGTCCTATCCAGGGGTTCCACTCACGCTTCTTGCAAAAATGTCCGGCCCAGTGTATACTGAGTAGAATTGGCTGCGCGTTTCAGCGGAAAATAATAGCTGCTATTGTTGACTAAAGGAGGCTGTGCAGTGAGGGAGAAAGCGTTGTACGGAAGAACGATTGTCACGGCATCTCCGCCGGAGCCCACATCAGATAGCCGAAAGGTCACCTCCGCATTTGAGTTGAGCAATTGGGTGTTTTGAGTCTCGTTCACCAAGTATAAGCCTGTCTCGCTATCGAGCACAAGGCCAAATGCCTTTTCGAAGCTGTCACACACACTCTCCGGGAGCCACAGATTTGGATCGGTCGAATCAATGAAGATCAAAATGGGCTCGGAAAGTAAGGTGGCTGAACTTGATCCGCTGTAGCTTATAGACTGGAGGTAAACGACGAGGTCGCGGGTGATGTCGCCTGCGATGGTGAATGAAACGGAATTCATGGTGAACCTGGATGTGTCATAGCCGGAGAAGATAAGCTGGCCATAAACCTGTTTGAGACCTATGTTGGAAATAACATGGAATTAGAGGTGAAAGACTTGAATACATCCTTTGACAAGCGTACTTACGGTACTTGGCACCAGCTGTGTAACTCCAGCTTAGGCTTGGGATAACACCCTGGTCCTTGAGGCTTGTGACAAATGATGGCGATGAAGAATTTCCTAGGGAGCTGAGGTTGAGTGGTTGGGGGTTAAGGCCAAATATCCCACTATGTGTGTCTTGAATCAGTTAACTTTCATATAAGGAGGCTTCGTTGTCATCTTTACAGATAGAAGGGCTCAGGAGTCGCGATGCCGGCGACGGTCTGACTTTCGAGCCTCGGTCCAGTGAGACTAATACCCAGAGTCTCTAGAGCAAACTGTGCTCGTTGAGAATATCCAAGATTGGCCTCGAGACCGACGCCATCCTGGTTTATTCCATAAAGACCTAATCCGTGCCAGCTGGAAGACTGATTTGCGTTGAACAAGTTACCCCTGGAGACTGCGCAACCCTGTGGCACGTTGGTGAAAACAGATGTCGAGCAACCGTAGCCTGACAACACGACCATTGACTCTGGAGAGGCCGTAGAAACAAGCACTCGGACGTATTGTTCCGGGGTTCCAATTCTAAGATAAAAGCTGCTCCACGGTCCGTCATTGCCTTCACTAGATGCTACATCAGCAGATGACACACAGCCAATTCAAGGATTTTCGGTCTGGGGAGTTACAAGTATTCGCTAGGAGAGATAACGACAGCCGATGAGGATCGTCTAGCAATGGAAGATGCCGAACATTCTAGCATGCAGGGGAAGATTAAAGCCAACACTACCAAAATGACGACAGAATGCATTTTGACCAACTGAGAAAAAGCATCAGAACGTAGGGCGTGTGATATAGCAATGATGGGAGTCTCAATCCACGTGTAGGTATGCTGCTAATGTACCGACCGGAACCTAGGATATTTTTTCCAAATCAATATGGGAGGAAAACGCACAGCAAGACGCTAGACGACCCACATCATTATGCAATCTCCAGCCTGTCGGTCTAGCGATAGAATCATGGCACATGAAAATTGATTTGATGAGATCGCCGTCTAGGTCATAGTCACGTTGTCATTTAAAGCTCAGGGGCAAGGGACGATGCTAAAACACGTTGGGAAACCTCCCGGCCGCACGGACAGTGCCGCAAACAGGCTGGCGGTTGGTAAAAACCTGTTCCACTACGCGCTCTATCTAATCAGGAACCGCCCTCTGACGTGACGCAGATCTAAGAGGCAATCCTCCTCAAGGTCATAACTGTTCCTGGCTAGGCTGTTGCCTGTCATTGCTCTTCTCAGTCAACAGATTGCCAGGCTTTTCCACAATGACCACATCGACAGGTCATACCTCACTAACACGATGGACGAAGACCCGTTATCACAAGTTATATATTATTATTCACGCTATCTCTGCTTCTGCTGTTGACATTCAACATTTTGAGCGGTAATTGCTTTCTTGTTTTTTCTTTTCCTGGTCGTTCAACTTCAACAGTCGCGTTACATATCTGCCAGTGTCACACCTGCTATAGCCCACGTGGATGTTACAAGAGGTATAGATATGTTGTCTGATTCTAAATTTGGGACAGCGCTCGTACTGCTAGTCGTCGGGGCACAGGCCTTCTATTCTCCTGGTATGTGGACGACCCAGATTGAGCAGCATTCGGCGCCAAGGCTGACATAGTGAAGTTGTTCACAATCCCCACTATCCATTCTATAGTACGGCACACAGCTATACCAGTACCTGTACTCCTGAGCCGACGGCCCTTTCGCCCACATCCACCCCTTGGTATACTGAAAGCATAACCGCCAGCACCACCACCGTTTGTGTGCCTCCGCCTGAAAGTGTGCCTCCGCCCGAAAGTGTGCCTCCGCCTGAAAGTGTGCCTCCGCCCGAAAGTGTGCCTCCGCCCGAAAGTGTGCCTCCGCCCGAAAGTGTGCCTCCGCCCGAAAGTGTGCCTCCGCCCGAAAGTGTGCCTCCACCCGAGACTATCATAACGTCCATACCATCGGTCTCAGCAACCTCATTGAGTACTATAATCACAATTACTTATGTGCCGACGACCATCACACCCTCCCCGATTACTCCCCCAAACCCATGTCCGACATATTGCAGCATGTAGGTTTCCCATTCTCATTAAGAGTCCGGAGTATTGTGATACTTGTTGCTAACGCTTTCTTCGAAGCTCCGCCGGCACCGTCAACTTATTCTTTTGGCCAACGAACGAGCCATACACGTACCCGTCCACTTATGTTGACACACACCTCGATTACACATTGTAAGAACATTCATGGTCATCATATTCTTGTTCGACCCCTTTCAGGCTAATGTGTATTACTATATGTAGTACCTCGCCGTCAGTGTACATGGTCGTTAACACCATCTTTGGCTACAACACTGCAGGTCGCACTGGGCCTTCCGGCACTAGTGTAGTATTTGCCCTTGACTTAGACCAGGTATCCACCATGGTTCCTGACGAGTCAGTCACACGACAGCTTACTTTGAGCGATCTGGGTACCGACTGCCCTCAAACGGAAGCTGCCTCAGTGATCGCAACGGCGGCACCCGACGGCCGGTGTGATCCTATCCTTGTGGCCCCGGACCCTGTCAAATCTTGGGCCTCGCCGTGTAATGCGTGCGGTGCATTTGGGCTGTTTGATCCTCCGTATGCCGTTCCTCCGCTGATTGGAGGTCTGGTGCCCGGGCCAACGACGATTACCATGGCCCAGCCAGAGCCACAAACTACTACCAGTGTCATTCCTGCCACGGACTACACCACCACAACGCCGGCGGTTACGGAGGCCACTGCTTCTAATGAGGCACCGCCTCCGACTTTGACTCCGTTGCCTAGTGCTAGCTCGGTCGCTACTTCGTCATTATCGCTCGACTCAGACTCAAACCCGACCACTACACCCGCGATGGCCGCATCAGCGGTAAAGGTGATAGGTGGACGCGCTTGTCTGATTTTAAGTTTCTTCATATCGGTATATTTGTTGTAATGCAGGATAGTTTCAAGCCAAAATATAAACTATACAATTTTACACTTATTAATATACTGAGTTATATTTAGATGAAAGCTGAAGTTAGAGATAGCAGAAAGAAAAGCAAACTTTCCGTCGGGACTAGCACAAAACCAGCAATTTTTGCAGGTTCGGGTGTTGGGATCAAACCTAGATGTCTCTCCAGCCAGATACGGTAGAAAGCTTGCGATGTTTACCTACGGGGTAATCCTGGTGGGAAGTGTGCTTACCGAGTGTCTTGCGAGATCATGGCAAGGCTGGCTGGTGGCTAAGCTCCTGGCTGGAATTGGAGTGGGTCTCTACAATCGACTGTACCAACATATATATCAGAGGCTGCACCTATTCGCATCCGTGGAGGTTTGTTGATGTGCTATAGTTCCTGGTAGACATTGGTTTCATTTTTTGCCCAAGTCGCTCTTAACATTTATCAAAAGATGACCCAACCGACTATCTGACATCAATCTACACCCAATGGGCTCAGATCGGAATCATGTTTCTTATCTACATATTTTTCCCAGAATCTCCAGCTTGGTGCGTGAATGCCGGAAAGGCAGACCGAGCCAAGAAAGAACTCCTCAAGCTCAACCGCGGAGTGCCCAGTTACGACTCGGAGGGCAATTTCAAGTGTTGATTATGGCCATTGAACATGAACACGCAGTTGCAGCCGAACAGCGTCGAGAGAAGTGGTACGGGATTTTTGAAGGTACAAATGGTACAAATGGTCTTCGCACTGCTATCTCCTGCTGGACCAACCTCACCCAGCAGTTGATCGGTCTTAGCATCTTCGGTACGTTTGGTACCTACTTCTTTCAACAGGCTGGACTAGCCGACCCTTTCGAGATCAAGGTCATTACAAACTCGATTCAAATTGCAATTGTGTTTTTTTGTGGTCACTGTTGCCGACCACTTGGGAAGGAGATTACTTGCCTGCTCGGGAACGACTCTCTGCTGGGTATCATGTCTGGCCATTGGTATCATTGGGGTTTGTCCTCAGGTGAATGCATCGACATATATTTTTATCTTATTTGCTTGTTTGTGGAGTAAGTATCCCTAAGTTCATTTGAAACAACGGCTAATAACATTAAATATTTAGACTGCGGACTGGCTATCAATGGTGCGACTGGTTGGGGATATATCGGAGAAATTTCGTCCCAACGACTCAGACCATATACTGCTGGCTTTGGAGCGGCAGTTACTTGTGTCGCTGGCGTTGTAATGAACGTCCTCATCCCATACATGACAAACAGCAGCTAATGGAACTGGGGCTTGAAGACAGGGTGGTTTTATGCAGGCGCTGGCTTTCCGTTTGTTACTGGCATGTGGCTGCTGATTCCTGAGACTGCCAGGTAAGGGCTTACACATGACAGGGAAAATAGTTTCCTTTCTTGCTGACATTTTCAATTTAGACGATCCGTGCTGAGTTAGATGAATTCTTTGAGCGGAAGATCAAGCCCTGGCGATTCCACAAGACTGAGACTGCCACCTAGCGGCTTGTGCAGGTAAGCAAATCGGAAACGAACTAAGCTAGGCGAAGGAGATTTTGGTAATTGGTGGGAAGCCAAAACTATTCTATCGACAGTTCTTATTTCAAGCGTATCGCGCAGACGAAGGGAAAGCGATGTATACTGACAAGATAATCAAAGTAGCATCGTTTGTTTGTGAGTCATGAATCATTGAAAGTAGTGCTTTAAGAAAACTTTAGATGTCCGCCATATATACTAAATGCTAACTACCCTAGCATGCGTCTACTTTTCCGAGCATACTAGATAGACCAACTGATCCACTCCTCACTTCTTGAGCTCGTCAATGATGTTATTTTCGTCCAGTCTCTCACTCTATGCTCACCGCATTCGAGTGTGCCACTTATCCCTGGTGGATATAATTGGAGCTCAGTGGAGTTTGGGTTTTCATACAGCTGGATCATTATTATTGCGGTGATGTAGAACACTATGTAACATCCAATTCTAGAAAAATGACTGCCAAGGAACCAACAGAAACAAGCAACGATGGTGGAGCGATCAGATGACACGGGGCTCCACAGGGCTGAAGCACCAAGTCCAATTCAACCACTCAGCGCCACCTTCTAGGCACCGAAGTTCCGTGTCTCATGTTGGATCTCCTTCCAAACTCGCATTGGCTGAATTCTTGGTGCTAACCACCCGCGCGCCTACGTCATTCGCTAGCCCCTCGTTGAGGCCGAGTTTATATATGGGGAACGAGAATGCGTCGAGGTGAGAATCCTCCTGGTCCCTACAGCACGGCCTGCATAATACGCTGTTAATCCTCCCGTACCCCTTAACTACCGTCGCATTCGTTATAAAATGCTTTCCTGGAGCGTATACCAACAGTGCCAGCAGTCACAGACTGCAACTTCGGAATTGGCGAAAGATACGACGCAGTGCCCGACCGAGGTTTTTGAATCCTTGTTTTCGCGACATCACCAGCATAGCCGCGAAAAGTCGGAGTTGGATGGCGTCAAGGAGTTTGAGCAGAAAGATGAGCTTCAAAAAGCGCGGGAATGTGGGAAGTGGGGATCGGCAGAGCCAAGCCCCCTGTTTCTGCAGGTGACAAATGATCTTCGGCGGTGTTCCCGACAATAATATCTGATGATGGATTCGAATAGATCTACCACGATGCTTTATGTTCTTTGGATAAGAACGCCATGGCGGGAGTGGTTTCTCCCTCATTGATGGGGAGCTCCGGAGTCGTCCCGTTGACTATTGTCGCGCCATTGCCCGATCTGATTCGGCATCTGGCTAATTGTATAGTAAGAGCCGAGCATGAATTGTTTTTGGCGACAAACTTTTGGATTCACTCAGATGCATCGACGCTGGTGACCAACGCATTGCGGGAACTGTCAAGGCGAGCTGGGGAGAGGGGGAAGAAGGTCGTCGTCAAAATGCTGTACGACCGGGGAGATCCTCGTCAGGTGTGTGTCGCAAACTCAACAATGAGAGAAAATTCTGACCAGTGGTGCAGGCCTGGGAGAACCGTCTCACTGTCACGGAGGAGCAATGGACTAGCGCCAAGGTCAACATCCCCCCATCAAAAGACATTCCCAATCTCGATCTTCAAGTGATCAACTATCACCGACCTGTCTTTGGAACATTTCATGCCAAGTTCACCATAATCGACCGACGCATTGCCTTGTTGCAAAGCAGTAATATTCAGGATAATGACAATCTCGAGATGCTGGCTCATTTAGAAGGTCCTATTGTTGACTCGTTCTACGACACTGCATTGTTGTCATGGGGTAAGCAGCTCGATCCTCCGCTACCTCTGCTTGATTCCCCGGCCGCATCTGCGCCAATTCCGTGGCATGAAGAAAAGGGAAATACAACCGGAAACGAGAATGAGATCATTGAAGAGCATACAACAAAGTCCCCTCACTACGATTCCACCCTCAGCGGAGAGGCGCGGAGGGTCAATGGCAGCATTGAACCGCGTGGTGATGAGACAGCTACTCAGGCTGTGAGCCGTCATCTCAGTATGTGTTTCCAAATTAATTATTAGCAACGGAATTGCTCACGTATCAATAGACACCACTATCCAACCAGATACAACGGGGAATGCACCCGACAGCGACCAGGTGAATTGGATGACCCCGTATGTCGTCATGCCTCTCCATGAACCATTTGCAATCGCCCTTGTTAACCGAGAACCATATGGATGTGAGTATAAGTTTTATGGGTTTGAAATAAGAATAGACGACTAACAGTCTCATTCAGCTCCAAACCACAGCCATGTCCATGTTCCCCAAAACGCAGCCTTCCTCTCTGCCATAAACCATGCACAGCACTCAATTCTCATCCAAACTCCAAACCTGAATGCGGAGCCCCTGCTGGATCCACTCCTAAAAGCTGTCTGTCGCGGTGTAACGGTAACTGCCTACTTGTGTCTCGGCTACAACGACGCGGGCGAGCTGCTCCCATTCCAAAACGGAACCAACGAGATGATTTCAAATCGACTGTATAGTAGTCTCGCGACTGATGAAGAGAAGTCTCGACTAAAGATCTACTACTACGTTGGAAAAGACCAGATCCAGCCGATTCATAACAAGTTCAAGCGCCGAAGTTGTCACATCAAATTGATGGTTATCGACGAGAAGGTTGCTATACAGGGTAAGACAAGTCATCTGGTTAATCACAGCGAAGCTAACGTCTTAATCTAGGGAATGGAAATCTCGACACCCAATCATACTTCCACAGCCAGGAGGTGAACATGCTCATTGACTCAGAAATTGTCTGCAAGAAATGGATCGCGGTCATTAACTGCAATCAAAACACTGCCAAGTACGGCGCTTCCAGCACCAAGGACGGCTGCTGGCATGATCCAGTCACTGGAGAGATTCCCAATGGCTCTATTGGAACCGACCCTGGGCATTTCAGCTGGGCCAGAGGAATTGTTGGTGCTGTCCAGCGAGTCAGGGGAGCAGGAGGATTTTGATTGATCTGTGGACTTTCTGTTTTTGTGCTACCTAGTAAATGAAATTGAATAAAGTACCCGAAGAGAACCTACTAAATAACCTATCTGCTACGCTCGAGGGACTTGGTGACACCTTCTGGATTTACATCACTAGCAAGAAACCTTAAACAGAAGCATAGAGTATTCATTCTTTGCATGAAAAATGTAGAAGTCAGTCATTTGAACAACCACAGTATTGCTTTCTATTATCACACTTTAATGAAGGTGAGATGTTACTCAAAGATTGATTGAATGCATGTGATAGGTCAGTAGCATATGATCATTAAATCGACACACGTAGGTCAAACCCAGGTCAAAAGAAACCAAAGCGGCACAATTATATCCCGTAGAGAAACTTCAAAATGTTCTAGTGGTTGTAGAAACGAGCAGCGCTCTACCTGAAGTGTGGCAATTCATTCTCACCTTGCTTATCACTACACTTAGCAGTTGGTTAACTATAGTCAATATTAAAAAATAGACTTAGCAATCAATTTGCGTCCCTAGTTAACTAAATACCATAAATATATCTGTCACTTTTACGTTTTAGCCCCTCTACATGCTCACGTATTCTTTGACCGCACATTACCATTGGTCACACACGGTACTTATGCACTCTCAGGTTGAGTTAGCTATGGAGAATTTGAGTATAAGGCGGCCCCTTTGTATAGTAGCTTGTGCGGAGACCAGGAATTATACTTCTATAGCCGATGTAACCCCACACATTTAGTAGATCATACCCCCCTAAACTTTCGCCCTTACAGGTAGCTTGATACTAGTCCTCACAAAAGAGTAGTGAAGTAAGATAGACGTCGAAGTCACAGCTGCACCTATAGAAAAGTACACGATGGGAACTAGCACACCGAATTGACAACATACACTACTAGTTTGCAAACATATATTATCATCAAAAGAAACCATGCATTACCGACAATAGGGTGCGGTGGAGACGAATCTGTTTAGCATTTTTCATAACAAGCTTCTATGTGAAATGATCATCGCCTCCTACGATCGATAAATATTACAGCTTTCGAAGACAGAAGTGGGTTTTCATTCCTCTCTTTACCAGTTTTCCAACCATTTATCCCAAATTAAATCCGTTCTTTACACGTAGCAATTATGTGAAGCTTGGGATCCTCAGTCCGTACCGAAACCTCGGTGAAGTTACTATGATCCAGACCGTGGAGTTAAGCTGCAGAAGTGGCGTTCGTCCCGTAGCCGCAAGGTCAAGCGAGCCATAAATGTGGGGTACCTCTAACCCTGGAATACAGGACGATCAGTGGCTGTCGGTACAGGAGGGCAGGACGTGCCATTGTAACAGCGGCTGGGCTTGCATGTTTCTCCGCGAATAACCTTGCCTACAAGAGGGATCTTCCGTGGGGCTGCCCGATTTTTGATGGCAGGATATCTGCGTCTTCTGCGAATTAGTTACCAATCCCACTGAAAAGTTGAGATGATCCTCCTACGAGTGTAACAGTAACATTGAAAGCGTCTCTCTCTATTCACCATTACCAAATATTTGTTGGCATAGGCGCAGTTTCATGCTGTAAGAAGGCCTCGGGCATGCAGACAACAGCCTTTTATGTCGAGTTAAGCCGTGGGATAAAAGGATTCAATAATCCTTCTTATTCTGCATTTCTAAAAATTCATTCCACGCAATACTCTTTCAGTAATTAATATCCCATTAACACATCCTCACCTCACAGAGATGCTTACCAAGGTTTGGGCTACTTCCCTTCTATGTCTCAGCCTCGTCGCCGCAGGTCCAATCGCCAACCTCAGTGTGTTGAGCGACCTCACGACAGTGAAGAATAATGTCCAGACCCTCGACAAGGACGTCAAGAGCTGGGATGGAACTCTGATTACTGCTCTCTCCATGCTCGATGACGTGAAGACCCTGGAGTCCGATCTCAAGACTGCCATCAGTGACACCAAGGCGGCGTCCGCCTTTTCTACCAGTGACAGCACCACTGCGACCAAGGATATTGCTTCCTTGAAGCCAATTATTAGCACCACCCTGGATGACCTCGTTGGCAAGGTATGTTTCTTATTTGTTGAACCCTCATAGCCCATCCCCCGGTCATGATAGATATGTTGGATACGATCTTAACATACTCGCAGAAATCTGATATTGCGAATATCGGTGAGACTAGCACCGTTAAATCCAGCCTTAAGGAGTTGAAAAATCTCTCGGATCAGCTCGGCACTGCGCTCGAGGCAAAGGCTACTTCGAACGACGCGGATACCATTAAGTCCGCTGTATCCGCGATTGACTCTGATTTTACCACTGCTATCTCTGCATTCTAGGGGAAATTCTTCGCATGCGATTACATGAGACTGAATTGTTGCCATGGTATGGGTTCTGATGGGTGAGAGAATGTCGTTATTGAACCAGAGAACCCTGGGTTTGATGTAGCTATCACTTGAATGAATTCTACCCGAGGCTGATAGGTAAAGCCTAGTCTTAGTATATATCTCGGCCAAACCGAAGGACCACGTTCTCACAATATCTTCAATGCTTTGCATTTTGTCGAACTCATCCACCTGGGTGTTCTGTCAGATAGAATGCTCTCCATATTCGTAATATTATATGACAGGGGGGAAACTAGAGACGATATGTCGGATTTTTACATGAATATAATTCTCATTAATACGAAAAAGTCAACCAGTAGTAGCCTCTTGTCTAGCATTCATCCTGCTCACGAGTCCGCCGCTGCAGTATATCTATCGTCCGAATTCTCTGTGCCAGCGGTTCAACCTCCTCGTTAACCTAGGCCTTTTGTCATGTGACTTTCAGCGGCCACCAATGTGCGCGCGCGGACGAGACCACGCGGCCATGAGCAGAGATCCATTGTATAGAATGAAAAAAGCAAACTCCGCGTCACTAAGGAGGGCTTCTCATTTATTTATCGTTTTCAGAAACAACCCAGGACCTTGCTTTCAGTTTGATATCTTTCAACTGCACCGAGACCAAATTGCCCGAACGCGATGTACCAGCTTGGACTTCATTTTCAGATAGCATCGAAACATTTCAGTCATTTTCCTACGTACACGTTAGGGTGACATTCATCTCAGTGCTGGCGAGGTTGCCGCCGTTTTCCATGAGGGCGAAGATATAATCTCCGCTCTCCACAGTCCATTCATATCGACGGTCAAGAATGACCAAATACCGAGACACATCCAAGTCCATAGTCACAGTTCGCGTTTCTCCTGCTGAGAGGTATGCACGGCTAAAGGCAACGAGTTGCCTTACGGGACGGGTGATCGAGGAAACGCGGCCCAAGAGATAAACCTGTGCGGTGTAGCTTCCCGCTATGCTGCCACTGTTCGTGATTTCAACCGAAAAAGTAATGACTGACTCTGGATTAAACTGAGATTTATTTCGTGTGTGCGTAGTCGAGTTTGCGAAGGCATGGAATTTGGAGAGCTTAAATTCCGTGTAAGACAAGCCGTATCCAAACGAATACTGATTCGATATCAAGTTAGCCGTTGATTTCGTGTGAAGGTTTAAAGCAATATAAAGGGAAGTCGCCCTCACAACCGGTTGATATGGGATATCGGTGTAGTCCCTCGGAAAGGACGGTTTATAGCTTGACAAGCCAACGATTAGATATAGTTTTAAAACTAGGTGTAACCAAGAACTTACTTGTAAAATGCTGGTAATGTTCCAACATTGTATGGTACACTGATTGGGACCCGCCCTCCGGGGTTGACTGTGCCGAATAGGACGTCCGAGATAGCTTGCCCGCCAGATTGACCGGGGAAGAACTGCAGATCAGTTAGCCGTACCTAAGATATATATCACCTCCCATTCGAAACAAACCGTATTGAGAACCGCTGCTGCCCGGTTGTAATATTCAGGAACAGCGAAAGGACGACCTCCTTGTAGCACAAGAACGACTGGCTTTTTCAGAGCAAAAATTGCATTAGCAAGGGCAGCTGTACATTGTCAGTTGCCATTATAACTTTTTAGACTCTGGGTAAAATGTGAAATGTACTTTGATTTGCGGACAGCTCAAGGGTCGCTCGGTCCCCAGACTCGCCATCACTGTTCCAGCTCGCACCGACAGCAAGAATAATGACATCAGATGTTTTGGCAAGCGCAACAGCCTTCGTACCATTGGTATCGGTATTAGTATAAATGACGGCGGCTTCGCTCGCAAGTACGTACCTTTCCAATTGGATCAACTCGGTCCACCAAATTCCAGAACATTAGCACCTGGGCGTTCAAAGAATTGACGTTTTCAACTTTTTGAACATAATTCCATGCCTGATATTCTAGCCTAACATCATGAGTGGCGGACTTTCGAAATGTGAATGGTGCTGAACCCGGAGGGGGAATCGTGCTGTTTACCGAGGTGTATGACAACCCAGGGATGTTGGATAGAATGTTTCCTGAAAGCGATGCTTCGGCCTCGACAAGCAGTTTGCCATCTACGTAAAGCTTTGCAGTGGTATTCGGGTAGACAGCAACCCCAAACCATCCTTCAATGGTGCTGTCAACTGGCACTGTAACTTTCCCTTCCCAGATCACACTGAAATTGTTTGAGGGTAGTCCCACTGGCGGATAAAGACCCCAGTCCAAGCTCGGTGTTTCAATTTTTTGAAATCTTGCGTCATCGAAGTCGGGCGATGCATAGTATGTTGCAAGTAACCCACCTGACGTACCATTCGCAGAGAGCAAATAAGGCGGGATATTGTACTGTGCGTTGTATGTCCATGTGTTTGCTCCCCAGCTGGTAAGGAGCTCGGTCTGAGGGAAATTGTTTGAAAGATGTCGAAGAATTCCTTGGCGTATGGTGCTCGCGTTTTTGACAGGATATCCTCCCCATTGCCCAGAGTAGTCACCATAGTTGAATATGTCGCTAAAAGGACCAATCAAGGAAATTCGTCTAATATCCTGCTGCAAAGGATAAATAGGGAGTGTAGAATTGCGGTTCTCCAACAAAACAATGCTCTTTTGTGCTGCTTCCAAAGTAAGTGGGACATGAGACGCTGTAATGGCGTTTGAATCAACTTCTTCGGGGATATAAGGATTGTCAAAAAGTCCCAAGTCGTACTTGACTGCGAGTATACGTCGAACCAACGACTGTAATGTTGTTTTGGTCAAAGTTCCATTCTCTACCAAATTGACGGTCGCCTGGACTATATGTCAGTGATAGCTTACATCCAAGTGTTATACTACCGTACATCCACATATTCCTGTAAAGGAAAATCGTAATATTGCACCATGCCCCCAGAATTGTGCCACTGCGCAATTGTGTCCGCCACGGAGCTTGTGACCCGATGGGTATAGAGTAGCTCAGAAAGACCTGAAGAACGGTCAGCCCAACGTAAATTTCAACCCTTGTTCTTCTTCGTTATATGTGACTCTTACCGCCATCATCAGCAGTTACATAACCTGAATACAAGGTCAATATCCAGATCAAATGCTTTAATTAAGTCAGAAACAAACCATCAAACTCCCAGTCCGCCAACGCCTCATATAGTAGAGGGTTCACCGAAGAAGGCACATCATCAAATTCACTATACGCCCTGTTCATGGCTTAGAAGGACAAAACAGATACCAACAGCTTCGTAAATAGCAAACTTACATCATTACACCCTTGACTCCTCCAAGCTGTATGGCAGCCTTGAATGGAACAAGCATCTCCTGAAGCACTTCTCGAGTGCCGTATCCCATGAACGGTGCGGCATTATGTCCTCCCTGGGGGCTTCCATGAGCGGCAAAATGCTAAATAATAATATGATTAGTATCGAAAGCCGATTTCATACTGTATATATTGCCCAAACCTTCATGACTGGCACCACTGCATCGTGATCTGACCAACTGCCATTTTTAGACAGGCCTGACGCGTATGCCACCCCCATATGGGCTGTCAAGACCATGTCTTCTCCCCAGTCCTCTGGGGTTGCATTGGTTAATAAGAGTTGTAATCTCGATAACTGAACAATTCACCTTGAACGCGGCCCCATCGAGGATCTTTTGCTAGATCAAGCACAGGGGAAAAGCACGCGTGGATTCCAATTGAGCTAGCTTCTGTGCCAATGGCTCTACCAACTCGATGCACAAGGTTGGTGTCAAATGATGCCGACATACCGATAGACTGTGGAAATATGGACTGCTTGAATGATCCCACGCCATGGAGACATTCGCCGGATTGAATGAACGGTATATTGACTCTAGAGCGCTCGGCATTTAACTTTTGTAGCTCATTATACTGAGATTTATTCGTAGGATACCAATCATGAATGATTCCAATTGGTGCACCAGGTGCCGGTTGGAGAGCCTGATCTAATGCAAAAAGTTAAAAGGCGTATCTTCTGGAGAAAGGATATTCACCATATAGAGCATTATCCGAGTTTGGTCCAATGATATTATCGGCGAACATGAGATGCATTTGCACGACTTTTAAAATGTTTTAGTCTCGTTTGGGATGAGACGATCCGCAGGTAAACAGACTGACCAAGCTCTGGAACTGTGAGATTCGAAACCAATCTCTCTAAGAAAACATCTCTTTCGGACGCATTTGAGGTCCTAGGATATTTGACGTCCACCTGTGTTCCAAATGCCCATTTGCCTTCAATCTCTTGTGCGTGACTAACTAATAGAAATATTGCAAATGATGTCAACACAAGAGGTAATCGAGAAATGACTGCCATGGCTATTTCGAATAAAGACCGAGAGAAATCCAGGGAAGGTGTGTCAACTCCAAATTGATCATTAAGACCTTAACAGCAGTTTTGCTTGCGGAGGAGCTTTATAAAATTTCGTTACTATGGAACATGGTAATAGCCTAAATAAGGTGTGTTTGTTTTTTTCCCCGAAAAACATTATTTTCCCGAAAGATCATTGTTCTTGAGCACTAGCGTTCTCAGGTGAAGCAACCGTAGTAACCGTAATTGTGTTGCTTTGTCGCATCCTTCCACCTCGGCTCATCGCCCTTGACCCCAGTCGGCAGTGATCGACGGTAGGAATACATAGAGCTTGAGCGGGGTAAGTGAACCACGAATATCGGGCATGTTGTTCGGGTTATTAAGTAGTTAAAAAACACGGGCCATTATTATTAAGATAGAGTCTCCACTTATGGACGTGTACTTGGCATGATAAATTTCTACCAAAGATTGAAAATGAGCTAAAACTCATGCTCCGGACTCGTCCTAGGCCTTCTATTAGGCCCATTGCTTTGTATTCGATTTATGGGCAATATAACGGTCTCAACACTTACTTGAGGACATCGATTACTAGCGCCTTGTCGGCCAGAACATAACTGAATAGCAGCGATACGTGTCGGTGTTAAAGAGAAATCGTCTTATTTTGATCCGCTAGAGGTGCCAAGGATATCAAATCAAATACCCGATGCGGAACTGTCCATCACTTGAAGGCATTATTGACATATCAGCTAAAGCCCCCCAACAACCTACCAACAAGGAACGGGAAATTCCAGTAGCGCTTAAACCGACGATCTCCAGGATTGAATCATACCTCAGTATTATTTGGTTAGTTGATTATCCGTTCTACATATTCTCTGTCTCTTAGTTGTCCTTATTCAAGTGAACTATTCGTCTCGTCAGGTTCTAGACAGTTAGTAATTAACGTCCTTCATATACAGGATCCTCATTGCCGGCTTTCGCTTTTTAAAGAAATTAAAATTCTAGTCGACATTGAGGCTCTTGCGTAAATTAACAAGCTTGTCCGATTTCGCTGGGAAATTGCGAAGAGCATCTGCCCTAACTTACCAGCTCAATGTGCCTTTCTTCGATGTCCATGGAGCTCTTCTCACCGTCAGTCCCTTGTGCCGGGGGATACTCCACTTGCGCGCTGGGATCTTCTCGGTAAAAAGATGTGAAATTTTGAGGACGGCTCAGCCCCTTTAAAGCCCTAAGGGCGGAAATCGGACCAACATCCACGAAAAATGAATGAGAGATAAGATCGTTAAGTGCACAAATACTCACTGCTCCTAGTTTGGTTGGGATGGCTGTTTGTCGAGATATATGATAATATCGGAGGCTTCTCAATGGGACTCTTTCTAGGGTGTCGTCTTCTCTTCAGCCTAGGTAAGTACGCATTGGTGAAGATCAGCGCACCAGGGGTTGGGAGGAACCCTGTATTCTAACGTGAGGGAAATATATATATACCTGAGTGATCCTCATGCATATGACCTTCGAAAGTAGCAATCAGGAGATGGTTTCAATAGAGCCATCCCAACTAAGAAATTCGAGGCCGAGCCTACCCCACGCCTCATTTTGCCCCCACGAATGTCTTCTAATCACGTTTCAAGTCCACACACCTTACAGGACGCCACACACTAACTTCCTCCGGCATTTGGGCCTGTCGGACTCAATGACTGCTTTTTTTGGAGACCAGCAGGGCGATTATGAGAGATCAAGTCAAATTAATGCTACTCGTAAACGGGAACTGGCATAGCTTAATAAACCTTGGCCCGTGCAGAGATGTGCGGCAATGGTTGTTCGATTTACAAACCATACATTCGGCATTCAAGCGCCTTACTGATTCCTGCATAGCACATAATAACGCCAACATAATGTCATTTCTTACACCATTTTGATTCAAATTGGCCCGCCCTATCAGATCCTCTCGTATCGATCAGAACCTTTTTCAGAGGGGCTTCTTCATCCAGATGCTCGCCAAGAAAGACGTTCTAGGTCAGTTCTTCGCGTTGACCACCAAGGCCTCTCCATACATGCTGATATCATACCCATGCTCTGCTAAATACGCTTTGAACCGGGCATCTTCTGTCTCCAACTCACGGGACATGTCTGGAATGAGGAACCATGCAATGAGACCACCAACAACTGTAAATGCGGATCCGATCAAAAAGACCGCCTGTTGGCCTTTTTGAACAGAATCAAAGGAGTCTTGAATTGGCGTGAAGACCTGTGTCCCGATCGATGCGCCCGCTTTGCCGACTGCCGCTGCAAAGCCCAGAAAATGGCCACGGAGGGGTGTTGGGAACGACTCAGCGGCACACAAAAAGGTGGCGACGCCGGGTCCCATTTCTCCAAGAGCATTGAAGATGCCGTACATGACCACAAAGAGAGGAAACACGGTCTGGATGGGTTTGAGAGCGCCTCCCAGGATAAACCCCCACACTGCCCACATCATAAAGCCGAGGGTCATGGTCTGCTTGCGGCCAATACGGTCCATGAGAAGACCTCCGACTAAACAACCAGGGAGGTAAAAGCAATTGATGACAGTCTGTAAAACTCGGTTGTTAGCGTCCCAGCCTCATCCTTGCACACTGAGTGTACTGACCCCATACCCAATGTTTTGCACCGTGCTATTGTTCGTTGCCAATTGAGAGATAATGGTCGACGAAAATATGCCAAACGGATACGTCACAAAGTCATAACAAAACCAGGCGAGCGCTGCAGTTCCTGATGTTTAGTCCTGAAAACGGGATATACAGAGAGGGCTCACGAACAGGTTCCCAACATAGGCTTCCAATACCGCTTGAGGACCAACCAATATGGATACTGTGATTTCATCGCATGTTTCCGATACTGGGTCGAGTTGATCATCCGTAGACGAAAGAAACACACAGCGATTGGCAACTGTCCCCGTTAGTGCGCTGGGGATCGCTAGCTCCCGGGATCCAAACTTACCACCATCCCGAGTCCAAAAGTGATCCGCCAGACCCCCTCCGAATTTTCCTGGCCGTAACAGGCAAGCACAATGAGCGCAACCAACCCTGCTACGACGAAGCCCTGGGTGACTGTTAGCCATTTCCATAACGCCGGGGCTCTTCAAAAGACTCATGTACCAGATCTACGGCAAAGTCGGTGGTCGCGGCGACCAGAAATCCGCGCCTTTTGCGCAGTTGAGATGTCTCATCGGCGGCCTCTGTGGCACTCGTGGCACACACCGGGTACTCGCCGCCCGCACCAAAGCCAGCTACTCCGCGGGCCACGATCATCATCCAAAACATTCTAGGCTCAGAGGATCAGCTCCCGCTCCCTGAGGGACCCTGACACACATACCCCAGCTGTGAGGTGCCATGAGCCGCGGTGGCCAACACGACACCCAGAATCAAGAAGACCGTGGCAGCCACCACGCCCGCGCGACGGCCCACACGGTCAATGAGTGCACCGAAAAACAGCATCCCGAAGATCTCGCCAATGAGATAGGAGTTGGACAGACGCGACGTGATCGTGCTGGACATGCCGTCCTTGTAACTACCGCTCCGATACTCGTTAGTGACGGGTCTGACCGGGGTCAAAAACCAGAGCGGTGGATTGAGTGTACTGACAGCACGGCTAAAACAGGCTCCATGTACCCAACTATCACCACATTAGCATCGACTAACACTCAAGAAAGATGGAAACTCACTGATCTCGGCGTTGTATCCATCGCTAAACAGCGCCAGTCCCGACACGACGACATTGAGGATACCAGACTGACGGTTCTGCACCGGATCGCGCTGCTCAACTGCCCATTCCTCATCCGCGGGCTCTTCTTTGGGCTTCTTCATATGCATGATCGAGTCATCGGGTGATGCCGCCATGGTACTGAGATCGAGGACAAAAGTTTTCGCACACGAGGAATCCAACCTCTCGGACTGGACCGGTCGCGGTCATTTGTAGGCTAAGCACGCAGTGGCAACGTCGTGATGCCGAGCATGTCTGGCGGCCGCCGCCATCCAATGATGCTAGACCAGAGACGCACGAGATCGCTGTGTGTAGCCGACCGGGGGAAATGCGCGATCACCAGCGACGGCCTAACCGGACTAGGAAAGCCCAAGCTCCCAGAGTCTCAGGTCCGCCAGGAACATTAAGTTTTGATACTTGGGGCCCCATGGGTGGGGCCGACGGGGCCGCCCTGGTGCCAATGGTTCAGCCCATGTGTTCCGCTGACTGGCTTACGGTAGGCTTCCCGAGCGCACGGCCTCCGAGCCATGTGTGGTCCTGAAGAGCCGCCGTCGGTGCGAAGCGCGACATTGGCGAGACCCTTCGGCTGGGCCCGGGCGACACGGGCCGAATATAAAATGTAATGTCGTCGAGTTGGATGAGAGCTTGGAACACGCTCGATCCCTGGACTTTGCATTTGTGTCGCTTTGTGCCGTTCGTCATGGACAACTTCTACTTCGCTCTGACCCCGGAACAGCTGCAGAGCTTTCAGGAACGGGGCTACCTCATGGTCCGCAGCTTCTTCAACGGGGAGGAAGCAGCACGACTGCGGCAATGGGCTCAGGAAGTCCATGACCTTCCACGCACGGCGGACGTGCCGTGGATGCCTTATGAGGTAGGCCGACACCCGTGGAGCAAGAGATCACGCTCATCACATGCCACAAACAGGAAGTCAACGCGGAGGGCAAGCGTGTGCTGTGTCGGACGGAGAACTTTGCCAACTCTCACGCCGGGTTTGACAGCATCCTGAGGGGCCAGCGCGCCACAAGTGTGCTGCAGCAGCTGGCCGGCGAGGAGATGCTGCTCTTCAAAGAAAAGATCAACTACAAGCTGGCGGGCAGCGGTGCGATCCCGTGCCCCTAAAACTTGTGAACCCACGCTCACTGGTAGACCAGGAGGGTTTGATCCGCATATCGATGCCAACGCCTATACGCACGTTAAGAACATCAAGCACCTGACCATCCTGGCGGCGGTCGACGATATGGGTCCGAGCAATGGCGGATTGGAGGTGGTGGACGGCAGCCACCGGATGGAGGTTCCTCTGGGAGCAGATCGATGCATTGAGCCCGCCTGGGTCCAGCGACACGCGTGGACCCCCTGTGATCTACAGTCTGGTAGGTGACCATCAGGCCGACATGTCGGATGAAATGCTGACCGGCAGTAGGCGACATTCTCGTGTTTGGATCCTACCTGGCGCATCGGAGTGGCGCCAACACCAGCACTACGGATCGCAAGGCTATCTATGCGACGTACAACTGCGCCGCCGAGGGCAATCTGCACGATCAATATTATGCGGATCGGCGGCAGCTGTGGCCGGCGACCCATATGAGAAAGGACGGCGAGTCGTATGAGGAGGGCCGGGTGCGCTACGCGTTTGGCTCCCCCATGCTATCGGTGGATAAGCAACCAGCGGCCGCGGTGTAACGGTATGGAATCTGGCGCATGTATTGTTAGCATCTGTAGTCCTAGTTCCTGTATGCTCCCACGAGAAGGAGAACAAAAAAAAAAAAGGTGGACGTAAATAGAAAACGCAGATGAATATCCGGGAATGAGACCATTGAGAGTTCAACTCATCACACAGTGGGTGGAGACTGGCACCGGCGCCTGCTCCGATCCCATCAATAAACACCGAAAATAGTAAAATGCGTTGACCCATGGATGCGGGGACCTGATCATACCTTGCTTGCTTTAAAAGTCCATCCGTCTCTCCCTTCCGCCTCGCCCTCACCACACTTTGCTGCCTGTACTCCCTTCCCGTCCATTCCACGGCCTTTCTCTCTGCCTTTCGGTAACGCCCGTGATCATGGATGTGCAGTCGCCCGCCGCCGTCGCCGAGGCTCTGCTCGGCGCTCTGGAACAGTATGGGCAGGGGGACTACATCGGCGAATCGATCAACCAGTTGGAGCATTCGCTCCAAGCCGCCCACCAGGCGCGCACGGCCGGTATGTGTCTCCCTTCTCTCCGAAGCGGAGCGCCTCAGTCCTGACGGTCGTAGGTGCCCGCGACGAGCTGGTGATTGCCGCTCTGCTGCACGATATTGGCCAGATCATCCCGCTGGAGGCCACGAAAGAGGTGCGGATGAACCTCCGCAACAGCGCGGAGAACGTCGGCCGGGTCGGCCACGAGGCGATTGGGGCTGAGTACCTCCACTCGGTGGGATTCAGCGAGACCGTGTGTCGCTTGGTCAACAGCCATGTGGCGGCCAAACGGTGAGTCGCGTCTCAAGCCGGTTGCGCGCATCGCTCATAGGCACAGATATCTCACCGCGATCGATCGCGCCTATTATGATTCCTTGTCGACAGCATCACAAAAGTCCTTGGCCTTTCAGGGCGGACCGTTTCAGGGCGATGAGCTGTGCGCGTTCGACCGGGATCCGCTGCGGGACGAGATGGTTGCCCTGCGCCGGTGGGACGACGCGGCCAAGCTGGTGGGCGTCGAAGCAACCACGCCGCGTGCACGGTCCTACCTCGACACGATCGTCACGCATCTGAGCCAGGGCCGGGCGTAGAGGGCTGGGATCAGGAATTGTAAGATAAGATTCCTCAGGCGGATGGGGCAAACGAGGGTGGAGATAGGAGGATGAAAAGATATATATTCCCCTGGGCAGGTATCTTCCTGTGCGATCAAAGATATAGATCTCAAACTGTTGGAAATAACTAGCTTCTTGTCTTACTAAAACAGCAATATTTTCCCGCTCTGTTAATCGTGCTCGTATTGCCGCCGTTATCTCTCCATCTTTCTCCCCGCAAATCTCTCTCCTGCTTTTCCCCCCTCCTCCATGATCCCGCCCATGATCCCCCAATCCACCGCCCGGGTGCGCACAAAAACGGGGTGTTTCCCATGTGAGATCAAAACATCCCTCGACAGCGATCAGCCGATGCTGACTGACGCAGGTCGCCAACGCCGAAAGAAGTGCGACGAAACGCGTCCGCGATGCCGAGCCTGCACGCGCAACGAGCTCGGCTGCCAGTGGCCCTCGGGAAACGAACAGCGGGACGGACGACGAGCCCAGAGATGTCGGATCAGCGCCGTGTCAGACCTGCGATTATCACCCCTGGTCCCCCTGCCGGCCCCATTCCAGCTACAAGAGCACGGCTATCTGTACCGGTACTACGCCTCCACTCTAGTCCCTCGTCTGGTACGGAAAAATTCACTGGCACGGTTTTTGGACCAAACACACTTCTTACGTCTGGCTTGGGAGTTTCCTCCACTGATGGGGGCCATGATATCGATTGCTGGCATGCAGCTGGCTTCCTCTTCGCGCTGGGCAATTCAGTGCGCCATTGAGAGCTACATATATACCATATCCGGCCTTCAGAAAACGATTGCCCAGCTCAGAAATCCGGAGACGAACGATGGTCTGTTAGCGACGGTGATTTCCCTGTCCGTGTTCGAGGTATGTCATGGTCAGGGCAGAGTGGAACATGCGCGTCGCTAACATCGCTACAGAGCTGTCGGCGAGATGCGGTGCCCAATACCACGCCGCATGTCATGGCCTCGGGGACGCTGTTGGCCCTCCGTCGTCCACGCGGAGGCAATTGCCCCCAAACAGCGGCCGTCTTCGACCGCATTTGCATTGAATCGTTTGTGTATCACGCCTCGTTAATGATGATTTTTGATCCCTCGCTGGATGCACTGTCGAGGTTTCGGGATCAACAGGACTTGACGCAGTATTTTCCGGACCATCCCGATCTGGGCGTCTCTGTCTCCACACAGCCCATTCTGCATGCGCCCTACCGGTTTTTTGTACTCATTGCCGACGCTACCAAGCTTGCTCGCCTGTCTCGACCTCTGGAAAGGGGCGAACGGCAAAAGTGGAGGCACCTGCAGGACGAACTCAGGCAGTGTGTCCCAATTATGCGAACCGAGGACGAGCAGTCCAGCACACTCTACTGCCTTGGTTTGCAAGTGCTACTCCTCAAAAAGAATCCAGGGATATCGCTGCGCGAGATGAATCGACAGATGAGCATTTGTTTGGAACGAGGACTGGAGGCGATGGCCCTGGCGGATGCAGAGCGCTATTTCACCAGTTTCCTTTTATGGCCATTGGCTATACTGGGATCGATTGCGGTGTTTTCGAACGAAAACCAAACGGTGCAGGATCTCCTCTCTCTACTGATCAACACCCGACCAGGGGGGCAAGCGACCTGGGTACAGAGACGGCTACAGACAATTTGGACCACGACACGTAGCCCTGACAGTGAAAGCAGAGAGGAGCAAAGGCTTCTTGGTCTCCAGTTGTTACTAGACGGAAACTGAAAATTCACAGTGGACATAGATAGGATATCGAATTGTTCCTCTCTGTTCACAGAGCATCACGCGTTGAGAAAGCCCTCCACTACCTTTGTAGCGCTGAACAACTGCTTATCCTTGAGCTCGTGCCCAATAGATTTGGCATAGAAAGCTGCGCTTTCCAAGGAAGATGGCTCATCTTGCATTGACCATAGATATTTCAACAGCCTGCTCTTGCTTACGCCAGCTAATACCCTACCTCGCTTATCCTCCGCCAAGCTACCACTCCAAGGCTGTCTATTATTTCCTAGTTATCATGTGTGGCGTTCTTGGTTTTGCTTTCTACTACTATTCAACATCAACAAACAATCCCCCAATAACAACATCGGTAGGGGGTATATGTATTATAGTCACCAAGGCAGCTGTTAGTGCCTTACATACAATACAGTTGGAAGCTATCACCAAGGTTTTAAGTGACTAGCATGCGGCTCATATTTGACCAAGCGGCAATTTGAGTTAGGCTTTTGGTCTGTGTCATGCCTTTTTGTTCAATATGCTACTCGATTCATGGCTCTTGCACACTCAGCGGGTGCCTTTATTTCGTTGATGGTTGTACTCTAAAGCGTGCGCTGAACAGGTATGCGTGGCTATAATTAGACCGCATTTAGCCATCTGCTAAAACTAAAATATTTGCTCCCAGTCAGAAAACAGCAAATTGGCGTTTGGTTTCAGTTAGCGCGAGGATAAGAATCGGGGCGGCTTCGTGTTTCGGAGCGCCGATCTTAGTCTTCTTGACTTGGCAATTACACCTATCATCGTCGACTACAAATTACACTACCCGCCCGTGACTGCATAATAAATACGCGCCTATGCAACACAGCCGCCGAGGCTCATTGAGCGGCCTGGATCCTGGCATACACATTTCAGCCAGGGCCATAAATGCAGGCTCTCTTTCCCATGGCTCCTTGTGTTCATGGTTCAATTTTCTCTCGATATTGCAAACCTCTACTTCGTTTGCTGTAGAGTAAGTCTCTATTAATACTAGAATTGTCGGGTTGACGAAGCCTACTTTGGCATTTATCAGAGTGCCCCACAATGCCAACTCGATACTCTGGCGCTCCTATGGTCCGGGGACCCGACAACTGGTCCCAATCCGCAAAGGAAGACGATGACACCCAAAATACGGAAAAGAGTGATGCTACCACCCGCCATAGCAGTCGGCCCCTTTGGACGCCTTTCTTCTTGCGTCGTCCAGTCATTGTGGTGTTTCTACTAGCCTTCTTTGCCATCTTGTGCTCGCTTGTGGCCTTATTTGTCTACTCTGTGCGTCAGCATAGTAGCCTAGGGATAAAAACTCCAGGACCAAAATATTATTACTTATGGACCTACGGTCCAACTGCCGGTATGTATTATTTATAGTGGTTTAAGTCTATTTTATATCCGGTCCTCTGACAAGTGTTCCACAGTGTTCACGATCCTGAGCGCGGCTTGGACGCAGGTAGAATATCGCGCTGCCCAATTGATGCCGTGGGTTTTGATGTCCCGCGGCCCAACGCCCGCATCCGAAAGCATTTTCCTCGACTATCTCTCAAATTGGAATATTGAATCGTTGTTCAGATCTGTTAAACAAAAACATTATTTGGTTTCCCTTGGTATTGTGGGCTCGTTGCTTTTGAACGCAGTGACTGTGTTCTCCACCAGCCTATTCGAGCTTACTGCCGTCTCAATAACTCAGGCAACAAATCTCACTGTGACCCACGAATTCAACGCATCGAGTTGGAATCCTATTTACAACGACGGCCGGCCAGTCGCCGCCTGTCTGGGATTTATCAAGCAAAATATGAGCCGACCAATTGGTATCCACGACCCTTACGTGTATCCGCCTTTCAAAAGCTCCAATATTGATCCTACCGACAACTATACCATAGCTGTGGACCACAAATACCTAGCTGAATTGGATATCTTTGAGCCGACCCTTGAATGCTCACCCGCGACAGTCAACTGGAACCCCAAGCAGCCTATTGGCGCTCCCACCACGCTTATCTCCGAAGATGGATGTTCAGTAACGACCTATGATACATACAGTGGCATTGTGGCCTATGTTGCCGGATGTGGAGGCCAGATTCTTACGGGATATTGGGGCAAAGCAGCCAACGTTTCCTGGAATGTTGATTGGCGCTTATGGGTAGTATTTGCTCAAAATAAAGTTGAGCCTGACCAAACTCAGAAGGGACGGACAAGAAAGGAAGTCAAAGCAATCATGTGCAAACCGGGCTATGTCTTGTCTCGAGGTTCCGTGGCAACGTGGAGAACCTCCGGGCAAAGTGCCATATCCACCTCCATACACCCGTACAACCTGACGACGAACGCCATTTCGAACGTGACAGGTGGGAAGCTTATTTATGCGGCTTCTCGGTCCCTCTGGATTGGATCATCGGGTGAAGATACGTATCTTTATACTTCTCGCTATACGATTGAACAATTGTGGGACTCCATTGATCTCTTTATCGCGGCAGTCAAGGATCCATGGAGCTGCCTTATGCGGATGGTCGCCAAAGACTCACTGCTAGTTCCTGGTGCACACAACATTGAAGGCACTGAACAAGTGATTGAGCAAAGACTGTTTGTTCGCCCTCTCTCGTTCTGGTCGATGGCTATTCTGATGGGGCTTCTCATCACGGGTACAGCTCTTCTGCTATGTTTCTATGCCCCCGTTTCCGTATGCCCACGAGACACTGGTTCGATCGGAGGACTGGCCACCGTTTTTGCAAGAAGTCCAGAGTTCATGTCCGCGTCTCAGAACTTTCAGTCTAAGTCAAAGTCACGAACAGCGATTTCAACCTTGCGACAGACTCGGTATATTTCGCAAACAACGAATACCGGAGAATTTAGGATTCTTCCGTGCAATGATGCGGCTAGTTTGTCAAAGACTAAATCTTCCGAGACTTCTGAACTGGTCTGGTGGCGTCCACTTTCGTCAAGTTTGTTTATTCGGTTTCCCCTTATCGCTATTCCACTTGGGGTCATTGTCGCGCTGGAAGTCATCTACCACATTTCAGAGAGCTCCCACGGTATCAAACCGGTTGGAAACAAGTCACCATATGTTCACTATGTCTGGGCCTACCTTCCCGCAATCATCATGTTCGCCATCCGTTGTTTATTTCAGTCCCTTGAGTTTGGAGCACGAGTTTTTCAACCATATTCTCTTCTACGGCAGGGATCAGCTCCTTCAGAGACGAGCATCTTTGAAAATCAGCTCCGCAAGGTCTCTATTTACGCAGTCTATGACACCCTTCGCAAAAGACAATGGGCCATGGCAACAGCAAGCCTCTCATTACTATTTGGGGCTGTCACACCCATTGTCGTCTCTGGTCTCTACACCACCAGTAGTTCCATGCTTACTTCTCCCTGTAATCTCACACAGGTGACAAGGTGGAACCTTGGAGACCCTTCCAACAGCGAAACGTCATACTGGACTCGTGATACCCGTGACCCCTGGTCGGCCCCTATCGCAGGCATGGTCATTCAATCAAACCTTTCCTACCCTCAGTGGACCTACAAAAATCTTGCTTTCCCTCAGTTTACTATCGCAAATATCCATGATATGCCTTTGCGTGGGGTTGTTCAGGCGCGTCTGCCGGCTTTGCGTGCGCGACTCAACTGTCGTGAGCTCAAGAACAGCAGCTGCACCTGGCGAGATTATTTATCTCCCAATGAATTAACAGTTTACCGGGATATTTGGGACTGCGATCCAACCCCTGAGTGCTCTAATGACGTTCTATCCGCTTCGTGTGCGCCCCCTGACCAGGAAAACCCTGCACCGAGAGGATACGGCTTCTCCTCCGGACTCGGTTATTCTTATCCTTGGCTCCCATCATATTGTTCTAGTCATCGCATGCTATGGAGCAACTGCTATCGAGACCCCAGATACAATACCTCCGAAAACCACCATGTGGTAGACTGTAATGCGACAATGGAAGAGGTTGATGTTGACGTCCGGCTGCAGGTGTCGTCTTTCTCCTTCGATCCGGACTTTGAACCTACGGTCGTAAAGGGATCAGCCAGGCCTATTACTACGGCGAAGAACTTGTTTATCGGATTTGGCAACATGTTTAACTTCTTGATTGATGTATTGCCTTTAGGGGGGCAATCTCCGAGTGACACTGGCGATTCCACCATGACACAAGCTTTAATATATGGAATTCATGGTGTCCCTGCGGAGGAGCTCAGTGATCCATCGAGGCTCATATCCCGTGTCAACGAGGTCTTCGGTATTGTCACGGCGCAGGCTTTGAACAGCTACGGTCACGAATCCTTTGAAAAGCCCCTCAATCGATCATGGGTAATGTCACCAATGACTTCGAAGGAACCGGTTTACGAAGCGCTGTTCCATTATAGGCGGGATTATCTTGTTCAAAACGAGCTCTCAATGCGCATTCTCGAAGGACTCATGGGGGCTATGGTCCTGTGTGCTGTGGTTACTCTGGCATTCATGCGGACAAAACGAGTCTTACCTACCAATCCATGTAGTATCGCAGGCGTGGCGAGTTTGCTGTACGGGTCCCGGATTTTGGGGACCGAGTTCATACCCACAGAAGCGGAATGGTGTGACGACGACGAGCTGAAGAGGCGGGGGGTGTTTGAAGGCCGGAAGTTCTCGATGGGTTGGTGGACGACAAGCGGAAAATCCTTAGATGAAAGTGGGTTTTGCGCGGCGGATACGATAACCAAAGCCTCGAGTCTTGCACGCTGGTCTAGCAACAGTGATACGGAAGGCGACATCGAGGCTCATGCTGATGCTGAGCAAATCGCGCGACAGGGGAGAAGATTCGGCATTGACTTTGATTGTAACGAAGACGGACAGCGTCTGGTCTGATGGTGAGGAAGTTACATAACCTTAATGGATACGAGAATAATTCAAAGCTTTTACATATCGGCTCCTTCCAATTCATATAGACGGGAGACATATCCCGGCCATCCGGGAGAAACAAAAGCGCCCGGCTTTAGTCAAATAACTAATCCCGCCTCCTGTGTAATAATATATCATAATTCATGACAAACAGGATTGCCTCATCCCCACATTTCCAATTGGGATTTTCGGGTGGAGCAGCGCCGAGCCAAGCAGCGGCCACCGATGGCTTCCGTTTCGGCAGCCCGAACCACTGCACCGATGCCGACCCAGTGGCAATCCCTACCCGTCTCGGTAATGCTTGGAAGCAATTATGGAGAAGGATGTTCTCCGTGGGATGAAGGCTCTAGTCTTTTTCGTTACCCACACATTTAATAATTGTCAGTCTTCTTCCCTTTCTTTCTCCGTCCCTCTCACATCATCTACGACTTCTCCAGGGCTCTTGCCTCAAACTGTTCCAGCCTGCCGCGCTGAATGGGACCCATGATGTCACCGTCAGAGGAGCTTCGGACTGGCGAACTACAGCAGGACGCCGAGAAAGGCCGCGACTCCTGTCGGAAAAACTCCACACTGGTGCTGTCGGAGGAACAGGCCATCACTACGGCACGGGGCAACCCCGGCGATGCGCTACCCATCCTTATCACATATGCCTCTGATGACCGGGACAACCCCCGCAACTGGCCGAAATGGAGGAAGTGGTATATAACATGCATCGTCAGCATGCTTAATGTTTTCACGTGTGTTGTTGCCCCATCTCCTTGCAAGGTATTTTATGAAGTAACCCATGATACAGGACCTGGTGCGCAGGAGGTATATCCTCTGGTGCGATGGGGATACAGCAGGAGTTCGGGGTCTCTTCGGAGGTCACGACGTTATGCCTGTCTCTGTACGTGCTGGGCTATGCGATTGGCCCCGTACTCCTCGCTCCGCTCTCGGAGTATTTTGGGCGCCAACCGGTCTACGTCGTGTCATGGTTCTGCCTGTTCATCTTTCAGCTTCCAATCGCTTTGGCTCCTAACATCGGCACCATTCTCGTGTGTCGGTTCATCGCCGGCTGTGCGGGGGGCGCACCTCTGACCAATACCGGTGGAAGTATCAGCGACTTGTGGGAGAGAAATGAGAGTGGTGGGCCCATGGCCGTGTATGGGCTGAGTTCCACGTTTGGTCCACCGATGGCCCTCGTGGTAACTGGCTACATTGGGCTCAATGCTGGCTGGCGAATGATCTTTTGGGTTCTCATGGCAATGACGGGAGGCATTTGGATCTTGCTGGTCCTCACTGTGCCAGAGACGCGACACTCGATCATTCTACAGAAGAAGGCCCGACGTGCACGCAAGCAAATGCAAAAGGAAAATTTGCGATCCGCTGAATCAACTACGGATATGCATGCTAGCAAAAATAAGGGCTTGCACCAGCTATTTGCCATCACTCTCACGCGACCATTCCGCTTCCTTTTCTCGGAACCCATCACAACCTTCTCGGCCATATACAACGGTTTCCTCTATGGCCTCGTGTATCTCTTCAACGAGGCCATCCCTCTGGTTTTTGGGCCTCCCAAGGGGCACTCATTCAACACAGGTCAGCAGGGTCTCGTTTTTCTGGGCATGGCCATTGGCCCTTTGATCGCCTTCTGCCTCTACCCGCTTCAGGAGAGATATTATCTTCGTCGCGTCAGCGAAAACGAGGGAAAAGGTGTCCCCGAAGCTCGAATGTGGATGGCCCGTGGAGGCGCTATCCTCATTCCAATCAGTCTTTTCTGGTTTGGTTGGACTAGCTATCGCTCCGTTCACTGGATTGTGCCTATTATTGCGTCGTCACTATTTGGTGCCGGGATCTATATTGTTATTCTGAGTATTCTCAACTATGTTGTTGACAGCTACCAGACCTACTCCGCTTCCGCGCTGGCTGGTGTGATCCTAGTTCGCAATATTGTCGGCGCCGGCTTTCCCTTGTTTGCTGCGCAGATGTACGAGAAGCTGGATTACGAGTGGGCATCTAGTCTGCTCGGATTTATTTCCATTCTGTTGGTGCCCATTCCATTCATCTTCTTCTATAAGGGCAAGGCTATTCGACTGCGAAGTCCGTGGGCGCGCGAGCATTTTGACCAGAGTGAAGACAATCCGCATTAAATAGCAACCTCCGACGGGGATTATTTTCCATCCAGTCATACTAGACTGTGAATAGGAGATCTGATTTATTGAATACCATAGAATATAAAATTGTTTGATCCTATTTGTCTAGGATCTCGAAATGTAGGTGGCCTGCAAGCGGGCTTGCAAGTGCTCACCAGCTGTCAGTCGATATTTGTCAAAATAGAGATTACGAACACCGCCACCATGTCCGACAATTACATCTTTGTCCTTTTCTTGCTTCTGATCTCTGTAAGCTGTCACGATTTTGCTGGGTACCGGTACAAGAGGTGTGCTGCTGACGGGCTGGCAAAAGAACGCGATGCTATAGCGATCCTGCGGTTTGTCATTCTGGCCGCGATTCTCTTCCAGAGGAAAGACAACCCGATGAACCGTTGACTTTAGAAGTCCATCCGTCCAGTAACTCAGCATATCCCCAATGTTAACAAGGATTGGTGGGAAAGGAAAATCGACCTCCCCATCGGGATACACTGGAACTGGTGCCCATTCGTTTTCTGGGGTGAGAATTTCCAACCCCGGCTGACCAGGACGCTGGAAAAGCAGTGTCACGCTACCGTAGTCTGAATGCGCTCCTGCTCGGATATCCTTATCTGGTTGGTAAGAGGAAACCGCCGCTGGGTAATAGAGCAATCGCACTGAATTCCCAGTAGGGCCTTCTGTTGGATCATGCCTAGAAGTGAAAAAGTCTTCTTGCATCTGAACGTCGTGCTCAGTTAATCTAGTTTTCCGGATAGACCAGTGCAGTGTTTACCTCGAGACCAAGTGCCAGAAGCCTTAGGATCTGGCCGCAGATTCGATTGCAGAGGTCTGTGAAATGCGCGATCTGCGACTCGTTGGTTACCAGGCACGGAGGTAGCTGTTGCTGGGCTTTCCCATCTTTAAATTCCCCAATGTTCATCGCCCTGGCCAGTAAAATGGAATATTAGCCAATGCGACCGGTCATCAAATATTTTATGAGACTAACTCTTTAAAATCCCCACGCTATAGACGTTGGTCAGCTTTAAAAATGGGAGTAATAATGCCGATTTTGAGAACCTACCTCATGGCGCTCGGGGTCCAGTGTCTCTACATTCATTCCAATCCATCCTCGATTCTAATCATGGCAAGTCAGGTCAGCAGTGTTGCGTATTGTGAAAAAAAGTCTTGGAAAGCAGCCGGAATAGCTCTCACATTTGGCCCCCTGCGATAGAGAGACTTCTCTTCAACTGAAAGTTTGAAAAACTCCTTGGACTGAATATATGTCAGCGTGGAATTCTAGTTTGAGGGATGAGTGAAGAATAAACGCTGTCAACTATTTGACGGTAGTCATGTCACGTCAAGAGTCCAAGCCAAGGGATGCTTAGTTCAGGGGAGGTGAAAAAACTGCAAGTTTTCCAGGACATACTAGAGCGAATGCCTGGTCAACATCGGCATCTGTAAAGGCCGTAGCTCTGCTGTCGATGTAAAAAAAGCCATACTTGATTGTAGCATCAAGTATCTCTTTTCCCACCCCAGCATCATTGGACTTTGAGATGTCGATCAAAGGCAGCTCAATAGGATCTGTCACAGAGTTGATTGCCATGTTGATTTCTGTCAAGAAGCGAGGACTTGTTGATCGAAGGACAGCCCGACACGCACACAGCCAACGGATATGCCACAAAGCCGTCGAAGCGTTTTAGCACGACGGAGGGCTCGGAGAGAGATTCCTAAGTTGGTCTTAATACCGGAACGGAAAGGCGCCGGATCACGCCGCAGGCCGACTTTGACACCTCTCCCCAGTTGGGAGAGCAGTTATTGAAATATTCCGCAGAGATGAATGATATTCAGGTATAGTGCTATGAGTCGACGACCGATTTGCACGACAGATAGTGCTGGTGCGTCTGAGTTGCCAGACTTCGCCTTATCTTATCGGTCCTCGCTGGGTCTCGGCGGCCTCCGTTCCAATCATTGATAACCCCCGCATTTGTCGCGGGAATCCGCGTTTCCCGTCACGCCGGCTTGTGGGGATCCCGGCTGTACCAGACCGAAGGAGCATAGCTCCAAGGCTTGATGACGATACGAATGGAAGGACTTACTGGATCTGTGGGTACTTTTATGCGCGATGCACTTTATGCGGCATTTGACCAGCCCGCCATCCTGGACGCGGGGTCCAGACTAGTGGCCAGGTTCCCATAGTCTAATTATCATTATCGTGACAAGGCGGAACTCAGCACCTGGAACGCCACATATCCCCGGACTCGAAGCCAGAATGGCTTGTGGATCGGAGTCCCCCGTGGGTCCGGCGGATCACGTGTGATTTGAGGCGATATTAAAGACAGCGCTTGCTCCGTGGTTTGGAACACTGTGACGACCTAAACCGTATTTCCCCGATGATCATGGATCGAATATTGAACGAAGATGTAGAGAAGCAGCCTGGAGGCGAGAAGGCATTATTCGAGGACGAGACGGGCGCGGTCCCAGCGTCGAGCTTTGAATACGGCGATTCGACATATGCGAAACTTCAACGGTTGGGCGGGAAGTTCAAGGTCGAGCAGCGAGGCATTGAGCGTGTCCCTGAGGATGAGAGAACAGACAGTTCTTACTGGAACATTGGATCCATGGTGCTTCCTTCCCACTCCAGCCATTTTCCGATGCCTTTCGTTCTAATAATTCTGATGTAGTGGCTCGCCGCAAATATGGTTGTTCCATCGTTCACCATTGGAGTTTTAGCCAAGCCAGTGTTCAATGTCAACTTTGTGGATGGCACGCTTGTCATTATATTTTTCAACTTGATTGCCGTCATGACGGTATGCTTTTTTTCTACATTCGGAGCGGCCTTTGGGCTACGGCAAATGGTCCTGTCGAGGTTTTGGTTCGGTTGGTGGGGTGTGAAGCTGAGTAGGTCTTATGAATGATTTAACTGGAGAACGCAGCTAATACTTTCTGAATTTAGTCGCGCTATTCAATGTGTTGGCTTGTATCGGCTGGGCCGCTGCCAACATCATTGTGGGGGCACAGTTGATCAACGCCGTGAATCCCAATGTACCAGGTTTTGCCGGAATCTTGATAATCGCCTTCTGCACACTTATCATTGTCTTCTTCGGATACAAAGTGGTACATGCATACGAATACTGGAGCTGGATACCCACATTTATCATTTTCCTGGTGGTTATCGGTGTGTTCGCTCATTCTGGGGACTTCAGGAACATTCCACTGGAAAGCGGTCTCGCAGAACTGGGACAAGTACTGTCTTATGGATCTACGGTGTTTGGGTTTGGCACTGGCTATACCAGCTATGCGGCAGACTACACAGTATATCAACCAAGCAACCGCCCGCGGCGCAAAGTCTTTCTCGCAACATGGCTAGGAATTTACCCCACGCTTCTATTTACAGAGCTGCTAGGACTGGCCCTTGTCACAAGCACGGGACAGAACGGTGGTCACAATCCATATCAACAAGGCTATAATGAATCTGGAGTTGGGGGTCTATTGGGTGCTCTTCTTTTCCCCAGGTTGGGCGGATTTGGCAAGTTTTGCGTTGTTATACTTGCACTATCAATTGTTGCGAACAACTGCCCAAATATCTACTCAGTCTCTCTTACCCTCATGGTGATGGGACGGTGGACTCGCCATGTCCCCCGTTTCGTCTGGACAGTGGTTGCGACCGGTGTTTACATCGCCATTGCCATACCCGGCTATAGCCACTTCGAAGCTGTCCTAGAAAACTTCATGAACTTCATCGGATATTGGCTTGCCATATATGAAGGTGTTGCGCTCACTGAGCACTTTGTGTTTCGGCGAGGCTTTTCGGGCTACCACCCCGAGGATTATGATCAGCGTGAAAAGTTGCCACCGGGAATTGCGGCTCTCCTTGCCTTCTGCTGTGGAATTGTCGGGATGGTAACTGGAATGAGTCAAACCTGGTACATTGGACCGATTGCCAAAACAGCAGGAGCGACCTCTAGAGGAGGCGATGTCGGCTTCGAGCTGGGATTTGCGTTTGCAGCTGTTTCTTATGCGATTCTGCGCACGATCGAGTTGCGGGTTTTCAAACGCTAAATAGGGTCAAGGGTAAAGGCAACATTCGCAATTTTTGTATCACATGTCAATAAATACCTACTGAGATTTGGGGTTTTGAAGTTAGTCCCGGGCGTGCAGCTGGTCTCGCTGTTTGAGGTCGACGCGAAGAAGTTTGATGATGGAGTCAGCGTGGTAAACATATTTTTTAACAAAAGGATATATAACGCATAGATACAACAAATTGACTCATATAAAGCTATTCTGACTTCTGTGCTTTTGTCCTTGCTGCTGTTTGGTTGGGTGGCTGGGGGGGGGGTTGGCGGGGGCGTTCGATTATACCAATTTAAACCTTTCAAATTAAGCCTATAGAAGTCCAAACCGAAACATTCTGAGTGACAGTTGAGTTGAAACCATTCCCACCACACTAGCTAGTTCTACTGAGGGAAGCCTCGTTCCAAAAGGCGGTTTCCAAATTGCAGAAAGTAATAGTCAGCATACACAAGTCCGGTGTTGTTCGATCGGTCTAGAGCATATTCGTTGTTATCAATCGTTGCATTCATCAAGATTGAGTCCCAATGGCCTGGAGAAACAGTGATGTTCCCATCCGATCCAACGGTCAATTTAGCGGGGTCATGTGAGAGGGACAGTTCAATGGTTTCTTTCACAATCTTCATCGCATTTTTCAAATACGGTGAATGCCCTTGGAGTGTCTCATGGAGCAGTAGGAGGCCATTTGCAGCCACGAGGCCAGCTGAGGTGTCGCGAGGTGGTACGACACCGTTGACGGTGGGAGCGTCAAAGTCCCATAGAGGGACGTAGGGATGCGTATGAGCAGACTTGGACAGCTGCGTAATAAAGTAATCTGCAAGCCCCCTGGCCGTCTGAAGAAAGGCCGCATCTTTTGTCCACCGATATGTTTGCGTATAGCCAAGAATTCCCCACGCCTGACCTCTGGGTACAAGTTAGCCCTGAAGGATCTATATATGATAAAAAGCCCAGAAACTCATACCTAGTCCAGGTTGACCAATCTTTATATCCTTGAACAGTCTCCTGAAATTTGATTTTGTTGGTTTGTGGATCAATGTCACAGCAATGAAATGTCGAGTAATCTTTTCTAACAATATCCTGCTGAACTGTGTGCGCATGTGCTGTCGCGATATCAATCAAAGTCTGATTTGCAGTATAGTTTCCTATATAAAATAGCAGGTCCATGTCTGTAGGGTCAGAACCTAAACACGTAGCGTAGTATCTTTGGTATATGACGGGACTTACTACACATGCTGTCAATGATGATCAAAAAGTTGGTCTCCTGATCAGTAATGTTTTGTCTCTTGGTGACAAGGGTATCCCAGCTGCGCACAGCGTTGACCCTCTTGTCAAAACGAGTAGCTAGGCTGTGAGCCGCTGTAATGAGAAAGTCCAGACTTTCTCGGTTTCCCGTCAACTCCCAGTCTTTTTGGAGAGCTGGCATCAACATGAACCCTAAGTCGTGGGTGTCCGTTCGAAATGCTTCGCGGTGCAGAGGATTGCCCCAGTGACGGGATAGATTGAGGAGCTGCGCACGTACCATTGATGGATCAAGGCCATTCGCACTCAAATGATTTGGGAACTTGATGCTTCGTTCCAACAGCTCATACAAGGATCCTGGGAAAAAGCCACTCGTCCATGAAGAGATATCACTAAGAACATACTTCCCGACATTAGATCCAGTGCCGGGAACATAATTCGGATAGTTAGAAGGGACCTTCGTTAATCAGTATATTAGCTCCCGTTGTGATCAAGGCACTCTTACCTGCTCCGCAAACTCGACTGCGGTTCGCCATATCTTGCCTGTAGTGGTCTCGGAGTACAATGGCGCAAGATCCCCTGTGCTCTCCTCGTGCCGTCTTAAGTTTGACAGTGGTGATGCGGCCAAGACGGTGGAACAGCCAAAAACCAAACTGGGCCAGATCACTCGCATTTTGAAGGGTTTACTTCAAACTCTCTAGTAGATTTTGAAGTGTTTTTATAAGGAAGTTTGAGCGGTCATGAATTATTATATCCATGGGATAAGTGGGCGGGGTCTGCGGGGGTGCCAGGTGCCGGTAAATGGTTACATCGCAACGTTGTCTAAGAGAAAGTGTAGGGTCGAATTGACCCGCCTACCGAGCCACCCTCCAAAATCAATATATGAGAATTAACCGAGTTTAGTTTAGAAGCCTCTAAGCGTTTCAATTGTCCTCGGTAAATTCACCTATGTATACCAGTCAATCAATGATTCAATAATAGCAGGTGTGATGAACCATTCATCAGTATCTTCACTTTTTGATAGCCACTGGCTACATGTTACCCATCACAGTTAAAAAAAAATGTCTTGGTGGTTCAGATAATCATCATGATACACCAAATATTGACCGACAGGGTGATCTCTGACTATGAATTAGTAGCCTTAGTTATGCTCTCGTGAATAATTCGACCTGGTATACGCATGAATCTACATTCCACTCATTACAGAGAGCACAACCAGTGGAACTTCGTAAGCTTCTTTTGGCTAGCGTTGTGGTTGAGACCAGCTTTCACCACAATCATAGAACATGCCTCCACGTGATTTGAGTGAAAGGCTTTGTGTCTAACGTATAAACAATCAAGGTAGCCCAGCCTGCAGCATGACTCTTAAGCCGACACGCAGTATTGGTATTCAAGCCAGAGATTGGAGCATTCAGCATCCAAGCCAGAATTCCACTGGCGAAGTTGAGAGAAAGTGATACCCTCCTCCTTTGCAACCTTATCACAATAATCGCCAGACTGTACCGTGTAGTACTTCTGGCATGGGGATGCGGCGTAGGGATACACAGATGCAGCCGGTGCACTGCTCCCTGTCGAAGGATCGGGGCTTGTTGTTGTTGTTGGGCTTGGAGTCTCAGTGGGCGGCGGTGTGGCCGGGACGGTCTCGGTGGGCGACGGTGCAGGAGAGCTTGTGCTGGTCGGGGAGGGTCCGGTGCTGAACCCACCACTCGAGCCGGTCAAAGAACCGATCGTGCTTGCATCACAGCCAGTCCCGCCAAGAGACCATCCTAAGAGTCGGTTCGTGAGGTCAGAGACATAACAGGCCGTTGCACCCCCCTGGCCCAGATTTCCTGACGCAGCCAAAGATCCCGAGTTATAAATGCGAGCGGCCTGGTAATATTGTGTTGCTCCACTGCCCGTCGCCTGTGCGAGGCACTGCTTGAGACCATCACCGCTGGGTGTCCCCGCAGTGCCATCGTGGATCATTTGATAGATTCGGGACTTCGGGCATGGGTTCATTCCGACGTTTTTGCCGTTGACAATCTTGATGCAAGTGCCGGTGCCATCATGACTTTGCATCAGACCAGGGTTGGTCACACCATTCGCCGTGGTTGGGACTCTTACGCATCCGTTGCTCTCTTGCATCACAATCGCAAAAATGAACCGGGTGTCAACGCCAGTCTGCTCACCAACCTCTGCGATTGCCTGCTTCAGTTCGGCTATTTCGGTAGGCGAATTGTTAGCATAGCCCCATTGTCTACATGAGGTCTGCATGGTTCCCATGTTCTCTTGGAACCTAAGCGTGAATATTAGTCCTGATACTGCGTATAATTCTTGTTTAAGAACCTACATTTCGTCAAAGGTTTTCCACTGGTCTAACGCCGGCCATCCGTCGGAGGTTTCCCCATTGCCACCGAAGATGGTGTACGAGTTAGCGCTTTCCCGCGTAGTCAGAGAAGGAGTGACATTGTCCCGTCGAGACAGAAACGACTGGATGGGGGCTCCCGAAATGAGTGTTGGGAGGCTGCCAGCAGCCAAAATCTGTTTCCCGATTAGGCAAGAATCGGACCAGGGTTCGAGTCGAACTGCCTTACCAAAGGAGTGAAGAACATCGTAACAAGTGAACGAAAGGGAGCGCCCAGCACCTAGTAGAAAGAATGTGTCTCGTTTGCCGCCTGGAGACGGGGGTCTCTTCCGTGTTTTATGTCCCTGGGTCCGACACGGCCTTCTCCTGTCCATTGCTTTCATACAAAGTTTTCTTTCTTCGAGACCGACGCTCTTTGTGGACCCTCCGAGTGCAAGGTACAGCTACGGGGATGGCACCCCGGTCCAATAACGGTCGACACCAAAGCATCGGGCTACGAATGTGAAACGCAAGAGGCACACGGTCCCCGCATCCACAGGAACCGATGTGCGACTTGCGCGGGGCAGCGAATGTTTGGCGGTTTCAGCCGGATCCACTGGGATCACCGGGAGTCCCGAACAGCTGAAGCAGGCCGCCACCTGGCCGGGCTGATTGGGTCTATCGGGCAGCGGAGTCCACTCCTCGACAAAGTCTCAGCACAGATGCCACGTCCAATGGGTGGGCAGATACACGATGGGTCGGATGGACAGTTCACAAGAAAGGGGTTTCAGGGAAAATCCGCAGAGGGGAAGGGAAGCCAATGAGATCATTGTACATCGCTACTACTGGTGCACTGACGGGAAAAAAAAAATTCTTCCCGGGTCGGGTTCGCTTTTCTGTTTCATCTAAGGTGGCAGGAACGCCGCCTGGATATTCGATGTATTGTTCTCTGTCTGTTTGTAGACTAGTCAGGTCCCCGTGTCTAATTTTCACCGTACCAACGCATATGAACCTCGGTCCCCGCCCTCCACTGCCCGCTACACGGTCCCAATGACTTCATCCAGTCAGCTCATGAAAGGGCAGCGACCCGAATCGAGGGTCTCCGGAGGCAGAGGTGCGGAGCCACCTGCGTCTGCCGCCTCCTGAACCATACTCTGCCGCAGTGGCAGCAATATCGCTTGGTCCTGGGCGCAATAAACATAAATTGTCCACTGGTCCCTCCACGGAGCGCTCATCACCGCGCCGGACGCCGCAACCTAATTATGGGTCACATCGTTCTGGGGGAGCTCTGCTGCTGCCTGGGCAGAGATATCACTGTAAAAGGTCTCTGGCGCGTTTTGGGCGAAGACGGTGCCGTCGTTGTTGTGGCCAAGATCCACTTTGCTTTGGAGAGAGTGGCTGGCACCGGAGAGTGGATTGGTCAGGTCTGGTGTATTGCAAAAGCAGATCTCGCGCAGCTTGGGGGCCAAGGCCGTAAACATATTAATCTATGGCTGAGTAGATCTACTTAGAGTAGTGACATATTTCGTATATCATTCGTTCTAGGCTGATCGGTGACTAGTCTATCAAAATATCAATCCCCAACCACTGCCCCAGACCATGCAATGGCTCAGAGCAGGCCCCTCGCGAATTGCCAGGGGAGCCACACCTTGACACCGAGCTTCTTTGCTGCCGTCAACACCCATTCCGGCTCGCGCAGGAACTGGCGGGCCATCAAGACTGCATCGGCTTTGGGCTCCTCGCCTGACAGCATTTCCTCCGTCGATTGGGCTTCATCCGCACCCTGAACAATCCGTCGGGCGTTTTCCGCTTCGGTGATGAATCCAACAGCTCCCACCAACGTTTTCTGACCCGCCGCGTGAATTTCCTTGCGCAGCTGACCGGCCAAGTCAATCTGATAATTAGTATGCGGCTGGATTCTCTGATCTTTGTGGTTTCCACCCGAGCTGACATCCAGCAAGTCAATGCCCATTTCAGGAAGCATCTTTGCTAGTCGGATGGACGATTCCATATCCCAACTACCCCATTGCGCGGCAACTGCAACGTCCTCCAGCCACTCAGTGGCGCTGATGCGAAGTAGCAACGGCATGCCACTCGGAATCACTGCACGGGTGGCCGTCGCAATTTCCTGGATGATCCGGACTCGGTTCTCAAAGCTGCCACCATATTTATCGGTGCGTCGGTTCGTGACGGGGCTCATGAACTCATTGACCAGATAACCATGAGCTGCGTGGATCTCAATCACATCAACTCCGGCCTTGACGGAGAGCTCAGCGCTTCGTGCAAAGGCGCGAACAACCTCTTCTACCTCCGCCGTACTCAGCTCGCGCGGAGGCCAATATTGGATATCGCCGGGGCTCCACTGGTGCTCTTCGCCGCCAGAGGGGCCTACCACGTTCGACGGCCAGCCCCCGACGCTCTCGTCCGCCCTAATACTCTTCTGGCCCTGCTGGGCTGAGAGCCAAGGGGAGACGGTGCTTGCTTTTCGGCCAGCGTGGGCGAGTTGGATGCCAACCTTGGCTCCTTGGCTGTGCGCAAAGTCCACGACGCGGCGCAGCCCCTTGAACTGCTCCGAATCGGGGCCTTCCTGCCACAGACCAGAGTCATTGGGTGAAATGCGACCATTTGGCTGCACCGCGGTCGCCTCAATAAAAACCAGTCCGACGCCCTTGGAAGCGAGGTGGCCCAAGTGGGCGATGTGGAAGTCCGTCAAGGCGCCGACCGCTGGAGACGATGGATTGGATTCGGCAGAATACATGCACATAGGCGCGACCATAATGCGATTTTTTAGGAGCATATCGCGGATACGCAAGGGACGAAATAGCGTGGGTGTGCTGGGATCCTGGGCATTGCGGGCGGCACCGCCATTGTTGGCTGGGGTGAAGTAAGGAAGTCCCTCCGCCTTGACGATGTGAGGCGAGCGAATTGTAGATGTAGAGCCCATGGTTCTGACAGCTCAATGCATAATTCAAGGCAGAAGCCAAGGAATTGGAGAAATTCTTATATGCCCCTCCGTCCCGGATCGCTGACAAATGGCCTCGGGGGTTTGCCCGAGGTTCTTCTTCTTCTGGCCCGCGGGGATGATGGGGCGACAATATGGATTTCGGTCCAAAATTACTAGTCGCTTTGTGATGGTGTGATGGTCGAAATTGACTATTACTATTTAAACATTTCAATCGGCATCTGTCGCGGCGGACGAGACTGCCAGTAGAGACGAAGCATATCGGCCAGTCGTCGCATCGTGCCGTTGTTGGTGGCGGACCAAAAAGCCAGAATCTGCGACATGAGGAATCCTTGGTCCGGAGGATGCTCCAAAATGAGCCCTAGGACCAAGAACGGCCAGCAATAGTACTCGGCGAAATAGTCGCGCGCGGGCTCGAGCTGCTGGACTACGCTCATCGCCTCGGTCACCAGTTGGTCGATGACGGGATCGGATCCAGTGAGACCAGGGATAACCATGCGTTGTAGAAGAATACGGGCGCCCAAGACGTACAGTCTGGGCCCGATGAAAGGAGGGGAACTTGAATACGCGTTCGGGTGGTCCAAGGCTCCTTTCGCAACGCAGTTGTCATCCCCCGACTGGTCTCGCCCAGAGGTTGGGCGATCCATCATCAAATGGTCCCACCATATCAGTTCTTGTTCCAGTCGGCGACAGTGATCAATATCTACACCTCTTCGGGAACACTCTTGGTATAGGCGATAGATGGTGTAGATGCATCGAAATAATTGGGGAGGAACGCCGAGCACTGGTGAGTCGGGATGAGAGGGTGAGTGGATGTGAAAATGTTGACCCAGCGTATCTTCGGCGAGTGAGAACGCCGAGTCAATTTCAGCATTGGGCGATGCCATCTGCTGGAATGGCAGACTAGTCGCAACGTGGAAGATGAACGACTCCCGGACTAGGCGATGCATAGCCTTGTCGACCTCTGACTTAGGACACTCGGAGGGAGAACGCTGGGAGTCCAAGCGAATCAACCGCGCTGCTCCCACCAGATGAATATCGACGGCAGTTGAGCCCTGTGGTTTAGACCTCTGGGCGATTAGATTAGCCACCTTTCTTGCTGAAATGATCTGCTGCGGAAGTGCGCACCTCGTAAATACAAAGCATGAGGACGGTGAGAATTGTTACAATCCACTGCTGGTTCAATCTACCGTTATCCAGGTTGGCGCGCAGTCCTTCCACTGCACGAACATAGTGGAAGCGAGCCAGCAGACGGAATTCTCCGTTACCGGTAGGAATCTCTGATCCGCAACAGGCGAGAAGAGCATGCATACAAAATGGCCAGTGAATGGCTAGTGTCAGTGTCTCCTGTGTAAAGAAATCAATGATACGACCATTCGCTGTCGGTCGAATGAGTTGAGGGAGAAATGTCACTCTGAGAAAATCAAAGAGGCGCCCACTCTCTTGGATGACAGCCGATGAAGGGTTGGTAGAGAGGCGGTGCAAGCCACTGAGGACTGTCATGTAAGAAGAAGCCGATTGTCTCCGAGGCCCTTCGCCGACAATTGAGGAGCCTGTGGAGGAGCCGACTTCGCTGGAATCATCCGATACTTCATCGGAGCAGTAGGTTCTCCACGGCCTCTGATGATCATATTTGACAACGGTGGTGGCGGTCCCGTTGTCGAGAATATTTGATCTCTGTCTGTTCAGAGGAGGAGAATTGCCAGCCCAACCCCCGGTCTCGGTCACACTGGGTGGCCATTCACAGATAAGGCCTCGCTTGGCGCAGTTCAAACACGCAAGACGAGTCTCATCACATTTCTTCTTGCGTCGACGGCCTAAATGGGGATCAGCACTTCATCCCTCGGTGGAACGTGAGGGCTGGTGGGTGACAGCCAGAAGCAAAACGCATGTTGTATTCTGTAGAGGGCGCGGAGCTTACAGGTCAGACATCCAGTTTTAGTCCGCAGATGAGCAGGTCGACGCCGTGGTCGACGGTAAGTCTTATAAGATGATGTGAGCGGTTGAATTGCCGCATTGGCTGGCGTTGTCATCCTTCACACATGCCGTGCGAAACTGGACGGCGAGACTCTTGGAATAATGGTGCAGATGGATGCCCGAGTCCAACAGGCTGTTAGTTGGCCTGAGGCAGGAGGGCGTGGGCACGTGATATTTCCCGATTACTCCCGGTTTTCGGAAATCCAGGAACCGATTTACAGTACAGCAAATAAAGCAGAAGGCGTCTATTATTAACTGCTTCTTGACTACTGACAGTATACAAAGCTCCAAATATCATATCCAACATTCCCCGTTAGAGCTTCGGAGCCGCCTTCGATGGACAGCATCCGCCTTTGGCCGGGAAGGCATCGCACGAGGTATAATCTCTGGACACGTTGGATGGGGGCGCCCACAGAGCTGGGTTCTTCTGAAAGAAGTTGGATGCCCGCAGCATGACGCTGACAGGCTCTGCTGGCATGATCGGGAAATCCTCTGTGCGTGGAAAATGCGTCAGGCCGAATTGGATGTAACACACGATGTCCGTGTTCTCGATCGACTCATTACGCGCTGCCCAGTCCACAATGGTTTCGTTATCGGGATGGTTGGGCTCCCCCGTTGACTGGCACACATAGACTCCTGCTGGGAAGACCTCATGATCTCGGTACGGCAAGACCCAAAGGGATTTGCGGGCAAACCCAGCTCGCCTGTAGACTGTACTTCCGGGTTTGGCTAGCAGGGCAGGACACTGGTTGTTGATGATCTTGTAACCCACGGGTTTCTTGGCGACACTGAGTCGGCTGGAGTTGATAATATCCCAGGAGCGATTGGTTTCGTGACAGTATGTGGTGGCCCCTTCCAACGCAGTTCGGAGAGGAGTCTTTTTCGCCAGGAAGCCATTCCCATAGAGATTGCCCTCCGAGCCTACCGGCTCTTCCGCCGGCACAGCATCACTCTGCACCACGGTATTGCATGTCCCGTCAATCTCCGGATCGACACGGAGCGAAAATATATGCTGGTGGTTCTGGGCGTCAATCCCCTTGGCCACCTCCGTCCCATAGGGAGCCGCCTGCTCCGAGGAGTGTAAGCAATATGTGTTTAGCATCCCGGTCAGTTTCATCTCCAACTTATAGGTCCCATCTAATGTGAATGTGTGGTAGAACGCATATTCGTAATTAGCTGCGGTAATGATTTGGGAAATGACGAGCTTGCGGTCCCGGGCAGAGATGACACGATCTAGCTAGTCAGCGGGGGTATTCGATACAGTAGCAGAAAAGCTTACTATCTCGGAAGTCTGTATGTTTATAGAGGAGGCCGTTGTCCTCCTCGTGGATACACACTGCATTTTTCACAACTGTCGGCTCCCCTGTGGCCGTGGAAAGCACGGCGTCGAGGTAGTGGATGGTCCCTTTGCAGTCACAGCCGAGCTTGAGAGAATTCGTCATCAAGCCACTCCCATATTCTCCAACATCAAAGGCGTGTTTGCGATGATGCGGAGGTTTGGGACATCCGTAGGGAACTACCATCTCGACGACGCTGATTCTGTTGAACAGGGTCCTCTCGCGCTGTTCATACGGGTCATCCACCCGCACATCAGACAATACAATGCCTTCTCGATAATTGAAGCCAATATGCATCTTAAACCCAGCCCACTCAATCTCGTTGCCATTCATGCGGAATGAAACTCCCTGGGGCTGCGTAATATCCACCGGCTTCAAGCGATCATGGCGATAAAAGTCGGAGATAAACTCGGGCAGGTAATTGTGCTCTTGCCAGGGAACCGATGTTCTTTCTCCGTTAACCCGACGCACATCAATGGCCAGAATTTCCTCGGTCTCCGTATCGGCCACGATGGTGAAGTCCAACGGGTGAGCGTATTGGTTGTCGTAGGCCGAACTCCGGTAATACGGCAGTGCCTGCTGCAGTCTTCGTTCGAAGCCCCAGCGTTCATCGATACCGATAGCCCATGCATCGAAGTAGACCTTGGACATATCCGTGATGCCAATCTCTTGACAGACCTGGATCACTTTCGGGTGGGTCCGGGCAACCCGCTCAACGATGTCCAAGTCGTCCAAAGTCAGAGTGGGAAGAGCGTCTCGGACATCCTTCCAGGACTCCACTCGCTGAGTCGTGAGGTTCACCACCACTTCCGAGACCTTGGGGGTTCCCCGTTCAAGCGCGATGGAGAAGGCACGTCGCTCAGGCCGAGGGCCCAAGCCAGCTCGGAAAGCTGCATATTCCGCCTTGGCTGGTTCATGCAGGGTAATGCAGTTGAACTTCAGTTGTTTGGGAGCAGCGAACTGGCGAATCAGGTCTGCCGCGGCCGGGATTTCCTGTGCGGAGAGGGCATCTGAGCTCGAATTAGTATACCGAGGTGGTTGTTGCTGGAATATATATGTTGGCGAATCATGCACACGTACCAAGGGGGTGCATCGGTCGGGCCGAAGCAGTCGACTGGGGAGCACAGCATCCCCGGCGTGCCTCCTGGGTTCCAGTGACAGACATGGTCTCAAAAGTCCGTTATAGAGGTTACCGTCTGGGACGCTGATGTCCATCTCCCTATTTATCTCCAACCAGGGCCTCGAGGGTGTTCGCCTCGAGATTCTCCATCTGGAAGGCCGGCAGCATGCTTGATTCGGACCCTAGGGCATCATCAGTAGCAGTGTTCTGGGCAGGGGAAGAGTTTCCCCTTCCGGTTGATGCTGGGAGAAGGCCTGGTTACGGGATTTCCACAAGTCAATACGAGATCGCCGTTCCGGCCAATGGCGTCACTTTGCGCCGTATTGCTTTTGTTCCCGGGTTTGCTTTTTCCCTCTTCTGGACAACAAACGGCAGAGAGAAGAAGATCGTCTGATTATGATTCTTGCAGCCTGAATCCTTGTATCCATGTTCGCTCGTCATCGGCAACAATCATGGCAACCACGATCTTTTCCAACGGCCGCATCTTCTGTCCCCTGGGATCGTCGGATCGGGATGGCTTTGCATCCGCGCTGGTCGTCGCCGGCGACCGCATCAGCTTCGTGGGCTCAGAGGTCGATGCCCCCGTTGTCCAGGCCAAAGCATCTGGGGCTGTCTCAGTCGACTTGGGCGGTCGAGTGATGCTGCCAGGCTTCATTGACGGCCACGTCCATATCCTCAACTTCGGCTTGTCCCTACAGAAGCTGGATCTTCTGCAATGCAAGACGCTGGATCAGATCCGGCAGGCTATTACCACTTTTGCGGCAAAGCAGCCGTCAGAGCCACGCATTCTTTGTCGCGGATGGATCCAATCCACTGTTCCGGGCCAGGCACTCGCCACGATGCTGGATGATTTGGATCCTCGACCGATATACGTCGAGGCACTGGATCTCCACTCGACCTGGTGCAATACGGCTGCCCTTCGGGAGCTACAGGTAGAGTTGATAGTCGATCCTCCCGGCGGAACGATTCATCGCGATGACGATGGCCGACCATCGGGCCTGCTGGACGAGTCTGCCCAGTTTAATATTGTGTGGCCTTTTCTTGACCAGGCGGCGTCCATGGATACAAAGCTGACCGCAATTGATGCTGCATTCAACGCGCATCGGTCTGCTGGATATACCGGACTAGTGGATATGGCCATGGATGAGAAGAGCTGGGAGGCACTTCTTTTATATCGTAGCGAACGCGGTGAACTGCCCATGCAGGTAACGGCGCATTGGTTAATTCCATACTCGGAGAATCTGGAGGAGGTTTTCGGCCACATTGACCGTGCGATCTTTCTGCACCAGAAATTCAATCGTTTGGTTTCTCCTGCAATTAGCATCAACGGCATTAAACTGATATGTGACGGGACCGTGGACGGTCGCACGGCCGGCTTACTACAGCCATATGGCGGCAGATCAGATATTATCGAACCCATCTGGCCAGCGGCTACTTTAGCTGCGGCCATTGGCCGCGCTACGAATGCTGGGCTTCAATGCGCCATCCATGCTATCGGAGACCGAACAGTCCAACAGGCTATTGATTGCTTATCCCAAGTCCCTGATCTTCGCAACTGTCGACATCGAATTGAGCACCTGGAACTGACCACTCCGGAGGATGCAAAACGTCTCGGTGACCTGGGAATCATTGCCTCTGTTCAGCCCGTTCATTCCGATCCTGCTACCTTTGGGGCATGGCCAGATCTCCTCGGTTTGCAGCGCTGTAAACGGGCGTTTGCCTATCGAGAGTTTGAAGAGGGTGGTGCCCGCCTAGTCTTTGGGACTGATGCGCCAACCGCAAAACATCTGCCCTTGCCAAATCTCTACAATGCCACCACACGCCGTTCTGCCCTCGATCTAGCTTCTACGGAGACTGTCAATCCGGAGTTCGCTGTGTCTCTCTCTACGGCCATCACAGCGGCGACTGCGGGTGCCGCTTTTGCTTGCTTTGCCGATTCCTCGACAGGAAGTTTACAGGCTGGATTTCAAGCTGATTTCGTGGTATTGGACATGCAGTGGACCGCCGAGCAGCTGTTAGATGCTCGGGTCTGCCAGACATGGTACAAGGGGAAAAAGACTTTTGATGCAGCCGTGGATGGGCGATAATTTTCGGAGTATGTATCAGTTAGCCCTCCATGAAGTATTTCAGAATATCTTGCTTGAATCATCGGGGCAATTTGATGACTTTCGTGTTTAAATCCAGTGAGTTTCCGGTATAATCCTTACGCCTTCTACTCTCATTCCTCAGTCATTGTCTCTCAGGCTCCGGCCTGCCTTGCCCATTTTTCAATCTCCAGACCAACAGGGTCTGTGGAATTGAAGCTTGACTATACTGAGCCCTTTTTCCGCTTCTCCGTTAAAGATATTGAGGGATGCTGGAAATGTTTACTGGCTGTTGGTACGGCAGTGATGACCGATTGACTTCACTGGACCCATTATTGGGAGGCTTGCGATTGGCAATGAGGTCCAAGTGGAATATTCTGAATTCGCGATCGATATGTAACTGGCACAAGTGTATATTTGATATTATTTGTGTCGTACACAACTTCGTCAACACCGGCGTCCCCCGCCACGTCGTCCGCCTCCAAATCCACCCCTGTCCAAAGATAATATCAGCTAGGAGGCATTATTAGCACAGAGGATTTACTTCAACTAACCCTGGTCCAAAGCCACCAGGTCTTCGGCCACCGAAGCCTGAACTGTAACCATATCCACCGCCCATTGGGCCTCCCCAGCCCCCGCCGTATCCCATACCCCCGTGGAATCGACGAGCACTTCGACACTATGAGTTTGTAAGACTTCGTGGACGAGAAAAAGGGCTCTTACGGTGGTGGGCCCCAGCCGCCGCCCATCATGCCTCCCCCCATCATACCTCCTCCCATCATTCCCATACCCATTGGGTGACGACGACGGCCTGGAACAGAGAAACAGAGTCCCATTTTGTTTTTAAGCTTGCAAGGTGGGGGTCATGAGATGACAAGAATGTGGAACGCGTTTGCTCTATCCCTTGCTGATTGAAATACTGACTGGATCGGTGCTGCAAAGGAAACCAAAGCCAGTTTGATTTAAGTAAAATAGTATTACATTTGATTCAGCAGAGACCTGCCGTTTAATTATGTAACAAGTCTTATACGTCATCTTCGAGCCGTTCGCCATGGTTCATCGTGAACTTAACCCACTTCCCGCATTCATCCTATCAATAATGATATTTAAAGTCAATGGCACTGTCACCAGTTTGCATTCTCCGGGTATCTTCTTTTTCGCCGCTGGCAATTTGCTGCTTGACTTTGTTCTCGTGCCGCAGATACAGCCCATAGCCAGTCACGGCGAGTTGAGCAACGACCAGCGAGCCCAGTGAGAAGGAATTGCCCAACACATATGGCGAGGTGCGATAAACCTGGCCAACGACGATGCCGGCGCAGTTACCCATCGTCTGCTGCAGTCCAATCTCCAAAGCCCGTCGGTAGTGAGGGGCTACGTTCACATTGCACCAGGCAACGTTCAGACCCACCCCGGTGTAGGTAGCGATACCGCAGAGGAATGTTGCGAAATACTTGACGGCGGTGTTGTCGACTGTAAGCAACAAAATATAGCCAATGATGCCAAAGACATTACTGGCAAAGATGAACTGCAAAATGTCAACCTTCGGTCTCGTCTGAAAATGGGGTCGAGATTGCATACTGATGCAAACTTGGAATAACGGTCGGAGCAAAAGGCCACCGCCACAAACACAATGGCCGCCCAGATATAGACAGGGACGGTCAGCACGTTGCTCATCAGCGAGTCATAGCCCATGCCCTGCAAAATGGTTGGCAGGAAGGTGCTAAACCCGTACAGCAGTATATCTTGGCAGAACTGGATGAGACCACTGAAGTATAGCTTCGGATCGGTCAGGGCGGTGCGCATCTCCTCCCAGTTGAATTCATCGCTGCCCATGTACTGGCGCCGCTGCTCATTTCGCACGCGCATCATCCATTTCTCCTCGTCGGTGAGGAAATACGCCTCAGCCGGGTTGTTGGGCAGGCCAAACCAGATGAAGACGGCACAAACAGCGCTGAAAACGCCTTCAATCATGTACACCCATCTGATACCCCGTCAGAGCCAAATTCAATCGGTTTTGAGCTGGTAACTCACCTCCATCCCGCCTTGCCCCCAATACCATCCATCTGCAGAAGTCCATATGCCAGGAGGCCACCTACGGCACCCGAGATGGCCGCGCAACTCATGAGATATGAAACGCGTTTCGCTTGCTCTTCGCGGCGATAAATCATAGTTAAATACAGGTTCAAACAGGGGAACAGCCCGGCCTCGCAGGCGCCCAGAATGAGTCTGGTCGCATAGAGCGAGCCCACGGACTGAATAAACCCCGTGAAAACAGTCGTGAGTGACCAGACGAGACAGAGCCCGGTTAGGATGTTCCGCGGCGTCAGCTTCTTCATCAACACTGCCCAGGGGGCTTCGAATAAGACATAGGTGGCGTAGAAGATAGACACTGCAGTAGAAAACTCGCCGTCGGAGGCGTTGATGTCCTGAGGCATGTGGGCGACTTCGACATTTCCTGTACTCATCAACGAGTCAGGGATATCCCATCGAGAAAGGGAGATCCATACCAATGTTCGACCGATCCAAAAAGCAGGACAGATAGGTGAACATAATGATGGGGACAAAGGCCAGGTCCAGTTTGAGCAGTAGTTTCCGCTCCTTTGTCGGGTCGAGCACTATATCCAGGGCCTCGCCCGCGGAGGTCTCGTCTAGCATGTCGGGATCTGCCTGCTTCTGGGCGGAGAGCTTTCGCGGCAAAGACATCGCATTGTCGTCCATGGCGTCCGGGGTCGTGAGATGCAAATTTGGGTGCGAGGGAAAGGAGGTTGACGGTCTCCAACGGAGAACGGCCGAGTTTAAATGATAATGATGCGGAGGGCGTGGATCCCTGCCTATCTGTGCAACTGCCGATCACCCATCGGGCCGAAACAGGTTCTGATAAGCACGCCGACTGGACAGGGACCGCGGAGTTTGCCATGCTCATCACTGACCGGACCGAAGCGTATCTAGAACAGTTGCGGCCGAGCATTGCATTGTATGGAGATTGTGTCAAACTTGTGTGAATACCGAGGTATATACATTCAAGGATGGTTTATTCCCTTATGTACTACACTAGAAGCAATCCTTCATTACGCTAGACAGCTCTCCACCATAGTCGAACAGATACGCGCCGTTGGGCATGCGTTGCTGCCAAGGCTCCAGCTGAGGCACCGGCCCTGTTTCGACCCCCATGATCTGGTCCTCCAGGTTGCCGACTGCTTCGAACCATTCCATGAGCTCCTGCGTCATTTGCGCGCCATCCAAGGGGGTCTGGCTATGGACACTCCCGGTTGGGGCTGGAATGAGAGGTGTCTGGGGGTTATGGTGATGATCAATTTGACCCTCCTGACGGTGTTTTTGCAACCCCAGACCCAGTTGCGGGCCGAGTTTGCGTAAACTGCGAATCGACTTCCATAGACGACGCGAGACATACGACCTTGTCGAAAACCCCTTGACCAGCTCGAGCGCACAGTAGAATTCCTCCTTGCACGACACGCTGAATTGGGTCGGGGCTTGCGCGACGGCAAGGAACAACACTGCAAGGGCCGAGACTAGGAACCAGTTGAAGGCAATCTGTTGCAACTGGTAGATATCCGACGTCTCGTTGAGCCGGGTGATGAAGCGAATCGTGTCTTTGGCCAGATCTACAACGGTCTCGGATTCGGCGGGATGCCGTGCAATGTGCGCGGCCGTGTGCAGAACAGGTCGGTAGATGAGCATCCGTAGCTGGTTGGAGCGCAGGTAGACCATGGCACGCAACCGCCGTAGGCTGCGCGGCCCTTCAGTGGCCGGGCCGAACTCGGGGGTACTCGGATGGTCGAGGCGCAAGGTGTCTGGGATCCCCCTTATCCAAGTCTCCACCTGATAGTTGAGATATCCCATCTCATCAGTTTTTATTTCATTGGTATTGTTGAACGCGGAGATAAACTTCCACACCTTCGCGGCGATGCGGCTGTACTGAATCATGACCTGAAGATATGGGGTCTTTTCTGACGGCTCTGGCAGCCACGGATCGATGTCCGTATCCTCCAAGGCAAACGGCATGCCCGTCCCAAAGCTCCAGCGCATATCAAGGACGTAAATCGACCAAAACAATCGCAGGACACGGTCCTTGCCAACATTCACGATGAATGGCTGATTCAATGTCTCTCGTCGGTGAAGGCCTTTCTCAAGAGACATGCGCTCAACAATACCGATGGTCCGCCAGGCGAGCGTCTCCTCATCCATCTGGAAATAAAATATAGACTGCAAGGAAGTCAGATCTGCCGTTCGAGTTTTTATAGTGTGAGCACGTACCACCAGCGTCAAGAAAATGATGCTTTTAATATCGGGTGGACCCCAGACACAATTGTCCTGAACCTCGCGAACACTGTCAAAGAGAGAGATGGCCTGCTCGCTGCGACCACTAGCCTCGGCGGTCAAGGCACAGGCAAAAACCAGGCGAAGGATATTGACATCTCCAGGGTCCAACCCGTCCAACTTCCCATCGAATTGCACAGAAGATCCTAAGGCGCGATCTATGGGGCCGTAGAGTAGATGTACCTGCTCTAACAGCTCGGAGAGCTCCAGAATTGGATACATGATCCCCATTTCTTCTTCGTACACACGACACAGCCGGAGGGCCTCGCCTTTGGGCAGCATCCAGAGCGGGTCCGTCGACTGCCGAGGCTCCAAGTTGTGATACGGTGCTGAAGGCGATCCCAGGGGAGACGGCTCCTGGGTCAAGTCACCCTCCTCATCGCCGCCTTCATTGCGTTCCACGATCCCGCGGCTTTCGAGACTCGATTTAGCCAAGTCAAAGCTGAATGCGGAAGTGGTTGGTCCCTGGAAAGTGCTTTCTCGAGCTGTGGAAAGGCGCCGCAATGAGCGTTGCCCTGCCCATGGACCATGCGTGCTGGCAGCGGGAGGGACGACAGGATGCGACCGGCCAGCCACCGCTAGCGAGTTGTCGCCGCCGGCCAGTAACCTTACCGCAGCGGACAACGAGACAATCTGGTCCTGCATACTGCTCATCTGCTCAAAGAGTTGCTCAAAATTTCTGGGTTATGCTCATCAGTCGGGGTTTTCGTCGACAGGCACGTGCACATGCGTACTCTTGCTCATTCAAGTTATTCCGAGGGGCGTTTTCGATATAGACACACTCGATACGCTGGCGCCCACAGCGTTGGCAGGGGGTTTCGCCATTGCACTTGATCTTGCGGCGTTTGCATTCATTACTGTCCGGTACGCGGTGGCTGTTAGTCCCTCAGCTCGACCCGGGGGAGGGGGTGTGTTGATGGAGACATTACCAGGCCTTGGCGATGTATTTGCAGCGTTTCTTGCGAGGACGAGCATCGGGCACATCGACGGGGTTGTCGTCATGCAGGGCGTCCATTTGTATTTTGGGGAAGGAGGAATGGACCGGGGGAATTGCGGAGGGCAGAAGAGCGGCGGGAAGGACGGAGTGAGTGTGGGGAACCAGTGGTCCACTAGTATTGGTTTATCAAGGAACTATAGAATCGACCTCCTACTACCACGTATACCTCCTGCTATTACGAATCAATGCATCGTGAATGGTTTGGAATTTTGCGACATGCTCAACTACGCTCGTTAGATATATGTACAATAGCCCTCCTCCGTCTCACAGGTCCTTCGTCCGCTCATCGCTCTCCGCGATCCATTTCTCCAGTTTCTCCGGGTCGCGCGGCATGAACCCCACCTTGAACGGCTTTGGTTCCGTCGTCAGTGCCGTCGGGATCAGATTGCAGTCAATCGCATCGAGGATGGGTCGGTCGGCCGGATCGCGAGCGGGATGCATCCGGAACGCCGTGATCAGGCGAATAAACGCCGTATACAGCTCCCGGTTGGCCAAGTGTGACCCGGCGCACATGCGCGAGCCCGCGCCGTAGCCGTAGTGCGGCGTGCCCGAGCCCTCGCCGAGCTCCAGGTAGCGCTCGGGAATGAACCGGTCCGCCTGCTTGAAGTGGTCCTCGTCATAGTCGGCAGCCCAGGCATTCTAGGTAGTCCGGTCAGCAATCAATTCGAGAGGATCCCAACAGACAGTACCGACCATGAAGAACGTAGTGCCCGCGGGGATCTTAGCCCCATTCCACTCAATGTCCTTGGTACTCTCTCGGGGCAGACAGATGGGTATCACAGTCCAGAATCGCAGGGTCTCCTTGACCAGCGCGGTCACGTAGGGCACCTTTTCTTCGACCAGGCACTTCTCCCAGGCATCACCATCGGGATAGATCGACATGATCTCATCGTACGCCTTCTTTTGGATCCGCTGGCCGTCTTCCGAAGCCAGATAGGCAATGCCCATGATCAGGTTCCCCGGAACCGTGTCCAGACCGGCGGACACCATGGTCAGACATATCGATTTCACCTCCGCTAACATTCTCGTCAGTCTTGTTCTCTTTTTGACGGGTAAAAAGGAAACACACCATCATTAAGCTTGGCCTCGGGATCCTTAAGAATGTTGCCAGTTATGCACGGCTTGTCGGTCCCCTTGTTGATGCGATCCTTGAGCATTTCCAGCAGGTAGGTCAGGTACTTGTCACGGCGAACCCGGAATTCGTCCGCCTCGCTGTTCATCTTGGGGAAGATGCGCAGCAGTGGGATATAGTCTTGCCAGTTGTTCGAGGTGCTACGAAAGTTGGAGACGCCACGCTCGACGTCAACGATCTCCTTCAGGAGCTGATCATCCACATTGCCCTCGATACGGAGGCCATAGTTGAGCGTCAGGCTGGTGTTGAGGGCAAATCGCTGAAAGTAGGCCGTGGGGTTGATGTCGCAGGTCCCGTGCTGACTATCCCGGTACAGCTCCTTGATGCTGGAGTTGGCTTCGAGGTCGACGATGGGCATGTAGGACTGGACGGCGGGGCGATTGAGTGCGGTGGCGGCAGCCTTCCGACGTCGCTTGCAGGACTCATCCCAGGGTGAGGTACCAATAGTGAATCCCTGAGAGCTGGAGACAACGCTGTGGAAGGTGTGGAAGGTGGGCCGCGAGATGAGGGCCGACTGGTCCTTGATCCACAGCTGGCGCACCGAGTCAAAGCTGTTGGCAAACACGATGCGCTTGTTGCCCATGCGCACTTGGAAGACCGGTCCGAATTTCTTCGCCCATTTGCCCGCGACGACTGCATGCTGGTCGCCTAATTGCAGCAGGTTGCCAAACATCGGTACGCCCGGGATCTCGGGGATGCCCTTGATTTTGGGGACATCCGTGCGATTTAGGTAGCGGATGATGAAGTAGACAACCGTCACGACGGCGATGGCGAGTGTTTGGACCGTCATAGTGCAGAGACTCTATCGTTGCTCTCTCTCGCTCTCTGGCGGGGAAGATGTCGGCCTTATTTATCTTTTGACGTAAATACCGCAACGGGGCCATTCCGGCTGGGGAACACTGCATGGCTCTGGCAGCCAGTCACGGGTGTTGGCATTAGCCAAAGGCTGCTCGTCGATCGCGGGACGGACGGAATGACAGTGAGGGTCGAATTCGGTTTAGCGTATTTCAACCAATGCACTCTGGACGAGTACATCCATTCCAACCCCGGTTCTCTTCTACAAGCCATTCCACACTACTGGCTACGCGGCTTAATATTGGTGATCGATGTAGTAAAGGTCACCATGTGAAAGAAAGACATGGGAGAAAGAGAGCGAGTCGAGTCACATGACGACCGAATTAAAGTACAAGGCGGAATGATCATTCCGCATATCTGAAGTGGAGGGTCCACAGGTGGACCCCGAGAGACACGGATCTATAGCAGCCCAACGGAATTCGGGGAATCAAACAGACAACAGGTATGAGCGTCACTCGATGTTGAATATCAATGACCCATTTCCTGCGTATACAGCGTATATACTTGGCCCACGCCGGGGAAATTTAGAATATATGTACAATCTCCACAGAACAATGTCGCGGATGAACAGAGACGGAAATCGAATATCATGGCGCGGCCTCACTACGGGCCTAGTACGTTGAGCTCGCTCTGGCTGACTCGGCTCACCCGGCGGCCGGCATTTCGCGCCCGGTCGGCAGCCAGCGTCTGCGCAAACTTACTGGCCTCGCGGATCTGCGGTCCCTTCCAGTAGAAGACGTAGATGGGTATAGTCACAAAAATGGCGATACAGCCCAAGATAGTGCTGGCCCACTGCAGGTGATATTTGCCTCCGATATTCGAGTACATGGGTGTTGAGTACATGGCGGCAATACCTGCGAGGAAGTCTCGTGCAAACCCGTTCCCCCCAGTAGCAGAGGCAGAATAGGGTCCGTAGGCTGCCACCATGTAGTCGATCGTCGCCATGTAGATACCGTAATTTGCAACCGCGATGAGAAAGATAAAGATCAGAGGTGCAATCCAAGGCGTATACTCTGGTCCCATCGATGTCCACGCAAAACCAAACAGGCCGATGGTCTCGAGGGGTGCAATGAAGAGCAAAATGAGCAACCGCCGCTCGGGAAGACGTGCGGTCTCACCCAAGGCCTTCCGAATGTGGCTCTGGCGGGCCACGTCCGACGCAAAGATGCAGTATGAGACGAGATAACCGATGACGATCGAGACGAAGCAGAGACCAATCTGCCACGCATTGAACTTCCACTGCTCAAACACCAATGTAAAGGACTCAATGCAAGTAAATATCAGTGCGTCGGAGAACCCAGACAACAGCGAGAGGAAAAGTACAATGGGTTCGCGCAGGAACATCTCGAATGGGCGGCGCCAGACTCGCGTGATCTCTTTGAAGCTCAGCCGGTTCTCCGCCAGCTCACTCGGTCCATAAACGTTCGGATCTTCACCGGTCTTCCGGCGCCGCTTGGCCTCCCTATCGACGAGAATAGTTGCTCGAGTCTCGCTCACGAACAGCAAGTGTGCAAGCTGAGTGACGCCGCCGAAGATCAGTTGGATCCAAAAGTTCCACTGCCAGGGGAGATAGTACTGGATTAAGCCACCGAAGATAGGTCCGATAGTTGTGCCACCAACCGACGACAACACCACATAGGCGACGGCGAACCCTTGGTCGTCAGCCTCCCACATATCAGCAGTCATACCCAGCGTGACTGAGCCACCGGCGGAGCTAATACCACCCAGGGCACGACAGACGACGATGGTACCAAAATTGGGGGCAAGCGCACAAGGAATCTGCCAGATGTTGACGAGGAACAGACTGAGCTGCATGATCGGCCAGCGCCCATACTCCTCGCTCCAGGGTGCCCAGAGCTCGCACCCAAAGGCGTAGGCGACCAAGAAGATCATCTGCCCGACTCGAGCCGCCTGCTCGCTGATATCGAAATGCTTAGAGAGAGGCTGAACCGCATTGGGGTACACGCTGCTGTTGAAGTTCATGGACATTTGCACGGTAAAGATGACCGTCAAGATGGCCCATTTCTTGTACCAGGGGAAGCAAAATCCCAGTCGGTCATAGCAATCCTCCTCTGTCAGCTCTCGCTTGCCATCAGACCGAACCTTCTCAGCTTGTCCTGAGGTACTGCTGTCATTATCCGCTGTACTCTCGACCTGCGCCTTGGCAGGTTCTTGGCTGGACGTGGCCTCGAACCCTTCTGTCTTCTCGTTTGGGTCCGAGTCCGGGGTAATGCCGTCTCCAGACGTCATGATAAATCTGGCAACACTCCGGCATGTGCTTCAAAAGCAAAAATGATGAAAGTCTCGGCTTAAATCGTTGCTAAGGGGTAATGCGAAGAGCCGAGCAAGGGAGCAGAAAGAATGAGAAGCCAGGAACCACTGTGACGGCGGTGTTTCTTTATAATTCACCCTTGCTCCTCACGGCCCCAGATCAACATGGCATCTCCACCAGGCCCTACCCGCATACGTAATGTTCGCGACGTGAACCCCAGAAAGCACTGGGTTCGACACCGTTTGCTCTCCTTCCTCCCCACATGCTTGCTTCGCAAGCCTCAATCGTTGCATTGCTTCTTGTTTCGGGTCATCTCTATCGACACTCGACTGCGTGAATGCCGATTGTGCGTTTGCAGCTGTGAAATGCCATCGCGATAGCAAGAACGCCATGCTATACATCATACGTCCCGCAGGACCCACGATGATTGGCACTAGCGCTGTCTCATACTCCACTGGGATTTGCATCGCGCCTGTCGGGATACCGGAAAGGGAATGACCGGCGCCTAGATAAGCTGGCGATCGGATGATGACGTACCGAACCTCGAAACCGGTTCTCCTACGTGAATAATCAAGGCAGGTCTGGCTGCCTTCTGCTTGCGCTCTAGTCTGAGATTTTCATCATGGCGTGTGAGCAATCCGGCTATTATCCTTGCTCTGCAGGGGTCTGAGAGCTCGCAGAGGCTCTCTGAGAGAGGTGAGCTGAAGTACAGAGCTGATATACTACGCTTTCGTCTCCACCGCTTCATCTACTCCAGTGTGCCCGTCAGACTGCCAGCTAGAGAACAAGCGTCCGACAGATCTGTCCCAACGGAGCGATTGATCTCCTCCACATCCACGACCACCTCCTCCGCAATCCCGCGACGGCGCTTCCAGTTCCGCTCCGTATTCGTTGACATGCCTCGGGCGCCATATCCGACCATATAGTTCGCGGGCCCTTCTCGTGGGTGCGTAGCCACAGAAGTTCGTAGGTACTGGCCGTGGTCATGGCTGCGTCGCGGCCCCGGGATATAGGGCTCTGGGCCACATGAACATGAACCTCCAGCGCGTTGAAGTCAGCCCCCCACACCTCGTCCTCGCTGCGGGTGACGATAATGGTGATGCGACTGGGCGCCACGGGTATGTGACGAGGTACGCCAGGGCATCCGTGTCTACGCCGTGGGGAAGGGGGCGACGATGAAGTGATACCGAGGCGGATGGCCTGGTTGATCCAGGCACGTAGTTAGGTGTGAAGTAGATCTCGCGTGGGCCGGTATCGATGGGGCCCGAGATGAAAGCGATTGCAGCCGACATGGTGATTTTATGATATGTGCGGTCGCTCAGAAATGAGTAGAATTTTATTTTTATTTTTATTTTTATTTTTTTTCCCCAAGCCTCCGGAGGTGTTGTTCACTGCTAGTCCATTTTGTGGAAGTGCCCTAGTAATGCCTGGGAAACAAGGCCGTACATATCTCTCTCCGACGACCATCCGTAACACTCACTCACCATCCAGCATGGCGTCCTCTTCCTTTCTCCCGCTCGCCTCAGCGCCGACCTCCCCCTTTGCTCCTACCGCGTCGTCCGAGTCTAGACCCGGAGCACGAGGTGCTGTCGACGCGTGGACACCGCCTCCTGGGTTTATTTCCCGCGCTGGGCCAGTCCGAGGCGCCCGTCCAGGAACGGCCGGCCTTACTCCGACGGCGTGGCTCCCTGTTGGTCGGACACAGCAATCCGCGCTATGAATGGTAGATGAAGTTCCTCCCTTTCGGGTAGTCAGGAAGTCCCGTCTGACGCAATATGCAGGCATCGATACTACACTCCGCCAGATGCATTGAAGAAGATGCGCAAGCCCATGTATGCTTTTTCCATCCATCAGATGGCATGTCTGACAGACAATAGACGACAGTACTATGGGCGCAATAACTCGTTGATTTCGCAGTATCTGTATATCGATCGTCTGCTGGACTCTTCTCGTCCACACCATCTAATTGAAGAATACAACGGCGGTCACCATCATGATGCCCATACTCCTGCAAATGGTTCCTCGCCACCGACTGAAGGCCCGGAGGCGCATTTACCCACTCTCAAGGCCTCCAGGATCAAGCGCACGCCACACAACCTCTATCGAGTTCCATCGGCCGATGAAATGGCGCCCTTGCTCTCCTCCACGCAGTCTGGCTGCGAGCATTTTATGCCCGACGTAGAGTCGCCTGGTATCCAATCACCCGAGGCGGAGGAACGCATGATCCATCTTGCGATTCGCATCAATTTCATTGCTAACGTCATTCTCTTGATCTCCAAGATCGCCATTATGGTTCTCACCAGCTCCATGTCCGTCCTGGCTGGCCTGGTCGATGGCGTGCTGGACTTCCTCAGCACAGTGATCATCTGGTTCACGGCCATCATGATCCGTCATCAGGACCGCAATCAGTACCCGATCACCAGACGGCGCCTGGAACCGTTGAGTGTGTTGATTTTCAGCGTGATCATGGTCACCTCTTTCTTCCAGGTCGGGCTGTCCTCGCTGCAGAAGCTGATGGGGTACGATCACACTCTTGTCGTGCTCTCACCCCCCTCAATTGGACTCATGGCCGGCACGGTGCTTATCAAGCTCCTTTGCTGGATCTGGTGCCGGCTGATTCCGAGCCCCAGCGTGCAACTCCTGGCCCAAGATGCCATGACGGATGTCATCTTCAATACCTTCAGTATCATTTTCCCCTTAGGTATGTTGCCCGAGCTCCTTTTGACTTATGACTGATTTGATCCATGTTAGTCGGTACCTTTGCCAAGCTGTGGTTCCTGGACCCTCTGGGCGGTCTCCTTCTCTCGGTGTACATCATGTGGAACTGGGGCTCGACAGCCAGCGAGTATATCCGGCGACTGACGGGCGCGGCGGCTTCAGCGGATGACCATAACATTCTGCTATACATGACAATGCGGTTCTCGAGGGTGATTCTGAAGATACAAGACCTGAAAGCCTATTATGCGGGCGATAAATTAAACGTCGAAGTGGACTTGGTGGTTGATGAGCGCACCGCTCTCCGTGACAGTCATGACGTCGGTGAGAGCCTGCAATACATGCTCGAGAGCGTGCCGACGGTTGACCGGGCCTTTGTCCATCTCGACTACGACCCCTGGAATCTGCCCAGCCACATGAACCAGCTGGACCGGTAAGATAGTAAATATAGACATACAAATCAGACAATGTCACGCATCCAGTCATTTGATCTTATTGTACACATGAAAAGTAAACATCCCAAATGTCTTGCAGGGTACCACCTGATATGACAAAGGAGATCGTGATGAACAAAAACAATTCCTACTGTACAACCAACATCGATTCCAGACCCGGCTGGAGACGCAATGAGAAACAACGAAAGAGGACAGACAGTCAACCAGTTCAGTGAGGAGGCTGCGATGGTGGAGGTAAATTATTTCCTTGACTGTACGCACGCTGGTGTGTCGGCGTAGACGCATTCTCACCCGGTGGTGGAGGCCGTTGATGAAGCGGTGGGATAGATCCCGGTCCTGATGAGGGAGGTGGGTAACCACCGCCCACGGAAGGGTGGAACGCGGGCGGCGGGGTGTACGAGCGACCAAAGCTCGCAAGTGAAGGCATCGATCCAGCCCCGTTGCTTCGAGAGCCGTGCGAAGGTGGTGGGGTGCTGTGCCCGTACTGAGGGGAACCACCCGGCAAGTTGGACCGGTGAGATTGTGAGCCACTAACTAAACCCTGAACATGCTGCTGGTAGCTTTGGTTATGCGGTTGCGCCGCAGCAGGAGTAGGCGGCGCGGCCGATGCATATGTTGACTGTGCATCTGAGGGGCGTGGGGGCATGCCAAGTAGATTGGAGGATGAGCCATAACGTGGTGGAGGCGAACCGGGTCGGTAGATGCCTTCACGGGAACCAGATGGCGGTGGGGCCTGGGAAGAAGGCGGTTGGGAAAAGACATTAGGGTAGGACGATCGCTGCGACCCAGTCTGGGGAGGTGGAGTCGGTGCTGGAGAAGGGACCGGAAGATTGCTCAAAGAGGCAGACGGCTGAGAAGGAGCGGGGGCGTAGGGCGAGAACGACTGAGACCCCAATGAAGTAGCCGGACGACTGCTCTGCTGTTGTGGCGGTGGTGGCTGCGAGCCTTGTTGCGCTCGCGGATCGAACCGTGCCATCCAGTCGTTGTTAGCAGAGGGACCGGAGCCAGCCGATGTAGCGCCGTAGCCAGGGTAGTCTGAATAGCCTCGAGACGATGGAGTATGCTGCTGCACCGGCGCGCTAGGTTGATAAATAGACCGCGAGGGAGGAGTCGATGCAATGTGCTCGCTAGCAAACCGCTTTCGTGGTTGAGGCTCCTCTGGTTCGTCATTGAGAATACTCATGATGTTGGAACGCTTAGCTGGCACTTGACGGGCAGACTCCGGAGCAGGAGTCGCGCTTGTACGAGGGACATCTTTGACCGGTGACAAAACGGGGCGCGGCGACGGAGCAAGACCACCAGGTTGACCTAGACCATAATAAGGTCTTTGAGCAAAGGAGTCGCGGTGGACCGACGAAAGATCGAGTTCTTGTCTTTGCAGCTGTGACGGCGAGCCCGGCCGTTGGGTCAAGCTGGGCTGGCGGGAATGAGCCGGTTGAATGAGGGACGGCGGCTGCTGCGCGGACATGTAAGCTTGCTGAGATGGGCCCATCGAAGCTTGCGGCGGCAACAGAGATGATGGTCCATGTGCTAGGGGATCCATCCGAGGCGCCGACAGGATCGAAGAGTCGCGTCGGTCGTCAGTGAAATAGCCAAGACGCGGGCCCGGCATCCGATGCGATAGTCCTCCCCGATCACCCAGAGCAAGGCTGGGGGGCATCGTAGAAGCAGCAACTGCCTGTGCCAAGGGCGGATAGCGACTGCGATCCTTTTCCAATAAAGGTCGTCCAGGCATTGGCATGGGTTGAGGAGACAGAGTCCCAGGCTTGCCTTTGACGCTAAATCGAGCCTCATCTGCTTCGATCTCGCCATGTGGAGCAAGTGGACGGGGTACAATGGACGATGGAGTCGCTTCATAACGTCGTTTGGGGGCAACACTTGGCACCGGAAGAGGTCCCGTAGGCTCCCCTCGGGCTTTGTTTTCCTCTGCCTTAAGGAGGCACTCCTCAAAGTCTTTTTTACCGGAGTCGAGGCGGCGCTGGTAGTAGTTTTTGACCTAATTTATCCATGTCAGCCAGGCCCTTGCATTATGAGCGATATAACATACCATGACGGTCGTCTTGGTCTTCATGAAATTTGAAATTCCCTCGAAGTCGCGACCAAAATGTTCAAGTAACTGGGGAAAATCGCGTTGTTCCGGAACAGACCAGTAACTCGTCGGCTGCAACGACCCATACCCCGTCTCTGGCTGTTTTGCGGGTATATCTGCCTCGGTGGACTCGAAAACATACATCCCTTCTTTGGTTCGTCCACGCGGCGCCCTGCCTCGTGGCATGGGGGTACTGGCCTCCTTGTCAGCCGCATCCAGGGGCAGGCCTTCGAGCATTCCATCTCCACCCATCTCCATTTTCGCACCCATGGGAATTCCTTGCATTGCTTGGGCCTTTTGCTCCTGTTGCGCCGCTCTACCACGGCGCTGGGTTCGAGGACCACCGGCGCGTGCGCCACGCCGACCAGCTGGTTTCTCCGCGGCCTCGCCATCTTTGCCGGCTTGACCTCTACGGGCGGCGGTACCATCTCCCACCTCGTTTGCATCGCCTCCAAACGTGGGCGCCGCAGCGCGTCTTGGACGGCCTGTATCGGTAACCTGGGGTTCCTCTTCACCCTCGAAGTCAGGCTTGACCACACCCAAATCGGCGATAAGAGCGTTGGACTTGGGTCGGGAGGATTTGGCCTTGCCGCGACCCCGTCGGCTCCAGCGCTTGTTGAGCTTCGCCTTGTACTTTATTTCCTCCTTGGTAAGGTAGTAGTGGACTATACACTGCTGGAAATCTCGGCCGGGTAGCGACTCGGCGATCTTGCCCCATCTCTTGGGATGCGCCATGAATGCATCTGTGAAGATAGTATGCTCCTCGGGGCTGAAGTCGTTCGGACGTGGCACAAACCCAAACACGGCCATGGCATTTTCCGGCTCAATGATGTTGTTCATATCCTTGTAGACGCCTGCCTTTTCCTCATGCGGCTCCATCATGTCTGGAATGACTGCTTCGCGGGATAAGTCAGGCCGAGCGGTGGCCATTTTCGTCCGCCGGCGTTCCAGCTCCTCTTGGGCCGAAATCTCAGAGGCTTTCAATGCATTGAGGAAGTCAAGTTCGCTGTTGCCCTTGTAACGGCGTCCTTCTCGTCCCTCGGGGATGGGCGCTGGCGTGGGCGGGAGGACGGGAGCCGGCGGGGAGACAGGGCCAGGAGTCACGGACTTGTTATGATCCTTGTGGCGATCTCGATCCCACACAGCCAGGCGCCAGGGCTTGTAGTAAGACATGTATTCTTCTCGGAGAGTCGCATTCTTCTTAGCGATCTCTTTTTGTCTCTTCGAGAGTTCATTGCGAAAGGTGTCCTTGAGCTGGTCCTGAGCCGTAGTATTTTCCTGGTACACCTCCATGTCAGAGATCGGTGTCGGAGGACCGGAGTGTAGGAAGGGTAGGCTGTCGATGGTGATCTCTTCGTGGGATACAACAGGTGGGATAACGGTTTTGCCAATGGGTATCGGTTCACGACCCATCACAGCGGACGCGAAGGAAACGACTCGGTCGGCTGCCGAAGCTTTTGTAGGTTGCTCGTCCCTCTCCACCGAGGGAACGGGTTCTGATGGCCGCTCTGGCACTGGTTCGAGGGCAACCATGCCGAGTAATTGGATATTCATCAGGAGAGCAACGATGGTCTGATCTTCCAATGGAGGAGGAGGCATCTCCGCCCGCAGGTGTCGCATGTCTTTCTCAAAGATCTGCTTTCTCTCTTCCAAGTAGTCCTGGGTGAAAACAATGTTCTCATCGTCTTCCTCCTCCTCAGACTCATCAAAACCGAGGACGGGTGCGGAATCTTCAAAGTCTTCTCTTTCATGGTCTTCTTTCTCGACCGTTGGCACTTGCGGCGGACTGCGTCTAGAGCGGTTCGGTGATAGCTCATCGCGCTCAAGTTCCCGGGATCCGTGTCGCAAATCTTCTCCGACAGAGGTAGGACCATGTTCATCAATGGATTCCCTCTTTGCTGGAGCATTGGCAAGGGACGGGGCGCGTGGATAGCCTGGACGGACCCATTGCTTGCTGCCTTTGGGCATGCCGCGCTGGAGAGATCCTTGACGCTGTTGCAGCGCCCGCGGACCGGTGGGAACGTTGGATGGCTGCATCTGTGGGGAGGCAGATGGTTCGGGGGATGCAGCTCTTGGATGTGGTAGTCGTGCGAAGGTGGGTGAAGAAGTGACAGAGCTGGATCTGCCGGGAGGCAACGGTTCACCAGGGATCGAATCCCGCTTGGTCATGGCAGCGGGAGCCGTCGGCGGTGACAGCTCGGATAGATTTGTGGATGCTTTAACTACACGGCTCAATGGGTCCTGTTCGCCACGACCCGCCTTTGGCCCTGTGGGAGGCTGCGCGGGTGGTTGGGGAGGCAATTCGTTTTGGTCCTTGTCGGCATAATCATTTCCGGCAGAAGAGCTGGGGATGGGAGCCGTCACCGATCCAAAGGCAGGAACTTGAGGAGCTGCTGGCGGAGATGAGTGCTTCACAACTGGGGAGAGATCCTTCACAGACTCGGCACGCTCAGCATCGCGACGAGGGTCTGCGGCAGACGGGAGCGATGCTTTCCAGTCTTGATCTGCAAGAGTTTGGTCGGGGATGCGATCAGGTAGAGCCACAGGTGGTGCATGAGGGAGTGATGCGGGAGTCGAGCCACTAGGCGCGCGGCTGCCAGCTCGGCTTGGAGGTCGCTTCCAAGGGTCACTGGGCCGGTCATCACGATCCAGTCGTCGACCGTCCCAGTCATCGCGCCGATCAAACCGGCGATCCAAGTCACGGTCCCGTTCTCGATCTCGGACGAGGTCTCGATCACGATCGACTGGACGATCCCGTCCACGGTCTCGCCAACCATCGCGGGATCGACTCCGCCGGCGAAACGTTTCGCGGTCATCGAGATAGGGTGGACGGCCACGTCCGCGGCCTCCATCCCAATCCCCACGGCCACGGCCCCGAATGGAACCACCACGCGGATGGCCACCACTGGAAGGAGGCCCATCTGGACCACCCGAGGACGCTGACAAAAGGCTGTCTCGAGAATTGCGTCGCATGCGAATCAGATCCAAATCACGCCCCGGAGGGTCTCTCATATCACGAAAGTCGCGTGTCGGAGAGCGCGATCGACCGCGACCAAAGCTCATCCGATTCTCACGCGGATCAAATTCTCGGTCTCGGCGGCCCCAATCGCGATCTAACTCTCGGCGAAAGGGGGAGGCCCATCGCGAGTGTCTCGGAAGTCTCGATCTCGGTCGCGGTCTCTCGGATCACGGTCCCTGTCGCGAAACTCACCACGACCATAACCTCGCCCGCGAGGGCCACCGCCACCGAAGGGACCACCGCGAGGGGAATCGACTAAGGCGCGCGGACCGCGGGGCGGGTCTCTGCCAAACGGAGCCGGGCTGGCATCGTCGGGGCCGCGAGGGCCAGCGGGAGGTCGACGGTCTCCAAAGCGTTGGGGAGAACGGTCGCGGGAATTAAACCCGGACGAAGGGGGGAATCGGGACGACATCACCAGGTCATGCTATCTGGGGCAGAGCCTGGGCGACCGTTAGAGAGGTTCAATCAAAGAAAAACAAACCCAGGCCCGGGGTGGCTCCAGCTTGCAGAATGCGGCAAAAAGAAGATCTAATCCATCACATACCTGGAAGGGGAAAGGCTGACACGTGATAGCAGTGCACGGGCCACAGGGAAGAGCGCAATGTGACTAGTCCCAATCGGGAAAGACGGCGCAGGGCTGGCTTGGCTTGGCGGTTGAGGATTGCAGAACGGCAAAAGGGGGCGCTTGCGATCGCCAGATAGATCCCGTCAGATAGCGGACGGTGGGTGCGGTGGTGGTGGTGGTGGTGGTGTTTACTGGCAGGGGTGTCGGGGAGGTGGCCAAGGAACAGATTCAAGGACTCGGATCAGAGCCCCTTGCACGATCATCGGACAGCAGAGAAGAACGCGTGCACGAAGTTCGGGATTCGATCTGAAGATCGTGCCAGTGGCGGACATCCAACGTTTGGGAGAGACCGGCCGGGCAAGTCGCACGGGTTCTGCAGCGGGTGGGTCTGGACCGACTGCGGATGGGATGTTGGAGAAAGGCAGCAAGCGACCACCTAAGGGTGCCAGAGAGGCTCAGAGGGAGAAAATGAATGAAGATGGAAGGTGAGAAAAGCAGTTGAAGAGGGAATCATGAATGGAGTCGAGAGAGAGAGAGAAACAGAGGACTAAAGCATGGGCCCAGACTGGCGTGCATTGTGGCCTGAGGCATCCACGATGACCGGGTCCAGCGCCGGCGAGGGTTTGTGGCAGGCAACTACGGAAGGGAACAACCTCCGCCATTCTTGGATGTGGATTTGGTTTTAATTCTGATTTTGATTTTGATTTTGATTTTGATCTCTTGAATCATGCTTGACTGGTTCATGGGCGATGCACCGTTTCATCCTGACTTGGTACTTTTCTCCTCCAGACACGACGAAGGCTCTAGTGCCTGAGGCATCATTTTCCTCTCTGCCTGAGGCTCTCAATCCCCCGCTGCCAAAAAAAAAATCATTCTAGAATTCTAGAAGTCGTCGTGGAAGCATCCACTCTTCGCAAAACATCATGGCCGCCCAGCAACCTTCTGACGCACCCCCTTTGTCAGCGACGGGCGCTGTGCTGGTCACCTCACAGCCGGTCCCCGAGGGCTCTCAGGAAGTACGTGGGGTGGATTTTGATCACTTCCAGGGCCGCGATATCACTGTCGCCGAGCTGGTCGACAACCTGACCCATACGGGGTTCCAGGGCAGCGCCGTTGCCGAGGCGGCTCGCATTATCAATGACATGGTAAGCCTACCGCTTCAGCACCCCCCAGTGGCCGGCAAGTGTCTGACATGGACCGTCAACCCCTCCAGCGAGCCTACCGTCACCCCGAAACCGGCGAAAAGACCACCATCTTCCTTGGCTACACCTCTAATTTGATCTCGTCCGGTCTGCGCGACACGCTGCGGTATCTCGTCAAGCACAAGCATGTGTCCGCCATCGTCACCACGGCCGGAGGAGTGGAGGAGGACCTGATCAAGTGCCTGGCACCCACCTATCTGGGGGCGTTCACCACGCCCGGGGCCGGACTGCGAGCCAAGGGGCTGAACCGCATTGGCAACCTGCTGGTGCCCAATAGCAACTACTGTGCCTTTGAAGATTGGGTGGTCCCGATTCTCGATCGCATGCTGGAGGAGCAGGAGGCCGCCAAAAAGAAGGCGCTCGAAACGGGGGACGAGGAGGATGAGCTGCACTGGACCCCGAGCCGCATGACGGAGAGGCTCGGTCGGGAGATCAACCACGAGGACTCGGTGCTCTACTGGGCCGCCCGCAACGGGATCCCTGTGTTCTGTCCCGCGCTGACCGATGGGTCGCTCGGCGACATGCTCTATTTCCACACGTTCAAGTCATCCCCGCAGCGGCTGCGCGTGGACATTGTCGATGATGTCCGTCGGATCAACACCATGGCCGTGCGAGCCGCGCACGCCGGCATGATTATTCTGGGCGGCGGCGTGGTGAAGCACCACATCGCCAACGCGTGTCTAATGCGCAATGGCGCGGAACATGCGGTCTACGTGAACACGGCGCAGGAATTCGACGGCAGCGATGCCGGCGCACGGCCGGACGAGGCGGTGAGCTGGGGCAAGATCAAACCGGACGCGCGGTCGGTCAAGGTGTACGCCGAGGCGACGGTGGTGTTTCCGCTCATTGTGGCCGCCTCGTTTGCGCGTGCGGGGCCCTCCTCGACGCAGGATTGAGCGAGCAACCGTCGAGTCTTGGATGTTTATCAGCGATGCCGGGACCCGAGTATTATTATTATTCATCATCCCTCCCATTCGTGCAGACCACGCTTATCACTGCCGACCCGCTCCATTGCGGGAGTAGCGGCCGAGAGAGGGACAGTTGAGAGATCGAGTCGCCACCCGGCAGAAAGAAAGAAGGTCAAGGGTCGCCACCTGCACATTTAAGGTGGACGCGGAGTGGGGCTGGTCGGTTGGATCCACCGCCGATCGAGACGCTGAGGGGAGGAGTCGGATTGTATTCCATAGCGACAAGCGCATCGTAGAGACCAGCCTAGTCCGAAGGCAAATGGAAATGATCATCGAAAGGGGATGAAGGTGTTGCTGCCAGAGAGTCTAGGCTAGATCATGTGTTCCTGTCTCTGTCAGGCACCGGTCCACTTCCCCGTCCATCATTGGCTCCGGCACTTCCCCCCGGTTTTCATCTTTTCCTTCGGGGGCAAATGGGGGAGGTTTTTTTGGGCGCTCATAACTAATCATTCATCTTCTTTCTCTCCTTCTTTCCTCCTTCTCTTCTTCCATTTCACCCTCCCACTCTCTTTTCTGTGCCCATTCGGCTCCCCCCCACCGTTCGTTTACACTCCCTATCGATAGATAAGCCTCTTATCGCTGGGGGAGAAACCGGCCCAGATCCGATCTAGTCTCGTTGGCAATTCGCAATCCAGCTGGCCTGTCGCTTCCGTTGAGACCCTGATTGGGTCCTCATTTGTTCGGTCTTTTTCTTGCCCCTCCCTTTTTTTTGGTTTTCATCTTCCCCGACTCAATCCTCATGGATTCTGCCCCGGGCCCGGTGACCAACGCCCAGCCAACGGCCCCCGATGCCGGGACCGACAGCGGGACCGTGGTCAACTCTTCACAGTCCCCTCAACTGGCGGACCAGCCGAGTCAAGATACCTCCACCGAGCAATCGCAGCCCGTCGCCGAGTCCCATCCGCCTGCCCCGACCCCGTCGACCACGGAATCCTCCGAGTCCGTTGAACATGCCTACTGGACCGAGTTCGATGTGGACACAAGTGCCCCGGACGAGGAGGAGGTGAAGGAGATCGAGGCGGCTGAAAACGACTACAGTGCTTATGACTGTGAGTTTTATCCCATCCGTGGCATGTAAGCGTGGCTGACCCGGACTATCTAGACGGGTACTGGGAGAAGAACTTCTTCGGGAATCTCGACGACCCCGAATATCAACCCGGCGAGAAGGCTCGTCTCACCTGGAAGATCAAGGGTGTCCGGGGAACCGCAGAACGGCCCAATCGAGCAACGGTCATGCGCTCTCCGGCCGCATACGTGGGTGGATATTGGTGGCGGATCAAGTTCTACCCCCGCGGAAACAATGTGGGCGCCCTGAGTGTCTATCTCGAATGTTCTCAGACTCTCCCCACCCCCGATCAACAACAGCCCCAGACGGAATTCCAAGTCCGCCGAGGCCCGTCAGATTCCGCCCTCGGTGCGCCAGACCTGGACATGCAGTTCGACGAAACCGATGATTCAGCGGCCTGGTTGGAAAAATACAAGTCGCAGTATCCTGCGGCCGCGGCCGCGGCTGCCACGCCGACCGGGTCAGACGCGGACCTGTGGCGGGTGTCGTCCCAGATTGGTGTCCTTGTGTACAATCCCGAGGAGCCGCGGACCGGATGGATGCAGTCCTCGTGCCATCAGTTCAACCCGCACAACTTGGACTGGGGATGGACCTATTTCCACGGCCCATGGGACCAGATCCATATTCGCCGACGAGGCCAGCACCGCCCCTTGCTGTGCGATGACACGCTCGCCTTCGATGCATATATCCGAGTGATCGATGATCCAACAAAGTCCCTGTGGTGGCATCCAAGTGACTCGGAGCCGACGTGGGACAGCCTGGCTCTGACGGGCTACCGGCCTCTGGGAGATTCGGTCATCAACCACAGTGCCGAGGTGGCCGGACTGGCCTCATGGTTGCATATCGCCCCATTCTGCAAGATCATCCAAAGTGTGGATGTGCTCGAACACTTGAACAATTGCGACGTCAAGCCCAAGCCTTTGTGTGATGCCCTCCAGAAGCTCTTGTGGCAGTTACGCTGCCGCAGCAAGTCATTGCAGTATGTCGACACAGATGGCATCACATCCACCTTGCGCAATCTCCATGAGTATTCCAGCGACGTGTCGGAGTTCTGGGAACGTCTGCGCCGGACGCTAGAATTGGAGCTCGCGGGTACTGACGCAGGCAAGCAGTTTGCCCAGCTGTTTGACAGTCCCGGCCCAGATACTTTGACCCTGCAATCAGCCAGGCCCGTGAATACCCTGCCCACGGGTTTCAATTCTCGTCTGCGTGTTTCGGCTGATCAATTCCGGTCCACGGGAGAAGCAGTCAAGAACTGCCTCGAAGCCAAACCAGGCTCATGGTCTCTACCACCGATCCTGCACGTTGAGCTCAACCGCCATGTCCTCGATAAGGGCATGCGGTGGCAGCTACTGTACAACAAGGTCGATTTGGACGAAGAGCTGGATCTTGCTCCGTATGTGGTCGACGGCCAGGAGGGCAAGTATGTCCTTTACGGCTATATCGTGCACCGTGGTCGCCGCACATCGGGCAAATTCTTCAGTATTCTCCGGCCGGCCGGCCCTGGAACCAGATGGTTGGCCTTCGATGACGGCAGCGACAACCGCGTGGAGTGCCTGACCCGCATGACGGCCCTGGGTCCGCATCTAGGTCTCAACTCGTCTCAAGCTGTGGATCACAAGAAGGGCCATGACGTTGCCGTCGGCGTGATGTACATCCGCAGCGACAAGGTATCCGAGCTCCTGCCCGGTCCCCAGGGTCCATGGGAGGTTTCAGAAGAGCTTAAGCAGTACTACGAGACCGGCGTTTATCCTTCAACCCCTCCGTCGGCCGATGGCAATGTTCAAGTCGAGGTCTACTCCCTGCCCCAGTACGAGCAGCTGAACAGTCTCTTCGACACCTACGACCTCATGTCCCAGGCCAAAGCTGCGAATGGGGTCATGTACATGACCCTGCCCCGCTCGTCTCCCATCGTCGATCTGCGTAAGAAGATTGCGATGTGGAAGTCGACCGACTCCGAGGCCCTCCGGCCCGAGCGAGTTCGTCTCTGGCAGATCGGACACACTCGCGCCCAGTTTGGTCCCACACTTGCATTTGACCGGATTACGGATCTGAATGCACCGCTTGATCCCTCGTTGAGCACCATTCGCTTCTGGGTGGAGACGATCTCAGAAGCGGATGCCAAGCTCTTTGCCATGCCTGATCCGCCCACGGCGACTACAGCTGAAGACAAACCCGACGAGTCTATATTCGAGCGCGAAAACTCCGGCACGCCCGAACCGTCCCCCTCCATGGCTGATGGGGATGCGGAGGCTAGTTCCTCTGGCAACGTCCCCAACGAGAGTGCTGTCGCTCCTGCACAAGTCACCAGTGTTCCTGACATCGGTGATTCACTTCCCCCAGTGGCCACTGCGTCCCCAGAAGGTGATGCATCTGCAGAAAGAGCCGAGGCCGAAGCCGCTCTGGCAGTGGCCGCAGCCCATGACCGGCAAGCGACGGAGGCTGCGTCGACTACCTCGACTGAACAGACTCCAAGCAGCTCCACCAATGTGGCGCCCGCTGAGCCCGCTCAGCCTGAATCCACTGTGACACCGGTTGAGCCAGAGGTAGCCCTCCCGGTGGGCCATGCGTACTACTTCATTCAGATCTTCGATGCCGACAACCAAGTCCTGCGCACTGTGGGCTCGTTCTTCTCCCAGCTCGAGGCGAATGTCAAGGCATCAATTCGGAAGCACCTCCAACGGCCGATTCGGCAGGATTTCCTCATGTGGAAGCGAGTGGATGGCACCACAGTTACGACAGTTTCGCCGGCCGAAAACTTCCTCGATGTGGTTGTTCCACACGGTGCGTGTATCATTATCGGGGACAAGTTGAGTAAAGACAAGTAAGCTTCACACCCCCCTAGGGAGTCCGCGCTTGAAATTCTAACAGTGTGTATAGACGCTCTCAGCTTGGCGCTGCTGGCATGTTCGCCAGTCCCGATCGCCTCGTTCAGTACTTGTGGGCCGAGTCTCGCGGTCATCCGATCCAAGGCTTCACCGGCACCAAGACTGTAGAAGCCACTTTCACAGCCGACTACTACAGCGGCCAGTTTTTGAAGGGCTACTACCACGGTCAAGGCAAACACATCTCGGGCACGGGTACCGTGTACGAGGGCGACTTCGTCCTGGGTCGGCGCCAGGGCCAAGGCAAGATGGAGTACCCCACTGGTGACACATACGACGGCGACTGGGTCGAAGACGTGCGCCATGGTCAAGGCACCTACATCGAGAAGTCAACGGGCAACAAGTACGTCGGTGGCTACAAAGACGGCAAGCGCCATGGCAAGGGCATCAGCTACTGGGAAGTGGCCGAGGACGAGATGGACCTGTGCCAGATCTGTTACTCAGAGGAGCAGAATGCCGTCTTCTGCGACTGTGGCCATGTTTGTGCGTGCGTGACCTGTGCGAAGCAGGTGGATCTCTGTCCGATCTGCCGCAAGACTATCAAGAGCGTCATCAAGATCTATCGGACATAAACTATTCGCAGTGCACACCCCCTGGTGGTAACGAAGTCATGACGGGTAAGGTTATATTTTTTGTTGACATTTCCTATTCACGTGGAGTGCTCTACCACCGTTACATACCCCGGCCTTTTTTTGGAAATTGAGCAAAGGATGGATTTGGAGTTTTGAGGCCGGCGAGTGATTTGGATAATTTTTCTTTTTCCGTGGGAGTTTGTTTGCGGTTGATGACGACTCGGTATATATGCATGCCACCACTCGGTGGACATAGATCACTTCTCCTTTCATAGAATTCCTTTTTTATTTTGGAGCAAATCGTTTCATGTTGATATTGACTGAGAAAAGAGGTATATCCAAATGCGCCCTGCCCGACAATGCTTTTTCCACATGAAGAACTACTACATACAAAACCATCACTTGGTCGCCTGCTTCCCCTTCTTATCCTTCTTCTCCTTTTCTCCCTCCTTCGCCGTCTTCTTCTCACCCTGTTTCAAGGACTTCTTTGTAGTAGCCTCAGTTTCAGTCTTGGCCTCTTCTGGCTGCGATGTCGACTCGTCCGACTTTTTGGTCTTCTTGGGTTTGTTCAGAACACCCTTGGGGTTGAGACCTTTGCGGCGCAGACGGTTACGCTCAGCGCGAACGATGCGGTCAGCATCATCATCCTCCTCGAATGGGCCAAAAGCTCCTCCTTCAAAGTCCATTGCGGACCCATCCTCATCCCGAATCGGAGTCTTGTCGACCACCTCGTCATCAGAAGAGGTAGCAGAGGGGGCACTCTTTTTGGCGGGACGATCTCCAGCCGTAGCAGCTGTGGCGTCATCAGTGGGGTTGGCAGAGACGGTGGGACCAATCTTCTTGAGTTTGCAGACGTAGAAGCCGTCGACGTTCTCACGGTGCGGGAAGTAGCGGCGGGTGAGCGCCATCTTGGCATCGAACTTTTTGCTCATGTAGCTGGTGAAACCGGGGCTACCGAAATCGCCCAGACCCGTGTCCACAATCTTGACGTTGGGCCGTTTCCGTAGCACGTACTGCACCACGGCCTCGTTCTCCTCCACGGTGACACTACAGGTCGAGTACACAATGTATCCTCCGGTCTTGGAGGAGTGGTCAACCGAGTCGATGGCCGCCAGAAGAAGTTGACGCTGCATGTGCGGGATAGCCAGGAAGTCGCGCTCGTTCTTGGATGTCTTCACGCTCGGGTCTTTCGAAATAACACCGGTACCAGTACATGGAGCGTCCAGCAGAACACGGTCAAAGCCACCCATAGCTTTGGGGAATGCCGTGCGAGCATCCAGGTTGGTCACGATGGTGTTCTTACAACCGAGACGGTGGATGTTACCAATCAAACCCTTAGCACGAGGCTTGCTGGCATCGTTGGCGATCACACAGCCAGTGTTGCGCATCAGCGCGGACATGTAGGTGGTCTTACCGCCGGGCGCAGCGGCCATATCGAGGACGCGCTCATTAGGCTGGGGTGCCAGCGCCATGACGGGCAGGAAAGAGGACGCCGCCTGCAGAATGTAATGGCCGGCCAAGTACTCAGGAGTGGCACCCAGGGGCACGGCAGACTCGAAAACCTGCAATCCAACCTTGGACCATTTCCCAACGGGCTCAAGAACGACACCGCGGTTGATCAAAGCCTGAGCAAGGGACCGACGGTTCGTGCGCAGAGTGTTGGTACGAATGACGACAGGGCGGGGGGTTTCGTTGGCTTCGAAGAAGGCGAAGGCCTCCATGGGCGTGAACAGGTTGAACAACTTCTCGGCCAGGAAACGGGTGTAGCCGTAGTAGGTGCAGATGTCATTCAGAAGCAGGTCAAGGTAGTCGGCACGCGACTTGTCCGGGTTACCCAGAGTCTTCAGGTCGCCCAGAATACGGATAGTGTCGGTGATGCGCTGCCGCAGCAGCTGCAGATCGGGTGCCAGACCCGGCTGGCCAGTCTCGGCGTCACCGAACACATCAGGACGGTCGCCGGCGATGTTGGTCTGCATGGCGGACTCCTGCAATTCCTGCTCTGCTTCTTCGTCTTCCGCCTGCTTGGCAGCGTCCAATTTCCGCGACAATCCCTCAATGTTGGCTGCGGTCAACCTCTCCTCCGCATCGGACAGGTCTTCATCGTCAGAGAACATGGTTTCGCGCGGGTGATCATCTTCGTCAGAGTCGAGAACCGAGTCATCTTCAGCGTTGAGTTCGTCGTCGTCATCCTCCAGGTCGGACAGACCTTCCACCATCTCATCACTATCGATTGATCCCTCACTAACGCCATCCAGGTCTCCAAACTCATCATCATCCTCTGAATCCGAATCCATGGGCACGGGCTGCTTCTTCCCTGACACGGGTTTCTTCTGTTCTTTCCTGCCATTCGTCGCGGCTGCACCATTGGCCTTGGTCTTCTTATGTGCCACTTTCTTCGTCACCAGCTCTTCCTCGTCGACATTGGCCCTCCGCCGCTTCTTGGCCGGCGCAGCAGCAGCCTTCGGAGCCGACTCTGCCTCAGCAGCCTTGCGCTTCTTGAGCATGGAAATCTTGCTTTCATCCAGCGGGGCCGGGGGGCCCTGCTTCTTCATGCGACGACCTTTGCCCATGGTGAGTTGACGGATTGGGTTGAATATTGGGCTGTGGTTCCTGCTGCGAACGCAACATTTTTCGCGGCACTTTTTTTTTCTGCGGGCGGTGGGCGGTGGCAGGAAACCGTCCCTCTGGGCGGTGTGTTCTGGCCTGATTCTTCAGGCGACAATATTTAGTGGTCACCCAACCCACCTCGGAGCTGGAACGCCTCGTCTACATTCATATATTCGGTGCCAACTGCGTTCACACAGCATTGAGCTGTCTCCCTCCTTTATTTCTAGTTGCTCCGTGTCCACCATGTCCGAGCTGGCCTTTGCCAAATCCTTCCTGTCCACGCTGGACTCCCGGCCCATCAAGCTGCGCGCTGACCATGTCTTCGACCCAGAGCAAGTGGGACTGCGAGTGCCCGTGAGTGCCTCTTCCTGGACCCGAGTCTATTAACTAACCATCTCGCAGTATACACTCCCCCGTCTGCAAGCCCCGCACCCAGAAATGCCCAAGAAAGTGAGATCCACGCAAGCCCCAGGCTCGTCGAAATCAATCACGGTGAATGTCAAGTCTGCCCGGAATCCTGCATTGGAGTTTGCGATTCCAAACGCTCCACTTGCAACCACCTCTCTACAAGATATCCGGGATGCGGTGGGCCAGCGCGTTATCGATGCACAAGGCAACCCGGTGCCGCTGGATAAGATCAAGATTCTGTACCGCCGCAAGCCGGTGCCGGGGACAGGGAAGACAATTGCAGAGATTCTGGCTGATGAGCCTGATATGCTGGCCGGGGGAAAGGCGGTCGAGTTGGGCGTGATGATTATCGGGGGCGCTCAGGTGGCTGCCACGCAACCTGAGACTGCAGAAGCTGGCGACAAGTCAGCACCCAAGGCTGTGGTGGGACCGAGTGGTGCGGAGGTACTGCAGTCGGAGGCATTCTGGGATGATCTACAGGGCTTCCTGGAGCAGCGGGTCAAGGATGAGACAGAAGCAAAGCGGTTGCGGGCGATGTTCCACAATGCTTGGAGTACCAATCGGTGATAGTGACTTTCTGTTCTAATGATACCTGATGTAATGTCCGTGGATGGTCTACACGGCGCAAAGAGAAGCGAGTAACGGAAGAGATATGAATTCGAATGTTATACACACAACATATGGCCACAAGATGAACGGCCAGTCAGCCCCGGAATACCGAGGGACACGGGGAAGAACGAAACGCCTGGAAGACCCCCTGAGACAAGGTCATGGGCGGCCTCCAAATAATTCAATGCGCGGAAACCGGTGACCAGTTCACGGGGACGTGGTATGAACCGAAGCAAAAGGAGAAGACAAGGAAAAGTAGGGTAAGATCTCTCAGATGTGCGCCAGGGAATCATTGCGAAGTGGCATATTATCAGTAGAGTCAAAAAGTACAATGACGAAGAGAAACAAAGGCACGAAAAAAGGCACCATATGCCAGGCAGTTTGGATGGGACACCATTGCAAATGCTCGAAAAGAAAGGAAATGGCCCGGCCAATCGCTCATTCGGTTCATGGCTCATATGAAAAAACGGTTAGGGGGAAAGAATAGGCGGAGAAATATACACGGTTGTATAACACGGGTAAAAATCAATACACGGCCGTCATCTCGTCAAGTCATTTCGAGAAAAAGGTCACCTCGAAAAGACCTTGACCACGCCATCGCCGCCGCCGCTGACGACCCAGCGACCATCGCGGCTCCAGACGACGGCACAGACGCCCTCACCGCGCATCAACCGGTGACTGGTCAGTTCCTGTGTGCAGCTGCGCTTCTCGAGGTTCCAGAACCGCAAGCTTGCGTCGTGGCCGGCCGAAACGAGTTCACGTCCATCCGGAGACAATGATAGGGACGCAATCGCAGCGGGATGGGCCAGCATGGTGTACGTGCATTGACCTAGGAAATCAAGTCAGATGGGACGGCTTCAAAAGACAGCTAGACCGCACTTACCGCTATTAGCATCAAAGAAACGAATGTACCGGTCCTCGTAACCACTGATAATCACACCCTCCACACTACTGGAACCGGTAGCACCGTGAACCACTTCCTCCTCCGCCATATTCCGGCTTGGGTCCAGGTTGGCCGAACCGTCGAAGCCAACAGTTGTAGCGACCACGGAGTTGACTCCAGTTGAGGGCGTGCCATCGTATGTTTCAAGGCTGGCCATGCCCGCAATTTCCTCGCCCGTCCGTGTATCGTAGACGAGAATGGAAGCATCCGAGAAGGAAACAACAAAGTTAACCCCGGCAAGAGACAGGGGGCTGATGCAAGTTGGAGAAGGCGAGTCGCTGCGAACGATGTGGTGAACAAGGGTGTAGTTGAAGGGCGTCGCGGTGGCGACGCTGGGTTGCGGAGAAGATGGGAAGTTGGATCCAGAGGAGATCGAGTTTGCACGCCGGCTTCCACCCTGGCGACGCGACCCCGCCTGTGGTGAAGAGAGCTGAGGAGGGGCACTGACAGCCCAGATTAGAATGCGGCCATCAGCAGCACCGGATGCCAGCAGGATGCGGTCCGGTCCACCGTAATGGCTGCAAGCGTCTCCAAAGACAGAGCCCGCAGTCCCCGGGAGGACACAGAGCCCCCACACCGCGTCTGTATGTCCGTCCAAGGTAGCCTTGGGGTCAACTCGACCACGTTCCCACACGCGCACGCTGGCATCTTGACCACCAGAGAACACCCATCCGTCGCCGAAGATACGGCCGCCGTTGGAAATATTCTGCGACGGAGAGCAGGCCGCGAGCGAGGTCACGGCGCCCACATGGCCGCGGTGCGTAAAATAGCTAGTGATGTCGAGATCGTTGCTGGAATTGGGGCCATGCGCTCCGAACCCACCGTAGGTGGCCGGGATGATCCATCGCTTGATCGATCCGTCGTCACTGCACGTGCAGATCTCGGGCTCCGATGGGCTGCCGCCGCCCGTAAAAATTACAGAGCGAATGACATCGAGGTGACCACGGAGGGCGAATCGAACCTTAAAGTTTGTATCTTGTTGCTGTCCGAATGTTGCGCCAGCGTCAACGGTGCCGTCACTCTTCCGCCGGGCACCAGAGCTCTTCCGCCGGTGGGACAACGAGCCGCTTCTCGGGGGCGACTTGGTACGAACAAAGTTGGCGTTTGGGAATGCGTCCGTATCAGGACGATGGGGAGGAATGGACTCGTTTGTCGGTTCATGTTCCACCGCGTCGTCAAAATTCCACCCATCCATGTCTTCCATCCGCTCATTGCCCTCCTTTACCACCACGTGAGATCCTTGAGCATTGGGTTCCATGCCACGATCGTCAACCAAGCCTTGTTCGTATGTCTGCCTCCGGTTGTCGATCGCGGTAACAGGCGTCTGCTGCGGTTCCAAAGGACGTCGCTCCAGTGCTTCGTGGGGAATGGACGGGTTCCCATACTGGTTGTCGGCGCGAGACATGGCTGCGTTCTCAGCGTAGTGCGAGCCCCCGGCCTGGTGGTTCTGAAGCGCCACCTCGCGCGCCATGACATGATTTGCCTTTTGTCGTTGTTGCTGAAGGTACGCTTCCTCCAGGTTCTGTTGGGAGAGGTGCTGGTTTCCATACAGATGGCTGGAAAGGTCGGGGTCACTCATGTCAGGGGCTGGGTGGGATGTGGGAATAACATGGTAGGCGACCTCCTGTGCGCATTTGGACAGGTAGACCCGTGATTTTTCGCGCTCGTCGTCCTGGCGGAATTCGAACTGGTCGGGGCGCTCATCGTCTTGGTCCGCGCCAAGGTCTGGAGTTGGCTTGGAGCGTTGTTCTAGCAAGTAAACCATTTAGTGCCTTGTCAAACCCATCAGTCCGTGCGACATACCTTTCAAGAATTGCACACTCTCGCGCGCAATCTCCTTCGAGTCTTTAGGGAGCTCGATTTTCTCGTTGTTGGATAGCTTCTTTGTCTTCTCCCTCTCTTTCTTCAGCGCCGTCTCCAGCAAGCGAACGTGCTTGCTGAGAGACTCGTGTAGGCGCTTGCTCGTCCGAAGGTCACCTTCTAACCGACCGATGCGAGACTTCATCTCTGCGCGCTCGATTTCCCACGCGTTGCGGTCGCGCTCGTGCCGATGCCATTCTGTCTGCAGAAACCGCATCACACCTATCAGGAGACAAGCTGTTAGCCGGGATCGGCCTGTCGCCGATTGAGGGATAGCAGACTCACCTTGCAACGTGTATTCTGTGCCCTGCGGGTGTCCGCCATTGGAAGGCCCATCGCCCATCGCCCCGGGCATTCCTCCGACCCCAGCCATGGCTGACGGGGACTGCCAAGCCATGTGCGATTTCAACACACGGCAGCACCGTCAGGAGAACAATGGGCGGGAGAAGACAGCAGGCCAGCCGAGAGGGTTCTGGTTTTCGTGATGATAGTGACCAGCGAGCTCGGGGTGGGCGTGTCCGGAGCTCACTTTCTCCTGACCCCGTCAATCGTATCCACCGGTTGAAGTAAGCGAGTCGAAAGCCCAGACCGGGAGGGGGGAGTGTGGTAGGACAACGGGGGGCGGCGTTCCACACCGAGTCAATCAATGAAAGGAAACGGTTGAGCGACGGGTTTCCAGGCAGGAGGAGCAAAGTCAGTCAATGATCATGGGGGAGAGGGAAAAAGGGAGGCAGGTGAGGAAGTAGTAGGGCCGGCTCGTCGGTGCTTGTTATGGGCCACGGATGGCTTTTCGGGGGCCTCGTCCCGTAGGTCGACCGCCTTCCTAATTGAGAGAAGGACGTGCTGGTGACAGCTGGGGAGGATGGTGGTGTTCTTCAGGTGATGAGAGAGCAAAGGAAGAGATGGGAAGAGTGAAAGGGTGCGATCTAACGTGGAAGTGACGGTGAACAGACACAGGCGCTCATGGGCACGTGTGGCAGTGGTGAGGGTGGCAGGCCTGGGACATCAGGCATCAACCATATGAGCCCCTTGAGGGTCAAGAGTGTCAAACGCCGGCTAATACCAATGTTACAGATTATAATTCCGTGGAATCAATTTGGGCTTTTCCGATCACGGATAGTTTGCACTTTTGAGGTACACAACACTGGTGGTGCGCTAGGGCTAGTTTTCATGAGCTGCCGTCGAACTATATATTTCGTCCCCATAGTAAAAACACCACCATCCTGCAACACCAAGTTTGTATATCTGTCCGATATTTCGACTAGAACTATATCGAACTAAGAGATAATCCTCAAAATCCATCGTCGATCCCCCTCTGTCTCTCCTCCTGGCGTCGACCACGAGTGAATGCCCACCACCACGCGTGGGTGGGGTCCCCCTCATTACTCCCTTGTTCCTCCCAAGGTTTCGGGCTGAGGATGTAATGGACGTTTTTGACCTGCCCATCTCGCCAGATAGCGTCATGAGCCCCGTCCCACCGCATGGTCTTGAGCGCATTGTACACATAAGGAAGCGCAACCAAGCGGCCATAGAACATGTCCCCGAGAAGAGACTGATCCGCAAAGTCATATTGTGATATTCTGGCAGGCAGCGCAAGCTAGGCGAGAATCTTCGTATATATTGCTAGAGACGGGATCACGACCTGGAGACCGCCATTGGGGATACCCAATCCTGTTGTGGCGGGAGCACCGGTTGATTGAGCCAAGTTCGGAGTACTACGTTGAGATGTATAGGCGCAGTTTGCTGGAATCCTTCAAACCGCGTGAGCGTTTTCGCAATGGGGACAAGGGGCAGATGAGCTCCTACCAGTTTTACGGATAATGGGGATTCCCCAGAGGGTTGCACACACAGGCATGACTCGCGGCAAATACACGATTCCCCGTGCCAGCCATGTCGGGAGAGTCCAGCTCGAGCTCCATGAGCTCATCCATATTACGGAGGACTACCATGTCACTGTCCAACTGGATGACACGCTCGTACTCAACCAGTGAGAACGGCGTGAGCTTGCTCCAGCAGTCATAGAAACGGACATCATCGGAAAAGTTCTTGTGCACTGATGGGAGCAGGTAAGGCACTTGCTGCCTCGAAATGCCTCGGGTAGCGAGAGCCGCATGGCCCTCGGCGGGAAAGGACTCAGTATAAAGAGCCACGAGGGGGTATTTGGATCCTGCTTTTCTTAGAGAGTACTCCAAGGTGAGAAGGCCGGGCAGATACGCGGTATTGGTGATGAGCGTCGTCCACACTGGACGCGGGTTAGCATGGTCTCCAAAAAGACACTGAACTCAACCCTGACCGTTTGTGGCCTGTTACACAGTCTTGATGAGGCATCGCGGGATGTAAACCGCCAGTCCATCTTGATTGGGGGTTGAAGGTGTAGTATACGATGAGATCACTCTACCTTAAAACGAACCGTGGTTCAAGGTTGGGGGACATGCAGTTCGTATTCTCATGGGCTCATCAGGTCAATAGACATATAGTACAATGCTAGAACTCCAGTTCTTCCACCTCCATACCACAATCTACACACGTTTTGACCGGAATACCGGTTTCGGGGTTGTCAACAGGCCGGCCCCATTGATGGACGTGTTTGCGTCCATTGCTGAGGTCGTCGCCAAACTCTCCTCCCGATGCACCTTGTCGACTGCGCCGGTAGGCTTCGACGCGTGTCCGTTTCTTCAGGTCCTGCAACTTGGTCTTGAATTTGGCCTCTCGCCGCCGTTTCTTGTCACTCTCGCGTCGCTCAAACTCGGCGTCCAGGGCTTCTGCAGAGCCCCATTTTTTGGACGAGAGCGCATATTCTTCGACTTGATATCGAAGATACAGCATCATGTTGTTCCAGGTCGATTTGTGCGGGTTGGGACGTTCCAGATGCGGGAGGAGCTCTTCATCTCGAAGCTCCGCTGTTCAGCCGATCCATTAGCTCGTGATAGTAATATGAATCGAAAGAGAAACTCACGATCAGTCAGGAGATAGTCCTCCTTTGCCTCCGTCTTGGTCAAGAGGCTATATTTTTCGGGGTACTTGTCTTTGCAGGAATGGCAAATGCAACACCGCAACATCTCCTCCCATTTCCAATCAATTTCGAGACTGCCGCATTCACGGCATCTTTTCTGCTGACTTTTATCATCCAGGACGCTGAGCCCCGGCTCAAAAGGCCCCTCGTGATTTCGCCGCAACGATTCAAGCAGCTGATGGCGTTCCCATTCCTTCTGTGTCATGTGTGCCGGCTTCTGTTCCTTTCCATCCGATACATGGAGCGCTTTGTTGAATGGGTCGTCCTCCTGCGTCAAGAATCCGCCCTTGGTATCAGTCATTTTGCTAAAGTCATAGTCGACGTATCGCGTGAAGTTGCGGGCAGGCTTTATGGCGTCGAGTTCCGACGAGGCCGGGTTTGTGCGCGCATTGCGCACGGTTGCTGGTGGATCTGAGGATGTCATCGAGTTGAAGGAGCGCTTGACACCTTGAGTGGGTTGTGCTGTGCGGACAGAGGTCGGAGCAGTGGCGGCTTTGGCCCGTTCGGCCTCGCGCTGTTCTCGGAGGGCTTTGGCTTTCATGCGGTTGACTTCCTACAAAAGGCGCCATTAAAAAATGGTTACTGGTTTCCGCAGCCTATCGTTGGGATGCGGGCACCTACGATTCTTTGCTTTTGCTCTGGCGTCAGCGGAGCCCGAGGAAGCTCCCCTGGTCCCGGACGACCCGACCGGGATGGGGTCGAAGGTTGATCTGACATGTCGACAAGCCAGCAGTCACCACTGCTCGGGATTTTCTGAGGGGGACCGGGATGACGAGAAGAGAAGGAAAAGCAGAGGATCTCCGGCCCTTGAGGATGATCGAGTCACGTGACACGCGCCACATCATTGGCGACAACAGGTCTATTAGAGGGAGGGAGGGAATCACTCGCTATGAGAAGGAAGACCGCCGATAATCCGCCGTCTGCGAAGAGAGTTCCAAGTCGTCGTTCCGCTCTTGGCCGTACAGCACCTCACACACGCCTCCCACCGGCACATCCATAACCGCATCGGTGCCTTCGTTCCAGATCTCCTGCCAGTTCACCTTGCGATTCTGGGGGCCCATGATCTGATAGGACGTCGCACCCGGTTTCATCTTTGCTGCCCCCCCAGGTCGTCGTCGCGCTTTTCCGTCAATGACTGCGACATTGGCGACGTCGTCCACGATATTCTCCATGCTATTCATAGGCAGGGTCAAGTAACCGGTGTTGTACGACGCTAGTGCCACGTAGATGTAGATGATCAAAACCACTAGCCATGCTGGGATTGCTAGCGACCACCAACGGTTGGGATAGTAGTAGATGCCGAGTTGGTGAAGAAACGGGGATGGAAGATACGACCACAGAATGTATATCACTGGCGTCGATTAGCATATAAAACCAAACCGATTGACGTTACAACTGACAAAATGCCAAAGACGAAGCCAAATATAGGACGAAGCCGTAGTACTCGTAGGTGGGAACCTTGGGACTGGCGCGCGGAACGGTGGTTGCGCGACGAGCGGACTTGGCGACGGCGGCTTCAGTGTCGTTTGGGGTTTCCACATCCGAGCTGTCCGGAGTCGTTGGGCGCGAGGTGGTGGTTGAGAATGGCGGCCGGAGAAGAGAGGTCAGCGAAGGCGATGGTGGCAGGGGCGTCGGTGGCCGGTTGTAGAAGGGAGGCGCAAAAGCATTGGGTCCATGGAGCGAGCTGGCAGACTGTCGGAGGGAAGGGTGCATTCCAATACCATCATCATCATCCCCCGAGTCAGAGAACGATTGATTTTCCGAGTAATGCGACTGGAAGTCGGCGTCGTCCTCCACCTCGACCTCCTCGTAGCCCGGAGAGGTGACGCTGCCGTCCTCTTCGACGTAGCTTCCTGGCCCATCTGGCGAGGCAAGGTCATCTTCTGACAGGGATGGGAATGGCTGTTTCTCAAAGGGCGCATTGAAAGGCACCTCTTTTGACGAGTCGTCCATCTTGTCCGGCAAAGAGAGCGAGAGAGAGAGGCAAGCTTCCCGGGTTGTTGACGGGGGCATTTTCTGCCGGGATGCGACCCACCGCCTTTTTCTTTTAGGGTTACCACTCTATACCTGGGCAGCTACACAGATGTTCTGCATTCTACTCCGTAAGTTGGGCTATAGTTTTGGTTTCCCTGAACCCGTGTTTTTAATACGGCTATAATTGATAATGGCGAAACATATATAACGATGCCACTGGCGTATATGCACCTCATCTGTCCGTCGCGACGTGCAAGAAGCGGACTTGGATTGTCCACGAATCTCTCACCCTGGGTTGGCAGACCTTCTTGATCACCTCTTTCGTCTCATGTACGACCCCCGTCAATGCATGGTTAGTCAAGGCACGGGCCATCAGCGCATCTGTCTTTGGCTCGAGCCTCCCTGACTCTAGTAGATCTCCAAGGAATTGACAGCGACGGGTCCCACATGTTCGCCGTGACATCAGAGTGTTGATCCGATCTCTTGATGGTGGTTGCACATCTCCAAATCAAGAAGCTGGACATCTCTGCAACTCAAATCAATGCATCCTCATCGGGGCTGGTGCATTAGGCGTCACTCACCAGCCTCTGGAATGTGCGGTGCTGCCACCCAACTGGATTTCTAGTCATCACCGCTAGAGAGGAAAAGGCCCCCTTGCGTTCAGTCTGAAAGTCCACGTCCTGCCAAGTCAGTCCCAAGAATCGTGTGTGGTGAATAATGGCGACGCCAGACGCTTCTCATCCAGTCAGCCCTATTGCATCAGCCACGACTCCGGATACTGTAGGACAAACCAAGCCATGAACTCTGCAGCCCAGATCGTCATCCCGCACTGACATCGTGTGTGACCATCGGCTCGAATCAGCTTGCACTGCCGCTGTGGGTCACACACCAATGGGAAGTCTTGTCCCGGGATGGCAGTTCGTGGTGCACGGATCGGCGTCCCGGCTGCTGAGTTCAGGGGTCATTCACTACCATTAGTTCTGTACGCCATCGAGAATTCCGATCGACACGTCTCCACTCGATAGTGTCCTTCCTCCGGAAATTATTTTGCCTGCGCCTCGAACGGGTTGTTGGTGCCATGACTTTAAGTCGGCAGCAGAGTGTGGACGGCCAGCCCGAGTTCTAGGAATTTGATCCTAGTCCTCCACTGTTCGCGATGCCGGACAGACTAAGATCGGCACATCCTAGCATGACAATCCCTCATCGCGTCCCGGAATTTGGGTTCGATGGGCCCCACCGAGAAAGGATTGGCTAGCGTGCGATCTATGTCTGGTAGCCTACCTCCTTTCGAGTGACAGATCCAAAAAGACATGCATGGTCGGTGGGGAGGGGGGACGGGCCGACGCAATGTTTTTTTTTCTGGGCCTTCAGGCGAATATTATTAGGAGCCAACTGCCCCCTTCATCATCCTGGTCGCTCAGTCTCACTGTGTTCTTCGGAAACAGGTGCTGGCCATGTCGAGTCCTAATATTGTGGGTGCCCCCCGTCCAGCCGGAAACACGCGCACACACTGATCTTGCTTGTAGAATCCCAACAGTGACCCGAATGTCGGCTCATCTCGTGGCGGCCCCCAGTCGACCACGGGCGAATTGGCTGCTGGGGCCACTGGTGCCAGTGGCTCGTCGCTCTCGGCATTTGTGACGACTTTGGTCCCGGCGTTGATTATTGCCGTCTTTTGGTTTCTATTGTTTCTGGTCTGCCGACGAACACAGCGCCGATGGTATGCACCGAGATCCCACCTGCCGGATCTCCATGATCAGTAAGTAACGTCTCCTGCATTCACTGTGTCAGACAGCTAAAACTTGCACTCCAGCCAGCGGAGTCCAGAATTGCCGACAGGCTGGATCAATTGGTTTGGGACCTTTTTCAAGATGGAGGACAATCATGTTCTTCATCACTCCTCCTTGGATGGGTATTTGTTCCTGCGGTTCCTGCGCATGCTGTGCACGATATCCTTTGCCGGAATTCTCATCACATGGCCCATTCTGCTCCCGATCCATGCCACTGGCGGCAATGGGAACAGCCAGCTCGACCTTCTCAGCTTCAGCAATATCGCGAACCCCACTAAGTACTATGCGAATGTCTTGGTGGCATGTGTCTACTTCAGTTAGTGTCAAAGGTTCTGTCGTATCTTGGAGCAAGGCTGACCATCTCCCAGCGTTTGTGTTCTACGTGGTGACCCGGGAGAGCCTGTTCTATGCGAATCTGCGGCAGGCCTACCTTAACTCCCCCGCCTACTCCTCTCGAATGTCGTCGAGAACGGTGCTCTTCATGAATGTGCCACCCGACTACAGGAACGAAAAAAAGCTGCGACAAGTATTTGGTGATTCAATCCGTCGGATCTGGATAACATCAGAATGCAAGGAGCTCGACAAGCTGGTCACCCAACGGGACAAATTCTCTTACAAACTAGAAGGAGCCGAAACCAAGCTGATCCGAAGGGCGAACAAGTACCACATTGATGCTTTGAAGAAAGGGGACATGTCTGCCGACACATGCCAGGATTGTGAGTCGAACGATCCATTTGCGAACATCACTGTCAAGCGCCCCACCCACCGGCTCAAACTATTATTTGGCAAAAAAGTTGACTCTATCCACTGGTATCGGTCGGAACTGGCCAGGGTGACCGAGGAGGCTACACTTCTCCAACAGAAGCACCTCGAAGGCGAAGCTAAGCAATTGTCTGCAGTTTTTATCGAATTTGGCTCGCAATCTCAAGCTCAGGTTGCGCTGCAGACTCTATCTCACCATCAGCCCTTCCACATGGCACCACGCTTCATTGGTATCTCGCCACAAGAGGTTGTGTGGGGGGCATTGAATCTCAGCTGGTGGCAACGTATTGTTCGCCGGTTTGCGGTCCAGGGAGGGATCGCTGCACTAGTCATCTTCTGGTCGTTTCCCGCTGCCATCGTCGGTGCCATCTCGAACATTACCTACCTTTGCAAGCTTCTTCCCTTCCTGAGGTGGATTCTCGACCTCCCCTCTGTTCTGAAGGGTGCTATTCAAGGACTGTTGCCGTCGGCTGCCCTGGTTTTGCTGATGTCTTTGGTGCCGATTATCTGTCGAAGTAGGCATACTTCTCCACCTGTTATTGAACTCCGCTAATTGCAACGCACAAGTCTGCGCTCGAAAATCAGGAGTGCCGTCACTGGCGCGAGTGGAGCTTTTCACTCAAAGCGCCCATTTCGTCTTCCAAGTGGTGCAAGTCTTCCTGGTGACCACTCTAACATCGGCTGCGTCGGCGGCCACAGAGCAGATTATCAAGAATCCCCTTTCTGCCAAGGACCTTCTGGCCAAGAATCTCCCCAAAGCGACCAATTTTTACATTTCGTATTTCCTCCTGCAGGGACTGAGCACCAGCTCTCTTGCTCTGGTCCAAGTTGGCAGCGCCGTGGTGTTTAAATTTATCACCACCTTCTTTGCATACTCTCCGCGCCGTCTTTTCCAGCGTTGGGCAGAGCTCGGCGGCGTGAGCTGGGGAAATGTCTTCCCCGTTTTTACCAATATGGGTGTGATTGGTAAGGAATTATCTTGCAATTTTCTGATCCACCAAGCTAACATACTCTAGCATTGACATACTCCTGCATCGCGCCGCTAATTCTCGCTTTTTCCTTCCTTGGCCTGTATTTGGTGTACCAAGCCTACCGATATAATTTCCTGTTTGTATACGACCTCAACATCGACACCAAGGGTCTCGTGTACCCACGAGCGCTGCAACATCTACTCACCGGCGTCTATCTGGCTGAAATCTGCATGATCGGCTTATGTGCAATTAAAGGTGCCATTGGGCCCGTGATCATCATGGCACTATTTACCATTGGGACAGTTTTGGCTCATATGTCCCTCAACGAAGCAGTAGCCCCGCTCAACACCTATCTGCCGCGGACCCTGGATGCAGAAGAGGAAGAAATGCAAGCAAAGGAAGATGCCGTGGCCGAGATCAATGAATCGCGCCGCAAATCACGGCGCGGCGCGGCAATCTGGAATTGGTTCCACCCGGACGTGCACAAAGACTACGCCAAACTATGCCGCAAGGTGCGGCGCAACATTGCCCAAGTCGAGTATACTCCAGAGGAGATGAGCACAGCGTACTACGAACCGTGCATCTCGTCGCCTCCGGCGACGCTCTGGATTCCGCGTGACAGGTGGGGATTCAGTCAGCACGAAGTCAGTGAGACGAAACGTATTATTCCCATTACGGATGAGGGTGCCCATCTGGATGAAAAGAACAAGATCATCTGGGATAAATACGACCCTCATCTCCCATTGCGGGAGAGGAAGACTCTTTATTAATGATTTCCCATTCATTTCATGTTTGACAACGACCTTTTCTCTTGTACAGTACAATAGGGCGACCTTGGGGCAACTCGGCGCACGGGGTTATTAGCCGGTCTCGGGATAATTGGCGCTTTGTGAAGTATAATGGACTCGAAACATAGTTCATTGTATTCATTTCCTATCAATTGACTAGAGCACAGAAGACCAAGCAGACCATTCAGACCGTCAGGGTAAAATTGACCGCATTTGAGGCACCATTGTCTCGGGGAAAGAACTCAAACGTAAAGACAGTCGTTTCACCACCGGCGATGACGGAGTCAATAGCAGAGGACGTAATGATCACATCCGAGGCGCCCCAGTTATATTGGCTGGAGTAGGTCTACACGGCTCAATATTAGCATATACACAATTCACAAAGGAAGCGAAACTTACCATTCTAGCTTGCTGTATAGGACCAAGGTACTCCGTCCAGCTATCCACCAGATAAACGCCGCTGGTGGTCATGCCCTTAACAGCTGCCACGGTAGCCAGTCCGCCCCAGGTGATCGGAATAGAGAGGTCAGCTCCCTCGACGGCAGATGCCACGGCCGAGGTGGACGAGAGAGTCGGGGTCTGCCATTGGACAATCTGGATGACGGGTGACGAGTCACCACCAGAGAAAGTCACAGTGAGGTTTGCAATGACTCCCGGCGCTGTCGTTGATGACAAATGCTTGGAAAGATATGAGGCCGAGAAGGTGATGTTTGATCCGGAGACAGAGTAGTCCGTCCCAGATGCCAGTTTTGAGCCAGTAGAATCGCTTATCGAGGATACCGTATTTCCATTGAAAATGAAAGGCAAGCTCTGGGCCGCCACAGCAGTACCGTATTGATGGAAGATATAGGCTGACGACCATTGCGTGGCGGCGTTGCCATCCTCGGTGCTGTCTGGCAAGCTGTTGGCAGTTGATTTAGTCGACTTGGTGATCATTGAGATCGATTCCGGATCGCGCCAGACACCAGTAGTGCGGTCCAAATGATCTAGACCGTTATCCCAGAGGATGCAGGAGACATCGAAGGAGAGTGCGTTGCGAATGAGATAGTCAACATACTTCCAGCGAGCGGCTGGCTCGGTGTTGGTGGGAGAGGCATCATACTCGCCGAGCACTATGGGGACATTTGTGAAGTTATTTCGCAGCAAAGTCAAGTCGGACAGCACGGCAGCTTTATCAGCGTCGGAACCCCAGATAGTCTTGCCCCTGCTGCGGGTTAGTGGAATAGTTTCAGTGGATGGATGTTCTTACCAAGCGCTGAAGATAAAGTCATCTATAAACAGTCAGGAGAAAGAAATAAGATTTAACACGATTGAAACTCACAAGGACTATAGTAGTGGAACTGAATCGCATATGGATTCGGGAAGCCCGATGGAGCCACAAACCACTCGGAGGTCTTGATGCTGTCTTCGCCGCCACCAACTAGGGTCACAACGCGCTGGGAATTAAACCCGCCAGCATCGTTGATAGCCTGCAGGAAAATCTGATTCAGCCGGTTGATTTCCGCAGCGTTATCTGCATTATCACAGGGCGGCTCGTTGATGGGCTCGAATGCAACGAGGCTGGGTTTGCAGGCCAGCTTGGTACCAATTTGGTACCATAGTCGGTAGAATTTCTCTTCGATCATAGTGATATTAGCATCGGCTTGGGTGACATCGGCCCAAATCCAGGAATCTGAAAATGGTTACTATGAGACGTTCTACTTTAGGGCTGGAGTCCTTTCTGACCATGGTGAACGTTGACAATGGTGTAAAGGCCACGGGAAGTGGCCATGTCAATTACGCTCGAAACTCGCTGCAGCCAAGTTGAATTGACAGTCCACTCTGGAGAGTCGCTGGTGAAGTGATAAGCGTATGTGACTGCAACTCGTCAATATATGCTGTGGGAGGAATATTGGAGGTCCAAACCTGGAATGCGAACGCTCTTGAACCCGGCAGACTTCACCGTATCAAATGTGGACGCAACCACCGGTGGGTTATTCCAGGATCCTTCGTCAGGAGTGGCGTCCAGCGTATTGCCCAGATTCCATCCTGGGTGGAGGCTAGCAACAAAGTCGGACGCGGAAATTGAAACGAATGTTCCCGTACAAGTGGCTCCTGTCGAGGTCGTCGTCCGGGAAGTTGTGGTGGTTGTCGTTAGGGTTGTCTTCAATGTAGTGGTTGTCGTCGTGGAGTGAACCGATGAGGTCGTCTTAGTGCTTGTCGTAGACGTTCCGGGAACACATTGATAGTAGTCTGGAAATATATAAGTCGGATCGTGGATATTTAAAATGGTAGTTCAAAAGCTTACAAGGATTCTGCGAAGTGCAGTAAAAACTCGAAGTGCAGCTCGTGCTTCCAGTGTATCCAATTCCCCCACCTGAATGCTGTTAGTTAATTATCTCGATATATTGATCAGACCAGGCAGGGTACACATGCATTGGCCATAACCACCAACCTGGGCTCGAGCAGTGCTGGCGATAGCCGCAAGAGCGGCAGCAAGTAGAACCCGCATGATGAAGTATTCTGACACAATTGCTCTCTGTCTTTAATAGTTACTCGAGTCAAGCAATTACCAGACCACGGTCTCTTATTTATCATATTGTCATAGAGGTACAGATCCTACTCCGAGTATATCACGGCAAGGAGATAGACTCCGTAAAAATTTCTCCATTTTTGGTCAAGGTCTTGGAGAGAGTCAAGATTATCCCTGCTAGTAGGGGGGTTTAAACTCCTACAGAACCTTACGGTATACGGAGAAACGTCTTCTTGAAGAAGCCAAGGCCGATGGTGAATTGACCAGTTCACCTGACGGGCCGGAGAACCGAATTAATGGCTCCATAGGTTTGTTTGGTGTATAAAGACGAGGGTTTTAAGGCTAGGTTGTCCGCGCATGTAGATCATCAGAGGTGGGAAATTTATATTATTACCCCGGAGACTTGGCCCGTGTTGGGTTTCAGCACTTATTCAAATGCCCAACCCGAGACTAGAGAAGCGATTGGTCCACAACAGCAGATCAAGGACCTCCGTTACTCCGTTTCAGGTCTATCTTCCCCGCTGTGGCGCTCGCTGCAAGACGGAGAATAGCGGGGAATAGATCCGTGGTGGATTAGGAGCACAATTCTTCAGGAGGTTTGTTATCAAATATAGTTCAAAATATTCTAAGCTACAAGGTCAACCAACCATCCGACCCCAAACCTCTGACTGCAGGACCATGTATCGCTTCATCAAATTCGTTCCGTCATCAGTAAACGCCGCTAGCTAGATGGGAGAAAAAAGGCCAAAAAAGTGTGTTCAGCGAAGAGAGACAAAAAAGATTTATTGCGCCATAGCAACGGCAAAAGATACTGATCGTATGGATAAATCACATAACGATGCAATCTTTGTTCCGATCTCTATTTCGATCATATTGCCCCACGGGAACGGTACCGGGTGATCGGCGGGGGAGGTGGCTCTGCGAGTGCCGGATTCGATTCGACGGTGTATCCTGGTATCTCTGCTGTGGTGGTGAATATGCCGGGCCATTGGCTGCCTGTTCATATGAAGGAGGAGGGGCGTTGGGGTCGTTCGGATCAGGGCCAGTGGCAGGTTGGGCAGCACTGGATGTTCGGTTGGGTGGGTTGTTCATGCTAGGGGAAGGTTGACTGGAGGTACGGCGATCGTTCCTGGCATTCTCACGTTGTTCTTCCTCTTGAAACTGGAGAGAGAGTGCGTAGGCGTAATCTGCATCGCTCTGCTCCTGGGAAGATAGCTTCCTTTCCTGATTTTCACTCGTAGCAGGAGGGCGGTTGGCAGTTGTACTAGATGTGCGTGGGCCGGCAGGATCGGAGGTGGCTGGTGGGTCGTTCCCAACAGGACGAAAGTCACCAGAGAGGAACCTTGCGTTGAAACCGGTTACATCGACGAGGGATTCCCAAACGACCTCGGCGTGGTTTGCGTAGCCTGCGTCGGTGACCAGACTGTAGAGTTGATGCGACGTTGGGTGCTTGTAAAGAGTAGAGAAATGGTCGTTGCGGAAGAGAATGGAGACTGAGCCGGGAGCCAATCTTGTGGTTAGTTGTGTCAGACCGAAAGGACTTAATTGCGTGGCGGTTTCGATGTCCACAAATGACAGGATAGTTTGGATGTCCGCCATAACCTGCTCTTCTTCTGACGTGAGAGACTCATCACGCATTACGCGCTCTTCGAGCTCTTGTTTGCGGAAGTGCAAGAGCTGGATATCCTCATGATATTGAGCGACCCGAGTCATGGCTTCGTGCGTCGGGCTAGACCATGGGGCAATCCAGCCATGGATCAAAGGCACCCTAAATGTACTATAAAGTCGAAGGTCGCTGGTTTGGAAAAACGAGCCTAATGAGTCGGCAGATTCCTGGTAACAGATCAGTTGCTGTACTTTCAAGATTGCATATGGTGCTTACCAAAGTCAGTCGCGGGTTGACATTCATGCCGGTGTGCAACATCGTCAAGAATTGAGCGAGGGCTTCAATATCCGGGAACTCCTCATCGGGACTCAAACACATGGTCAATTCCTCGAACATTGCTTCGATCAGCAGCCCCAACGAGATTTGCTCGCGGGTCTGCAGCGCTTTGAGAATCGGCGTTGGTATCTTAGGGTCGGCACGCAGCACTAGAGCATTGATCAATGCAAGCAGGGGGCATGGCCCGTTCTTGTTCTGAACAAGAACCGAGGACTCCTGCAGTTGGCCCGTCCGGTCTATCCAGTTGACGTGTCGAATGGCATAGGTCTCAGACCTTTGCTCTTTCTGTCGCGCGGCCTCTGCTGCAGAGATACTCTTCCTTTGCGCCGACAACTTTTGCAGCTCCGTATTAACCTTGGAGAAATACGAAGCCCTTTCTAGCGCTGGGGTGTCCATAAGCTCCCGTTCCTTGGTCTTGTCGCCGCCCTTGGACGAGTACACAGACGATGCGGCACAGTGAGACTCTGTTTCGACCCCTAAGTGATCGTGATCCGCGTCATTAAAATCAATGAGTTCATGAGAGGTTGTGGTAGTTGCACTGGAGATTGTGGCTGATGGGATATGGAGTCCGGCTTCTGAGGTGAGTTTGCTGGGAGCGTGCGGTTGTTGGGTCTGCTGCGCATCGAATGGGTCTCTATTGGATGGGTCGGGGGTTACAACAACAGGTGGGGTATATGGGTTTGTTTTTTCCCCTTGACAGTAAATCGACTGGGGGTCCGAATACTGCCTGACCGGCTGAGCCTGGAATTGGCTGTCTAGAGCGTGCTGATGGTCGCCGGGCAACACAGGGTCTCGCGCAGAGGAAGCTTGACGGTCAGTCCACGTCTCTTGCTCGTTTTCGTCCCAAAGAGACAGTCGTGCGGTCATGGGAATATAGCCTTCCGCTGCAGAAGATGTTAGTGTCCGGCATTTCCAGGGTGTGGGACTGAACGCACACTGGCTGAGCGGTCCACTACTAGACGTGGTATGCGAATCGCGCCGGCTCTCATCGCTCATGCCCTGGCTGAGCTGCGACGTCCGCGGCTTCAGGAACGGGTTATTCGACTGCAACTGCACCGGAGACACCCCGTTGGAGGTATTCGGAGTAGACCTCCGCCATTCATCGCCTGCCGGCCCTGGTTGTGGACCTGTCCGCTGGACCGCCGGAACCAAGTGGCTGCTACCATCCGAAGTTGTTGCGTCGTGCGTAGAATCCGGGTGATCCTGAATGTCATCTGGCCAGGGGCTTTGAGCGTAGCTGGTGGGCGACCCCACCGGGGACTTTTGTGCTTCTTCGAGCGGCATGAGGTCGAACGCGGGCGACGTATTGAGGTCCGGGGAGTATATTGAGTCCTGGGAGGGGATGCGATTCAGGCAAGCCAGCTGTCCGGGTGAAGGAAGAGAGCTCGCGGGGGAAGCGGTCGAGCGAGGCTCGGACCGCGCAGTCCGCTTGTTGGAGATGTTCTGAAGACGTGGTGGGGGCGATTTGCGCAGCACCATGAAGTCGGGTCGGTCAAGTCGGGGTGCACTAGTACGAGATGGGGTGACGCTGGGGCGGTTTTGGGCGGGATATTTTCAGCAAGCAAGAGCCGCAAGCTCATCAGGCTGAACGTGATGGAAGGATCCAAAGAGTGTGGCCCCAATAATGCCAGAAACAAAGCACGACGCCCTATCTCTGGGGGGTTGCCGTGATTGTAGTCCCGGGAAAGTGAGCCATCAGGTACGGGCCCATCGAAGACGGCGGGGATGGTCTGCAGGGGCTGAAATCCCAGCGCCGTGATGTATCCGTTTGAGTGCTGTATGTATGTAGTTGGTTAGAACAGCACAGGTGGGCCATGCCCTGAGAAGGGCTGAGCAACGGAGAGCAACAACAAATGATGTATGTAGCCAGGCATCCACTTTTCCTCCCCAGACGGAGAGATCGGTAACAGACGTCACGTATAGTATCGGGGAAACCTAAACCCGGAGACTGACCGCCCGGTCGGTGATTGGCGGGAGCTGGGCTGGACTGCAAAAAAGTTCCCAGGACGAAGCAGATGATGGTTACTGTCGCATGAGTTCCCCCTGCCCAGCATGCATTCCTACATTCGGCCACACCAGTTTGTGGCCCTCCGGCTGCCGTCGGACATGCTGAAGATTGTCAAGCTCATCCCGGATACGTGAGTCGGCTCCGCGGCCTAACCTGACTGTGCTGATGGATGCGATGCAGAACCGTAAACTTGGGCAAATATGGCCTATTCCCGGCAAACCAGATCATCGGACGGCCGTTCTACTTGACATATGAAATTGACAACCCAGACGAGAAGGATGGCCATGTGCTGCGGGCTGTCTCCGCCGCCGAACTGCATGCCGAGGCCCTCATCGCAGACGCCGAAGTCGACGGAGAGGGTGACGGCCTGGAGCAAGAGAGTGGGACCCCGATGCGCACGAACCGGGAGACGGTCGATGATGCATCGACGCAGCGATTGACGGTGCAGGAGATCGAAGAGCTGAAGAAGACGGCCACGGGGGCGGGCCGAGAGATCGTCGAGAAAATCTTGGAGTCGCACTCGGCGTTGGACCAAAAGACCGCCTTCTCGCTGGCCAAGTACACGTTACGGAAGCGCAAGAAGTTCATCAAGCGATTTACCGTTTTTCCGATGGACGTGAGTTTGCTCACCAACTATATTTTGGAGGGACGGGATGCCGCGAGAGCCTTGGAGCTGCGGGACGAACATATCGGTCTGCTCGGGTGTTTGGGGAATGTACACCACGGGGGAAATCTTGCGATGGATTCAAGTCCTGTGTCGAAGCCGAATAGTCGGTACTTTGTGGTCGACGATACAGGTGGCCTCGTTGTCGCGGCTATGGCCGAGCGCATGGGCATTCTATACCCCCGAGACGAAGACGAGGGGGATGAGGACGAGCAACAGAACACTCACAACAAGCGTCCTCGTCAAGCCCCAATGTCTGCATCCGGCAACACCATCACTGTCGTCCACTCTTACTCACAACCGAACTTATCCCTCTTGAAATACTTTGGCTACGACACGGACAAGCCCGATGAATCACATCCTCTCCACACTCATCTCAAATCGATCAGCTGGATGCAGCTGATTGACCCCATGGCAGATCCCATCTACGGAAACGAGCCACCCGTCCTCCCGGCATCGGAGCTAGAAAGCTTCAAGCAGAGCAGACGCAGTGCATATTTCCACAAGCGCAATCGATGGGAAAAGGTGAAAAGCGTGGTGGATGAGGCGCGAGATGGTGGATTTGATGGACTCGTTGTCAGCACCTTGATGGAGCCAGCAGGCATCCTCAAGCATCTGGTTCCACTGCTTGCTGGGTCGGGCTCTGTCGCCGTCTATTCGCCAACCATCGAGCCACTCACGCAACTGATGGACATGTACTCCACAGCTCGGAGGACGGCATTCATCCACCGGAGGCGGGAAGTCGAGACACAAGGTGGCTCAGATGCCGAGCTGAAGGAAGAGTTTGAACTCGATCCCACCATTCTGCTCCCTCCCAACCTGCACACATTGCGCGTGCGCCAGTGGCAAGTCCTGCCTGGTCGTACCCACCCCCTCATGTCCAGCCGCGGCGGCGCAGAGGGCTATCTCTTCCACGGACTTCGCGTGTTCCCAACTACTCAGAACATCCAGGCCGCAGGCGCCTTCCGGAAACGACGGAAAGTGACCAGCACGGCCAGCCCGGGCAGTGATTCAGACGTCGAGATGGCATCGACATCTGTGTAAAACTCATTAGCTTCACACTGTACCAATATAACGATTGCATCTTTTAGACCTGTTACGCAGAGAGTGAGCTGGGCGGAGTAGTAACAGAATTCCATTTCATGCGCTGAATCATCGAAAGAAAGTACAATGTATAGCAAATGCGGGCATCATCTAAAGGCTCTTCCCCATGAACTTTCTCTTTGTGAAACTCAGCCAGAACTGCGGGTATTGTTAGCGACCTTCCCATAATCTCGGATGGAGCTTACCTTTGACGGCCCGACTCCGCCAGGGTATAGTCGAGCATGTAGCCGGATGGCGATTTCCTGTCGCACTTGGGAGATGTACCTAGGAGTGCAACCGGTCAGAGCGGTAATTAATCAGGCACACAGGGCATAGACCTACTGCCGAAGACTCTCTGCGTCTTGGCGGTCGCGTGGGGGCTCAAAGGCCTGGTTAAGCGGGAAAGAGACATCGCCGGGGACGGCGAAGTTTTCGAGGGCGGCATTAGTGAGGGCCTAAGCGTCTTCATGTCAGTGCTTTTGTCATTTTGCGGCAAAATATTCCAAGCCTACCTTCTCCGCATCCCGGGCGGTCATGGTCGGCTTGACCTTGCCGAGACACTCGCTGACGAAAAGGGTTCCATAGATGAGCATGCGGTCAGCCGGACCATTGATCTCAAAGTTGCGGAACAGGACATTGGCCCGAAAGAGCGACAGGATCTCGTCAACACAGTCGTAGGATTCGTTGTCCGGGGCGACGTCGATGTCGACGGTATTGGGAGGGAGCTGGGGGAGGGTGTATGCGGGACCCCGGGTGCGAGTGCGCAGAGGCAGGATTGGGAAGTTCCCTGGAGAGCAGTACCACGGTCAATTCGACGGTATTTCTAGAGTAAGGTGGGCTGCGCCGGGGCGGGGAGGGGATCGGTACCTATGACGGGGACATCGCGGTCCTCCAAGAAGATGGAGTGGTACGCCTGATGGACAGGATTAGTAGAGTGAGCTATAAAACATACAGGTCACAGCACTGACCGGCATTGTAAATGGTAAGATGAGGAGGAGAGAGAGAGTAATCGTGGTGGTGTTGGAGGAATAATGGGTGGGGACTAACTAACACCAGGCATGTCATCGCGGGAGTGGAGGATTTTCCGTGCCGAGCCTCTTTACGCGCCGGATTGATTCACGCGTCGTTTTCTTTGGGATTTGTCGAATTGCCCACCATGTCCGACTACGACGATGAGATGGACGTCGATGCGCCCTCGAAGGATGTCCAGTTCAGCTCGGAGAGTGCTGGCAAGAAGAGAACGGCCGCCGACCTGCCCGTGGAAGCTCAAGATAATCTGCCCTGGTCAGCCATGCTCTCTGGACGAACTCACGACCTCGACTCTAATGCCTGCACAGGGTCGAAAAGTACCGTCCAAATACGCTAGATGATGTCTCTGGCCATCAGGACATCCTCGCCACCATCAATCGCTTTATCGAAGCAAATGTATTTGCTACCTCGCTCCATTGGGAAAGCGGCATACTAATCAACATGATAGCGACTCCCTCATCTTCTTCTCTATGGCCCGCCCGGCACCGGCAAGACCTCTACGATCCTCGCGCTGGCACGACGGATATACGGAAACAAAAACATGCGGCAGATGGTGCTGGAGCTGAACGCTAGTGACGACCGCGGCATCGATGTGGTGCGCGAGCAGATCAAGACGTTCGCCAGCACGAAACAGATCTTCTCCATGGCACCCCAGACCACCACCGGTACTTCCCTCGCTGGGTTTAAGCTGATCATCCTCGACGAGGCCGATGCCATGACGTCGGCAGCTCAAATGGCTCTCCGCCGGATTATGGAGCGGTACACGGCCAATACGCGATTCTGCATTATCGCCAACTACACCCATAAGCTCGCGCCCGCGCTGCTATCACGATGCACACGGTTCCGATTCAGCCCACTCAAAGAGGCCGACATCCGCACTCTCGTCGATCAAGTGATCGAAAAGGAGCACGTCCGCATCCAACCCGAGGCCGTGGACAGTCTCGTCACCCTCAGCAAAGGTGATATGCGACGAGCCCTCAATGTCCTGCAAGCCTGCCATGCCAGCAGCATGCCCCTGCCGACCAAAAACCAAACCGAACCCCGACCGGAACCTGAGACGATCACCAACGCGACCATCTACGACTGTATTGCGGCACCACACCCGGCCGACATCCAGCAGATTATGACTACGATCCTGTCGACCAGCGATGTGACCTCGTGCCTGAACACGGTGCAGACGCTCAAGTCGACCAAGGGTCTGGCGTTGGCGGATATTCTATCTGCGTTGGCGGAGCAACTACAGCAACTCGAAGTCCCCGCCCAAACTCGTGTTACCTGGCTAGAAGGTCTGGCCGAGATTGAGTGGAGGCTGGCGGGCGGCGGGTCCGAAGCTGTTCAGACCGGGGGTATGGTTGGGGTGGTGCGCAACGGGTGTGAGCTGATGGGCGATAAGGGCGTGGCGGTATGAAGGGAAAAGAAAGGCAAAACAAAACAAGACATTTACATAGTGATGAATCGTAATTTCGGAACAATCTTACAGATCAAAATGCTTATACGCATGAATGAATCATCTAGCCCGCGATTCTAGCCAACCCCATCGACTATGGGAACACGTTAGAACGAGTGACGATGTCCAGATGAAGAGACTACTAGCGCTCGGACTGCGGGACCGGCATACCGCGGCGTCGCACGGCAACACTTACTGGTTGGAGTGAAGTGGGGGATCGCTCCATCCAAGTCGACCGGGGGCCTCCGGGAGAGAAATTGGTCATGAAATGGGCCTTAGCGGACAAGAAATGTGTCTGGCCCTGCGGTTGGCGCGCAGCGGAAAGACCCTAGAGCACACTCCACCGCGAACACCGCTTGGTCCTAACTGGCCGCTGCAGGCTCAACATGCCTAGGTCAGTCGAGAGTGGTATGGTCGTATAGGTTGATTGGCTGCATGACCGTGTTTCCGCGGACTGACTCTGCAAGTTAGGGTTGGTAGTGGGGATGATAGGAACCAGAAGCACTGATAAAGACGCAGTTCCCCTCAACTAGCGGTCTTGTTTTTTCTTTCCCTTCTCGTCCTGCACGATTATTCCGTTTCCCTCAATAATCAATCATGCGCGCTTCGTTTCAATCCGGCCTCCTGCTGGCCTCCATGGTGGCACCGCTAGCTTCGGCTGAGCGTGTGCTGGGTGCATACATATTCGCACGCCACGGTGATCGTACCGCTAAGATCTCTGGTAACACTGAGTTGACCGACCTGGGCTACCAGGAGGTCTTTGATGCGGGCTCTTTCTACAATGCCCGCTACATCAACAGCTCCTCGCCCAAGCACATCCAGGGTATCAGCTCCAACGTCGTCAACCTCACCCAGGTCCTCGCCTCGGCGCCCGAGGATACGGTGCTGCAAAACTCCGGCACGGGCTTCATGCAGGGCGTGTACCCTCCCGTCGGCCCGACCCTTGGCGCGGAGAAGCTCGCCAACGGGAAGATTGTCCAGTCGCCGCTGGGCGGCTACCAGCTGATCCCGCTGTCCGTCATCGCTACCGGCGAGAATAGCGAGGACTCGGCCTGGCTGGAAGGTGCCACAGGCTGCCCCAAGGCCACCGTGAGCAGCAACGACTATTTCTTATCCAGCGAGTACCTGGAGCTGCTCTCCTCCACCAACGACTTCTATCACTCTCTGGCGCCCATGCTGGCCGCGGCCTTCAACGAGTCCTCCATGACTTACCTGAACGCCTACACGATCTTCGACTACCTGAATGTCGCCCAGATCCACAACTCGACGGACAACTTCCCACATCAGAACCTGCTGACCGACTCGGTGTACCACCAGCTCCTGACCCTGGCCAATGCCCACGAGTACGGCCTGGCCTACAATGCCTCAGAACCCGTGCGGGCTATTGCCGGTGCCGTCCTGGCCGCCGAGATCCTGCAGGGCCTTAATGACACCATCACCGGCCAGGGTGAGCTGCTGGGCGTTCAGTTCGGCTCCTACGGTACCTTCCTCTCGCTCTTCGGACTGATGGGGCTGCCCAAGGCCTCGGTGAATTTCACCGGTATTCCAGACTATGCGTCCTCGGCGGTGTTTGAGCTGGTGACGAACGCGAGTGACAGCGGCATCCCGAGCACCGATGATATCAGCGTGCGCTTCACCTTCCATAACGGCACCCTCACCGGATCTGACGAGCCGATGGCCTATCCGCTGTTCGGCAGGGATACAGAGCTAATCTCCTGGTCCGACTTTATGTCGGAGACCCAGAAGATTGCCGTCAACAGCGACTCGGAGTGGTGCGAGGTGTGCGGTGTCACGACGGGCGCGTGCGCGACCTCGAGCTCGACCGCCTCTACCACGGCCGACGACTCGTCTGCTGGCTCTGGCGGTATCTCGCGCCCCGTTGCTGGTGTCATTGGCGCCATGGTCACGCTGGCGGTCGTTCTGGGTCTGGAAGCGGTCTTCTTCCTGATCGGTGGCTTCACCATCGCCAAGCGGCGCAAGGGTGGTGTGGTCGAGAGCACCGGGAGTGCCACCGAGGATAAGAAATAGTTTATTTGTCAATTCGTTAGTTGTGATAGCAACATAATTTAAGAATCCGTGATTCCTCCATACGACAAATCCTAACTATACTTCTCACCGCCTTCGGTCTCCCGTTCTGCGCTTCCCGAGGCTGCTTGTTTTCCCTCTTTCCTTTCTTCCTTTTCTACACACCACCCCACACCATTCAACCATGCAACTCCACCATGCCTCGCCAACAAATCAATCTAGACCCCTACCGCGACGAGATCGTCTCCCTCTTCCAACACGGCATCAGTAGCGACTCCATCAGCCGCACACTCGAAAGCCGATATAACATACAAGTGCGCGAGCGCACGATCCAGTCCCGGCTACGCAAGTGGGGGTCCGCAAGCGACACCGCACCACGACGGCCGATGAAGCTCTGCATACGCGCATCAAACTGCTTTTCATTCACGATAGACTGACCGACAAGGCAATGCTCAAGCTCCTGAGGCAGGAGGGGTACGACATCTCGGAACGGACGCTGAGACGGCTCAGGTTTCGGCTGGGGCTTCATGCCCGGGCGGAGCGGCAGGGTCATATACCGAAAAGCTCGGAGAGTCCAGAGCAGGAGGAGGAAGAGTCTCTCCGGAGAGGCTCTGGGGTCGACGGTGTCGGCAGTGTCGGCGGAGTCTACAATGACCATTCATGTCCTAGAGAACTGTCTCCTCCTCTCATACTACCCAATGCGCCAACCTGAGAGATGAGCCTGGTTGTTGCTCCGGCTTTCAACATTCTCGGGCAGGCGGGACTCCGATCCGATGGAGGGGCTGCTCGCCAGCACGCACTGGCCAGTGGTGATACAGCAACGCAGTACCCTGTGGACCTCCCGGATGTGCACTCGTCACCAATTGCTGCTTTGACTGGACTACCTGATCGACTCCCTCCGACAACCGGTCACCCTTTGCGACTGACTCTCCGGTAACCAGAACACCGACAACATCCATGGAATTCTCCGAACGCGACCAGAGCCTTTTTTTTTTGTTCTTGTAGCAAGCGACATTATTCCCATTGCACCTGATGTATTTCTATAATCCTGTCCCGGAGACTGGCAATATCCTGGAGGAAAGCGTGTAGTTAAAGACAATACCTAGTGATGGTAGTTTCAGTGGTGTCCCTGGCATGACGTGACCGAACTTCATTTTCCAAACTTCCACTTTCTCACCACCTCCACCTCCACCAGCAATGCCGTGACGCCTAACCTCAAATCTCCTCCGCAATGTCCACGCAGTACGCCACTGAGCCCAATCCCACCGCGTCCGCCACGTTGAACACCACGGTCGGCCCGATCCACATCGCCCTGTTTGCCAACCAGACACCGCTCACCTGCAAGAACTTCCTCCAACACTGCAAGGACAACTACTATGCCGGCACCATCTTCCACCGCGTCGCGCCCGACTTTGTGATCCAGGGCGGCGATCCCACAGGCACGGGTTCAGGCGGTACATCTATCTATGAGTACCCCGAGTTCGAATATGACCCGGAAGCCCGCGACCCGGAGGAGCGCGTCGTGCTCCGTGATGAGCTGCACAGTCGACTGCGCTTCACTCGGCGTGGACTGGTGGGGATGGCCAAGAGCGAGGATGGATCGTACGGGAGCCAATTCTTCATCACGCTCGCCAACGCAGAGCGCGAGCTGAATAACCAGTGCACACTCTTCGGGCGGCTGGAGGGCGACAGTATCTTCAATGTACTCAAGATCGCCGATGCAGATCGCGTCGAAGGCACAGAGCGTCCCATGTACCCGATCAAGGTAACCTCGTGCGAGGTGGGCGAGTTGGGTCCCTTGGCTGGCAAGTTGAAGGACCGGAAGGTTGTGTCTACGACTGGAGCCAAAGCCGACGAGAAACCGAAGAAGAAGAAAAAAGCGACCAAGGGCAAGGCGCTGTTGAGCTTTGGTGGAGATGAAGGCGAGGAAGAGATGCCCATGCGGCCGGCCAAGCCGAAATTCAACACCACTCTCGTCGCAGATGTCCCCGGTGGAGCAAAGGAAGCATCACCCGAGCAGCCTCGAGTCAAAAAGACCTCCCCTCCACCACGGAAACGACCACGATCTCCTTCTCCAGAGCGCAAGCAGCGGCCACGCTCACCCGATCCAGACGCTCAACTGCCTCTGCGTGACCCAGAATCTCCAGCGCGTTCCCCAACCCCGGGCTCTCCACCAGCGAAAGAATCCAAGTTATCACGAACAAATGCACAGATCGAATCACTCAAGGCCTCGATGCGCCGCAACGTCGACACGGGCCGCCCAGACACAGGCCACAAGAAATCCGCGCTCGAGGCCATGATCCCCGAGACGGCAATTCGAGGACGCAGACGCCCGCCGCCGGGGTCATCCAATGGCGCCGGACGTGGGAGCAGCATGAATGGCTCTTTGGGGTTCAGTGGCGCAGCCGAGAACGAGGCACTCCGACTTTTCAACGCCTTCAAAGCCAAGCTGGATGGCGCAGATACGGAGCATCCCACAAAAACCAGTGGACGGCCCTCGAAACATGCAGATGCGGAAGCAGAAGCAGATGACGAGGAGGCCCAGCTCTGTGATCTACATTTTATCGCAAACTGCCAATCATGTCAGTCGTGGGATGACCCATCCGCCGGCGCGGCAGATGAATCCCGCGACGATGAGGGCTGGCTCACGCATGAGCTGCGGTTTGGCAAGGATAGACTCGGCAAAGATCTGAATTGGAAGCGCGATCACCCAGACGATGCGGACTCGTTGATGGTCATCGATCCGCGCGAGCGGGAGAAGGAGCTCGTCGGGGCGAGTGGCAGTGGACGTCGTCGGGGATTGCAACGGGATCGAGAGCGAGAGCGGAAGCGGGAACGAGTAGCTGATTTGGAGTGGGATCGGGAGAAGCGGTGATGACATCCTGCATGGATTATCTGTGGAATAAACAGATCTAGATCGGATGAATCTACAATACTCTTCTGACCCGATAAGATGAAAAGCGATAGTTCTCAACGATAGCAACTGGACATCTGAAGCAATAACCGCTAGGTGAACGTAATTCTGACAATAAGAATCATATCAGGATTCATAATAATCGTCTCGTTTTGGTTTTACCCTTTACAGATCAAATCAATCGGGCCCGCGCTCGCCAGGTGGCCGTGGGAGTTAAGAATTAGTAATTTCTAGTACCCCCTTGATGGTAGTAGACTAGTTCTTATCTAACTCCTTATTATCAGGATCTATAATATAGATGGTTAGTATTTACTAGCATACGATGAGACGGTGAGCGGGGCGCCAGAAACGGCTCCCGTTGCATCGCTCTTCTACCTCTACTAACTGCCTGCCCTTCCCTTCCAGGTATAACGTGTTCACCCTAGGCCTCCGTTGGGCCTAGAGCTGTTCCGGCTGCTTTGACCATCTCGGGTATCTGGCTGACAGAGCTAGAGGAGACTGAGATCTCGCTACTGAAAGATGGAGAGTGAAACGCACCAAACTGGAGCGAAGAGAGGAAGTTGATGATGCTATTTCGGCCCTCGCATGGACTATCAGACGTATCCAACCAAATCCGACCACTAGACAATAATCTCACATCCTCAACTTTGACAACCGTGTCTTTGCTCAGTCTTTGCCCAACTTCCGCCTTGTAGACCAGATGCTGCCTCTTTCTAGAATGTCTCGATAGAACTTTTATGCTTCACTCCCGGATTTCGTCGCCCATTCTTTCCCCGTCGCTAGTCACTCCGCTAGGGGAAGAGAGCTTTCAGAAAGCGGACTGTCTCCTCGGTATCAGAGAGCTAGAAGACATATTCTACCGGGTTGCCCTTTCTGCCTTTAAGGAACCTAAAATAGTCGGCGGATCAAGTAACCTAAAAGGGACGGCTTAAGGAAGCTTCAAATATCTATGAGAAGATTACTCGGGAGGCATTTAGACTGGCGCGCCACAACTGCCAGTATATGTGATTCACTAGTCTGTTTCCAAATTGGTTATTTCGTTAGATCTCTAAGAATTCGTTAGGAAAGATGACCTACTAGTAGTTAGAATTACAAAACTTAGTAGGCGCGTTGCCCTCGAATCCCTTCAATGAGTATGTAAGGAACCTCCTCTCGACTCCGACGCGAAGAGCAGAGTGACTTGTCTAGCAGCTCTCCTTCCTAATAAAATAGCATTCTTAAATCGTATGATACCGAAACTGCCCTTATGCTATCCTATTCTGTCTCGAATAGACTAGGCTCTAAGGCTAGAACTAGGTCTAGATCGTAAAATTTTAAATATAACAAATTTCTAGTAACCTATGCTAGAAACTAGTAATTACTAGTTCTTACCCCACCTGGCCATCTGGCGAGCCCTATTCTCCAAATCAATACAGCCTAGCAATTTTCCCATGCTCCAAGCCCTAGAACAGGCATAAACCCCATATGAACAACGCCTGTGGTATTCGCCATGAGGCCACCCTATCATACTTTTCTTTTATCTCCACTTGAGACAAATTCTCCGAAGCTCCTGTTCACGCCTTCTTGCGGCGCTTGGCACTGCCTCCATCTTCGACGGTCTCACCCTGCGTGGTTGCCGCAGGACTGGTGGCTTCGCTGTCTGTCAACTGCTCGATGACACGGCCCGAGTCGTGGTTATTCCCAGACCTGGGAGTCTGGTTGTAGCCCGTGTCGTCGAAGCCGTAGCTGTAGCTCTGGTTGGATCCGTCAAAGAGATTATCCTCGGCGGGAATGTGATCGAAATCGAACAGGTCGTTGGTGTCGGCGTTGTCTGCGGCAACGCCACCAGTGTCGTGTGGCCCCGTATCGTCGTTGCTTGCCGTGTTGTGGCCAAGGTGCTTTGAGTCCGGATCTCCCAAGTCGGTAAAGTAGTCGTTATTGAAGATCTGGTCGAGGTCAAGTGGCGGCGGTGGGACGTTGCCGTCACTCCCTATCCCCGGTATCGAGCCTGTCGGACTGAGAGGTTGGAGAAGGTTGGTCAGGTTTTGGACAGAGCGGTCCTGTTCGGCTTGCATCTTGACCAGATTGTCTATTTCATGGCGGGTACTGGCGAGCCGGCCCGAGTAGTTCTGTGGCATGGGAGGTGGTGTTGGCGTGATAAGAGCGTTGTTGGGAGAGTCCGACGTGTTCGGGTCGGCAGTGTGTGTTTCATTGGCCATGAGTCGAAGCATGTCGGCGCGCTGATTTGGAGTGAGAGGGACATTGCCGCCGGATGTCTCGAGCGAAGAGAGTACATTGGGGAATTCGGAGAAGTTTGTTGGAACGCCGTTTCTCGCGTTGGAGTTTTGGATCACGGACATAATATCTCGTTGCGGATAATTATCATCTTGCTGTCCGTGTGGCAGGCTGGCCGAGCTGGTCTGTCGCGGGCTGTTGTCGAATACCTCCTCGACATGTCTCGGCTGCGTGGCACTGGGTTGCCGTGCGTGGCCGCGAGATCGAGTGTCATAGGGACCACTGGTCGAAGGCAAAAGCGTGCTAGCACGGCCATTCTCATCTGCAGCAGGTGGCGCTTTCAATAGCAAGGGTTGCTTCTTCGCATGTCGTTGCCCAGAAGGACTAGTCATAGATCCCAAAGCGCCGAAGTAGTCATCCCCCACGTCAACGATATTCCCTTGGTGATCCTGCGAGATTGCCCCCGCAAACGAGTTGGCCAGGTTTTGCGGTCCATCTTGACCTTGCAAGCTGCGGTTGTACACTGTCGCCAGGAATGTCAGGATGGCATTGATGGAGTTCTCATGGCGGGTATGCTGCTCCTGGAAGTTGGCCGCTTGTGCGTAGAGCTGTTCGTGCTCTTTTCGCAATCGGGTGATGGTGGTGGAGATAATTTGCTGTTGCTGGCGGATCGCCTGCAATTCGCGATAAACGCCCGTCAGTTGATCCTTGGGCAGGGCACTGTCGGTCACCAAGGACAATTGCCCTGGTCCTCTCGCACGGTCATCGCGGGCTGCGCGTGGGCCATCATCTCCGTACTCATCCGCTTCATTCTCATAAACCTCCTCCGTTTTGACACGCGTTCCAGTTCCACCTTTGCTGCCCTTGCTCCCGTGGCTCGCCGTATTTTTCGGCTTCTGAATCAGCCACAGCAAGTTTGCTTTGCCCCGCTTGAAGTACGGATTTGCATATTCGCTGGGGCTTTTGTTTTTCCGTTCGCTGGCGCGCATAGAGTTGTCGGAAAGTCCTACCTTCTTGTGGAATCCGTACATGTTGAGTTGCCGCACGAACGATGCGTAGTTGTTGTGCTTGAAGAGTTCTGGGATCAACGTCCGAGCAAACTCGTCTTCATCTAGCACGATGAAAGAGTTGCCATCATCAGACCACCGAATTAAATCGGTATTCTCTGATTTGTCCAAAAAGCTAGAGGCCCGCTGTCAGCTTCAGGGAAAACCCCAACATGCATGGTTAGATCTTACCTGCTCAATTTCTGTACGAATGGCGGAATCTGCTTCCTTTTTTCCTGAGCCTCTCGCTTTGCCACCTCGGCCCGCTGGTTGAGTTCATCCAGGGACTCTTCCCACGCTCCCGACTCTCCGTCGCCCGCGTTTCCAGCATGGTCGACGTATGTCGGAGCCTGCTCATATCCACGGTTTCGGCTGACTAGTTGATTTGACGGCGGCCGACGGGCAAGCTGATTCGAGATTGCCGCCGACCCTGTGGGTACAGCTGTGGGATATGTTCCAGTGTTGTAGGATGGATCGGGGAAGGAGGTGTCATTGGTCGCGTTCGAAGGGTCCTGGCCCCATTGCAGGAACTGATCGTTCGACAGCTGAGAGCCGGGGTTGGTGGACGAGAAACTCGAGACTGCGTCCATCTGGGGATGAAGAGCAGGAGTAGAGCCCGGAGCAGGCCTTTTGCGCGTCATGCCGTGCGAGCTCGTCGAAGTGAGTCAGTTATGGGTGAAGGTTGGGCTTATCGCGAGATCAAGTCGAATTCGGTGTATGTCCTGTATCCAATCGCTATTTCCGGAAAAAAGCGATCACGATATCTAATCCAAGACAGTAGCCGCAGATAAAGGCGAAACCCCTGGATGCGGATGGGACGGTCGTGAAGTCGGTTCAAGCTTGAGTCATGTGAAGGTTTGGGCTCTCTTACACAGACCCCCCAAAAAAGCGGACGGCAGGGACGGAAGAGCGAAGGTATCGAGATATCGCGAAAAACACTGCGCAAACACGGCAATCGAGGGTAGGCGATCGAATTCAAAAGCGCAGGAGCGATAGTCTGTGCCTGATAACGGTCGTAACGAGCAGGCGATTAATTGTCCAACATCCAGACCGACCGGGCGGGCGCCAGTAGAAAGCGTCCACTGGGCCGAGGGCCGTCGACGGGATCCAGACGAGTTTGATTGCGGAGCGGGCAAAGTGTGTAGCCGCGCAGGAAACGACCAGCAACGACAAGCAAGGCGGCGACGAGTGGCGAGTGAAAAGGGCGTGAAGAGCAGGACGTGATGCGAAATCTCCAGAGGATGAGATCAGTCAAGTGCGGATGCGCGCTGATTGGTGGGAGAGCTTAGTCAGCCAATCAGGTACTGATACTTGCAGGGGCCTACTAAATTAGTACAGAAATAGGTACCGGTACTCCAAAAACTGTACCTTGAAAAACAAGGCAACATTCTTATTTCTATGCCAACGACTCTCCGATCAGATTCTGAAAGTTTGCTAAGATATTCTGCCAAGTATCAGGCTGCTGCTGTGTGAATGCCTCCACTTTCTTTGGGGCGGCAAGGTCCTCCACCATCCGGGATTCGTTCTTCGTGCCATTCAACACAGTGACATGCCCTAGACCCATAACCAGACTGTACAGAGCAGCGGCTGGAGTGATTTCAACAAGAGAAGCAAGCTGCTGTACGGGTGCGGATCGAACTAGGGCAGGGTTTGCGGTTAAGGTCCAGAAACTCTGGTAGATGATCTGGTGCTGGCGGCTAAAGGCACGTAATGGGACATCAAACTGTGTGTCCCCGTAAAACCGGTTCTGCACCACTGCCGGCTTTACTGTCACTTGGCCTGATGTGCACAGTTCTTGAAGCACGGGCAAAGTACAATTAGAAATGCCCAAGTTGCGGATGCGATGGGGAACATAAGTCTCAAACGCCGACCAGGCCTCCAGAGTCTGGGCGACAGTCGAGAGGGGAGAATGAAGAACCAGAGTGTCGATATATGAGTCCTCCACACTCTTTGGGTCAACCCTTGGGCGCAGATTGTGCAGCGAGGACTTGATCGAGGCATGAACTTGCTCCGTCACTGAGGCAGAGGCATCGTAGGGCATATTACCCGGGTCCTGCGCCGCGACGGGGCTAAATTTGGTTTGCACCTGGACAGCAGGCTCAGCTACTACTGGCCTGAAGATACTAGAGATAGCATACTTACGTAGAGATCCTCTCGGCGCACAACCCCGTCGCCAATGGCTCTGCGGATCCCATCGCCAACGAGCTGCTCTTGATAATGTCGAGGCTGAGCGGCTGTGTCTACTGCCCGGAAGCCGGCGTTGACCGCGGTGTAGACTAGATCAGCACTCCGGTCTTTTTTCCAGGCTGTGCCATAGATGAACACCGGGATGATGGTGGGGGCTTTAGCCTGCACCGGACGCAGGCAGTACTTTTCCCAAGATAGAGCTCCAATCCGAGCCATGGCCACTGATGCCTAGTTGTTGTATGCACGGCGTTTTTATGTTGTGGGTATAGTAGCCCGGAGAGAGTGGCAGTGACGTCGTGTACAGAAGGATCCGATCCTGCGGGGATGTCAACTTCATTCTTACTAAGGGGACAGCATTCGAAAACGTCACCGCTTACAACCTTTCGTCCAATCTGATGCTACTTTGAGGGCAGGGCCAAGCCTGTGGGGTCGAAATTAGAAGCCCCAGAAACAGTCCGGATAGACTAAAAAGACAAGCGAGTCGGCACTGAAGCCCGAGAAGTATGGGTCAAAGGTCTCATGGCAGCGGAGGCGCAAAGACAAGAATGCGGAAGCCCGGAAGTATGCTATGTAGTTCGAGCCACAACCGAAGGAAAAAGACAGTGGGGACATCACTAGGCGCGACACAGCCACTATCTAGACGAGATTATCTCTGCACTATGAATCTTGGCTGATTCCGTGCAGATCCAGGCAACTACTTTCGGACTTCGAATATTGGTGATTGTGGAGATGACAGTGGCCGCTGCCAAGAAGGATCTCCTTGGACTGGGGCTGAGCATCCGACTCTTTGTCCTCAGTGCGATGGAGATGTCCGACGAGGGATCAGAAAGAATGGAGATTGTCGGCAATATCCTTTGACCCGCATATCTGAGAGAATCAAAGACAATTATAGAAACAGGACCTCAAGATATAGATATGCTGCGATCTCCAGCCCGAAAATGAGCATCAACAACAACTTTATTCATTCAATTTGACGATATTTTGATTCAACATGCATGCCAAACAACTTCTCGCTCTCGGTGGACTTGTGCTCGCCAGTAATGTGGCCATTGCTGCTAAGCTGGAGCACGACGACGTCCCAAATCATTGTTGGGCTGCATGTGGTCCTGTCGTGGGCATCTCCGAAAGCTGCAATCACCGGCACGATAATGATGACTCGGCTGAGCTCCAGTGCATCTGCAATTGGGGTCCTGCGAGTACTCAGATCCCGCTCTGCGCAGCTTGTATTACTCAGTATGGCCACAATGATGATCATGATCATGACAACGATGATGATGACAACGACGACGGTGATGACAATGGTATACTATATCTCATCAATCAGAATGACTTGGAAGCTCAACTGAAATGAACCATAGAGGCTCTTGATCTCGTCCACTCGTGTTCCTTCAGCACCACAACTTACAACGCCGCTGCGGCCACCACCCTGAGCTCCAACTCCGCGGCCGCAGCCACTGCCACTACCACCGGCTCAAATGGCAGTGGCCAGAACTCTGCGGGATCTTCTACCACTGGCTCCACTCCGACTACGACGAATGCTGCGGCTGGTCTTTCTGTCCCCGGTGTCGCTTCCCTGGCAGCTGTCGCGGGAATGATGCCTCTGGCCTTGCTCTAAGATGTCTGAAGCGCCTTTTATGACCTGTGCCATTGGCCATGAGGTGAATGAAGGCGGAACATTGTGAATTCTTGGATTGATGTAACGACTCTCCTTAAATCTGGTTTATTCTTTGAGACTGTTATCCCGCTCTGGATCCGTATATACGTTCCTTAGTGAATAACCTGAATTGCTTCCATCAATACTTACTTCCAGCTTGACGGTATGGAAATATTCTATTTGTAGTAAGGATCTTTTAGGAAGCATTTTGCTTTAGGACTATGAAACACAGAAAGGGTGGTCAGAGCGATTTCCAATTATAATGCGGTTGGAACTCCAACTATCCTATATAGCAATGTTCCAAAATATCCGGAGATCAATTTACCTTCCGCCCAAGTTTCTCCAGGAACTCATGGAACCGTTGTTTAACCCATCCACAAGTCCGAAGCGCGAAGGGGACGTAGACAAATTCCACTTTCTATGACGGAGCATTTTCACCATATCGTAATATATCATCTGGTAGTTCAGCAGGGTCTCCATTACTAACCTTCCACCTCGAAGAGTGAAAAAAGGCAATGTGCAGCTTTCTCGGAGCGTCGTTTCCAAAGACTATCCGGTAATCTCAATTGAAAGGCTTCAAATAGATTGCGCATGTTTACGACGATCATGAAGTCGATCGTCAAAATATCCTACAAGACCAAAATATACTACTAAACCAAATTGAGAATCGGAAAAAGAAGGCTGCAGTACACAGTTATCTGATGATAATACATACATCACAAGTGACTCGCTAGCTCCCCCTCTGCAAAAAGATCTTCTAATGTAGGTATTCCATATACATCATGCTCGCAAGCAACCGGGTCTGGGCAACTACACCCAAGTCAGTATCTGTCACACAGCTTGATCGTCAAAGGGTGACTTACTGCACGGGATCCTGCCCGAAAATGATATGCCACAGGTACTCGAATATGCGTCCGCTAGTTTCGTCGTCGAGATGGGTCTGCATAAGCCAGTTATGATACCCTAGATAGTCGCTATATGGGCGCGCGAGAACCCGTTCTCGCGTGACTGCAAACTGCGAACAGCAGGGGACGGCGACGACCTCCGGAACAGTCGTGTTCATCATGGCCTTCCAGGCGTCCGCAAAGGCAATCTCCGTCCAGCGCTCGTCATGCTGCTCTCGGAACGGCTGTACTTCGTCCGGGCATCCAGGCCCCCAGTTGCAGCGTAGGTTGACATATCCGGACTTCCGGACGTGGTCGACCTGCAGGCGTTGCATGTTCAACACGTTGTCCTGCGTCGCGTCAAATTCGATATGCCATGCATTGTCGCGGTGCGCATGCAAGAAAACGATGACCGACGGGAGGGCGTGGTAGTGGTCCAGAATATATTGCAGATAGACGTTGCTTTCCTTGCCTTTGTTCTTCTTGACCCTCAATGGCGCCTCCGGATTGTTGACCTCATAAATTGCATTCTGCCAACTACTGCGAGTCAGTACTTGCCTTGCGGAGGCGCTGGAAGGAAATCAACTTACTCGGACAGTTCCTCCGTGACCCAGTCTGTGTTCTCTTCCCTTGTCTTTCCAACGACAATGACCTGATCAAGCTTCGAAAGCGATGCATTCTGCGATAATGGGGTCGGCGCGGCCAACTTGTCCTCCAAAGCTGTCGGGTCCTCCGGGAGCGATGGTTTCTCGGGGAGCGTAGGTCCCTCTGGCGATGCTGGTTCGACTGGTGATGCTGGTTCCTCTACCGGTGCTTCCGCCGCTGCCGCTGAGGGAGTAGATTCTCCCGCAGATGGAGTGGGTGTCGTTTCCCATTCGGTGTATTCCATGTAATCCTGGACGGAAGTGGTCGGCGTCACGACGGAGCCCGGCACGAAATAGAGGTCGCCATCTTTCAGCTCATAGCTCCCCTCGGCTGTGTCGGCAATTTCGACAGACTGCTGCCACTGCGATCGGATGTAGTCCAAATGGGTTTTCAGCAGCAGCACGGTGCCAATCAGGGCGATGGCGACACCAGCGCGCACCGTGTTCCTCATGGCCTCGAGTTGCAGGTTGTCATAAGTCGGGCCCCCAATGCGTGCGGGCGCAATGGAGCCTTTTAAAACAGCCGTCGCGCTTTTCGCCCCCTAATAAGTCATCGACGTTTTAGTTGGAGATGACTAACACGCCTTCGGGAAAAAGTGGTCCAGTGCGTGTCCAATCCTCGTCGCCGGTCCCGAGGGCGGTTCCATGGTCAGGCCGGATTCTTATGATTGTAGCTGTAGCGATGCACACCATCATCGCCTGGTTGACTGCGGAACGCTCCGCCGAAAAGACTCTGTCGCATTGACAACGGTCGGAGTTTGACCCCAGGGCTGTAAATAGTACTACAAATAGAGTGCCGGGGTTTGATTTGGTTAACAAGGGGCCAGGGACTGTGTCGAGCCCCCACCGACATCATCGCTCACGTTGCCGGCGTGCAAACCATCCGGTGCAGTCTCCGGGGATTCGTCAAGATGGCCTCCGAACTGGCTCCGCGGATCACCTTGATGCGTTCTCTCCACGCACTATCGACCAGGCTGTGAGAGGGCCGGGGAAAGCGCGGATCGTGGAGACAGACCCAAGAGGAAAACTCCCCATTTTCGAGCAAGTGGGACTGACGGTGGCCCGTCCCGCTGGGGCGCCCATTCTTCTTCTTCCTGGATACACCTCGTCCAGGCTTGCAGGATTATCGGGTCCCAGTTGGCGTGTCACATAGATCACCTGCACGAGGTTCAACGTCCATGAATCGACAGATCATCTGTCAGAAGTACTCGTGGCCATCCCACGAGCGGGTAGACGTTGGAAGGACTATTTATCAATAGTCACCCTTACGTCGTTCACTAATGCTCTGTGAATGAATAAAATGAGCTGGCCCACACGCACCATTCATGACTAGCGACGGGTCTAACGAGGCGGCGTGGAAGCAAGTCGAACGCGTGGAAGCTTGGACGGCGATTCGATCGCCGCGCCAGACTCCGGCAGGGACCCGAGGATGCTCAAATCGGAGGCGATCGTCAGGGCCTGCCGTGGCAGCAAATAGGGGATGGATGAGAGGGAGTGGTGAACACCCGTAGGCTTACTTGTCCAAACCGTCAGAATTCGTTCGGAGGGAAACAGCAACCAACTCAACTTCCACTGGCTGCCTGAGGCCGACCCTTCCCACTCTCGGTCCTTTTGCTCTTTTGCTCTCTTCGTTACCCCTGTCTCCCCGTCTCGAGTGCGCTTCTGCTCATTGCTTCTCGGTCTCGTTTTTAATTTTTAATTGAAAGACATCTCATCTTTCCTCTTCCACACATCAGGCGTTGCCCACTGGCCCTCCTTGCTCCCTCCATTCCGTTCTTGGCGGTTGTGTGGACCTCCCGGTTTTAGCCCGGCACTTCGCGAGAGGCCTTGCGTGGCTTTCCAATATTCTTCTTCTTCTCCCTCATCATTCTTCCACATCCCCCCTCTCCCTCCCTCCCGTTCTCTGTTGCCCTTCCTCTCATCGGTGGTTTTGGATCTCCAAATCTACCGGGGCACGAATCCCAGTCTTGACTTTCCCTCCCGAAAGAGAGTCTGAACTTAACCCCCCCTCCCCTTCTCCCCCTCTTGTCATCTTTTACACCCCCCTTTCTTGATGACCCGGGCACGACTTCTGGTTTCCTGCATCCGTGAGCGCTTGACTTAAAGATCTGTTCTTTGTGCTGCCTTGGTCGGTTACTCGGTTCCTGCACCTCGCAGAAACTCGATCGGCTCCGTTCGTTTGGTTTTGGGCTGCTGTTTTTTTTGTACCCGCATTCGACCGTTCCGCACAACCCCGTTCTTTCCATCCCTCACCTCCCATCCTCCCTCCCACACCACTCTCGAACCCCGGTGCGGTCGCTCTCATGATCGAGTAGCCCCGTGCAAGCCACCGGGAATTTCTGAGAATCTGGTTTGTTGCGCGGCGTGGATTTGCAGTGCCCACATTCCTCAGGTCCAAGCCTCCTAGGAATTCTCGTTTCTCGGCCATGAGTTATCAACAATCAGACATGTATCACGACAATCCCTCCGCGCGCTCCCCTGGCTCCCAGCGGCATCAGCAACCTCTCCATCGTCAGCCTTCCCGCCAGTTCGACGCGTACGGCCCCATGCCCGTCAACCTCTACGAGGACCAAATGGCCCGCTACGACACCGCCCGGATGGAGCGCTTGAATCCTTCGTTGCAGAACAACTCGTACGGATACGATATTTCGGGATCGCAGACGTGGAATCCGAACGGGTTTGCCAATGCACAGACCCTGGGTGGCATCCGGTCGTCTTCGGCCAGCCTGAAGCCTTCGGCCCGGGGACGGACCGGTCTGCCGACTGTAAGTGACATGCCTGTGGAACGACCGCGAAGAGAAACAGCTAACAGATGTCGGAAAGACTTGGCTCGACCAGCAGCCCGGCATGTCGCCTGCCTTCTCCAACCTGGGCCCTGGAACGATTCAAAGCAGCGCCATGCGCCCGGAACCGTCCGCCTCGTCAGAGGGTGATGACGAACTGATCCCGACCGCGATTGTCATCAAGAACATCCCCTTTGCCGTCAAGAAGGAACAGCTGGTGCAGTTGATGACGGAGCTGAACCTCCCCTTGCCCTACGCGTTCAACTACCATTTCGACAACGGCGTGTTCCGCGGTCTGGCCTTCGCCAACTTCACCTCGGCAGAGGAGACCGCGACGGTAATTGAGGTGCTGAATCATTTTGAGTTGCAGGGCCGGAAACTGCGGGTGGAGTACAAGAAGATGCTGCCCCTCCAGGAGCGGGAACGGATCGAGCGTGAGAAGCGAGAGCGCCGCGGTCAGCTCGAGGAGCAGCACCGCCCGATGCCCTCGTCCCAGCTCCAGACGCAGAGTTCCATGTCCTCGCTTACGTCGCACATCCCCGCGACCTCACCATCACCCGTGTCGCAACGCGGCCAAAAACTTGGTATGTTTTAATTTTTTTCGCTCCTTTCGTCTGACCGCTGACCATTTCACAACAGACGTGGATTTGAACGACAGCGCCACTCTCTCCTACTACTCCCAGCTCCTTTTATTCAAGGAAGACACCACTCGTGACTCCGTGCTCTTCCCGCCCAACCTTTCTCCCGTCCAGCGGCGCACGGTGCACACCCTGGCACACAACATGGGGCTCGCCCATGCCTCGCGCGGTAGCGGCGAACAGCGCCAAGTTCAGGTTTTCAAAGTCGCTCCTGGCACCAATGTGAGTCCGCCCTTGTCATCCATCCCGCCAGCCCAGTCGGCCGACAATGGTCGCCGCGGACTGAACCGGGCGGCCACGATCGACTTCAGCGAGGCTCGTAATGAGGGAGCACATGGCTCCTTCAACACCCTCCGCGGCCAGAACTCCGGCTTTCTTGGTGTCTTGGACTCGCCTGGTAACTTTGCCAACACGCAGAACCTGCGAGCTGCCAAGTCCTTTGCGGATCTGCGTTCCTACACTCCCTCGCCCGTTCCCTCCTCCGCCAGCTTCCCCGCTGCCCTGCAATCCAACGGAGCGCGCCTACAGTACGAGGGCGCCCCCAGCGGCACCTCCAACACCCCGACCCTTACCTCTGCCCCGTCGGGCTCTTCTCTGGGCATGCAGCGCGATGACAACCTGTTGGTCAACAGCCTGGGCGGTCTCTCCCTGGGAACCGGGATCGGTGGGCCGAACTCTAGCCCCCGGCGACTTAGGGGAATGTTCTCTTGGGAACAGGAGAACCAGGCTACCAACGCCGGCGCCATCGGCAGTAACCGCGGCATGGGTATGGGATACGACGGTGCGCAGCAGGAGCGCATGCCCATTCGCCAACCCCGTGGACCGACTCCCGACAAAGGCACTGGTTTCCGCCGCCAGAATGGCCACCAATCCCGTGGCAGTGATGAACTTCGGGCCAGCTCCGGAGTAGAGATCATTGTGGAGTAGATATTATATGACGAAAGGAGAGACATGAGGAGAAAGATTTGACGATGGCGACCCTTTTTCTTGCCAGCATCCGACTGATTTGCCCGCGAGACGAATACGACATGTATCACGAGGCCCCTGTTCTGCGAATTACCTCCTTACGATTCGATGAGGGATGACGAGATGACACGACCAAAGAAGACCCAACAACAAAAAAAAAAGACCGGGAAATTCTTTGTTTTCGCTGATCCAACCAAGTTTAGACGATATTTTGGGGCAGCCCAAGCCGAGCCGCGGTTTGGATGAACGCTTCTTGTTTTATTTTGATTTCCAGAACTCGCCACGCTTTTCTCCTCTCCCCAGTTCACTTGTTTTTTTTTTTTTTTTTTGATTTTCTTTTTGATTCATTTTGATCTTGCGGGCGCCTTTGCATGCAAATTCATGGCTTTCTGGTGTCATGTCCGAACTTGGTGGACGACACCCACGAAGAATGACCTCAAAAGACCCTGTCCGACGGCAGGGAAGAGACGACAATACCAGCATTTGCATATTCTTGTGTGTTTTAGTTGTACATGGGGGCGACTCGCATCCGTTTAATGCTTCTTGGGCCCGTCTTGTTTCTGTTACGAGTCCCTTAATTCACTCGAGTCGAGTGAAGGGATGCCCAGGCCTGGCGGGTTTCTTCCTTGTTTCTGTTTTCTTTCTGCGTCGATTCTTGATTCTTTGGGTCTCCCCATGTGTCCGAGTTGCTCTAGTTGATCGAGATGGTTCCCTCTCTTCCTATTTGGTATCTGTTGTGGTCCAGGGATTTGGTTCGAATTGTTCGCAGGTACTGCCAATTCATGTATCTTTTACTGTTTGTTGAGATGGTCTGTAACTGCGTAGGTGTAGTCTGGATCAATGTACACGGACTTGTCTGGAGATATATATCGTGCTGCATTTGGGTCTCACTGGACCGCCGACAAACATTGTCGTAGGGTTGATATCTCAGTAAACTCCATATGCAACTTGACGATACAATTGCTACAGAACTACTCCTGCCCAGCTTTATCACCATAGTGACTGTTGGACAGGGTACACGTACAAACAAACGGCCAAATGCCAAGACAGGATTGTTTATTATGGGCCCCTGCGCATGCATGCCAACTGTCGATCCCTAGCCCAGCCACACCGCGCCTCGACTGTTAAGACTCCCGACGAGGAAACGGGGCACGGGGCACTTGGGGCACCTCCTTGCGTGAATTGCATCTATCACATACTTCAATAATCGTAATAGCCGGGGGATCCAACGTCAGGGTGTTTCTAGTTTCTAGGATCTCGACTGATTCTGTGGTTTGTATGCGACGTACACAAAGATAGATCCAAAAAGCGTATACAGAGTCGAGATGGATTGAACGAATTGGAACCAAGTCGAAGCAGTAACATTTCCCTCACTACCGGATATCCCCATTTTCCCATTACAGCGCCCGGCGAAGTTGAAAAGGATCAAAAGCAGAGAAAGAAAACAAAGAGAAAAGAGAAAAGCCGGGGAATAGACACAATATAGATCAAAGCGGAGCGCCGTGAAGAAGAAGAAGAAGAAGAAGAATAACATCACCAAAGAGAAGCTGAGAGAAAGGGGCCCGACGAGAGTGGACACACAGCCGGCTGGCCGGGCCGTGAATCCTTTCAATCAGACCACCCGTGCGAAGTCATTATTTACTCCCCGATGTGGCCCTTCTTCTTCTGCTCAACCTTCAGCAGGAGCGCACGGTTGATGCGGGGCAGGACACCACCGAAGGCGATGGTCGCACGGATGAGGGTGTCCAGCTCCTCATCACCACGGATGGCGAGCTGCAGGTGGCGCGGGGTGATACGCTTGACCTTGAGATCCTTGGCGGCGTTGCCCGCCAGCTCCAGGACTTCGGCAGTCAGGTATTCGAGGACAGCTGTCACGTAGACCGCAGCTGGGAAGGGAGTTAGTGAAACGTCAGAAATGAGAGTGACCCAAACGACATACCCTTAGCACCCACGCGCATCTTGTTCTGGGTGTTGTTCTTCAAGAAACGCTTGACACGACCGCAGGGGAACTAGAGGTGGTGTTGGGTTAGTATCAATTACGGGCGCGATCAGAGAGGGAGATGGGTGGGCAGCCGACAGCATGCGACAGAGGGGCGCGACCGGGAGGGACCTCGCGGTCAAGGGAACAACAACGCGTCTCCCTCATCGAGTTCCATCGCCCGGATCGCAGTCGCATGCTCAGGGGCACCCCGCCACAGTGATGATACTAACCTGCAGGCCAGCCTTCGCGCTGTGAGACTTCTGGGCCTTCCCCGCAGAGTCCTTGGAGCCGCCCTTTCCGCCGATGGACTTTCCCTTTCCACCAGGCATCGTGAAAAATAAGGTCGGGGTGGAGCGCAACGATGGGTAGATCGCGTGAGAAGCGATGCGAAAGTAATAGGACACGAAGGTGGATGGGAAGGCGATTCAGAAATGCGGTAGGCAGCGCGTTGTTGATGGATGGAGGAGTGAGAAATGTCCAGCGCCGGGCCAGTCGCTAAAGAGTAATGACGCTAGTCCCGATTGGGCTGGGAAACTCAGATGGGAGTGGGAGGGATCCGAATTCACAGAGACCCTCTATGGAGAGTGAGTCGGGGTGATAGGAGTAACCTCGTGAGTGTCTCAGCGGGAGAGAGTCAGACCATCAGTAGATCCAATGCTGGTGGACAGCCATGGCCGGGAGATAGCTGGGGTGCAGCGCCCCGCTGCCTAGAGCGTCAACCAGCCGTGGCCACCACCTGGATATGGGAGGGCCAGGCCAGAATAGACCGTCTCATCTTCATGATAGGGTCAGCATAGAGCGGGTGTGATCTCACCCGAGAGTAAGGGTGAGTTGCTGTAGTTTGTACATTTGTGTGTGCAATGTTGAATATACCATCACTAGGTTGATGGAGGGGAGCAGCATGGCTAAATGCTGATGCCTCAGGCACTAACAAGTCGGCCTAACATTCTTCCGCCAAAGGGCCAGATAATAATTTGTGCGTGTCTGTGTCGGTTCTACCACCCTCCACCCCCAGATTCGACTATCCCCATCCTTCTCAAGCCCTCCCGCTCCTCCAAGTCTATCGCTAAAATGGTGTCTGCTCAGGTGTATGTGGATGGATCGGTGGTCACAAAACTGCTACATGGCTAACCCTTGCACAGGACCAATCTCGCCATCATCTTGGCCATGATGCAGCTGGCCAAGAAGGTGCCCTTTGACAACCCGGATGTCCTGCTCGTGGTGCGCGGCATCTACGTGCTGTCCAATCTGATCATCCTGGGCATCTACATGTACACCCAGTCCAAGATCAACCAGAAAAAGGGTATGTGTGATGCCGACACCCCCCGTTCCTGACCCGCCGCTGATAGCCACCCAGATATGTCCACGCTCAAGTACGTGGAGCCTGCGCCCATGGGCAGCGCCGAGGAGCCCAAGCCCGTGACGACCACCAACATGGACTACGACAAGTCGCAGCTGCGCCAGCTGATCCGCAGCCAGCTCATGGGCGTCGGCATGATGGGTGTGATGCACCTGTACTTCCAGTACACCAACCCGCTGCTCATCCAGTCCATCATTCCGCTCAAGGGCGCCTTCGAGTCCAACCTGGTCAAGATCCACGTCTTCGGCAAGCCCGCCACCGGCGACCTGGCGCGCCCCTTCAAGGCCGCCGCTGGCTTCATGTCCCAGGGCGGCCCCAAGAGCGACAAGGCCTCGATCGAGAACGCGGAGAAGAACTGGCGGGGCGGTGTCAAGGAGGAGTAAATGGGATGAGTTGGTGTGTTGCTGGGGATTTGTCCTCTGGTCCGCCCAACCGGCTGTGTTTACACCTTAGTACATAAATACGGGAGAGGGTCACTGGGGGGTTCATTCGCAAGAGGACCATATCCGCTTGCTTCTTTTGCTTGTATTATAAGCCCATTTTTGAATGCTCCTGGCCGTGGAGTCTGCCGGCCATTAATCCCACTCCGGTCCTGGTACACTTGTATCCTCATGAGAGCGAACCTCGTATGTCACTGTAGCCAAACAAGTCATCACTGGCTTTGTAAATAATACTTCCTCCCGTGGCGATGACCCGTAGGGCACGACACCTGGGGGCGATCCTGGTGAGGCGGGCTGTCCGGGTGGTCGTGCCGTGGAGGCGATGTTGGATTTATAATAATGTCGACCGACCACATGGGTAGTTCAGAGACGGAATGACCAGTTGTAGAAACCATCCAATGGGCCAATCTAGAAAAATCTGCAGGACCCCGTGGCCTTGGACGTTGAGCTGCCGGTGACTCTTTCAGATATAGTCCCAGCCGGGCGTGCGTCCACCGCAGACTGTTTTGAGCAGGCCCCGCGGGCCCGACATTGATCCGGACCAGATGCGGATTTGGCGGGGCAGGAAGCTGGTGGGCAGGAGCAGATTAGTCTAGTCCGACGGCGAAATGCCCTTATTCCCCTGGTTCTGATGAAGGATTATGATTATTATTATTATTTTTGTTGTTGGTGGAGGGGCGGTTGTATGGAATCACTCTCCCCTCCGTTAGTCAGTCATGGCATCATCCACTTAGTACAGAGCGGCCGACAAGCATCGGAACGGCGTCAGCCATAGCCTAGGCTATTACCTCTTCTCTCCGGACCTCGTAGGAAAACATCGGGCAAAACATTCTCGAGCTGGGTTCCCGAGGAGACAGTGAGGACCCGGTCAGAGCTGATCGCCGCACGCCGATTGGATAGCGCGCTAGCTACCGAGGGGCAGCGTGGAGGACAGATATCGTGAGTCCTCCTGCTTTGCCCGGTGTATGAAACCGGAAGTGTATAGGTAAGCAGGGTGAAGTGGTGGTTGCGTCAGTCGCCCGAAGTCTACTTCTGCCCCTCCACTTGTCTTTTCTTCTTCATTCTTCTTTCTCTTCTCACTCACACTCGCACTCATCCATCCATCTTCCTCTTCGTCCAGTTCTTCAAGTAAGTCTTCTTCTCGACTCATCCACTCGGCCCCCCATTCTAACATGCTTTCTAGATCCCAAAAATGGTTCCCAAGGTACGCGCTAGCTGTCGCGACCTCTGCCACTCTCCCCCCACTAACTTCCCCGTCTGCAGGTTGGTATCAACGGCTTCGGTCGCATTGGCCGCATTGTAAGTGACCCGATTTCCCATCATCATGATCCGAAGCTGACTCGCATGTCCAGGTCTTCCGCAATGCGTAAGTTTCGCTCTGCCCCTCCACCCCCACCATCGCTGGGGGCCGGTCGCGGGGACTCGTAACTAACCAGACCATCCAACAGCATTACCCACGGCGGTGTCGATATCGTTGCCGTCAACGACCCCTTCATTGAGGTCCACTACGCGGTATGTTTCATTCCCACCAATCTCGCATGCGCGTGGGGTACTATACTAACCCGACCCCGTCACACAGGCCTACATGCTCAAGTATGACAGCACCCACGGCCAGTTCAAGGGCACCATCGAGATCGATGGTGACCAGGGTCTGATCGTCAACGGCAAGAAGATCCGCTTCTTCGCCGAGCGCAACCCTGACCAGATCCCCTGGGGCTCGGTCGGTGCCAGCTACGTCGTCGAGTCCACCGGTGTCTTCACCACCACCGAGAAGGCCTCCGCTCACTTGAAGGGTGGCGCCAAGAAGGTCATCATCTCCGCTCCCTCGGCGGATGCCCCCATGTACGTCATGGGTGTCAACAACACCGAGTACAAGACCGACGTCAACGTCCTCTCCAACGCCTCGTGCACCACCAACTGCCTGGCTCCTCTGGCCAAGGTGATCCACGACAACTACGGTATCGTCGAGGGTCTGATGACCACCGTCCACTCCTACACCGCCACCCAGAAGGTGGTCGATGCCCCCTCCAACAAGGACTGGCGTGGTGGCCGTACTGCGGCCCAGAACATCATCCCCAGCTCCACTGGTGCGGCCAAGGCCGTCGGCAAGGTCATCCCTTCGCTGAACGGCAAGCTCACCGGCATGTCCATGCGTGTGCCCACCTCCAACGTCTCCGTCGTTGACCTGACCTGCCGCATCGAGAAGGGTGCCTCGTACGAGGACATCAAGAAGACCATCAAGGCTGCCTCCGAGGGCGAGCTCAAGGGAATTCTCGGCTACACCGAGGATGACATCGTCTCCACCGACCTGAACGGCGATGACCGCTCCTCCATCTTCGATGCCAAGGCCGGCATTGCCCTCAACGCCAACTTCATCAAGCTGGTCTCCTGGTACGACAACGAGTGGGGCTACTCCCGCCGTGTTGTTGACCTCATCTGTAAGTCTCGAAGAGCCCTGAGAATTAGTTCCCCGTGTACTGACAGTTTTTCCAGCCTACATTGCCAAGGTCGATGGCCAGTAGGAATCAGGACAGAAGCCTGGTACAAGGAGCCTTCTTTGAAGTGCGGAGCTAGTTTCTTCTCTGTGATGCCTGCTTGAGGTGGGGCACGGAATGGCTGTCTCGCCCTTGTAGGAAAAACAAAACGCCCACCGATAACGTGAATTTAATGAAACAAATACAATTTCTTTTGTGCGCAGCATCCATCTATAAGCCTACTGAACCGTGTAATTGGCTCCGAGTCCACTAGAACGTAACCTCACCACACGTCGTTTGTTTTGAGAGGCGGCCAGGGCGGTGAAGACTATTGTCCAGCAGAACCGTGACACGGCCAAAAAGGGATCCAGCCATTGCCCATCCACCTACTCCCCCAATCACTCCAGACGCTCTTCCCTCCGCCCTCTGCCGACCCTAGGCTGGCATTGACTTGTCCAGCTGCCGTTGGTCTGTCCTGGATTTTGGACTATTGTCTTCTGATAGAGCCGTTTCACGGAATACAGCCCGAAGGTCGCGTACAGCTTGACAGCTCAACGTACTTCTATACCCATCATTGATGGACGGGCCAAGCTCAACCCTCGTCGTATGATCACAACCCCTCCATATTGCTTCCTTTGTGTAGAAAAATGTTTGGTCTAACTGCACAACAGGTCTTGTATAATTGAGCTGCTACACCCATCCACCTGGCTGTGGAGGGCAAAGACACAGAGACCCTTAAACAAACGTGCTAGAGGTCATGACTATAGGCGTCAGACAGTCAACCCTTATCGCTTATAAATAGAGGTTTGTTTTCTTGCTGGCTTTCCGCCGAGCCAACATGGAAGAGGACGAAGACACTGTGATGGGTGGCTCCCATGGTCACTTTCCTTCCACCTCTCTCCCTTCTCATCCTATCACCCATCCACCTACACAAGCACATCTCAGACCAGACCTCTTACTTGCTCCATCAATTCTGCCCCAGGCAGTGCCTGCATCTCCCTCTCCTGGCTCAGAGCCCTTGCAACCGCAGGACTCCTTACCCATCAGAGGCACCGAAGGCATGGCCCTACCGGACGGGTCGGAAGGAAGCGTCATCAGGCGCGATAGTCTGGAGGAGCCGAACTCGGATTGGTCTGACGATGAGACCGCGATCGTCTCGGGTCTCCCCCTGGCCTCCCCTCGCAACGGGGCTCTGTTATGATAACCGGATGCGCTACCACTGCGAGGTCCGTCCTAGCACGGATGTTCACCCCGAGGACCCCCGGCGCATCTACTACATCTATAAAGAGCTCTGCCGCTCTGGCCTGGTGAATGACCCCCACTGGGACCCTGCACGCGCACCCTTACCCTTGCAACGGATTTCCGCTCGCGATGCTACCAAGGAGGAGATCTCTCTCGTCCATACAGACGCGCACTATGCGTTTGTCGAATCCACAAAGGGTATGTCTGTGCCCGAGTCGTGGATGAGCTTCAACTGATCTGGACCATAGAAATGAGCAATGACGTGCTGATCGATTTGGAGCGAAATCGTGATTCTATCTATTTCAACAAGCTAACATTCTCGACGGCTCTTCTATCTGCTGGTGGTGCGATCGAAACATGTCTGGCTGTCGCTACTCGCAAGGTCAAGAACGCGATTGCTGTCATTCGTCCGCCGGGTCACCACGCTGAGGGCCACGCAGCGATGGGGTTCTGCGTGTTTAACAATGTGTCCGTTGCAGCGCGGGTGTGCCAGCAGGAGCTGGGTGACAAGTGTCGCAAGATTATGATTCTCGACTGGTAAGTTTGCACGTCAAGCTGCCAAATTTGCTGATGCTGATCCATGTCTAGGGATGTTCACCATGGTATGTTAGGACGACACATTTGATTAACCCAGAGTCTCACAATACACAGGAAATGGCATCCAAAAGGCCTTTTACGATGACCCCAATGTTCTCTACATCTCTATCCACGTTTTCAAGAACGGCGATTTCTACCCTGGAGGCCCGGAAGGAGGCTGGGACCACAACGGTGAAGGAGCTGGAATCGGCATGTAAGTTGCTCCATCGGTGATTTTGTTCGTTGACTGAATTCTTTAGGAACATCAACATACCTTGGGATGAGCAGGGCATGGGAGATGGCGACTACATGTTTGCTTTTCAGCAAATTGTGATGCCCATTGCTGAGGAGTTCAACCCGGATCTCATTATTAGTAAGTCTATCTTCCCTCATTGTGGGGGGTTTTATTTCTCTAACCATAGACAGTTGCGGCCGGCTTTGATGCCGCAGCCGGCGATGTACTGGGTGGTTGTTTTGTCTCGCCATCTTGTTACTCTCACATGACGCACATGCTCATGACCCTCGCCAACGGCAAGGTTGTTGTGTGCTTAGAGGTTTGTTTAACAAGTTTTCAAATGGTGTCCCATTATTGACTTGGTGAAAGGGAGGATACAATTTCCGATCTATCTCGAAGTCGGCATTGGCGGTCACCAAAACCCTGATGGGTGAGTCCCCAGGGCGCTTGCAGGGTGCCGGTCCGACCCCGTCGGCAGTCAAGACTGTCCGGCGTGTCATGGCGATTCAGTCTGGTTGGTGGAAGTGTATGTATCCCAAGGGGCCAAATGGCCACCCTGTTTGGGCTGAACGGTTACACGGTATGCGACTGAACCCTAAGTGATGGGTTGTTCCGGCTAACATCTCTACGGATGCTATTCGCGCGCACCAAGCAAAGGAATTGTACGATAGCTTCAAGCTCACGTCACTGTATGTTTATCGCAAGGGCGTTTCCAAGTCATTCGAGAACCAGGTTCTGGCGAGGTAAGCTTACAACATCAAATAACCAATTTCTTGTCTAACGCTCCTACAGCCCCAACTACAACAAAGCTGTCCCGCTTATTGTCTACTTCCACGATCCGTAGGGTTTCTCTTCCGGAACTGAAGGTTTCGATCTAACCAAATACAGACCCGAACTCATCGGCCAACCTGACCCTGTTAACAACAAACTGGAGCTCCACAATTGTTGGCTGGTAAGTATACTGTCTTCTTGGAGACGGAAGGCCATTCCGTGCTAATTTACCCTAGGCTGATGTCTCAAAGGAGTACATCACATGGATCATTCGCCAGGGCTATTCTGTCATTGATGTCAACATCCCCAAACATGTGACCAAGTCCTCAGTAAGTAGGAACTCTCGTATGTAGAAACTCTGCTAAATCCCGACAAATAGTCTTCCCATCAGTACGAGGACAACGACACGGACCGCCCTAGCGCCACGGAGGATCTGGCAGGCTACATATGGGATAACTACATCGAGTAAGTGGCTTCATGGCTGATTGGATCCAGCGCTAAGACATGTCGCTAGACCAAACCCGAATCGGAAGATTTTCTTCCTCGGGGTTGGTGAATCTTTTACGGGGATTTCAAGTCTCCTGATCAATCGAGGTACGCCTAACACCGGCCTTCGGGAAAGGAAAGGCAAGCATCGAGCAACCCATAACTAATTCGTCAGCAGAAAACTTATACCAGCGCGTGAGCGGAGTGATCTCATTCGTCGACAAAAACCCCGTGCGTGCAGTCACCTCCCACACGCAGGTTTGGCTGTCGAAGTGGTACCGCGAGAACTCGCTCGTTATTGCCTCACACACCCATGGAGTCTGGGAGCCGGACCGCAGACGAGCCAAGCGCTACGGACAGTTGGTGCGGTCGCCTCAGGAGGGACTGAGTGAGATGCTCCAGCTCCACAAGGACGAGGTGTTCAAGTTTATTGTTGAGCGTGTTGAGAAGGAGGAGGAGGAAGACAGGGATTCGAACATGGAAGACTAGCTTTTCTTTTCTTTCTTTACTTTCTTTTTTTGACCTGCCTTTGTCTCTCGCTTACACCTTGTACTTCGACCTGAGATGGCGTGTGCGGGGGTGAGGACGAGCAGAATGCGATTACCTTTCCCCCCCCCCCCTTCTTCTTCTTTTCCTGTGCCCAAAGGATGCCTAGCCCGATGCATATTGGTTCTACAGCCCGATAAAAATAGCTCCCGTGGCGGGGCTTATCACAGACGTGGAGAGTCAGTAAGTCTTATTTTGCTCGTTGACTCTCAGCGCCACTTTTTAGTCCCCGAGTCTGATGTCAGAGTTCCCAAAAACGCGGCCAACCGGACTGCTCGATGTAGCAGCCTGCACGGTGCCTATGGATGTAACTGTGTCTCAGTTGCTGCATCTGTATTGGCTCGGGCACTTCGTTCCGGCCGCGCTACGGTACGAGCTGTTCAGTGTCCTCCCACCCTTGGCGAGCTTTGTATGTGCTGGAGCCCCAAGCCGGGGTAAGAGAGCTCTACCTGCCTAGAGACATGCATATATATACCTCACGCTATGGCCCGGGTAGGGCTAGTGACTTGTCGCTTGGTCTTACTCGTATTCCGGACACACGGCCACGTTGCGGGGCGCAGTGATGCTTGACCTCTCGTCATGGGAGAAAAAAAAAATGTCTCGGAAAAAAATAGCGAGCACCTCATACCGCTTCGACATGTCTGCTAATCAGGTATTTGGGCTGTTCACCGTCTTTGTCGGGCCTGAATCGCTTTCAGGCGGCCGTCGATGACTGCCAGTAGAAAGGGAAAAGGAAAAAGTATATAAACGGCTTCAACCCGCGCGACTGAACCGATCATCAAGCGTCATACAGTCCATCTGAACTATAAATTTCTAATAAATATTCACTCGCTTAACTTCAAACCAACTACAACCATCACGATGCACTTCTCCATCGCCCTCACCACCCTCGCCGCACTGGCTCCCCTCGTCAGCGCCGTCGGCGACGCCATCGTCGTGAACAACTGCAAGGCCGCCGTGCACCTCTGGTCCGTCGGTGGCTCCGTCGGCCCGGAGCAGACCCTCCAGCCGGGTGAAGAGTACGTCGAGAAAGTGCACTACGACCCCAAGTCCGGCGGCGTCGCCATCAAGATCACCCGCGGTGTCAACGGGTTGTACACCGGCGCCCCGCAGACGGACTTTGCCTACACCCTGGACGGCAATAACCTCTGGTACGACCTGTCTGATGTCTTCGGTGACCCCTTCTCCGGCCGGGTGCTCTCCGTCGTTGCCTCCAACGAGAACTGCCCGGATATCTGCTGGTCGTCTGGTACTTCGCCTGCTGGCAGCCAGACCAAGGTCTGCGGTGCTACTGCTAATATCACCCTGACGCTGTGCGGTGATGAGTGCTAGATGGGGGATGAAGGGGGAGTGGGGGATAATAATATGTTAACAGATTGATGGTGCGGAGAGAGATATATACCTTCCAGAACCTGTATGTAGTAGTCAATGCATAATGACTTCAAATCTTGATGTGACGAAAGTATGATAGTGGAAGAGCGATAAGCTATTGTATAACGCAGAGCTCACGCCCGGAGCAGCATCGAAGAAATGGTCTCGTTTCCACCGCATATGTCTGATCTGGATTCAAAGGTTTCTCTTTTCCCCCGTTCAATCAATTCCGACATGGCGCTATGGTCTTCGAATCCTGATTCGGGAACCCTACTAAGGAAATGTTCAATGGCCTAAGTTCAATACACCTGTAAAATGTTTCCGAGTGCATCTGTGAGCTGTCGGGTCATCGCCAATAGGTAATGAACCAAGGAACTCGACATTGGACCACTTGGAGAGAGTTATTTTCAAACGCCTCATATAGAATTGGAACAGTTTTCGTCTTGAAGGTTTCATTGTCCATCTGTCGGAGGCTGGTGAGAATAATAGAGGGTTCGTCAATATTGTCGGATAGAGCAGCCGCTCGAAGGCGAGTCATTTGGTGAGTGCAACTGTTCTTATCACTTGAGAAGACAATGCTCTCTGTGTGAGATGAGCAAAGCAAGAAAGCAAACAGATTAAGGGCAATGGAATTGGCCCAGTTCTTTCGAGCTCTATCCTCGGCTTGTCTTCGATAATCGATAATGCTGACCTGACCGCCTTTGGTCTGCGCCGCATCACGTTGCCGCTGGGCGCTTCGCCGCAACAACGTTTGCTGCCTCGCTCAGATCTCTCCCTCTCACTCGCTCGCTCGTCTAAAGATTCATCGTCGTTTTCTTTGTTCTTGACTGCGGCATCTCTTGCGCCGCCCCCTCCCTCTCCCCCTTTCCTTTCTCCCGGGCATTCTTGCTCCTCGCATGTCTCCAAGGTCCTCGGCACTGCTGTTGTACAGAGGTCTCACTTGCAATCCGACGACTCGCCCGGTTCTTCTGCCACGCATCACGACCCTGACCTCCTTTCGCTATTCACCTCTTCCCCGCTCCTTCTCGCATCCCACCCATCCTCTTACCGCCGCCATTCAGCCCTCCACCCCAGCCATGCCGCAAGTCGAGTGCATCACAGAACGTCTGGAGAAGCCGGAGCTCGATGATCGGTCCTACCGTGTGATTCGGCTGCCAAACCAGCTGGAGGCGCTTCTAGTTCATGACCCAGACACCGACAAGGCCAGCGCCGCCGTCAACGTCAATGTGGGGAACTTTTCCGATGAAAATGACATGCCTGGTATGGCTCACGCCGTTGAGCACCTGCTCTTCATGGGAACCAAAAAGTACCCCAAGGAAAATGCCTACAACCAGTACCTCGCGTCCCATTCGGGATCTTCCAACGCCTACACCGCCGCCACCGAGACAAATTATTTTTTCGAGGTGTCCGCCACGGGAGATTCGAGTGACGCAAAGTCCAGCGGGGTAAACACTCCCGCGGAATCTGCGAATGATACAAACGGCGTCGTTAGTGAGTCGTCGAGTGAGAAATCCGACTCCCGATCCCCGTTGTATGGCGCATTGGATCGCTTTGCCCAGTTTTTTGTATCTCCGTTGTTCCTAGAGTCGACCCTAGACCGTGAGCTCCGGGCGGTCGATTCGGAGAACAAGAAGAACCTACAGAGTGACTTGTGGCGGTTGATGCAGCTGAACAAGTCTCTCTCCAACCCTGCCCACCCATACAGCCACTTTTCAACCGGTAATCTGCAGACTCTGAAAGACGATCCGCAGAAACGCGGTCTGGAAGTCCGCAGTAAGTTTATCGAATTCTATGAACAGCATTACTCTGCCAACAGAGCCAAGCTGGTGGTTTTGGGTCGGGAGACGCTGGACGTATTGGAACAATGGGTTTGCGAGTTGTTCAGCGATGTGGAAAACAAGAATCTCAGCCAGAATCGCTGGGATGGTGTCCAGCCCTTTTCAGAGGAGGATATGTGCACGCAAGTCTTTGCCAAACCCGTTATGGACACTCGCTCGATGGACATGTACTTCCCATTTCTGGATGAAGAGGATATGAGCGACTCTCAGCCCAGTCGGTATATCGGTCATCTGATCGGTCATGAGGGACCAGGCAGTGTTCTATCGTACCTCAAGACCAAGGGATGGGCCAATGGCTTGTCTGCTGGCGCGATGCCAATCTGTCCTGGATCGGCATTTTTCACCGTCTCGGTGCGCCTGACGCCCGAGGGTTTGAAGCAGTATCAAGAAGTGGCCAAGGTTGTCTTTGAATATATTTCCATGATCAAGGAGCGCGAGCCGGAGCAATGGATCTTTGATGAAATGAAGAACCTGGCTGAAGTTGATTTTCGCTTCAAGCAGAAGACCCCGGCTAGTCGGTTCACCAGTCGGTTGAGTAGTGTCATGCAGAAGCCACTGCGCCGTGAGTGGCTACTGAGTGGCTCGCTGTTGCGGCGCTTCGATCCTACTTTGATCAAGAAAGCGCTGTCCTATCTTCGGGCGGACAACTTCCGCCTGATTATTGTGTCTCAGGAGTTCCCTGGAACTTGGGATCAGAAGGAGAAGTGGTACGGCACAGAATACAAGGTTGAAAAGATTCCCCAGGACTTTTTGAGTGGAATCCAAAAAGCCCTGGAATCGACTGCGTCTTCTCGCAAGTCCGACGTGCACATGCCGCATCCGAATGAGTTCGTGCCAACTCGCCTGTCGGTCGAGAAGAAAGAGGTTGAGGAGCCGGCCAAGACACCGAAGATGATTCGACATGACGAACGAGTCCGCTTGTGGTTTAAGAAGGATGACCGCTTCTGGGTTCCCAAGGGCACGATGGATGTTACGCTGCGCAGCCCTCTGGTGTGGGCCACGCCGGCTAACCTGATCAAGACGAAGCTCTATTGTGAGCTGGTGAGGGATTCTCTGGACGAGTACTCTTACGATGCCGAGCTTGCCGGATTGGACTACCACCTATCTGCCAACATTCTGGGACTGGACTTTTCCGTGGGCGGGTACAATGACAAGATGTCTGTGTTGCTGGAGAAGCTGCTGTCTACCATGCGTGACCTGGTGGTCAAAGAGGAACGGTTCACCATCATCAAAGAGCGGCTGACGCGGGCGTTCCGGAATACCGAGTACCAACAGCCTTTCTACCAGGTTGGCGACTATACCCGGTATCTGCTGTCCGAACGGGGTTGGATCAATGAGCAGTATATCGAAGAGCTGGAGCACATTCAAGCAGATGACATCACCCAGTTCTACCCGCAGCTGCTTGAACAGATACACATCGAAGCCTTGGTCCATGGCAACCTGTACAAGGAGGATGCACTACGCATGACGGATACGGTTGAAAAGGTGTTGAAGGGGCGTCCTCTCCCACCCTCGCAGTGGTACCTGCGGCGCAACATGGTTTTCCCGCCTGGCAGTAACTACGTGTACCCGCGGACTCTGAAGGACCCGGCGAATGTCAACCACTGCATCGAGTACTACTTGTATATGGGTCTCTTCTCAGACGCCGAACTGCGCGCAAAACTGCAGCTGTTTGCGCAAATGACCGATGAGCCGGCGTTTGACCAACTGCGGAGCAAAGAGCAGCTCGGTTATGTGGTCTGGAGTGGCGCGCGCTACAATGTGACGACCATGGGTTACCGTGTGATTATCCAGAGCGAACGCACAGCACAGTACCTGGAGACCCGCATCGATTCATTCCTGCGCGAGTTCGGTCCGATTCTGGAGGCGATGCCCGAGGATGAGTTCGAGGGCCACAAGCGCAGCGTGATCAACAAGCGTCTCGAGAAACTCAAGAACCTCGGTTCAGAGACGACTCGGTACTGGTCGCACATTGGGTCGGAGTACTTTGATTTCTTGCAACATGAGATCGACGCGGCCAATGTGCGCACCCTGACCAAAGCCGACCTAGTCTCTTTCTACCGGCAGTACATCGACCCGTCATCCCCACAGCGGGCCAAGCTTTCTATCCACATGAATGCGCAGTCTGGTGCCCACGAAAACACTTCTGGGCCCGCTGAGAAACGATCTCAGCTGGTTGAAGTGGTGGACAAACAGCTGGAAGCCGCCGGACTTGCCGTGGACGCCGCTCGACTCGGCATGGCGTTCGAGCAGCTGGACATGTCGACTCTGGACAGCTCGCAGGTTATAGCTTTGGTCAAGACATTCTTAGCGACGGAGGTGAGCCTGTCGGCGGAGCAGATCGCGTCGGCGGTTGACCGTCTGGAGCAGAATCTGGGTCTGCAGTTGAAACAGGTGGGCCTGGATCCGTCTCCTTCCACGCCTAATGGCGATGTGGCTTCCACAGAGGCTATTACTATCACGGACGTGCCTACGTTCAAAGCCCGACTGCCGGTGAGCACAGGGCCGGTGGCGACGTCGGAACTGAGCGAGTATGAGGATTTTGATGCCAAGCTGTGAGGATAGAGGATCGGTGCATCGTATCGGGTGTTTGGGGGTAGGGTCGGGGGGGATACGTATATATATAGGGGAGTTTGATGACCTAGACGAAGATAGTTACTGCACACGCTAAAATTTATCCTTACACTCTTTTACTCTTTTATATACTTCTCCATTGGGCAGGCGGTCACCCTTGATAGCGATAACACGCGCATCGCCAGCACCGACTCTTTTGCTCCCTGTGTTTCTCCCCCATTGCGCAGCATGTCGACCTCGACGGCTACGGCGATCAAAAGCGCTCGCCCGTAAGTTTGTTGTGCTTTCCCGCCGTCACCACTAGCTAACCCACGCGCATCCATCCAGACCGATCGTCCCCAAAGACTTCTCCGCAGAACAACCCCCAACCATCCGCCTTTACCCACTGTCCAACTACACGTTCGGTACCAAGGAGACGCAGCCCGAGGAGGATCCGTCGGTGCTGGCGCGGCTGAAGCGCCTGGAGGAGCATTATGATCTGCATGGCATGCGCCGGACATGTGAGGGCGTGCTGGTCTGTCATGAACATAACCATCCACACGTCCTGATGCTGCAGATTGCCAACGCCTTTTTCAAACTGTACGCCGCATTTCCTCGCCGTTTTCTTTCCGTATACTAATCCTCGTTCAGACCCGGCGACTACCTCAGCCACGAAGACGACGAAGTGGACGGATTCAAGAAACGCCTGAACGAACGCCTGGCGCCCGTCGGCTCGCAGTTCTCGGGCGAGGGCGTCAACGAAGACTGGGAGATTGGCGACACGCTGGCGCAGTGGTGGCGACCGAATTTCGAGACGTTCATGTACCCCTTCCTGCCAGGGCATGTTACACGGCCGAAGGAGTGCAAGAAGCTGTATTTCATCCAGCTGCCAAAGAAAAGTACAGCCCCCCTCCCATTGGTTTGATTTGCCCTTGCTTACATCGGACCCGATAGAGGTGCTCTCCGTCCCCAAGAACATGAAACTGCTTGCCGTGCCCCTGTTCGAACTATACGACAATACGGCGCGCTACGGCCCGCAGCTGTCGGCGATCCCGCATCTGTTGTCGCGGTACAACTTTGAGTTTGTGGATGAGAATGACAATGTGGTGGCGGTCACGCCGGGGACCCCACTGGACGAGAACCAGATCCCGCGGGCCAAGGTGCTGGCAGGGAGTGACGAGGATGGACAGGATACGGGGATGACCGACGCTGGTGGTGGGCAGTAATAGACTAACCCCATGTACGCAAGCAAGCGCTAACCAACTGACCCATTGGAGTTCCGGTCTCTACTTCCAATATCCCACCTATGAATGCATTCTTCACCCGTTAGCCTTTCAGTGATATAGTTTCCGCCCCTGCCACTCCCGTGCTCAATGCAACCGTGATCTATGGCAGGAATGCCGATCGCATCCCTCTGCCCACCACTCACACTCGATCTTGGCCCTGGTCGATGTGACCCCCGCTCTAACTGGCCGACTATATAGTACTTCCATACAAAGGGATGTCTGCCCTTGCCCCCAGTTTATCTGGCAGTTGCCTCTTTATTTCTATTGTTGTGCCAACATGCTGTTCTGGACCCTGACTGCTCTGGCCTCGCTGGCGACGGCCCTGCCTGCGGGCCTAACGCGACGAGGTGAGAGAAGAGTAAACCCTACGCGGCCCTAACTGACTTAAACTAACAGATATCTCCTCCGACACGCTGGACGAGTTGATGTTGTTCGCACAGTACTCCGCTGCGTCGTACTGTTCCAACAACATCGACTCGTCGGCTTCGACTCTGTCCTGTGCCGCCGGGAACTGCCCAGAGGTCCAAACAGCCAACGCCGCGCCATTGTACGCGTTCGACGAGTATGTACGGAACCCCGTATCCAAAGACATAAGTACTGACGGCCTACAAGTTCCACGCAATATGGCGACGTCGCTGGCTTCCTGGCCGCCGATGACACCAACAAGCTGCTGGTGCTTTCCTTCCGGGGCAGTCGCACGCTCAGCACCTGGATCGCCAACCTGAACTTCGACTTGAGCAACAGCACCCTGTGCAGTGGCTGTGAAGTGCACACGGGCTTCTGGAAGTCCTGGGACACGGTGTCGGCCAAGTTGAAGTCCGAGATCGACTCGGCCATGAAGAAGTACCCGGGCTACACCCTGGTGCTGACGGGCCACAGCTTTGGCGCTGCGCTAGCGGTGCTGGGAGGAACTGCACTGCGGAATGCTGGGTATAAGCCGAATCTGGTGAGTGTTTTTTTGAGTTACATTAGTCTTGACTTGGGTGGCTGACGGCTCCGGTAGTACACGTACGGCGAGCCGCGCGTGGGCAATACTGCGCTGGCCACCTACATCACTAACCAGGGCAGCCTGTGGCGCGTCACGCACACGGATGACATTGTGCCGAAGCTGCCTCCCGCGTCGTTTGGGTTCTCCCAGCCTAGTCCAGAGTACTGGATTACCAGCGGCGACAATGTGACGGTGACCACCTCAACCGTCCAGGTGATTCAGGGCGTGGGCTCGGATTCGGGCAATGCTGGCACGAGCGATACGAGCATTGAGGCGCATAATTGGTACTTGGTGGACATTGATGCGTGCCAGTAAACATATAGTTAGGAGCGGCAAACCATGGTCGGGAGTATCCACTAGATGTATACAACCACCAGAATTCCATATCGCAATCAACATCAACAGCCCACGCATTTTTCTAAAATGAATACCCTTCCTGACCGGATGGCCCGTCTTTAGTTGTGGCTAGAGAGCTGGCGGAATGCGGTGAGGCATGGTGACGCTTGGGGTTATTCAGATGTCTCCTAGTTTCAAACAACCCCAACCTCATCGCCCAGGTTGGCATCCGTATCATGGCGGCCGACGCTGGGCGAAAGTCGCTCCGGGATCTCGTTTTCAAACAGTCTGGTTTCCTGGTGAATCCTCTCCAGTGGACTGCCCGCCATCTAGACCTGGTGGGGTGTCGATTCGAAGATGCCGACCCTGCCCCTGTCCCTGCCCCAACCCACACCGAATCTACTCAAGACGAGACCAGGAACAATGGTGGCAGTGGCCCTGTCAAAAAGCCGCGAAGCGATGCCGAAATCATGTCAATGAACCTGGCTCCTGTCATCAAGCGTTGTCATCTCGCCAACATATTGGAAGGCGAGGAGCGCGCGTTCACATCCCACCGGTACGATCTGGGAGAACGACTGATCGATTCATAGGGGTGACTGACAACATTCTGGAGCAGCCAAGGTCATCCCTTTTATTTCCAGGGTCGGCCGGTTCATCGACCCGACTATGTCGTGTTTTATCGGCCCGGAACACCTGTCGATCACATCCGCAACAGCTCCACCCCATTGGTAGGCTACGTCCATTACACCAGCGTCAGTAGTGACCGCAGGAAGCAGTTTGAGGGATGCCCAGGCCCAGGCGGAACCCCCAACTACATCGGGGCGAGGATTTGTTCGAAGCGGCTGGCTCAGACAACCCCGACGGAATGGACCGAGGATCCATACTTCCTGTGTCACCTACTGGCTCTTGCGCAGCTTCAAGCGCGCCTGCTGCTCAATTCGCCCCAACCGAGCAAGTATACCGTATGTCTCCCGCCCGCCCACTCCGAGTCAGTCGTGGACGCTGGCTGATTCGCTTCTAGTCGCATCTTCTGGTGACCAACGGGCTCGAGAAGGAATACATTCTGTTTTACATGGCCGAGTTCACCACCGAGCTTCTGAACGGGCTCCAGAATCCAAAGGATGCCACCATCCCCGTGAAGTGGCCTACCATCCGGCGAAAAAGAATCCCATTCAAGCCTTATGATACATTCGCTAGTCGATTGGTGGCTGAACTTGTGGCCCCCGATCCTGTCGGTGACCACAGTAGGAAGCATGCGCGAGAGGACAGCGGGTCAGACCAGATCAAATATGTCCGGAGAACGAAATGAGTTGCACATACATCTCAAGAACGAATATGAATGACCAGAATGATCGATAGGTGGCTTCTCCAAGAGAGAAGGACATGTAGAGTACAAACAATAAAATTGTAGTATGTATAAGCTGTAGGGAATGATGATGTGGCTGAGTTGTGGCGCACATACCTTAACAACACCTTTACCACGTTTCCGGCAACTGGTTGCATTCTTGGACCTTCGCATCTGGACTCGACTTGCTCGACTGGCTCGACTGGTCCCCAAATCGTCCCTCAACAACCCTGCGATATGCTCGTCTAGCCCTCTTCCGCCTCCCACCATGCTGTTCGCTCCTAGCGGACCCCAAAGCCCTCGCCGGCGCAACCGCATCAAGGCCATCCTCACCACCATCGGCATTGTGCTCGCCCTCTACGTTCTCTTTTTCAAAACCGATACCAAGAATCCCGCCCGTAAAGAACGAGGCAGTTATGCGCAGCAGCGCGGCACCGACAAGCCGGATGCCGCGTCCGGGAAACAAAAAGCGCTGGTGGTGGCCAGCATGAAGGACGACGATACCTCGTGGCTGTACGAGTTCTTCCCGGACTGGACCAAGAGTATCTATGTGGTGGACGACAAGCAGGCGCCCCTGACGGTGGCGCAGAACAAAGGACGCGAGTCGATGGTGTATTTGACGTGAGTTGGTCTCTTGATTCCTAGCCACCCGGATCAAGCTCATAATCAACGAAACAGGTACATTATCGATCACTACGATACCCTGCCCGACGTAATGCTCTTCATCCACTCCCAGCGCTTCCAATGGCACAACGACGACCCCTACTATGACGGCGTCCCCATGCTGCGCAACTTCCAGATCCCCTACCTCCAACAACAGGGCTACGTCAACGCCCGCTGCGCCTGGACACTCGGCTGTCCTGGCGAGATCCGTCCGCTAACGGATACCCACCGCGATGCCGTGCACGCAGGGGAATACTTCAAGGATGGATTTATGGAACTGTTTCCCGGCACCCCGGTCCCTGACATGGTGGGTGTGTCGTGCTGCGCCCAGTTCGGGGTGACGCGCTCAAAAGTAAGAGAACGACCAAAGAAGGATTATGAGCGGTTCCGGACGTGGTTGGCGGAGACGTCCCTGCCGGATGATTTGAGTGGGCGGATTATGGAGTATTCGTGGCATAGTATGTTTTCTCTCTCTCTCGGGAACAACCTTTTGGAGTGAATTTTTTTCTGACAATTGATTCATTAGTGATCTTTGGCCAAGAAGCAGTTCACTGCCCGGACGCAGAATCCTGCTACTGCAAGGTCTTCGGGCTCTGCGACTTGTCCTGTCCGTGGGAAGGGGCCTGCGATGGGCGGTACGTGCTGCCGCCTTTCTCGTCGCTGCCCAAGGGATGGCCATATATTGGGTGGAAGGGCCAGAAACAAGATCCGAGCCATGGATTGCCGGTGTCATAACATTTTATTGTCAATTGTATAGTTGTGTATAGCATGGCGTTGGGTGTTCTAGACTGGATTTAAATGGAGGCTTTTGAATATAACCAAATTTTACAGTAGTAACGACGAGAGTGAACAGGAGATACCGCGTTAGTGTAAATGTATACTTCGTGACCAACCTCGGCAACGAATCTAGATTCCCACGTCTCCCCGCATTCTGACTGTCCACTTCACCAACTCCAAACGGTCTTTTCTCTCTCTTCCAAACCCAAACTCCACGCCATCGCCATGCTCATCATCGGGCTCACCGGCTCCATCGCGACCGGCAAATCCACCGTCTCCAACATCCTTTCCTCACCACCATACACCCTCCCCATCATCGACGCGGATCTCCTCGCGCGCAAAGTCGTGGAACCGGGCACCCCCGGCTACAAAGCGATCGTGAACTACTTCGGGACCACCACACCAGATTTACTACTAGAAGATGCACCATCAAGCCCAGCAGGCAAGCCCCTCAACCGCCCGGCACTGGGCCGCCGCGTCTTCGGCGTCAGCGAGGAGCGCAAACGCGATCGCGCGGTGCTGAATGGGATCGTGCATCCGGCCGTGCGGAAGGAGGTGTACAAGGCACTGATCTGGCACTATGTGCGCGGGCAGTGGGCCGTCGTTCTGGATGTCCCCTTGCTCTTTGAGAGCGGGATGGATCTGATTTGCGGCACGGTGGTCGTGGTGGGCGTGCACGACCCCGCCGTGCAGATGGCTCGCCTCCGCGCCCGCGACTCCCATCTTACAGCCGAGGACGCGGAGCATCGAGTACGCAGCCAGGGCGACGTGCTGTCCAAGGCCGAGCAGGCCGAGTTCCGAGGCACGGCTTCCAAACGCGGTGTGGTGGTGTGGAATGATGCCGATAAGCCGGAGCTGGAGCGTGCGGTCGCAGTTGCGATGCAGGGGATTCAGGCGTCGAGTCCGCGGTGGTGGGCGTGGGTGTTGCTCATTGCGCCGCCGGTGGGTGCGAGCGTTGCGGTGTGGAATCTGGCGGTGAATTTTGCGACGCAGAAGAGCTGGGAGAGGAAGAAGAGGGAGGACAAGGCGAAGCTTTAATGAGGTGCCTGTATGTTGTATATATTGGTTGGCGGTTTTCTGGGACTGGAATTATAGAGATATCTAGCTTGGACGATTCCATGCTTCATGACGGTGGAATAGTCCCCTCCGCCCTACGGACTAGAAATGCGATGTCCTACCCTTAATAGAACTGAATGAAACATGAATTCGTAAGAAATAAAATGCCCTAGACGCCTATGACCATGCACCCGGAAAACGCTAATTCCAAACTTGCAACATAGGGTATAGTCCCGCCTACCGGCTCTTGCGCTTCTTCTTCTTCTTCTGCGAAGTTTCGGGAGCACCTTGTCGTGAGCTGCCACCGGAGATACTCGTCAGGTTTTTCAGGTCGACCCCTTGGGATAACAGCTTCGCCTTGTCCTTCTTCCTCGCCTTGGCAGATTCGTTATCGATAAATTCCTGGACTCGGGCAGGATCCGTCGGGTTCTGGATTTTCTGTCCCTCTGCCCCTTCCTTATCGTTTGATTGGCCCTCACTCTGAGAAACGTAACTCTGCTACAGATCAGCAAGCGTTCTACAATCCAAGCGTCAACACTGACCGTCCGCGGTTTGCGCTTAAAATTGCCGTACGCTCTTCGGCCCCCAGCTCCGACATCCCCGTCCGCATCTAACGAGTCCGCCGCCACAACCAGAGGCTGCGGCGCATTGTGGTTTGTAGCGGGTGGGATGTCCAGCACCCATTCGGTTTCACCCGCCTCTGCCGCCTGGCGCGCAATGGCTTCTCGGCGCTTCTCTTCTTCCGCTGCTAGCGCGGCGGAGATGGCCTCCAACTCACTTGTGCGTGGGGTGGTCGAGCTGTTCTGTTCTGACAATCGAGGCCTTTTCGGAGTGGAAGGCTGGCTGTCCTCGGCCGCTGAAGAATAGGCTTCTTTTGCAGCGGCGGACGCTGCAGCCCGTTGCATGAACTGTAGATTTGCGTCGTCAATTTTGGATCATTTGTAAGACGGAAATGAGAGCATACCTTCATCGTCAACAGACGCGAAGACATGGTCTTCTCGGACTTTGCCGTTGAGGACATGGTGGGCAGTGGTTGTGAGCAGTAAGTTACTGACCGGAGTGAGGAAGAAAATCCATGTACGGGGGACGATAGCTGCAAGCCCGCCAAAACCTTAGCGTTTTGCCGGCAAAAATATTATCTAATCGTCTGAAATGGTTAGTACACCAAATCAAGGCGGTGAACTGCTCACCCAACCACACGCGGACTATTCAATCCGACCTCTTATTTTATAGATGAATTAGACCTGCGGCTATTTCCAAGGACCAATGTCCGCTTGAAGTAGACGACTCATGAACACTGTCACTCTCAATGCTTTCTGCCGGCCCAGAGGAGAAACGCCTGGAAATCACGATATATTGTTGAGTTAACCAGGTAACCCACTTCTAACATCTTCGCTAGCCCTCAGGTCGTGTGGATCTTCGTCTTACTTTCAGCCCAAGCAACGGCGATTACATCTCATTTTACAGGTTCGTGTTTGGGTGGTAGAGCGACGGCAAAGCAAGTCACTTTCATATGACATCAGGTTAGTGCTGAGCTCTAGGCACCTGCAAAGCTCCAGTTCATCTCATCTATGCGACGCAATAATCTTAAGCACTACAATCCCTTTCCCCCACCCAATTTACGAATTTTATCATCTCAATTACAAACTCAAATCGAATGTATCCAACGAATAGAGAAGAGCGAATCCTTCTGAACAAGACGACAGCTTCCCAACACAGATGGATGCAACCCCGGGCGTCATCCTCTTGGCAGCCGCCTAGTGACTCGGAAGAATTCAGGAAACTCATCGATAGTGTTAAACAACCTGGTTTATCTGAACGGAGACCGGGCAGGCTCAGAACCTCCAGACAGAAACAAAGTTGAAGACAGAAGACAAGAAAAAAGACCCCAAAGTGCTCCAGGTGAAAGCAACCAATCTCGGATCCCGCAGAATTGGGACACCATGCATGTAGCGCTCTTTAAAAGAAGGTATATACACCAAATGCTATTAGTTATGCAGAGGTTATGTCCAAGGTTGTATCGATACACAAAAACTGAAAGAAATCGCAAACATCTCAGTCATCGCGGTGACCGAATTCGTACGAGGTCTCGGTGGCTCCGCCACTTCTCTCGTCTTTTTTAAAGCTTACCCTCTGCAGCAACGTGGTCATCATGCGACGCGCGCGTCTTGAAGGCGAGGATGGTAAGCGAGACGGGCTGATGATTGAAGGGACCTTTGTGTAGCGGTAGCTATACTGGGCCCCTAGGAGCTCGATGCGACCATAAATCCAGAAGAGGAAGAAGCCGACGACGGCGGCGAGGAGGAACCCGCAGAAGGTGAGAAACATCCAGTGTTGACCCATCTGTGTGTGTTGGCGGTGATCAACAACGGCCCGGGGTTTTGGAATGTGCTCACCCAGAAAATGAAATGCGCGTCCTTGCCGTGCCAGCTGTTTCCAGTGTGGTAGGCGAAGAAACTCCAGGAGCACTTGTTGTACTCGTCCTGCATGAGAATGCGGACACGGCTCATCTCGGACGGATGCTCTTGCATGTACTCTTTCCAGATGACCGACAGGAACAGTGGTCCGGTCGAGTACATGACGGTGATGTAAGGGAGGAACCACTGGCGATCGTACTGCTGGAGTAATTCAATTACGCGCAGGAAGAAGGGGTGCTGGGGCACCGAGCCCATTGCATCATTGGAGATACCGGTTGGTACGGTGCGGCGCACCCAGGCGGGATAAGCGAGTAGGGGATCTAGGCGACGATTGCAACCCTGGTGGGGGTTAGACTGTCCGTATCAAAAGTGACCGTTGCGAGGCGAGTACATACGTCGTCCAAATCGATATAAGTTCCGCCATAGTGGGTCAGAACGAAATAACGGATCGAGTCTGCGCGCTGGATAGGGTATTTGTAGCCGTCAAAGGTCTCGAGGAACTGGGGATATTCGGCGGCGATAAAGTCGCGCGACTTTTCATTCGTCCACAGCTGGAATAATCGTTAACACGGATTCAAGTCTGTCACACGACTACGTACAATATACTCGTAGTCCGGGTGTAGGTCAATGCAGCTCTGCTGGGCATCGACCCAGACCTCGGGAATGGTCTCGCTTTTGTAGGTCTGGTGAATAATCTTGGGGATGATCTGGGGGCGTTGTTCGATCATGCTAGAGTTTGGCGGGGGCAACTCGGCGCGGTGAATCGCGTCGGCGACGGCATCTTCGAGGAGCAGCGATAGCAGCGTAGAGACATTGCGAACCAGGAGAGAGAGAATGAGAAGATTGATCAGGATAAAAATCAAAAGACCGCGCCGCATGATGGTGGTTGAGGGTGGTCTAGTCAGGAGACCAATGCGACAAGTCAATTGAACCGAAAGACAGGGGTCGTCAAATCGTTCGGGTGAGCGAGTATCATGGGCCTTCTAGGCCTAAAGATCTCGAGAGTTGCGTAGAGGGTGATTGATCATTGTTAGCGCCGGGACATGGAGTCGAAGAGGAGGCGAAGATATTAAACCCAAGCTCGAGCGCGAGAGAGGAAAAATGGAGAGAGAATAAATAAGAAGTAACCAAGTGGGGAACAAAACGAACTCAAAAGGGTGAAATAGGAAGGGGCAGTCTTGTAATGGAAACTGGATGTTCGCTGGATGTTCGCTGGATGTTCGCCGGATGGTTCGCCAGATGGTTCGCTGGATGGTTCCCTGGATTTCCGCTGGATGTTCGCTGGATGTTCGCTGGGTGTTCGCTGGGTGTTCGCTGGATATTATATAGATGGCTCAGGACATCTTCTATTGAGGGACACTGGGTTCCTGCCGCGGAGAACACTGAGTCGCAGTTTGCAACAGCATTTGAATTCGTGATTCTGCGTTCATCATGCATAATGGCGTGCGCATCGCACTGATAGTTGCGTTAACGGTTTTATTTTCGTTATATCTTTTGAACGAGCATCTTCAAGATCTTGAGGAACAATATCGTGTGCGCACATACGTGCAAGGCTGGCTGCGCCGGCATCGGCCAGGTTTCTTCCAGGGTGATAAAGATGATCTTTATTACCAAGCCTGAGGGGTTTTTTTGAAACTTGCGCAGAAAACGTTTCCTCGTAAGATTTTTATACCTTGGTGCATGGTAAAGAATGTCCTGCTGAACTGACTCTGCAAAAGGAGCCGGCGGTTTTATATCTGTAATATCTTGAGACTGGTCCGTCAATGCGCGCATTCAACGTCCTCGACCCTAAAACACGAGCCCTTGGCCTATCTTACCTATCGAATGGATAACCAGGGTGACTTATTATCCATCATGGGTTTTTAGGCTCATCAATCGTGTTGCGGCTAGTACCATATAAATGCTCACACAATTCGACGCTCCCCTTAGTCTTCGGTTATTCTTTGAATCAAAAGTCCTTGTTTGTGGTGTATGCATGGTTAGATAGATCTTCAAGCTCCCTTGTCATTTTCCAGGGTTAAGCCTCCTGGATAGTGGTCCTTGGGGTGATCCTCGGGATTTCTGTCATATTGAGAGACGGCTGTCCAAGTATGTAGATGTATACTGACCGGAAACGAAGCCAGAAACAACAGTACCAGGGCGATCGCGCTGAATACGGGCAGACATAGAGATGCCCATCGTAGAACCGGTTATACACGAGGAGAAGCGAGGGCAAGGGAACAATCCCGAAGAACTAAGAATGCTGGCCAAATGCAGGCGCATTCAGAAGTACGGAAAGGAAAATGTAAAAGGCGGGTAGGACAGAACAGAGAAAAGGTGTATGAATACATCTGTCATTGAAATTCAGACCCAAATTGCTGCTACTATTTTCAGCACCTTCAGAACCAGTCGGGGTTTAGCCTAACCCATTTGGGCAGACATGAATGATTACATGGAAGACAACTAGCTTTATAAAAGCTCAAAGGCCGTGAGTTTAATCATACAGTATCCGTCAACTTCTTTCGTTTCGTCTCCTCTTGCACCTTTTCTCCCCCTTTCTCTGTGTTTCCAATTTTTATATACCATCCAGTTTCATATCTCAACATACGAATGGCGCCCTTTCTCATTTCGTCGGCCCTTACCATCATCTCGAGAATAGCCGTTGGTCATGTGCTCGCTCGCGCTTCACTGCCCACGCCTTGATTGCGATGTTCAGAATCACCAGCGACATAATGAAGGCTGTGAATCCCATGCCCACGGTGAAAGTGAACATGGCGTCCAGCTCATAAAACTCCATAGCTTCGATCACTTGGCGGGTCTATTCAACGTTAGTAAGGTGGTCATATAGGATCTGTGGTAATCACTTACACTCAGCATGAAGATGAGCCCACCAGACATGAGACAGAATCCAGCTACGATCTCAGTGGGTGGGCGAGCCGGGAGGTACGAGGTTGGCGGGTGCAGAAACAGGAGGACATATGTCATTCCGCGAGAAATCGCGAATCCAACGAGCATGTTACCCCACTGCTTGTGCACCATGGTCGAAGTCATGCTGTCCTGGTGGTGCGATCCCATAATCATACCCAGGAGCAGGATAATAAGAGCTGGCATCGGGTTAAGGGGAACACCCTGTGACTTGGGAAGCTGCCAGTTCTCATCGTCAGATTCTTGGGTAGAGAATCGAAACAGGGTGTTGTTGAGCGCGTCGCGAATACGCCGGGATTCGAAGAGCATGCCCACAAGGCCACCACCGAAGAACATGATGGAGATTGAGACGTGCTCCATATCAGTCGCAGACCACTCTTTTCCCCCGGCCGGCCAGGTGCTCCAAGAAGACATTGGTAACACCATACAACCAGATGACGAATGACTCCACAAACTCGCCTAAGGGGACCTTTGCCTTCCAGCCGACGACAGACGCCGGGGGCTTCTTGTTCCAGGCCCATCCAAGGTCCGCCCAGGCTCCGATGAAGCGTCCGAGAGTGAGAACACCATACCAGAAAAAGATTCCACCTTTGATAAAGTGCGCCAGACCGTTGAAGAGCTCAATACCATGGAAGATACCACCATAAGTAACAGCTCCAGTCGCAATAGCAATGAAGCCAAAGGGAAGAATGATCCGATCAATCACATTATAGACGCCATTGAAAATGCGCAGGACACGGTTCGAGACCATTCCGGGCACGCGGTTTGAGAGAAACCGATCGATAATGGAACTACGCAACCAGCCGCGGGGGCCGGAAGGCTTTGGAGAAAGCTCCTCGGGCTTTTCAAAGCCATCGTACTCGGCTTGCGACTCGTAGGACGGCGATGTAGGCCTGTGAATAGAAGAGCCAGGTTCAGTGCTCTGGCCACTACCGCAGGACCAGCCGTACTCGTGCATAGCACCAGTTGAGTAGAGATTCTCATGCTCATCCGTAGCGACAGGGAGGAACTCAGAGCGCGCAAAGGATCTCGACTGAGACTGCTTGGACTCACCGCGGCCAGCATACGTAAAGATCAAGGCCAGAACGACCTGCGCACCGATAACCCATGTTATGATCCATCCGATCTTGTGGTGGGCATTGTTCTCGTACAGATCGGGAGTCTGGCTGTTATAGATGATTCCGAAGAGCAGGCCGAGGGTATTAAAGACCAGGAATAGGAACTGCGACGGGAGCGCAAGACGCGAGCGGCCAATGCTAAGCATGACGGCTGTCGCGGAGTTAGTCGCGTCAACACTTGCCAGAACTAGAAAGTAGCTTACCTGCAGGAAGAACAAAGCACCAGCCCAGGATCATGAGCGCAATGTGAGCCAAGATGGTGCTCGGGTGCTGGCCATAGGCAAAGTAGCTCATGGGACCTTCGCTTTGGGCATTCTGTGAGACGGAAGCCGTCGGAGCAGCTGTGCTGGAAGTCGCGTGCATCTCCGTGCTCGTTTCCATGCTTATACCCATTGATTCATCGTCATCGTGAGCGATCGCAAGGGACGCGAGGAAAAGCGTCGCGTAGGCAGCTCGAGTTAACAGCCGCATGGGGCCTGGTAAATGATCCCAAAGCTCGTGGGAACTGCTCAGAAGCTTGCTGTAGTTACAAGAGGTCAGAATGGAGGCAGAGCTTCAATCGGCGCAAAAGATCGAAGCTTTGTCGAATCGTGATGTAGCGACGCTCTAAGCGACTGTGGAATTTTTGTCTTTGCTCCAGACCCCAACTATTCGGATGTGACCTAACCAAGGTCAAGCTCTCACAAGTACCCAGACTGACGGTGTTGGTGTTGGGCGGTGGTGTGGGGACTGGGATTGGTATAGGGCTGAGAGCGAATTAGAAGTATAAGCGTGGGCGCTGTATCAGACAGCGGCTCGACGGGGCAGGATGCAGGGAATTAATAAGTTAGGAAGAAAGCACCGGATTTACGTCACAAATTATTAGATCAAAAAAAGAAAATTAGCCCAAAAAGGCTCATTGGCGCTGATTTTCGATGCATCGGAGACGGCAGGGATAGATAACCAACGCAAAAAGCGGCGGATGACATAGAGCTTCGAGCCTTTGCCTGGTCCTTTTAGCTCCACCCTACCGGAATTCGTCTCGGTAGGATGCTATCGGTCAGCGTATTCTATTGAGCGGCTGCTAGGAACATCCAGCGATCATCCAGCGATCATCCAGCGATCATCCAGCGGAGATCTGCGATTTGCCAACGGCTATCGACAACCGGAATTCACTACCCACCCGACATGGTAGGACACCATATTAAATCTTATTTTTTACAATTAATACCCCAACAACCATCACTTTTTTTTTATTCTAGGATAAGTATACGGGTGTTGATGATCTTTAGTATATGAATGTCAAGCCGATCAAAAGGTAGGGCTGATAACTAAGTTCGTCACTAGTAATGAAGATTGGGCGGGAGCTAGAGGGGGCCAGATTCGAACAGCGAATCAGAAGTGCCAGCGATATCGCGCTAGATGGAGCGAAACTGGCCGCAAACGGGGCCGATCGGCTCCTAACACCATCGTGTCGAGGAGACACAGGCATCCATGTTGCCGTCGGTGTTTCAATGAACCTTTACTTGCCAGATGACCGGTTGATGGAAGTTTACTACCGTGGCTTGTCAGCGAGTTGATTTTGGTCATTCCTTAGATTGCCAAAATACGTAACGGGACGCGAAGTGCCAGTGGCCACCGCCTTTTGGTCTATCGGAATGGAGAATATTCAATCTACAGTGGCTCGCTCGCATGCAAATCCGTCCTCTCATATCAAGCCGCGCCGGGCTGGCGTGCCTTGTGTGCGATGTCGCCAGATGAAGGTGAGAATCGGAACGCGCTCCGGTTCTTGTTCTTGGAGCCAACGCCACGCGTTTGAAAGTAAATTAATGTCTTCAGGTGAAATGTAATGCCAGTCAAAAATTTCCTGCGTCTTGCTCGGCTTGCGAAAAAGCGGGTGAGCGGTGCTCTGTTGACCCTTCGTTCAAGAGAACATCCAAGAGAAGGTAACACCGGCCCAATGCCCATTGTTTTTATGCCGCATCTTCGCTCTAATCGAACATAGGCTGAAAACCCGCCATGGATATGAAGAAGGTGACACGGCGTACAGGACGCCCCATTCCGAGGGATCAGGTACTGAACCAACTGAGTTGCCGTCGAGACCGGATGGACCTTTACCTGGCTCGGATTCTTCCGTAGCAAGCATAACTGCCGAATTGCGCCTCGGCGGGAAGAGATGTGTTCGGTTTACCCATGAGGCTACCGGTGTCAGCCTCACATCCAGTATTGTGGCAGAACTTCTAGAAGAGTACGGCAAGCCAGTGGTATTCTCATCTTCTACCCGCTCACGACCTTTAGGTACTATTTTCATCTACACCCGAAGTTCCCGCTGTTGCTGGACCCTGCCACCACAATCGATAGCTACGAAAAAACACCCTTGTTGTTCTGGAGCGTTTTGGCCATGGCAAGCAAAGGCTCAGAGAAGCATGCATCTGAATACCCTCGGTTACAAATTCTTTCAAAGCAATTGGCAGCAGACATCCTCCTCCTTGGCACTCGGTCTATCTACCTTGTTCAAGCTTTACTTCTGCTCTGTGTTTGGTCTTTTCCCCATGATGACATGAACAAGGAGCCGCTGTCAATGTACTGTGCAGTCGCCATTTCTATGGCACGGTCTCTCGGTTTACATCGTCCACAATATCCATTCCCTTTATTTGCTGCAAAGGCATCGGAGGTCGGAACCGTGGAAACTCGGACGGCAACCTGGCTGTCTTGTTTCATCGTGGATCAATGGTAGGGTTGCTCCTGAGCTGTTCATGAACTCGCTGATTACTCCGCAGGCATACTGCAAGATTCGGGGTGCCAAGTTCCATCAGGATCGATCATACAGTCCTTCACGCTGTGAATGTTTCGATGCCTGGGATACCAGCGACTACGAGGATTCAACTTCACATCGCTCTCGTCACCTCGAAGATCTCGGCTGCCCTGGGCGAATGTGAGACCTCGGCCACCGGGCTCACCGCGGATCCCCTTCCGTTTGTGCGGGTGTTTGAAACCGAGCTTAGCATGGTACAAGACAGATACGCGTGCGAATGGTCTCCTGCCGATGAAGTGTCATTCCTTGACGCGCGGCTCAGCCTGTACTCTTACGTTCTCGACCAGAGAAAAGCCGACCCCTTGAAAAACCTTCATTCAGAGAATGAACTCGTCACCCAGGGCAGTATGACGGCGCGACAGCTCCTGGTCGTGCTGACTACATTTCCCGACGCACTGAGCAAAGGGACATTCCATGTGTTTCGCTGTGCAAGCTACGCAGCCTTCTTCCTCTTACGCATTCTTGGGACGGCACCCAGAGAGTTGATCGATGAGACGGGTATCAGAAACATCATCAGACAGACTTTTACGCTCATGAGGGACATGTCTCAGGCAGGGAATGACCGACGGCCTCAAAGCTTTCGAGTCTGCAGAATCATCGAGCACATGATTGACTACGAAGACTGGAACAAAGACACGCCGTTCACAGGCAAAGCCAAGTCATTTATGGCTAATAACTTTGTCGCAGATGTTGCGGCCAGGGGCATGATCAAAGCAAATCAACGGCATGCGGCTGCACAGACCGAACGCGATTGCCGGGAAGCCGTGGCAGCAGGAGTTCCGGCGGAGGTGGAGTCGGACTTTAATATCGATTTCTCGATATGGGATCCGATGGAATGGACTGTGAATTGGCAGGATAGTAACGACCTACTATTTCTTAGCGAGAACATAGGTGGATCCTTGTGATTAAATATCGTTTGCACCCGGTCAAGGCCGATGAGATGCTCTAAATATACACGAGTATGGGTCTTTCGTAACGTGCGAGATTCTGTTAGTCTGTATGCCCCGAACCCTGGGATCCTTGCTGTCGAATATGAAGTATCCATTGGAGACGATCAAGTAATACTTTTGCCGGCAGAACGATTGGCTGTAACGGTTTGGCCTTTTTTACGCTGAAAGGGCAGCCAAATCAAGGCGGTGAACCACCCACCCAACCACACGCGGATTATTCAATCCGACCTCTTCGCTCCTGGCAACCACCTCACGCTCTTGTCTATCCCCAGCTTGGACCCAATCCGCCCACCATGATGTCCTGCGGTCGCAGACTCACTACTCTGGCTGCTGCAGCCCGTCCGCGCTTCGTCCGGGGCTATACCTCCACCATCCCTCGCCTGTCCGAGAATGCAATGCAGCCGAATGACCCGACCCCACGGACGCCCAAGCCCAATGTCTCCGCCACCAATGCCACGCCAGTCGACTCGATGGGTGAGGCAGATTACTCTCTGCAGGAGGACCCCGAGGTCGGCGAGCGCATCCGAAGCATGCAGGCGCCCAACCGGTCCAGTACGTGGGCTGCCAGCCAGCAGCCGCGAGAGAAGGCCATGACGGGCCCTCGCTTCGAGCAGACCATCATGTCCGCACAGGTGGGTTATCCCGGAAGCGAGAGTGGAATTGGTGAATGACGGGGTTGTACTGACCGGACTAGCCCCAACCCATGGCCGCCATTGAGCTCATCCACAAGCAACCCGTGCGCTGGACAAAGTCCAAGGTTGTCAGCTGCGACGGTGGCGGTGGCCCCCTGGGTCACCCCCAGATCTTTATCAACACCGACAAGCCCGAGATTGCGACCTGCGGGTACTGCGGTCTTCCTTTTGTAAGTCTGGTCCGATTGCTTCATTTCATTTAGGGTTCATGCTGACTCTGTCTCTCCTTTTCAGGCCCAGGAGCAGCACCGCGCCTACCTTGAGTCTCTGCCCGCTACCAGCTACCCGCTCAAGCCGACCGGCGATGCGGCGGAGGTGAACGAGACCCAGCGGGTCACGGAGGGATCATTCGAGCAGCGATAGAGCACTGGCATCAGTCTTCCTTTTGTCGGCGTTTTCTTAATTTGTTTCTATATCGTTTGGGCCCATGGCCATGTACAGAATATTGATCAATTCGATCTGCTGATGGACCAGGTGTGGTGTTTGTATTCTGCTGTATGGTTTCTACTGTAGTCTTTCACAACCATCCTATTGTGGGTAATCACAGATTTCCCCGCGCTCCAGCAACGAGTCACGCCTTCTGGCCCTGAATGGTGGCTACCACCTTGCGACTGTGTCGACTCTTCCTGAATTCTAATAGCCAGACGCCCTGCCAGGTGCCGGTAGCCAAGCGGCCGTTGGTGATGGGGATATTGATCGAGGCGCCGACGAGAGAGGATTTGATATGAGCCTGACCGACAAAAAATGAGCCATTGAAACCTTTCTCAGAAGGAGAAGACCAAAGACCTACCGGCATGTCATCCTCGCCCTCAGCTGAATGCCGATACAGCGTCCCCTTGCGGTCTTCGGGCGCAATACGATCCAGGGCATCGCTCATGTCGGCACGAACATCGTCGTCCCAGTTCTCGTTGAGCGAGATGGCGCAGCTCGTGTGCTGCACGAACAGGTTCAGCATGCCCACTTTGTAGTCGCGGATCTCAGGCAGCTCGCTGAGGACATGGTCGGTGACCAGGTACGAGCCGCGGCTGCGTGGGGGGAGGGTGAATTGTTTTTGGAACCAGGACATTCTTGTGTTGTGTTGGGCTGGGAGGTATTCAGAGGAGGTAAAAAGGAAGCGTTAGTCGTGGTCAGTTGGTGGATGTGTGGGGGGCTGATGTCATCGGGAAGGGTCGGGAGTGTATAACGTACCAGCAGAATAGCATCAATTGGCCAGATATAACCTGATGCAAGTAAAGGACATGGGATGAAGTAAGTGCCTTGTAAAGAGCTACATAGAGCCCCAGGTACTCTCCCAAAGCAACAGCCTTCTACATAGCGGCGTTATACGCAACAACCTTCTACCACAGCAATATACGTCGGTGGATCAACACTTCTCCAAGTCTGACAACAAAACAAACAGTCGTAATTGATCAGTCATATTTATTACTGCTGAAGCTTACGACCACGGCCATCTAGCAGATCACTACTCTTGTCCATGCCCGACCACTTGGGCAATCCATCCTCAAGATCGAGCATCCGCTGCTCATAGAAAATATGGCATCTAGAAAGAAGAGTTAGCCAAAGAAACTGACAACGCCCGTGACAGCACACATACGTCGGCTTAAACCCTTCTAATTGCCGTCTCTTTTCATCACCCGACCCAGTCAGGTCAATCAGTTCCGGGAAAAGTAGACAGACATTGCGGCCTTCATCCATGATCGGCGAGTGGCAGAATGCACACGACACCTTGGTGGGCAACTGGTACTCCTGCGAGTTATGGCTGGACGAGTAGAAGGCCAGTCCACTGGCCCCATTGGTGAATGAGATATCCTCCTTGTGGAAAATAGCGGCCCACTGGAAGGGCGCGCCGTGCATGACCTGGCACCCACGGCAATGACAATATTTAGCGTCGAGAGGCCGCTCGCTCTTCAGCATGTACGACACCTTGCCGCATTCGCAGCGAGCGCGCCACTTGACCGGGCCGAACTCCCTGGGGTCGTGAATCTGGTATGGCGGACGATACTTCCAGTGCTCGCCATCGTGGGTGTGCTCCGGCGGCTTGTTGGTAACAGCTGGCGAGGGCCGGGGCGATTGGGCTTCGGATGTGTCCATTCCGTCGTGATGAGCGAATTTAAAAGAAGGACTGATGGTAGTCCCTTTTATACTGCATGCCCAAGTGATGTCAGTCGAGGTCCACGGTGACTGCAAACCGGACAGAATAGGTTCTCGAACAGGGAAGACAATAATGAGGAATCTTGGCAGAGAACAAGATGTAAATGGATTTGTTTCTAGAAAAGAACCCGATTTTTGAAGCAGAGAGTGCACCTGTCGATATGCTTGAAAATAAGCCGGTTGAGGACAGCCACCATGATGTCATGCCCATCTTTATTTATGTTTTGGTATAGTTCGCTATCTTCGACTTCAAAAATGGGGTTAAGAGAAAGAGAGTGAGGTTGTTCGGTTAATTATTATGGCGAAGACACCGATGTTTCATCCCTGCAGGGCATCTTCCCTCATCTTCTGTCTTCGCTTGTCTTTGTTCTGTCACGTCTCCATCTCCCTTTAACTCTTCTCTCACTTGATCTCACCTTCTCTCCTCCCTTCTCTCCTCTATGTTTTCTTCCCCCTAGCCTCTCAGGATGGGTCTCTTGGACCGGATTCGCCGCCCTAGACCGAGTGCGGGGAGCGCGTCCGACACATTCTCCCCGGACACGTTCGGGCCTGACTGGACCAGACGCCTTCCCCGGCCGGTACTGACGCGCATCTTCGTCTTTGTCTGTCCTCATGCTGTCGACAACTCTTATGACTCCTCCGAGGAGTCCATGACCGATGGTTGTATGCTGTGCGATATGCGCGACCTGGCGCATTGCGCGCTGGTGTCCAAGCGCTGGTTCCTCGAAGCTCGCGCACTCCTGTATGTTTCCCGCTCTTAATCTATGCGTTTGCTCTGACTTTTTTAAGCTATACAAATGTGCGGATCGATCCCGTCCACTACTGTGAGCTCGAAGTGCAGCTAGCCGCCAAGCGGAAGCGCCGCTCCTTCTTTGACCGCAACGGAGAACCCATCGATGCGCCGCAGGTCCGTCTTACGCAGTTCATGCGATCTGTTCGGGAATCACAGGGTCTGGGGAATATGGTTCTGTCACTGCGGATGCCCTACATGACCCGGGAGGCCAACAAGGCCGATGTTGCGCGCACCATCTCCGTTCTACCTCATCTACGCTTTGTCGATCTGCCCACGGGCCTGTACAGTGACGAGCCTTCGTGTTTAGCGCTCAAGCAAGAGTTGATGGCCCGGTGTCCTGATATTCGTCGCATGACTTATCGCCGCGGCGCCGAGGGGAGCTTCGCTCGTCTGCCGGGGGCCCAACTCTGGGCCAATCTGGAGGTGCTGGAGTTGTCAGGTGTGCAATTAGAAGCGGGAATCCTCCGTAGCAGCCTGGCCGCATTTCCCCGGCTTCGTGATCTTACTCTTGAGGATCTGGATTGGCTCGATGACAATGCATTTGTCGTGACTCCGACCATCCAGCCGTTCCCAGAAGTTCAGCGACTCACACTTCGAGATACCCCGAATGTCACGGCAAGCGGGCTTGCCCCGCTCCTTTCTCTTCCAGGAATTCAACCTGCTTTGCGTTCTCTGACCCTCTCTTCAACCGGAGTTCTTCCGTCCACCTTGCATCAGCTTTTATCTGCGGCCCCGCATCTTGAGAGTCTGGTGGTTGTCCAGGAGGTTTCCCGGTCATTCCCCATGGAGCAGATACCTCCTCTTGCATCTCAATCTCTCCAGCTGCTGCATTATGAAATCACATCTGAGACCGAAACACACGGACTGCCTCCGACAGCCGCGTCATACTACACCTATCTGATTTCCTCACTGATGTCGCAGTCCCTTCCGGCACTTCGCGATCTCTATGTTCGAGACTCAAACTTCCCAGATACTCTGCTACTTACCCCTCCCCCTCGACTTCTTGATGGCGGACCTGGCAGCGGTGGCCTCACCCAACCGCTGAATGTGTACAGCAAGGGCCTCGATGAGCTCGAGTGGAACTTCACACCCTATCAACCCGACCCGGGGCCGGGGCCTCGGACACCGCGCACGCGCCCAGTGAGCTTTCAGGAAGCTCAGCTGAGCCGATCCTGGGGAGGTGATGCGCGCAAAAGTGTGCTTGTAGGTAACGGCTTTGGCGGGTTCCTAGCCGTGCCGGCGGATGATGAATTCTCTTCACCCAAGAGCAGCGGAGGATCTAGACGGACCAGCCGGCAGGATCTGTGGAGATAACAAGTCGAATGAAGAATATACGTTTTGATGGTTTGCCCATTCTGTATAGATCGATGTCACGTGCGCCGTGTTGCGGCTTTGGTGGTTGTGGTTCGCCGTAAATTAAATTTGTCCGAGTCGCCATCCAAAGTCTTTCCCGCATTCACTCTGTTTTTCTTTCAGATCAGGTGGACCACACCACGCGATAACAGCTCTCTGCAACACATTCTGCCATGAGTATTCCAGGCATGACGCCACCGATGGGTGGCCTGGGAGGAACACCAGGAAATGGGATGCAGGGCATGAACGATCAGGAGCAGGCGATGGTCAAGATGGTTAGTGTTTGGTATCTTCAACCAAATCGCGCGGGATGCGCTAACAAGGGTTTAGATGCAAGCTGGCATGGAATCCTGTCCCGTCAAGACCGTCATTTCTGGCACGATGGGATTCGGCCTCGGAGGCGCGTTCGGTCTTTTTATGGCCAGTATGAGCTATGATAGTACTTTCACTCCAGCTGGACGCGCCATCGCCGACCTCCCCTGGCGCGAACAAGTACGCCGCGGATTCAAGGACATGGGTGCACGTTCGTGGTCGTCCGCAAAGAACTTTGGTATTGTCGGTGCACTATATTCCGGTACCGAATGCTGCATTGAGGGACTTCGCGCCAAAAACGACTTGACCAACAGCGTCGCGGCTGGTTGTGTCACCGGTGGGATTCTCGGTGCTAAGGCCGGTCCGCAGGCTGCTGCCCTCGGCTGCGCGGGTTTTGCGGCATTTAGCGCTGCCATCGATGCTTATATGAGGATGCCGTCGGAGGAATAAACGGGGCCTGGTCTGGTTCCTCGATAGGCTGGCACATGGCTGTTGTTCGTCTCGTTCATCTTCAGGCCTTTCGGTCCGTACACTTTGACTTGACTTGGGCGTTACGGGTTTCTGGTATAGAGGGATGCATTACTGGCGTTTGAGTGTTTTCTGGTACATCTTCATCGAGTCTCGCTCCTCATCTGTACAACTATCAATATTGTTGAATATACGTCGCTGAAACTTCTTTTTTTCCCCTGTGCTAATTACTATGACTGGGTGCTATAGAAGTGGGTGGATGCCTGATCTAGTTCGACTTCTCTTTAAGCTGCGTTAATCTCCGGGTCTTGGCTCCTGATGGAACTCAGAACAACATGAGAACAAGGGACTACTTCGGCACTGTGAAGCTGAATCTGGTAGATCCATGATCGACTTGTACAATGATGACTTCGTGGCTGGAAACAAAGAACACGTCGCAGGCCGAATTCTGACCTGATTATCAACGGCAAACCGTCACAAGACCGGATCTTTTTGGTGGCTTTATTAAACCCGGCTTGACTGCAGTTTAGTCGGAGTTGGTGGCCTTGAAAATTCTAGTGGTCTTTGTGAGCCCAAATTATAATCAAGTATCATCAACACTGTGTATGCTACCCTAGAATGGAACTTTAGGTACATGGACTGTGACTGCTAGGGAACTGTGAGATCATGTGGAAGATTAAGATAGGTAGACAAGGAGGGAGTGACCGAAAGAAATGCCCGAAAAGGCTTTCCTGAATAGTGCAGGTTGTGGTGCAGCGAGTGGTGATGAGTTGAAATGGGCGGCAACAAAGATGGGTTTATGACTTCGAATCAAGACCGTGCTTAGAGAATACAGTACATATCAGATATCACATTTGACGACTCGGACTAGACATCTAAGGAGGAAACAGGATATCTAATACTTCAGGTTTCATCGGAAGACACTTAGAATATGTAGTACCGGCCGTGCAGTTTGAAAATATCTTGGGGTTGTGGCAGGCTAGTAACACCAGAAGATATCTTCCCTCGTTCCCCGACACTCGAGGCCTTTCCATCTTCCACCCCTGTGCAACTTATATTCTAGATCCCAACACCATGCAGACGGACAATTGCAGTAATTCCTTCATTTACTCTTTTCACCAAAGTTTACTTACTGCATTCGAGGTGCCATCGTCAACAAAGGCCGACTGTTGGTCGTGCGTGAAACCGTACCTAAGTAGGCATCTCCAGCGCCATGCTCACGATCTTGTCCAATATATTCCTTTGGAAAAATACACCTCTAATCCGAGGACTCCCTTTGCTGTAAGAAGAAGCGAGTTTTGTAGTGTACAATAGTAAAGTGAATTGGGCTGCGGGCTTTGTTCCCTGGGCCTACTCCGTAGTGACGTAATGACGAGTGCTCTAAAAAGGACCTCGATCTCGAATATCCCCAGCACTTCAGCGAACATCAAGATGGATTTGCTCTCTTATTGCAACCTCAACGAAACGAAGCAGCTCGAGTACTCATCAGAGAATCCCCTGAACCGCGAGCCCTCTGCCAAGGACCTTGTCCAACAGTAAAGCACCCTTTTTGTTTGCATAGCATAGCCCTAACCCAGCCAGATTCCTCACGCCCCAAGATCTCAGCTACGACCGCAACCACGGCCCAATACCCCATCTCCGCGGCGAAGAGCACCAAGTACGCGTTGACGGGCTGGTCGCTAATCCTTTAACATTGTCGTCGCAGCAACTACGCACCGACTTTCCTCAGCATGAAGTTATCTCTGCTCTGGAATGCGCCGGCAACCGCCGCCTCGCAATGCGGACTCTTCTTCATGAAGTGGAAGGAATAGACTGGGGAGATGCAGCAGTGATGAACTGTAAATGGAAGGGACCGCGAGTGCGCGATATTCTTCTTCGCGCCGGCTTGCGCGGCGCCGCAACAGACCCGAACCGGGAAATGCATGTTGCCTTTGCCTGCTACCAGGTCAAGTGCCAGGAGGATTATTGGTTCGGGGCCAGCGTGACCCTGGAACGATGTATGCGCGAAGACGGAGATGCCATTCTGGCCCTGGAGGTAGGTTGTTTCGAACCATCATAGTCTCCTTTTTGAGCTGATGGTTGGCGTCAGGTCAATGATTCTCCCCTAACGGCGAACCACGGGTACCCTGTTCGGTTAGTTGTCCCAGGCATCGTTGGGGCGCGCTGGGTGAAATGGCTCGACCGGATCACCGTCCAGGAACGGGAATCACCCAACTTCTACCAGCAGCGCGACTACAAGGTTCTCCCACCGGAGGCAGTCGATCGTGCCTCTGCTGAACAATATTGGACGGTTACCCCGCCCATGTACGATACGCCAATCAACTCCATTGTGGCTGTCCCGGGGGATGACGAGATGGTCTCATTGCCGGACTCTGGCTTAGTGGAGGTGAAAGGATACGCCATTCCGGAGGGTGACCAAGGGCCTATCACTAGGGTGGAAGTGTCGGGCGATGGAGGCCAATCATGGGTAGAGGCCGAGTTGAGCGGGTCGAGCCGTGAACAAAAATGGTGCTGGGTATTGTGGACGGCCAGAGTAGGAATGTCTCTGGGGCCAGGGAGGGAGATCTGGAGCCGTGCAAGTGATGCAGGAGGTAATACGCAGCAGGAGCATTCGCAATGGAATCTCAGAGGTGTTGGGTATAATGGATTCGGCAGGAAAAACATAACTGTGGTGCCGGGTTGACAAAAAACCAAATCTATTTTGATACAAACTCGAGCTAGGGCAACACGATATACTTTTCCAGGTGCTTGGGGATGGCGCTTCGAAGGTTCTTGCTCTCCAGCCAGGTGTTGGAGAACAGCCGATCAGCATAGCGGTAGGCACCGTCGCACAGAATCGTCACGACGGTGTTGCCCTTGCCCATCTTCTCGGCGACCTCCTTGGCCGCCACCACATTCAGCGCGGAACTGGCACCCAGATACAGGCCCTCCTCGTCAAGGCAGCGGTAGACCATCTCGATCGACTTTTCGTCACTGATGGTCAGAGAGCCATCGAGCAGGTCGATGTCGGGCTTGAGGTTCTCCGTCACCCGGCCCTGACCGATACCCTCGGTGATACTGCTACCGGTCCGGTCAATCAGTTTCCCACCGCTCTGGATGTAGCTGTGCAGCACGCTGCCTGGTGGGTCAGCAAGGAAACTCTTGACGCGGCCGTCGCTGGCCGTCTTAAGATACCGTGTGATACCGGCGAGGGTACCGCCGGTACCGGTAGAACAGGTGAAGGCGTCGATCCTGCCGCCGGTCTGAGACCACAGTTCTGGGCCGGTGGTCTCAATATGCGCCAGGCGATTGGCGACGTTGTCGAACTGGTTGGTCCAAACGGCATTGTCCAGAGCCTCTGCATGCCGCTTCGCCTGGTGGTTGTAGTTTTGTGGGTTGTCGAATGCCACCGCAGGCACCGGGTACACCTCTGCGCCCAACAGCCGGAGCAAATCGATCTTGCCCTGCGACTGCGTGTTGGGCATGTAGATCACCAGCTTGTAGCCCTTGGACCGGCACACGTGCGCCAGACCAATACCGGTGTTTCCTGCGGTTCCCTCCACCACCGTACCGCCTGGAAGCAGTAATCCCTTCTCCTCGGCGTCCTTGACCACGAACAGAGCCGCGCGGTCCTTCACGCTGCCTCCCGGGTTCTGGAACTCGGCTTTGCCCAGGATATTGCACCCTGTCTGCTCAGAGAGCTTCTTCAATCGGATCAGCGGCGTGTTTCCGATTGCTTGGCCACAAAGTCAGCTCAATGCATGTGCAAATGGGGTTCCGGAGAGTATACCTTCGGTCAGTCCATTGACGACACCCTGCACCGTGGATACCCGTGTATTGTACAAGGTAGACCCCTCTCGGGAGGCACGAAGGGCCGTAGTGCCAAACCGGCGGACACTTTGGCGGAACATCCTGGTTGTATTCGAATGATCGTTTTCGAGTCCGCGAAATGATCGGCCTCGGAAGACGTCATTAGTCAGCGCAGCACGTGCCCCTCGTTGCCAATTTGGGCTGTTTGTTTACCGCCCGCACTTTCCTTCCGCAGCTCTGCGATGCGTCTCGACACGCCCTGATCGAACAAACCAACACACAGCCTTCATCATAATGCCTGGCCGAGTCGCTCGCTCGACGTCCGCGGCGACGCGCCGGTCTTCAACCCAGCCCTCTGCGTCAGGCCGAGCTCCGTCCGTAACTCCTTCGGCCGCGATTCCCGATGAACCAGCAATTCCAACATCATCAGCCACGCTGCGCCGCGATGTGTGCTCTATATTTGCCGATGCCCAACGCTCGACTACGGGGCATCGGAAACTGATGGTGCGTCTGCGCAAACTACAGGAGATCAGTTGCGGAATCCCCCAGAACAAGAACAATAAGAAGGGCCAGTCTCAAGAGCAGGACGAGGCCTTGAGCCCAAGTGAAGAAACCCTTGCTGAAAAGGAGTTTAATGTGGAGGTTGGCCGCTGCATGCTGCGAATTCTTCCGATTAAGAAGACCGAACCGGTTGGGGACCGCGTCCTGCGCTTCATGGGCACGTTCCTCGTTCACGCATCTGAGAAAGACGCGGAGATGTTTGCCACAGCTGACAACGACGACCATACTACACCCACTGTGCGTCTTACCAGTAGCCTGGTCAACTTGATGGTGCCGCTGCAGGCGGCCAAGGATAAGATGGTGCGGTTCCGCGCGACGCAGATTATCACGCACATTGTCAATTCGCTCGAATCAATAGATGATGAGCTTTATCACACGATTCGGCAGGGTTTGTTGAAGCGGATTCGCGACAAGGAATCATCCGTACGCGTGCAGGCTGTTATGGGTCTGGGCCGCCTGGCCGGCAACGATGAAGACGAGGAAGGGTATGAGGACAATTCATCGGCACTCCTCGACAAACTGATCGAGATCATGGGGAACGACACCAGTGCCGATGTTCGGAAGACTCTTCTAACAAACCTCCCGCTCGCCCCCGTTACCCTTCCCTACCTCCTCGAACGAGCTCGCGATCTCGACGCGGCCACTCGACGCGCACTGTATTCTCGTCTTTTGCCCACTTTGGGCGATTTCCGCCACCTGTCACTAGGTATGAGAGAAAAGCTCCTCCGCTGGGGCTTGCGTGACCGAGATGAGAGTGTCCGGAAAGCCACGGGCAAGCTGTTCTACGACCGCTGGGTAGAAGACTGCGCCGGTACCAATGCAGGCGTGGAGGGGGGATCTACGGGTCAGCGGTCGGAGCCGAATATCAACGCCCTTTTGGAGCTGCTGGAAAGGATCGATGTGGTCAATTCTGGAATGGAAAGCGGCATTGCCCACGAGGCCATGCGCAGCTTCTGGGAAGGGCGTGCAGACTACCGGGAGGCGGTGGAATTTGATGAGCCTTACTGGGAGTCTCTGACAGCCGAGTCATCGTTCTTATTGCGGTCTTTCAACGACTTCTGTCGGGTAGAGAACGAGGGCAAGTACGACAGCCTCGCAGATGAGAAAATGCCCGAGGTCACCGCGCTCGCCTACTTCCTATCGAAATACATGACCGAACTTTTGCAGCGAAAGAGGGTTTCTAAAGATACAGGAGATGCAAACGATGAGGATGCCGTGGAGCACGAATTCATTGTCGAGCAATTGCTTCATATTGCCCTGACTCTGGACTACAGTGATGAAGTCGGCCGACGGAAGATGTTCTCTCTCCTGCGAGAATCACTGGCCGTGCCGGAACTCCCGGAGGAATGCACCAAACTTGCCATTGAGACGCTCCGTTGCGTCTGTGGGCCTGACCACTCTGGAGAGAGTGAATTCTGCAGTGTTGTGTTGGAAGCCATTGCCGATGTGCATGACACCATCACCACCGAGGACAGTTTTGTGTCTGCAAGATCAGAGATTAGCGACGATACTAGCCGCCATCGCTCGGAGACCCCGGGGGATGAAGACAATGTTCCCTTCAACAAGGAAGAGGCCAAGGCGAAGGTCGTTCGCGAGATTGTGGTCAATATGAAATGCCTGCATATTGCTCAGTGCATGCTTCAGAATGTCGAGGGCAATCTGCAACAAAACATCAATTTGGTTACCATGCTGAACAACCTCGTTGTCCCCGCAGTCCGTAGTCACGAGGCTCCGATCCGCGAGCGTGGTCTGTTGTGCTTGGGCCTCTGCTGTATGCTCGATAAGGCATGTTGATACCCTGAATTTGGATGCTGACTTGCTAACTTCTTACTCCAGACACTGGCAGAGGAGAATATGACACTCTTCATTCATTGCTATAGCAAGGGCCATGAAGGGTTGCAAGTGACTGCGCTGCAGATTCTCTGCGATATGGTGACCACTCACCCGTCGCTTCTGGCTCCAGTAACCCAGGCCGATGGCGAGACGGTCACGCCGCCTGCGGTTCAGAAGCCTTTGCTCAAGGTCTTTGCACGATCCCTCAAGGCCAATTCCCCGGCTAGTGTGCAGTCGACCGCGGCCTCAGCGCTGTCCAAGCTCTTGCTCACGGGCACCTTCACTCCGTCTGGTCCCAACGTTCCGCCTCCCATCCAAGAACTGAACCAGACCGCCGTGGAGACGCTCTTACAGTCCCTTGTTGTGGCCTTCTTCCATCCTCGCACAAAGGAAATTCCAGCTCTCCGACAGTCACTAGCCTACTTCTTCCCAGTCTATTGTCACTCCCGCCTGGACAACATTCAGCACATGCGACGGATAGCCGTGCCCGTGATCCGCGGCGTCCTCAACGCTGCAGAGGAGCATTACTCCCTCGAGGCTGAAGAGGACAGCGATGGGGAAATTGATGAGAGTCTCGGCGAACGCGAGGTCAAGGCGCTCATGACGGGTGTCGTGGGAATGCTGGCCGAATGGACTGATGAACGCCGAGTGGTTGGACTCGGTGGGGAGCGTGTCCTGGCTGGTGGAGCTCCCAACTCGAGCGCGTGCGGCTGGGTACATCTGGCGCTGGTCAGGGACATCCTGGAGCGCATACTGGGTGTCAGTGCCGGCAGCAACCGCTGCTCCAAGGACGAACGCAAGCTGCTTCTCTCTCTATTGAGCAAGCTCTACATCGCCGCACCCACAGCTCCTGCATCCAGGTCTGACCGTGCCAGCTCCCGCGCTCCTGATGGCGAGGACCAATTCCGCACGAGCACCCGCAGCTCCAACGGCGCCGAGGTCGACCCCGAGCATGCGGAACTGGCGCAAGAGGTCAAGGAACTGCTCGACCAAACCATTGATGAGGGCCTCGCCGCCGACGCAGCCGGCCGCAACGCCCTGACGAAGACTAAGAACGTCGTCCTCAAGATCATGGCCGTCGCACAAGATGCGCGTGCCGCCAGCGCCCGCCCCCGTGAAGGCACAGAGGATGCAGAGAGCGACGCCGGCAGTGTTCGTTCTGCCAGTGTGCGCCGCTCCCTGGAACCCACCGGAGCTGCTGGCCGCCGCCACGTTTCGGTCGAGCCCAGTATTATGGAAGAGGATGAGGAGGGCGAGAATGACAGCAGCCGGGTGCATCCCCGGGCCGCCTCCCGGGGTATGGTCTCGGTTGAGCCGAGTATCATGGAGGAAGATGAGGATGAGCATGACACCAGCCGGGGCACGGTGATCAAGGATGAGGTTGTTGACGAGTAATTATTCACGACATTCTGCTTTTAGGGTTCTAGGTGTTGGTGGTTGGACAGCCTGGGGGTTCTTGGCTTTTGTACATGATGCGATGAATCTTTCTCCTAGATGGAATAACATGGGTTCTCTAATCAATCTCTCATCTCCATCCTCCCGGTCCTTTGTATAGTTACTCTCCACGTGACTCCCATACCTGCCACGTGATCGACGTGCTGCGTGTGCCTGAGACATTTACTTTCATCAACGGTTTCTTCTCTCCTGCTTCTTCTCTTTTTCATCCAGAGCCGCGTGTTACAACCCCAGCTTCCCCTGGGCCATCCGCGGTGCCTTCGGATAGAAGCGACGCTGACCCAAGGATCAGTCAAGGCGGCCGACCGAATTGCTAGTTTTTTCCCTTTTCTTTTTTTCATTCTTTTTTACCTGTTCCTTTTTCTTCTTCTGTATCTCTTGTCGCGCCGCATTGCAGCAATCCATTGAGTGGAGAATTCGATAGATTTCCATTCTGATGAGAATGACCAGATTTTCCCAAAACATACAGGATGTACCTGACAGGTATCCACCCCTACGGCCTCAGGTGCCGAGCGCACTAGGCGGGCCAGGCCGGGGAGGGCTGTTGCATCGTTGTAGAAATTGAAATGTTATGAGGAATTAAGGGAATAATGTGGAGGCCCTTTAGTCCCAGTCGGCGCACCATAGTGAGACGGTGACAGGGATCTGGAGCCGTTGGGGTTGCACGGGTGGGCACGCCGTGGGATGGAAGATCGGGGAGAGGAGAAGGGGAGGAGGAAGAGCAGGAGAGAGTTATCATCAAGAGGAGATATTATTCTGCTTCAATAGCGAACTTCTAGTCGATTCAGTCGTTAATTGCTGGTGGAAGCCTATTCGTTCTTCTTCGGTCCACTTCACTGAGTGCACTGGGTGTCTTTTCTTTTCTTTCTCGCCTGTTCCTCTCCCGCCCTCCCCTTTTCTTCCCCGGGCTTCTTTCTTCCACGACTCTCCTCCCACGACTCTCCTCCCCGAACTGGTCGTGATTGTCTCTTGCTGTTCCCGCAGAGACCCTTACCCTTTCTCAGTCCTCTCCCCGGGCTTCCTACCCCCTGCCGCTCCGTTGGCAGAAACAAGTCAGCCATGGCGGCCGTTGCAGCACCCACCCCGAAGCTGGATCGCTACATTGTCATCCACGTTGCAACCACCTGTGATGAGCATGGCGTCTATGTCACCAAGGATTCGGCAGAGGTGATTGAACTGGGCTGGATTCTGTTGGATACCAAGACCTGTGAAGAGGTACGCATCCCCCCCTCCTCACCCCCCCATTCGAGACGGAATTTTCAGGCTGACAGTCAACTTTTTTGCCAATGGTATAGTTGCACCGCGAAAGTGTCCTCGTCAAGCCCGTCAATACGCCCATTACGCCGCTTTGCAGTAAGCATTCCCCTCGACACCTGAAGTTTTGTTGGGATCGGACAATTGGCTGACACAGAAAAAAGCGAGCTTGACTACCCTGACATGGGAGCACGTCCGCTCCGCAGGAACCTTCCGTGATGCCATCTCCCGGCTCGACGCCTTCGCCCAGGAACACCTCACCAGCAAGCACCTGGAGTTTGCTTTTGTGACGCTGGACTCGTGGGATCTGCGGGTGCAGCTGCCCCGCGAGGCCCGCGACAAGTCCGTCGTGCTGCCGGCATATCTGCAACACTCCCGGACCTTTGACCTGCGCACCGAATATCAACGCTGGCAAACCCATCACCCCGAGTCGCTGCCGTTCGGTCCCAGCTCGCTCTCCAACATCTGTGCTGCCCTCGAGGTCGAGCCCATTCAGTCCTCCGCGCCCATCAAGCACAATCTGCCCTTCCACCTGCAGGCGTTGGCTCCGGCCTCGCCCCGCCGCGCTATGGAGGAGTCCATCACCCTGGCCCGCGTGCTTCGCGGTCTGATCCGCAAGTCGCAGCCGGCCCACGAGCACCCGGAAATCCTGACCCGTCCCATGGATGCCCATGCCGACGTTCGGGCCTTCCTGTCGGAGCGGAGCAAGGTTCTTCACCTGAGCGGTCTGCCGCATGATACCACCCAGTCGGAGTTGGAGAGTTGGTTCACGCAATTCGGTGGTCGCCCGATCGCTTTTTGGACATTGCGGACACCGGACCAGCACAAGCCTACCGGGACGGGCTTTGCGGTCTTCTCGTCGCACGAGGAGGCTGCGGAGAGCCTGTGCATGAACGGCCGGGCTCTCAACGAGAAGGCCATTGAGGTTTCGCCGTCCTCGAGCCGGGTTTTGGACCGCGCTGCGGAGATCCTCACTCCCTTCCCGCCATCAAAGAACCGACCTCGCCCGGGCGACTGGACGTGCCCGTCTTGCGGCTTCTCCAACTTCCAACGCCGCACGGCTTGCTTCCGTTGCTCGTTCCCCGCCATGGCTGCCGCTCCCGACCCAATGGGATACGGAGCTTACGGCTATGGCCCGCCCTCGATGATGCCTCCTCATATGGGCCATGGCGGCGGCGGTGGCGGCGGTGGACACGGCATGGGTCACTCTCGTGGCATGGGAGGCAACGGCGGTGTGGTTCCCTTCCGTGCCGGTGATTGGAAGTGCGGCTCCGAGGGCTGTGGTTATCACAACTTTGCCAAGAACATCAACTGCTTGCGGTGCGGTGCGCCTCGATCGGGCGCGGCAGTCGTGGCCGACTCGGCCTTCCCATCGCCTATGGAACCTCCGTCGGGGTTCAACATGGGTCCTAACTCGATGGCGAGCACTCCGGGCCCGGGCCCGTTCGCGTCGACCGCAGGCGGATTTGGTGGGTTCGGCCAACAGTTTGGCGGCCCTCCTAACAACTACGCTCTGCCTTCCGGCGGACTGGGCAATGCTCCCGGTGGCTACCCTCCAATGGGCCAGATGAACTCTGGATATGGCTCATCCAACACCTCGCACTCGGCCGCCTCGTTCGCGAACCCTGCCACCCAGGCAGCGTTCAGCGGCGCGGACCACCACGGCATGGCGTCTAACAACGCTTCCTCCAACGGGGCATTGTACGGCTCCGAGGGTACCGCCGACCCGTTCGCCTTCCTGTCGACTGGTCTCGGCGGCCTGACCGTGTCGGACGACGCGCACTCGCGACGAAACGGCGCCGGTGCCAGCAAGTCGCCCGCGTAAAGAAGACAAAACACAAACAAATCTCCATGAAATACTTCAAGCCCGAACCCACCGGGTGGTCACATTTACGTTGTCGATATTGCAACCCTGCATTGTGGCAGGTATATGCGTTGGTTGATTTTGGTTGATACGCATTTGTATAAGGGATTCTGCGGTTCCGGTGCATCGGGTTGGGAGGAGCAGGCGGGTAGCGTGTCGACGGTTTTCATTTTTGGTCTCGCCTCGCCGTCTAGTTGGTGCGTTCCGGGTTGTTGAGCTGTTCTTCTCCCCTTTTTTTCTTTCTGATTCTACATGTGCAGGGCAGGGGAGAATACTGTCCCATGTCGCGGCATATTTGCATTTCTGTCTTCTTTTTGTTTCTTTAGATCTTTGGTCCTGCGTCGTCCCCGTTCTGCACTCTTTGGTCATGGGAAGCGTTGGAGAATTTCACGGTCTTGATCTCTCGCGGGTGGGATATACAATTGGTTCGGACTCCGTTGGGGGAGGTGTTGGGGATTTTTCCATTTGAGCTTGTCGAGATTCCGGCATATGGGGAAAGCCCAATCCGAGCACTGTGACTGTTAACCAAAAAAGACTGTTCTGGATGTCCATATTGATTCGATTTGCCTAGTTCTTGGCCCTTTCCTCCTGTGTACTTGGCACTGTATTCACTGTAGACTTTCCATCTTCCTTTGAATTATATTATTTGCCTTCAACCAGACTCCCAACATACCTATTGGTATAGTAGTCCTCCATATCACTTGACGCGGAGTTAACTACTACTCGCTAGCCCTCGTAAGTAGTCAGGCACCCGTATGCCGCGTCCACCGCCCGCAGTTCCCGCCCATTGCCTCATAGCGACCACCACTTCTTCCTCTTCCACCTACCTGTTCAACCTATTCCTCCCCCTTTTTTGTTGTCGCCGTTCTCTTCGGTTGCAAGCTTCCCAATTAACCTCGTCGGAGCCTCCTCGTCTGCAAATTCACCATGTCTGGATACGACCGAGCTCTTTCAGGTAAGCCCCAGCTCCCAGCCCAGCCCAGCTCCTGTGCTGCGGGCTTTCGACAGGACCCCCGGTGTGCTAACTCCCCACAGTATTCAGGTATGACTAGCTCCTCTGGAGCTCCAGATATAGTCCGGGACCTTACTAATACCCTCAAGCCCCGATGGGCACGTCTTCCAGGTGGAATACGCCATGGAGGCCGTGAAGCGAGGTGAGACCACATCCATTCCTAGCCCAGCTCCAGCTACCCCTGCAAAGACTTCTGTCATCATATTTTTTCTGTCGTAAAGCGCTAACCGCCCATGGTTCACAACAGGAACGTGCGCTGTCGGTGTCAAAGGCAAGGACATCGTCGTGCTTGGCTGCGAGAAGCGCTCGGCCCTCAAGCTCCAGGATACCCGGATTACCCCCTCCAAGATTGCCATGGTGGACGAGCATGTGTGCCTCGCCTTCGCCGGACTGAACGCCGATGCTCGCATCCTGATCGATAAGGCCCGGTTAGAGGCCCAGTCGCACCGCCTGACGGTCGAGGACCCCGTCAGCATCGAGTACATTACGAAATACGTCGCCGGCGTGCAGCAGAGATATACCCAGAGTGGTGGTGTCCGGCCCTTCGGCATTAGTACTCTGATGATTGGATTCGACAAGAATGACGAGACGCCGCGGCTGTATCAGACGGAGCCGTCGGGGATCTACTCTGCGTGGTGGGTGCTGAGCACTACCGGGTTTATGACACTACTAAACTTTTTTTTCTCCGCGTATAGGAAAGCGAACGCCATCGGTCGTTCTAGCAAGACGGTCCGCGAGTTTCTCGAGCGGAATCACCAGGAAGACATGGACCGCGAACAGACCATCGCGCTAACCATCAAGTCGCTGCTGGAGGTTGTGCAGACGGGTGCCAAGAACATCGAGGTCGCCATCATGTCGCCGGGCAAGCGCATCGAGATGCTGCCGGACGACCAGATCGAGTCGTACGTCAAGAACATCGAGACCGAGAAGCAGGAGGAGGCGGCCAAGAAGAAGACCGGCCGCACGGGGACCACGACTGCGGCCATCCTGACCCGGCCCGGCGGCGGCGAGACGGCCGAGTCGACGCGGGAATCGGCGGACTGAGCAGGTGGGTTTTTGTGGTTGTTTACATTTCCCAGTAGCGCTGTCTCTTTCCGACATTCAAAATATAACTTTTGCGATTCCAACATATATTCGTACTGTACTGTACACCAAAGCAGAGAGGGTATTGAGCCGTGGTCTATCATGGACGGGCCGCAAAGGAACTGCAAATAAAACAAAAGGCATCAAAATCGTCGAACATTCCTTCATCTAACCCAGTCGATCGGATATATCTTTGAACTTGAAGATTGACTTCTCCTGGTCACCCCGGACGCGGTCATCCTTGAGCATGCTGGGAGATTGTCAGTGCCCGGGCCTGGGCTGGATAGGACTAGCTGATTCGACGTACCGGTTATCCATGCGCGTATCGTCACCCTCCACCTGCAACGTCGGCTTGGGGGTCACGGCCTCGAGGACGAAGTGATTATCGCAATGGGGGCAGTACTCGTCGCTAGGAAGAGCCAAGGTTTAGTATCTGCGTCGTTTCTGCTGGAAGAAGAAGTGAAGCCATAGTTTACCTCTCCTCGAACTCGGCGGCATCCTTGCGGAAACACTTCTTGCACTTCTTGCACGCAAACACCTGTCCCGCACGTCAGATTAGACCTGAAAGACTGGACGGGGTGTTTATACCATCTCCGCTGACTTTTCCAGCGCGTGTGACTCTTTCTCCTGGTGACATTCGGCGCAGTCGAACCATTTCTTGCCTAGGGGTCCATCAGCTGTGTTGCTTTGTGAGGGGCTCGATTCGGCGACGTACAGCAGGGGGACCGGATGGCCACTTGGGCGTTGAGGATGTGTTGACTGCGAGGGTCAGCATATTTCCCTGTATGGCAACAGACCAGACTTACCACATAACTACAGTGGTGAGTGGAAGTTCGTGGACAGAAACAGGAGGATGATCTGCCCCGTGATTATTGATCGACCGCTTTCCCCTCCACTACTGCCTTCGTTTCCTTCTTTCCCTCACCAAACACACATTCACTTTTCGCTCATGTCCCTTTGACCGTGTCCCTTCTTCGTTCCTCGGCCTTAGTGCCGCTTCTCTCTTGTGGCCTTTCCTACAGGCTCTCTCCCTCCTCCATCACCACCACTACTACCATAAGCCTCCCGGTCACGCGGCCAGAGGAACCCATAACCACGCCCTCCACGGGATCCCGGAATAGATTTCCAGACACAAAAGATTAAAAGCCTATGACCAAATAGACCTGTTCAGCATCCAGCGGTAATGGCCATGGAGGGAAACGGCAGAGAACCGGAGAACACGGATGACGCCCCGATTGTATGCTCTCGCAACCCTCCCTCTTTGCGACAAGGCTGACAAGTCTACAGAGACCCGTGTCCTCGTTGCTCTCACATTTTGAAAATTTGTCTCACACCAAGTCACCATCTACTGTACCGGCCAGCCCGCACGACTCCGCCAACCTCCTGCGCACCCCCGAGCCCGGCGATGAATCCCGGTCTTCTTCCGCTCGTGCCTCGCTTGACCTGCCCCGGTCAAGCTCTCCGTGGAATCAAGCGGCGGATACCAATCGAGACAGCCGTCCTGAACAAAGCAATGGTCAACGGATACGGGCCAGTGGCTCCCCCAGGAGGGGGCATGGCCGGCCCATCTCGATGAACGTCCAGAGCTCGTCGCCGCAACTCACACCGACACTGGCCATTCACTCGCCGACATCCCCACCCAGGAGTCCAGAGCGGGAGAAGGAGGAAAATCGGTTCTCTCGAAGCTTCTCTCATCGTCCCCGGGCGTCTTTGTCCACAGGCATCTCTCCAGCACCTACGCGTCGGCCGACGACACCACAATTGGGGTCTTCTGTTCCGGCGGGTACAACCATGCACCGGCTTTCGCCAGGAGCATCTACTGGCAGCGGAGATGGTACACCAACGGACCGGAAAACGAAGAGTGTCTCGCTGCCACCGCCAGTCAACAGAATAGACAAGCCAAAGATTCCCGCGAAGCCAGCCATGTTGTCCCACCCCGAGTCAGGGTCTCTGACTCCTCGTCCAGAAGGGGCATTTTCTGAGGACCGAGTCTCTCCTTTCAGCACTCCTCCTAGCAGCCCGGAAAAGACACCACCGGCCAAACCTCTGCAGACTGGGAAAATCTCCCCTAATCCGCCGTCGCGCCCGATGACAGAGCCCCCAGGCCGGCAGTCGCTTGACAGTCGGTCGCCAGCGCCGAGTGCATATGCCAGATCGGACGCGAGAGAAATGGGCTTTTCCCGGGCCCGTCCAGGCCTGGAACCCACGCGTGATACCAAACCTTTGATGATCCAGATTCCGCCGCCCCCATCCGTATTCCCAGACACCTCTTCGACCGCACCGCCATTATCAGCCCAAAAGCTTCGGGCAAGTAGTGATAGCCCTCACGATCGCCCAGGACTTCCACCCAGACCGAATCAACGAAGCGGGATCTCCGCCGTCCCAGAGTTAACGCCACAGGCTGTCAGTCCTGCACAGCGGTCACCTATTCCCCGGCATGCGCCTTCGATTGCGCATACACACGAAGGCCATTCTACGCCGCGAATTCGACGACAGCAATCTCTACCACGAGAGTCGCGTCTTATTCCCCAAGAGAGGCGCCCGGTGCGGACCGATACCGAGGAAGAAGAGCAGGTGATGGACGATCCGCCCATTTCGCGAACCGACTACCCTGATTCATCACAAGCAAACCGCCGACCTCCGCTCCTCAAAGTGGGCCCAAAAGGGATCCTCACGGGGTACGACACCCGATTGCTCCGGGTATGTGGCACGTACGTCTGCACGACGGGCTACTTGACGCGCGTGTGGGATCTCACGACTGGCGAACAAATAATGAGTATCAGCCATGGCGAGACCGTCAAAAGTTTGTCTCTGGCATTCAAGCCGGGTGTAGGGCTGGAAGACGAAGGCCAACGGATCTGGATTGGGACCAGTGCCGGTGATCTGCAGGAGATTGATATCCCATCACAGTCCATCGTGACCACTCGAGCCTATCCATCGCGGCGGGAGGTCATCCAGATCTTGCGCCACAAGAAGGAGATGTGGACGTTGGATGACGAAGGGCGGCTGCTTGTTTGGCTTCCGGACGAATCTGGGGTCCCCAGTCTACAGTATAGCTACCACAGCCCTCACGAGCGTGTAGCCCGCGGGCATACCTTCTCCATGGTGGTGGAAGATAAGCTCTGGCTGGCAGCAGGCAAGGACGTGCACGTTTACCGTCCCAACGCTCGCGAGGATGCCGCGTTTAGGGTCTTTAAGCGGCCACTTGGTCTGCAGAATTCGGGTGAAGTCACATCCGGCACTTACACCACCAAGGACGGTGGCAAGGTATATTTGGGCCACGCGGACGGAAAAGTGACGGTCTATTCCGCGACGGACTATACGTGTCTGGCCGTGGTCAATGTCAGCGTATACAAGATCAATTGCCTCAGCTATGTGGGGGATTATTTGTGGGCCGGCTATAAGACTGGCATGATCTACGTGTACGATGTCAGTACTAACCCGTGGACCGTGAAGAAGGATTGGCGCGCCCATGATAGCCCCGTATGTGGCTTCGTATTGGATACGAGCAGCGTGTGGACGATGAATCGCTTGCAAGTGACCTCTCTCGGAACAGACAATTGCATCCGTCTTTGGGATGGAATGTTGGAGGATGACTGGCTAGGTCAGTGTCTGGCCTTGAGTGGAGTGTCAGGTTGCTAACACAAAAGTAGATGCTCGAATGCAGAGCAAAGATGTGGACTTCTGCACTTTCCGAGAAGTCCGCGCTGTCATTGTGACCTGGAACGCAGGCGCGTCGACCCCCGGCAGCGTTCGCACTTCGGATTTCGTTCGGGATGCCGTTCATCCGGAGGATCCGCCGGAGATTATTGTGTTTGGATTCCAGGAGCTGGTCGACCTTGAGAACAAGAAGATCACAGCCAGTACGTTTTCTGAGTCTTCCCTTTTTTTTTTTTTTTTTTTTTTTTTTTTTTTGGCCCTTATTAACACTTCTCTCTAGAGAGCCTGTTGCTCGGAAGCAAGAAAAAGGAGCACGGCAAAGAGGAACATATGAGTCGCCAGTACCGGGTGTGGATTGACCATCTGACTCGGTGTCTCCATGAATGCATGCCTCTAGAAGAGTCTTACGTGCTGCTGCACTCGGCGAACATGATCGGATTGTTTACTTGTGTTTTCGTCAAGCACAAGGAGCGTCACAACGTCAAGAACATCAGCGCCTCGGAAATCAAGCGAGGGATGGGCGGATTGCATGGGAACAAGGTTTGTGTTGCCGAGAAGTTATTAAGACGCTTATCTTCTAACTTGTGTTTCAGGGCGCTCTCGTTCTTCGGTTTGTTCTGGACGACAGCTCATTGTGCTTTGTAAACTGCCATTTGGCGGCAGGGCAGACGCAGACGGCTCACCGCAATAATGACATCGCCGCAATTCTCGAGGCGGAGTCACTGCCTCCGGAGAACAGCCTCACGGCACGACTAGATCAGTACGCCAGCGGCGGAGATGGATCAATGATCATGGACCACGAGGTGTGCATTATCAACGGCGACCTGAACTATCGGATCGATGCGATCCCTCGCAATACAATCATCGATGCCATCCGGCAAAACAACCTGCCTAAACTGCTCGAACGCGACCAGCTACTGGCATCTCGACGCAAGAACCCCGGCTTCCGGCTACGCAGCTTCACCGAAGCACCCATCACATTTGCACCAACCTACAAGTACGACGTCGGCACGGATGACTACGACTCGAGCGAGAAGAAACGGTCTCCTGCGTGGTGTGACCGGGTTCTGTATCGGGGTTCTGGCCGGGTCAAACAGCTTGAGTACCGTCGGCACGAGGTGCGGGCCTCGGATCACCGGCCTGTGAGCGCGAGCTTCGCAGTCCGGGTCAAGACCGTCCTACCGCAAGAGCGAGCGGCCGCGTGGGAGCTGTGCCAGCATGAGTTCCAGGACGAAAAGCGACGGCTTGCATCCGATGCCAGCATCGAGTATCTCATTACTGTACTCGGCACCGATCCCCGACAAGCCCGTGCGCTGATTCTGGGGAAGGGTCAGAAGTAGCGGCCTTGCCCGTGTGTCTTTGTCCTTGTTTTGTTTTACACGCTGCGTGCCACTGGCAGTGTGCTGTATATTGTATGACTAACTAACGATTTCACGATAGCCACGCATCAATGACCGGAGCAGATGGATCATTTAGCACTGTAGTAAAGAAGTCTCAGCGAGATTTTAGCCTAATTCAGGAGGGGGCATTGCCATCCCCCGTACCACTGTAGTATTCCCTGCCCTGCCGATCTTGTATTTGCGTTTATTATCCCGGTCTTCAGGCCTCTGACTTGGCAGAGAGACCCACCACGTATACTGATCGGCGTGTTGAGTTGATTGAAACAGATTCCCCGCACGGAGTTATTCGAATATAAAAGGCCGGATCAGCCATTGGAACTGAAAAACATCAGCAATCGACGGAAACCATCAATTGACGGAAATCATCAACATGTTGGCCCATCTTTCTGTTGCAGTGCTGTCCCTGCTGCCGACGGCGGATGCCCTCGTACGCAAAGATGGAGTAGTAAGTTAATTCTCCGTTTTTATGGATAGTTGCCCTAACAAGGATTAGGGCAAACTGCCAGCCCTGGGCTGGAACTCGTGGAACGCATTCGGTTGCGATGTCAACTCGACCAAGATCCTAACGGCGGCTACGGAGATGATCCAGCTAGGCCTGAAGGATCTGGGATATCAATATGTCAATAGTATGTTCTACCCTAGGTGCCGTTCGTATCCTATCCTCTGTGCTAAGAGTGCTGCCAGTTGATGACTGCTGGTCTGTCAAGGGCACACGCAATGCAACCACGCATCGCATCATCCCGAATCCCTCCACGTTCCCGCAAGGGATTTCCGGACTTGCGAAGCAGGTGCATGGGCTAGGACTTAAGATTGGTATCTATAGCAGTGAGTACTTCCAATAGCCCAGGTTATGGGGTCTTGATGCTAACTCGTACCCTAATCTAGGTGCTGGCGAAACCACCTGTGCTGGGTATCCAGCCAGTCTCGGCTACGAGAAGATCGATGCAGCTGCGTTTGCCGAATGGGGTATTGACTGTAAGTCCAACTTTCAAACATAACGTTGTTTACAAGCCCCTCTGTATTGCCATGCATGGAATACTAACAAACATAACACAGACCTCAAATATGACAACTGCGGTGTGCCCTCCAACTGGACGGACCAGTATAACTTCTGCGTGCCCGATGGGACAGCCGCCCAGAACCCCAATGGCACCTGTCCGACCATGACGAACCCCGCGCCAGCGGGCTACAACTGGGCAACCTCCAAGACGCACACCCGCTACACTCGCATGCGCGATGCGCTCCTAGGCGCTGGCCGCACGATCCTCTTCTCGCTGTGCGATTGGGGCGATGCCGACGTGAACACCTGGGGCAATGCCACGGGTAATTCGTGGCGGATGTCTGGGGATATCAGCGGTGAGTTAGGACTTTATCCAGTCGGACACCATTAGGAGATGTGCTTGCTAATTAATTACCTAGCCGACTGGACGCGGATCGCTGAGATTGCCAATGAGAACAGCTTCAAGATGAACTACGTCGGTTTCTGGGGCCATCCGGACCCGGACATGCTGGAGATTGGGAATGGGAACCTGACTCTCGCAGAGAATAGGGCTCATTTTGCACTGTGGGCGGCCATGAAGAGTCCTCTTATCATTGGAACTGCTGTACGTGCGCCCCCTCTACTTGGAGTAGATATACATACTGACCAAAAAATCAGCTCAATACAATCAGCACAGCCCACCTGGACATCCTAAAGAACAAGCCCCTACTCCAATTCCACCAGGATCCGGTCTACGGCCGTTCCGCCCACCCGTATAAATGGGGCTACAACCCGGACTGGACCTTTGATCCCGCCCACCCAGCAGAGTACTGGTCTGGTCCGTCGTCTACGCTGGACGGGACGTTGGTTCTTATGCTCAACTCCGAGGATCAGACTGCCACTCGCACCGCCACGTGGAGTGAGATTCCCGAGTTGAAGGGTGGCAATGCCTACCATGTTACAGATGCGTGGTCTGGAAAGAACCTGGGTTGTGTGAAGGATTCGCATAGTGTGCAGCTTGAGAGTCATGATGTTGCTGTTTTGGTTGTTGGGCGTCGCTGCTGATGGTAAGTGGGTCTTGGACATGATGTCGGGGTAAGATTGGCAATATCAGAGTATTGGAGAGTGGTGGTATTTTGTCTTCGTAGGCTAAAGCCTAAGCCCTCCGAGTAGCAACAGCAAATGGTCACCACTAGATTGCCCAGATGCTTCAAACAAGATTGGGCATAAGATACCCATCTATGAGCATGCACCCTAGTTTCTGAACTATAAGGGATCGAATTTATACTCATGGGCACTCATGGGCATCAATGCAGGATAATTGTCATTCTCATTTCAAGGTAATCCGGTATGAACTCCAGGACCAAGTCTAACAAACGAAAGAAGAGGCCAACGCTTTCCTAATGTAGGAGCAGAAGAAAGAAAAAACAACGCTCTCGTAGTCGTAACCTAGCATCGAAGCCGGGCGTAATGTATGTCGTACCAGGGCTGAAAAAGACATAGCGCTGGCTGAAGAATAGAACAAGAAAGATAATACGTTATATACACAAGATGAAACGAAGAAAGATCAGTCCTTCTTGTTATTCTTGTTTGATGAACTCGAGCTCTTTCGCTCCGGAGAGGGCGAGAGACTGCGCTCCCATTCCGCCATGAGCGTAGAAGCGGTACGCTGGAGTTTCGAGGGTGTCAACTTGTTGAGGGCCGGCCAGGGGATGCCTTCTGTGACGCTGTGAGGATCTGGCGCTGTGGTAGCGGCGGCGGCAACAGAGGAAGGATTCCAGTCGCCGAAGCTGAGGAAAGGAACATGAGTCAGCGCATAACAAGGTTGTCATAGATGAAATCAGAAAAAGTCGAAATGTACCTAGCGCTCGTTCGGGGGCTGCTGCCCTGCGTCATGGGCGATTGCTCGTGCTTGGATGATTCAACTGTGGACCGGCTGGATGACGGCGTGTGCGTCATCTTTTGGGGCGTGTCCCAGACATCCCAGTTGTCGGCCGTATCTTCATTACTGCCCTCCATTTTTTCGTCGGGTTTGCTGTCGAGTCGCTCTGGCGGTGGTGGCTGTTCGTTCGCTGTCGCTGCGCTTGTTTGCGCGTGGTTGGTGTCGGAAGGGGCGCGGCGGGCGCTGTTCGGGGATTTCTGAGGGGTATCAACGCCGAATTCGTTCCAAAACGACTTGGAGATGTCGGCTGGCTTGGTGTCTTTACCAGATATCGTTGTCTCGGTGCCTGGTCCCCTCCCCGTGGACGATGACGACGACCGTGCCGCCTCAGATAGCCGGTCCCGACTTCGGGACTTGGATTTGGCGGTCGAATCGCGCTTCCGAGCGTTGTTTGGAGACAATCTCTGTGATTGTGTTGCGTTGATCCCTTCTTCGCCGACAGTGGCTTGGCGGATGTCTTCCAGGAACGTCCAGAGCCCCTCTCGTAGATCCGTGGCCATCTGCTTGCCGGTTCGCAGGAAAGCTTCCCTTGAAGCCGGCGGCATTTGCTTTCGCCATTGTGCAAGTAAATGCTCTGGTATTTGACTCTCCTCGCCTGGGTGGACAACGGCAGAGGTATTGCTCCGTTCCACCGAGGGCAACGTGGCAGACCGAGGCGTGCGGCCAACACGTTCAGACTCGGACGGGCTCGACTCGGCGCGTGGAGGGGTGCTAGGTGCCGTGACAGGTGACAAGAGGGATAGAGTGCGTGTATGAGAGCCCTGGAAGACACGACGACCATTGGCCGAGATCTTCGTGCCGTTTGTGCCGGTGGCGTTGGAAGCAGCAGTCGTAGCACGGATGCTATTCCGGCGACTGAAGTCCCGACTGAGGCGGTCCTGTGACACCGCCGAGCTGCCGACCGAACTAAGGCTTTGGTCGCGGCGGTGATGGTCTTTCTGTTCTTCGGTACCGGGACCATCAGGCCCAACCGAATCTGGGGACTTGAGCGGCTTCATCTGCTCTGCATGGTAGCTGATTTCTGTCTGTTTCCGTGATTTCTCCGACAACGCCCATTGCTTTTTTAACGTGACGAGCTCAGCCTCGGCACGCTGCAGCTCCTCCCGGAGCTCCAGCACCCTGCGTTCCTGCGAGGCGATGGCCCGAAGAAAGTCGTAGCCATCGGCCTGGGTATCAAAGGGGAGCGGGGTGCCTGGGGTGAGAGCAGGAGACGGGCGAGTGGAAGGTTGTGTGATCGGGGTCATGGCGCCGGGAGACGCGGACACGGGCTCGGAGGTGGAGAGTGAATCAGGCGTGTGTAGGGACAAATTCACGGGGAAGTTGAGGGTCAAGCGTTTGGCGTGGCGGGCACCAGAGTTCCCTCGAGCTGCAGGGGGTAGAGAGGAGCGTTTCTGGGCCAGCGAGGTGGTTGTTTGTTGGCTGGGCGCGGACAGCGAGTCCGATGGCGAGGACGCATGCGGAGGACCATGGTCGAGTGTGCCCGTTCCGGGAGGATTCTCCATTGCGGACCAGCCGAATGAAGAATGGGAGTTAGTTGAGTAGGGGTTGTGTGAATAATAATAATCAGGGACGAGAAATTGAAAAGGAAACCGAGGATGAATGAAGAAGAGAAATAATGAGGAGGTCGAGAAGAACCCACAGCGGGTCGTGCGTTCAGGGGCGACTGCGTCTCCGCGGGTGCTTAATTATGATGAAGTATGTCGCTCAAAACATCAGCCAAGCATATGTCATAAGCATCATCATAATATTAATGAGTGCGAGACGGTCATGGCGAGGATATCGATGTCGAACATGCATCAAGTACAAGCATTAATTAAATACGAGCATTGAACGTCGGACTCACAACGTATATGCCATAGTGGAGAGCTAGAACATCCAACTCCCTATTTAGACTACATGATCAGGCTTTGGTGATAGTAACAAAGTAGTATTTTTAGTGCGAGAATAAAAACCAGCACGTTGCAATGATATTACACCAGAAATGAAACCAGCACAGATTATGAGAACTCCGTGACCCGAGAGAATAGAAACAAGCGAAGGGACACCAAGAATGCAAGCTTGGAGGGGTAAAAGGCAGAGTGTTATACAAACAGGCCCCGAAAAAGGTCTATACAACGAATGAAAGACAAGAAGTGTTACATGCCAGGCCACCGATTGCGGAGGCCCTCGGACCAGCGCTGGTAGAGCACATCGGACAGCTGTTTCGTGTGCTCCATGCCCGGTACGTGCTGTCCGGGAAGTTTGGACAGTGATGGCGGTTGGGGCAAGGGCTCGGTGATCTGGGACGATTGTCGGCGCCGGTGGCTCTTCAAATGCGGGTTGTTCTGGGCCAGGACCAGACGCGGCCGCTGGGGGGAGTCGGATTGTGCTTCGGCAGGGATGAGAGCCGAAAGCCGGGTGTCACTGTAGATCATTAGCATTTGGTGTCTGGATGTCGGATGGGGCAGGCTTACGCTTGCAATCTCTCATTCATGGTCCGGATGATGTGATAAAGACCCTCCGGATCGACCATCTCCAGTTCACTGAACGCCTCTGCCAGCCGGGAGATGGCCTCCCGCTTCTCACCATCGCCGGTCGTGGAAAGGATCTCTTGGCAAGAATGGCCGATAGCTTTGCTATATGCGCGGCGACCAAGCTGGGCTTCTTTGCTACTTGATTCAGCCGCGAGAACCTTCGGACTGACATTCTCATCATAGCCCTGCGAGGCCTTGGACGAGAAGGAAGTATCGTTGGGGACCTTGTCCGAGACACGACGGAATTGCCGAACAGTCGATGGACTGTTGCCGAAACTCAAGTCCAATCCCAAGGGTTGCTTGACGCCGCTGGATCGCCGCTTGGTGTTGGCCCGCCGCACGGAAGGGCTCCTCTCGGCCTCTGGTGCTCGTCGGACGGTGGAATTGGGCTGGTGCTTAGGTGGCGGTGGTGGTTTGGCAAGAGGTGCAGAGATGTGCATATCCTTCAGCAGCTCGGCCGGATCGGCATCGTCCTCTTCATCCAAGGTCGTCCAGTCGGTGCCCTTGGGAACCCACATGCTCGGAGCTTTGACGGTATCGAAGACCCAATCGTCGTCATCGGCAGCTTCGGGCTTGGTCATGGTGTTCAAGGACTCTGCATAATACTTCACATCCTTGTTTACCCCTCGACCGGCATCCCAGTCCTGTTTGCGATGGATAAGCTCTTGCAGAGCCTCGGTTTTTCCTGCATTGCGAATGAATTTGTGTCTCAATAGCTCTTTCGCACTAGGCCGGCGGTCCGGATCCTTGGTCAGACATTGCGCAATGAAGTCCTTGAATGTATTGCTGTATTCATTGCCCTCCAACCTGGGAGCCGGCTGCTTCGGAATGAGAAAGAGGACCTTCATCGGGTGGGTGCTGGCATGTGGTGGCTCGCCGTTGATCATCTCGATCGCGGTAATCCCCAAAGACCAAATATCCGCCTTGAAGTCATATCCAGCCTGCTGGATTACTTCCGGCGCCATCCAGAACGGTGTCCCCACAAAGGTATTGCGCTGTGACTTGATGTTGACCAGCTGCGCGGCGACTCCAAAGTCCGCCAACTTCACTTTCCCCATGTTTGAGAGTAGGACATTGGCGGCTTTGACGTCGCGATGAATCTTGCCTTCGGTGTGGAGATAGTCGAGCCCCTGGAGGAGCTGCTGGCAGACGATGGCCACATGTGCTTCGTTGAAGACCCCTGGTTTGAGCTGATTGCGGTCAGTGACGGTAATGAAGAAGAGGATAGAGATCCACACGTACCAAGTCCAGACACGATCCCCCTCCGAGGTACTCCATGACAATCCACAGCTTGTGGCCCTTGAGAAAACTGGCCTTGTATTGTGTCACAAAGGAGCTGGCACAGGTGGCCAGGACGGAAATCTCCTGTTGAATTTCTTGGATGTCGTCTTCGCTGGACTCGAGATCAATCTGCCCGAAAGTGAGTCAATTGTGCCCCCATCCGGTCGGGACTGACGTACATGCTTGATCGCGACAATCTCCCCAGTGGACAGGTCAATGGCCTTGTACACCACCCCAAAACTCCCACCTGTCAAGATATTAGTGAATGGAATCCTTGTGCGATTGGTCGCACTCACTCCCCAGCTCCTCCATCATCTGGTAGTGGCTCGCCATATCGTCCGCCATGGTTGCGCCAAGGTCGGGCCCAGCTGGCTTCTCCGATCGGACAGGGCTGCAACAGTGCCGAGGGTCATCCAGGGAGACGGGCAAAACCAAGCTCGAGCTGGGATGCTTGAGGGAGCGCTCTGATCAAAATCGAGGCCTCGGCAATGGGGATGGGAGAAGAGAGGAATCCTGGGGAAAGGAGAGAAGAATCCATAGATTATCCATCAAAACAAGGTCACGTCCGTATCGCATGGCAACGGCCGAGTCTAATGGTTGCCGCTAGTCTGGATTGGGTTTAGTGCGTGGATGCAAGGGCCCGTCCGTTTCTATTGGCTCGCGACAACTATAACCATCTACGGGATTGTCAGACAGTCCCTTTTCGGTCACCTACGAAAAGGTCCAAATAGGTCCGATTGTCCATGCTAGTGTAGTTTCTAATTTTTGAACTTAGATATACTTGTAGGGGTTCATTATGCCATGCTGTTCCATATTAGCGAGATTCCAACACAAGGGGGAAGTCCCAACTCACCGGATCATACACATCCTTTAGCTGCTTCATCAGCTTCACCATCGTCTCGTTCTGGCTGTACCCGATAAACTCCCGCTTGGCAATACCCAGCCCGTGTTCCGCACTGATACTGCCCTGCCGCTTTTGGATCCACTCGTATACCCACGGTTCGATCGCCTTCTCGACCTCCTTGTTGTACTGCCGCACGGAGACGTTCAGGTGCAGATTGGAGTCGCCCATATGACCGTAGCCCACCACGGCGCGCACCGGGAATGAGTCGTCATCGCCGACAAATCCCTTCTGCGTCAATCGCTCCTTGCAGTCCTCCACCAGCTGATACAGCTCCGGCAGCGGGATCGACACGTCGTACTTGTAGGTGCCACCCAGATGGCTCAAGGACTCGGTGATGCCTTCTCGCCAGCGCCACAGGGACTGGAACTGGGTCTCATCCTGGGCGAGCACGCCGTCAGCGACAATGCCCTCGCCCATCACATGTTCGAGGAACGATTCCAGCTTGGCCATGTCGTGCTCGGCATTGGATCCGCTGGTCTCCACCAGGCAGTAGAAGGGGTACTCGCCCTCAAGAGGGTACTTATTGCCGGTGGACTCGTGTACCAGACGCTGGCTGCGACCATCCATAAGCTCGAATGCCGAGAGAATCTCGGAAAGCTGGCCCTTGGCCTGGAGATAAGCCTGCTGGACCTGCTCGAAGCTCTCCAGTCCGAAGTAGGCGACATTGACAGCCTTGGGCCGCGGCGGACACTGAATTGACACGGCAGTAATCAGGCCAATCGTACCCTCGGCACCAATAAACAATTGCTTGAGGTCATAGCCCGTATTGTTCTTGCGCAAGGTCGAGAGCGCGTCGACAATGGTCCCGTCCGGCAGGACCGCCTCGAGACCCAGCACGCTCCCGTGCAGACTACCATACCGCAGTAAACGCAGACCACCCGCATTGGTGGAGACGTTGCCTCCAATATGGCACGATCCCTTGGCGCCCAGGTCCAAGGGGAAGAGATGGTCGTACTGGGCGAGATACTGGTCCGCGACCTCAAGAATGACACCTGCATCCGCGACCAGCACACCCGACGCCTGGTCAAAAGAGCGGATGTTGTTCATCCGCGACGTATTGATGACAATCTCATCAAACACGGGCACAGAGCCACCGACCAAACCGGTGTTTCCTCCCTGCGGCACCACGGCCAATTTGCGCTCATTGCAGTATTTCAGCACCTTGCTGACCTCCTCGGTGGTCCGTGGTTTGAGGACCAGGCGGGTGTGGCCGCGATATTTGCGCATCCAGTCGCTGTTGAAGGGCTCGATGTCGTCTGCCGCATCAGCGGTCACCCCATCAACGACAGCGGACTCGGCGCCCAGCAGGGATTTGAAGTGCGATACATCGTCGGCGGACAATTCGGCGAACCGCGGATCGCGCTTCACGTTTGGGTAGGCGTCGCTGGTGTACTTGATCTGTCGGGATTCTGGCCGAGTGGTAGTGGAGGTAAAGGCGCGCACGGTCGCGGTAGAGGCGTGAGAGAGGACGGGGCGAGGGACCAGGCGAGGACGAGGCACTCGAGTCCGCCGCAGTGCAGCGGAGAGGTTCCGGGCACCGGACATGGTGTGTGGGTGTGAGGGAAGAAAGAATTGGGGGTTAGGGAGAAAGAGAAAAGAGTGAACGAATATTTGGGTCACCGGCAGTTTAAGGCTTCGGTGGAGACGCCGATCGCGGGATCGTGGGAAAAGGAACGACATCGGCGAAATTCGGACATTTTTGCTGGATTCAGTATGGTGTCGTGCTGGAATAGTGATACACATATAGCAGTCAATTCCATGGACTGGATGGATATAGATAGACATGAGTTCCTCCGGGGAGGGAATTCCCGGTCACGATATATATCTCTGGGTGAGCAGCCCTAGTACGGCGGTAGGTCGAAGCTTTCAATGATGTACTTCATACATATTTCATGCATATGACCCGAATGCTCTCACAGTAATAATTGACCAACACTAATGACCTCCAACCCGATCAATTCGTCGTCCTGATTTATCCCATTGAAGCATTCAAATAGGTTACGTCATGCCGGGACCCGCACGCAGCACCACTATGGACAGCCGACTTTCTCGCTTCCTTCTGCACCTTTCAACTTCCTGCCATTGACCACCATGACCTCCATTGTCCTCATCACTGGAGCCAGCGGACTACTCGGGCGTCAGGTGTTCAATGTCTTCCAGCGGTCTTCAGTGCTGGTCGTCGGCCAAGGCTTCTCCCGCGCAACCCCGCCAACCATTCTCAAGGCGGACCTGGAACGGACGGACGAGATCAAGAGGATTCTGGACGAAGTGAAGTCAGTGGGCGCGACGACTATCCATTGCAAGTGCTAATGACTAGACAGGCCTCACATTGTCATCCATTGTACCCAACCCAGCTCCAATCCATAGATAAGTCCTAGCTGATTCGAGCATCAGGCGCCGCAAACAAGTCCCCCGATCTGTGCGATAAGAACCCCGAGCAAGCACGCAAGGTCAATGTGGACGCAACCCGTTGCTTCGCGGAAGAGTGTAACTCGCGCGGGGCCTTCCTCATCTACATTTCAACCGACTACGTCTTCCCCGGCATCGAAGGTGAAGCTCCCTATGAAGCCGACGCAGAGACTCGGCCCCCCAACCTGTATGGCCAGTTGAAGCGAGACGGCGAGCAAGCCGTCCTGGAAGCCACACGCGACACAGGTCTGGGCGTGGTCCTGCGAGTGCCAGTGCTGTACGGCGCGGCACGCAGCAACTCCGAGAGCGCGGTGAACACGCTCGTGGACGCGGTCAAGAAAGCATCCGACCCCAACGCCGGCATCAAAATGGACGACTGGGCCCAGCGGTATCCCACCAACACCGAAGATGTGGCGCGCGTGTGCCGCGATATTGTCATCAAGTTTCTGCGCGAGAAGGACAAGCTGAAGGAGCTGCCACATATCCTCCAATTCTCATCCGAGGACCGCATGACCAAGTATGAGATCTGCGAGAAGCTGGCGCATATTCTCGAGGTGTCGATGGAGGGCATGGTGAGAAACAAGCAGGGCAATGACCCCAACGCTGGGGTGCAGCGGCCTTATGACACGCACCTGTCGACGAAGACTTTGGTGGATTTGGGGATTGATGTGCGCACCACGGACTTTGTGGCCTGGTGGTAAGTGTTCTATGCTTGTTGGGTGACATGTGTGAGCTGTACTGATCTCTAGCATAGGCGGAAATCGCTGGCCCCGAGCCAGAAATAAGCAAAGAGTTCGGATAGGATGGACAGCAGAAAACTAATCGTAAAATGTTGCGATTGTTTATCCGAGTAGAAATCATCCTAGTTGATGGCCCTGACGATCAGCCGTTGAGCACTCCACTAGATCCTACGATCACGCAGTGGATCTCGACAGGGTCGGACAAGCCTCCTTCACATCATAGGACGAAGTAGTACAGACTATTAGTTCAATAATTAAAGAACCATTCACTCGGGATTGGCAATAGTACATCGTCCGTCATAAGAGGAGAGCCAAGGCGGAAACCCACAGCAGTTCAGGTCCAGTGTGCTGACAGGCTTGTTTCATCTTCACTTCTTTCTTCTCAGCACTGGCTGTCACTCACAAACGACACAACCATACATCACGGTTGTGGTCCGGCCGGTGCGTTGGGTGGCATAGGGACATTCCTCTCCCTCGTTCCACCAACCGTTGCTCTTTCCCTTTTTCGTCCCACCCCAGCCCTCCCTGCCGCCCACATTCCTCCCTGCACCTGAAGCGTACCACCCCCCCGGATTCTGTGCGCTTCTCACTGAGTCGCAAAGTGCCCTACGATCCAGAAACTCCCAGATACACACCTCAAACACCTCCATGTACTCCGCCTCCAAAACGTGAAACCACCTCGTGACAAGAATGGGGAGACCCCACGGCTTGGATCCGGCCGTGCAGCCAACGCCCCAGTTTACAATAAAGCGCGACTCGGCGCGCAATGCCTGTGTCTCACCTGAAACTAGCGCAGAGCAGTCTCCGCCTCCACCCACTATGAATGGAAGCAATGCCTCGATCGCTCGGAGCATGTCGCGGTACCGGCGCAATCGAACAGGCGCCACCGACAAACCACCGACAGCCGTCCCTGCGACCCCTGCGGTCCCGAAGAGTACGCGATCTCAACCGACCGAAGCCTCACTGGCCCAGAGATATCGCAAGGAATACGCCTGTGAAGGCAGAGACATTGAAGACACTAGGACGGCACAATCAAACGGAGTAGACGATGATCAGCTGGCAAAGGAAAGACAACGGCAGCACGCGATGGACCAATTGACAGGAGCCAGTCAAGCCACTCGCGAAATGCCTGCACGGCCGCGAAGACAGGAAGAAAACCAACAGCCGACAAAGGTAAAACAAAGGGACGAAGGGAAATACTCAGAGGCGCAACTACAGGCCAGCCATTCAGAATCTGCCACCGAGAACCGCAAGTCTTTCTTGCAGAAAGTCAAGCTCTCCCGATCCAAAGAGACCTTCACATCGGATGACGCCACTCCCAAGTACATCGAAGTGGGTGGAGGAGGCATCGTTCCTGGTATCGACGCCCCCGTGTCGGCGGTGAATGCGGGCGAACGGCGAGTCCTCGTGCAATATGGCGAGTTGACTATGGATTTCGCCGTGACGCCATCTACTCAAGCGCAGGACATCTTGATGGCTGCCCCAAAGCGGCTCTCTCGCGATGTGGACCCTGCCAAGTTCATTCTCATGGAATCCTTTCACCAGCTAGGCTTGGAGCGACCTCTTCGGCGATATGAACGAATCCGGGACGTGATGAATTCCTGGGCCCATGATAGTGACAGCCGCTTGTTTATTATCCCGCCGTCCAGTATGGACGCCTTGGGCCGCTTGGACGCCCAACACGTCCCCAGCGAGCAACCCAGCGCGGTAACTGTTTACCTCTATTACTCTCAACGTCCACGCAAGTGGGACAAACGCTACATCACCCTGCGTGCCGATGGACAGGTTACAATGGCTAAGAAAGAAGGCTCCAAGGACCAAACGAATGTCTGTCATCTATCTGATTTTGATATCTATGTGCCCAGTGCTCGCGCTCTCGCCAAAGAAATCAAGCCGTTAAAAAGAATCTGCTACGCCATCAAGAGCCAGCAGAAATCCAGCATGTTCTTGAAAACCGAGAACTTTGTGCATTTCTTTACAACGAACGACAGACCTATGGCAGAAAAGTGGTATCAGGCAACCCAGAAGTGGCGGAGCTGGTACATGGTCAACACACTGGGAGCGGGTCAGAGAGTGGAAGAAGATGCGCCCTTGCCGAGGCGGTCTGGGACTTGGACCAGTTCGTCGCGGAAGAAGACACTTTTGGAAGACACAGAGCCTCCAATGACGGCGCGAAGCTCTGTTGATCAGCAGAGAACAACTTCCAAGGAACACTTCACGCGGAAAAAAACTCAGCGCGGGCACGCACCTCCGCCATCTTCTTTCCCCTTGACAGTCGACACGGACGTCTCCGGGTCTAATGGGGGCAAGGCATTGGTGCAGGGGATCTCGCCAGAGGAAGTGGAAGCATCGACATTCTCACCAACTGGGCTTCTGGGTCGCACATATACCCAGAGGCAGCGCGCCATGCGTGAACGAGAAGAGAAGGACAAGCGAGCCGCGCAAGATCCATTCTCTACACAAGGCATTTTGGGCGGAAGCGGCCCCGCTTCGCCCGCGTTTCCTTCGAGTCACTACAATAGTCGAACCAACACGATGGTACAATCCTCTGAAGCCGCGGGATTGGTCAGCCGATCTCAATCCGTTCATCAAAATGGCAAGCCTCTCGTCGACCTCACCCCCGTCTTCCAGGAGCCACCACAACATTCCCGCAAGGGCAGAGGTGTAACCGTCGAACGCGGCATGCCCTTAATTGACGCCGCCACCGGCCCTGATCTGGCTCCCACATCAACGGCTATCCCTCCTGCGACAGCTTGGCGTCGACCGCCCGCCGACCTCCAATCGCAGACAGTCAGTTCTCGGTCACGGTACCGCTCGAACACTACGGGAAGGGAGCGATATCCCTCGCAGCCCTACGCTAGTGCATATCCCAGCTCCACTGGAGCAAGTCCAACCTCACCGGATGGCCCCTTCATACCCAATAGTCTGCTCGCTTCTTCCACCCGATTATCCAACAGCCAGGGCAGAGCAGGCACGGGGAAAGGTGTGGCGACGGGTGACCGCAACGCAGCGCGGCCGATGTTGGACATGTCTCCTGCAAGCCCGTTCGCGGAGGGCAGTCTTCTGCGACAGTTGTAATCTTTCTTTCTGCATGACGACCACGACAAATCTACTGAGTAGCGGGTTATGATTTCGGAAATGTTTCGGGCTGGGAATGTTCTTTTGGTCTGTTGGAGGTTATACCATGTGCTGTTGGTCTCATATCTCCGGTCCTCAGCGCTGGCTAGTCTCGGAGATTTCCCGAGGTTGGCATTATGTATGATTTCAGAGATACCCATTTCAGGTTGAATTATTGTTGGTTTTCGAAACAAGCCCATTGAATGCATTGCGGAGTTGCAGACATTCGCTGCGAATAATCTCCCGCATCACGATGCTCATCCATACGTAGAAGTAGGAATATATCCCCAGTTCCCTTGTAGTGTTTGTTCTCAAGCCACACCTACGGACGGTGTTGGCAGGGGTGGGTTCAAGGATTGCGCCCTAGGAAGTTTGTATGTACCGAGTAGAATCGACTACGGACAAGTTACTGACCCTCAGCTGAGGAGAAGGACAAGGGTATGCCTTTCTTTCTTTCCCCCTTTTTTTTTTTTTTTTTTTTTTTTTGGGGGGGAAGATCTAAAATTTCCCATCGTTTTCTAGAACCTTTGGCCAGGAAGGAGGTTACCATACCGAAATCGGCCCCCAGGTTATTAGCCTGGCTTGGCTTACCTGATCGGATTGTGTATCTAAGTTGTCTGTCATTTAAGTCCTTTACAGAATTAGAGAAGAAGAGATTTTTTTCACTCGTGGTTTGGACTTGCATGTTGGGACGTCGTACATGCTGGATTTACAGTATGTGCGATCGAGTACGGACGGGGCATGCCAACTAAATCCCCGCGATAGGAAAGGAATGCGGTAGATCTATGAGAGAAAGGCTTGGCACTGGCCGTGCAACGCACTAATGCAGAGTATGTATGTATTAAAGAATTGCAGATGCGAAGATAATCAGTGTATATCACCAAGAAATATGTATGCCCAGTATGCACGAACAAGGAAAAAAACAAGATTGGCTAAGTACAGATGGTCCAGCAAGAACGCCAAGGCTTTTTTTTTTATAGATCCTTATTACCGGGTTGACCGGACGGTCGATTGGCGATGCACGAGAGCATCGCCGTTGGCCGGCGGCGTGTTCCAGTCATAGGTATCCAAACCCGTGGACAAGGCGCCGTCGGGGCGGGATTGGGAGAGGGAACGTGATTGCGGCCGTCCTATAGATCCTGCACCGCTGAGATTGGAGGCACGGCGGCGTACACGACGCTCGGCATCTGCCGTTTCGTGGCGGTTGAGCGCGTCCGATGGGAGGAGGACGGCACGATCCAGGGAGTAGGGCAGACCACGGTGGCGACCGCGGATCTGCATGGCGATGATCACCAGCTTGGAAACCACATTGAACTGGCCGGAGAATGAAGGGTCGGTGTTCGGATACCCGAAGGACAAGCCCACGGTACCGTAAGCGGAGACAACCTCAAACAAAACGGTGAACAGCTGGAAGCCGTAGTCATGCACGTTCTGTAGCCGGCTGCCTTCTGCGATGGCGATGATGAACAGTCCCATGAAGACATACCATAAGTCGAAACTCAGCTGGCGACGCAAGTGGGTGCCAATATAGTTGGGGGTGGACTGGCTTGTGTCATCATTCTCATCGTCGCCGCTGGTGTAGACGCCGAGACTCTTCTCTTCGTAAACGTTGGTTCTGCGCATGGAGATGGCGATTGGGAAGACGGATATATACATCATGATCAGGTACGAGACCTGGATTGCGGGATGAAGTTCGTACAAGCTGATGATGCCGAATCCAGCCGTTCGGGTGGCTGCTGCTTGAAAGAAGCCATCCACGACTCGGATCCCGGGAGAGAATTGAGTGACCGAGGGATCGTTGAGCTGCAAGAGAGTTAGTTTGGGATTGGAAGGCAAATTTGGAAGAAACTCACATCTAAAATGATGAAGAAGATAACATCAATCCCGTTCAATGCCACCAGAATGGCAACCAGCCACCAGGTCGCATTCCGGGGAAATAGGAGAGTGAAACACCGACGCGGATGATCCAGGAGGAACTTCAACTCCTCCCACAGAGCGGTGCCGGTAGGCACTATCATGGAAAGGACCCAGATAACAAAGCGAAGCATACACGGGAACGCCGTGTTACCAATGATAATCAGGAATGCGAACATCAGCAGGGGGAAGATGGCCCTCTCGAACGAATACATCGAGTCCGGGGTCAGCGTAAAGCCCAAGTCATTGAAAGCGGATGCGGAAGTGAAAATCGCCCACCAGGGGCGACCAATACCATCCGACCGCACCACGTTGCCCCAGTGATTTTCGGTCATGATCCAACCGATCATGCTGACCGCACCGATGATATGGAAACCAATGTAGTAACAAATTAGCACGACCGCCAGGGTCTTGAGCGCGCGGTACTCGATGCCCCCCAGCTCGTCGCGCTGTTCCTCCGTCAGATCGATGAAATTGGAATTCCGAGCCACCGTCGCGTTCCAGCTGAGGTACGGCTGGGTCGGTTGCTCCCTCTCCTGTGTAAGCGAGCGGAAGAGGCCCTTGAGTGTGTTTCTGCGCGTCATAGTCGGGTCCAGGTTCCCGCCCCCAGTGTCATTCCCATCATTGGTCTCGCGGACGGTGGGACGCGTATCCAGTCGAGGAAAGGTACTTCCGCGTGTACGGGAGCGAATAATGTCCGGCTCGTTGATCGTGATGTGTGGTCCTTCACGAGGACCGATCTGGTCGGAGTCCTCTGAGTTTCGAGACTCGCGCCGGTGGGCAGACTCAGGACTTGGCGGCTCAGCTTGCTTCTCCCCCTCTGCCTCTTCGGTCGCCTCGCCGAGTGCCTGGGGAACGCCACCCCGGTCGTACTCGCGCGGACTGGGGATGCGCAATGCGCCTTTGCTTTTGCGCTGGTTCTCCAAGAAGGCAATGTGATGTTCCGGGCTCAGCTGGGTGGGCACTCGCAAGCTACCGAGTCCGAAGCGTCGTTCCAGGGTGGTCGCCCCTGGCTCGTCCGAGTCCGATGGGCCACCGATTGCTTTCCCGTTTGGCGATCCCGGCGACCCTGGCGACCCTGGCGATCCAGGGCTTGCATTGACATCGTCCGGGGCCTTGTTGAAGCTATCCGGCATGCGGGCTTCCCTGGCATCGCCGGCACCGTCGCGGATGACGACGATCGAGCGACCGCCGACTCCCAATTCGGCGCGGCTCAGGTCCTGTCCTTCCTTGTCCTGGCTGACCGTCTCCATGCGAGACCGGGTGCGACGCATGTTTCGCGCATCGCGCACCACATGCTGAAAGCGTTTTTCGAACCAGTATAATCGAATAAACACGACGGCACTATGGATGAAGATCGGCGTGCACAGACACGTGACTAGATAAAAAGTGATTTGCTGGTAGAGGAGCAGCTCGTTCAAGTTGACGGTGTTGAGCCCACTCTGGGTGGCGGCACCTGCAGACAGAAAGAGCGCATCGATATAGGCGATGTTACCGGCGGGATAGACGATAATGGAACAGATCAAGGCCGAGCATATGATATAGCAATAATGCAGGAAGATGAAGTTGAGATGGATCTGTTTCAGCAGCGGGACTCGAGCTTTGAGGGCGTTCACGCGCCGGATGGTGGCCGAGAACATGGTAGGAAGGCGGCGCGGCCGTCGTTCCCTGCCCTCTGCCCACGAGGCGTTTGGGTTGAAAGGAGGTCGTGGTGGAAGAGGGGGAGTTTCTCGATCCTGCGCCGTAGTTTTTCCTGGTTAGCCTTGGCCACCCGCATCATGTCACCGCACGTACATGTATGCCGATCGCTGGTCCCGGGTAAACACGGGGGAACGCAAGGTAGCTAGTGTTAGCCACGAGGCATTGAGCCCGCGCGAACGACGGTGGGGATCCAGGACATAGTGAGTTTGGGAGGAAGGTAGAATGAAAGCTAATAACCAAAAAGATCCATTCGAGATGGCGAAAAAAAAAACCCGCAACCGGTATGTATGGAATGGTATGGGCGAGCCAAAAACGTGCGGTGGCGATCGACTGCGCACGTTAATTACGTGTAATCCAAATTCGGACTCTCCACCCTTCAATCCTCCCGAGAAAAGCTTGGCCCCTGAGTGGAGAGATAACAGTGGAAGCAATGATGGGTTGTTAAAAATTAATTTACTGTGTGTTTCGCACTATGAAACGAGGGTCAGGGGTATGGAACATGCCGTGTGCTGGTCCCGGGTGGGCCTTAATTTCCAGACAATGGGGAAAAGGAGAACCAACTCCAACGACCTCCCAATACGATCGTGAAGAAATGAGTGAGATTCACTCTTTGTGCCTCCAATGGAAGATCTGGAGGAGCCTCGAATCAATACGGTTAAATGTCAACTGTAGTAGGAGGAGTAGTTGTATCATGTTTCCCGATCTAGTTAATTATAGAGAGTTGTCCCATGCTGATGCCTAGTGCGGCAGTGGAAACGACCCTAGGCGACCTCATTGGTTCAGAAGGAGTCCATGGAGAACCACAGCTCGGGTCGATATGGCTGCCCCTAGTAACTAGGGATCGACTTCACCTAGAGAACCACACGCCAGACTATGACCATGTGATGGCCAGTCTCACTGCAGGCGCAATCCTGGCACACCCTTATCAGGCAACATGGTGCCGCAACGGCAGACCGTGTGACAGCCCGTCCTACGACCGATGTCCCGTTCCGCAGACCGAGACTGCGGTCTGTCATGTGGGCACTAGGCTGGTTGGTTGTGGGAGTCGGGGGTCTGTAGTGAGCGGCCACTGTTTTCTCCAGGACTCTTTTCTCTGGACCAGTTTACAGCAGGTGGTGGTATACTATACGATGCAAAGGCCCTAGCAGAGGTGTAGGGTTCAGCACACCCCTTGAACACCCGCCACCATTGGTTGTCAGTGCCAAGCTTTTGACGATCACCTAAAAGAGCCATGCCCTGAACTATGAACATCGCCAATCAGGGCCGGGCATTCAGCATGCTGCTAGCTAACTAGAAGATAACCCACGTTGTGGGGGAGACGTTGACTGCAATATGTATACTCGGTACTCTGTACTTAGACCCCCTGGACGACACACAGCTCCCGATGCCCGTGCAACTCTTTTCTTCCTTGTCTTCCTTTCGTCGGCCCCTCCCCTGTTTTCTATCCTTTCTCTGCTATCCGGCACGATGTTAACATGGGCCTGTCGCTGCCTGCCAGGCTTCAGCATCATCGCTTTGGCGCTGCTGCTGCTGCTTGCCTTCTCTGATGTACTGACCGCACCTCGATGGAAAGGCATGTTTATTTCCTCGTCCTACTCCCCCACCAAAGATGGAACCTGGAGTTCACTGTCTCGTGCGCAACAATGTTTTGTCGTCTACGCCATCATGGTGCATCTGCACATGTTTGGCTTCACGCTGCGTCTGAGCTGGTCCCTGTTTTGCGTCTTCAAGAAGACCAAACTCGCCTTCGAGCGCCGCATCATGCAGACGCCCCCGGGCTCGCCTGCGTCGAGTCGGTCGAGCTGTTCCGAGCCGATGCTCGAGAAGACAAGCGTGATGGTTCACGAGATTGAGGAGCCGGAAGAAGTGATACATGCAATCATCCTGCCAAACTACGGCGAAGACTTGAACACACTGGAGACTACTCTCAACGTTCTGGCCAGCCATCCACGAGCCCAGTCGCAATACGAGGTGAGCAGTCTTTCTCCCAGATATCTCCAGCGATGCTAACCGACCCAGATATACCTCGCCATGGAACAAAAGGAAGAATCTGCCCCGGAGAAGGCTGACAAGTTGACTGCGGCGTTCGAAAAGTCCTTTCTGCATGTGCGTTCGACCTTCCACCCGGCCGGGATCGAGGGCGAGATTGCCGGCAAAAGCTCCAACGTGGCATTCGCAGCCCGCCGCATCGTGGAGATCCATCGCGCGGATCTGAAAGCCGAGTCTTGCAATGTGATTGCCACAGTGATGGACGGTAGGTAGCCTTTCAAACAAGCCTCTCAGGGAGCTCATCTAATGTGTGGGAACAGCTGATACGCACCTTTCCCGGGATTACTTCACCGAAATCCGCCGCATGCATTACGCACATCTATCGGAAGCAGAGCGCTCGATCTATTGCTGCCCGATCATCTTCGACCGCAATTCCCACGAGAGTCCTATCCTGGTTCGATGCGCAGATCTGCTCTGGGGGTTTGCAGGATTGTCCACCATGTACCCGGGCTCGTGGCTCGCTATTCCCACTTCTGTATACTCACTGCCGCTATCCCTGGCTGAGAAGGTAGGCGGGTGGGACAGTGGCCCGGCGGCCATAGGAGAAGACATGCATATGCTGCTCAAGTGTTACTTCGAGACCGCCGGCAACGTCGTCTCGCGCGTGGTCTACGCACCCGCCAGCCAGTGCAACGTGTCGAGTGACGGCTCTCGGGGCTGGCGCTGGACTCTGGATACCTGCCTCGCGCGGTATCGACAAGCTCTCCGACACATGTGGGGAGCCCTCGACTCGGGGTTTGCAGCGCGGCGGAGTATCGGCTACCTTCGTTTCGACCACCGGTGTCTATTCCTGCGCCCAAGACACTTTCTGCTTCTTCACATGCTCTGGGAAGCACACTTTCTGCCCTGCCACCTGGTGATCTTGATGATCTTCTCCACCGCGTATCCTGTCTTGACGTCTGCGACATCCGTGCATCCGATGGTCGCCTGGGCATTTTCCGTTACCAATATCCTGCGCACGATGGGTTTCCTGTGGATGAACCTGTGTCTTGTCTTGTATGAGCGCTGGCATGCGCTGTGCCTCGACACGCGGATGCAAGACATGCGCGAGGCTCGACTCGCCGACACGGGGTGCTCGCAGCGGGTGTGGTACCGGCCCACGTACCTCCTGGAGCGAATCTGCTTCCCCATTGCAGGAACTTTGTTCGGTGCAGTCCCCATGCTGCACGCCGTGGTCTCGCACTTCTGGACGGATCGGCTGGTGTACCGGGTCAGCAAGAAGCCGACCTTCAGCAGTCTGGTGGATGGTGTTTTACCCGTTTAATCTCTGCCGTGTTTTTTTCTTCATCATCTGAGGTATTTCATGTACAGAGTCTTTTAATAGTCGACTTTCACCGGATCCTGCGATTGATCCGGAATAATAATGAGGAACTACATAAATAGAGTTGCTACTCCGTGGATTAGTTAGTCACACTCCACCTTCTCCAATTGGGGTCAAACATAAAAAGAGTGGAGATGCCCCCTCTGTTACTATCATTCCTTTCCTGCTAACGGTGAACACGATGGCACCTACTCGTCGTGTCGCAGTCATCCAGTGGCATATCAAGGTGAGCCTCATAGCACGAATTCACTGCAATTATTCACCCTTGTTCAGGAACTGGAGATCGACTACAACCACAACACGGCATGCAATTATATCCGACAAGCGGCGCTGCAAGGCGCTGAACTGGCCGTTCTCCCAGAGTAGGCAACCCAGATCCCACATCTGCATATCGATCAGATAAGATACCTATGGACACCACTCAACGGAGATGGGTGCTTCTAGCTCAAAACCCCGATACTAACGGTAAACGACTCCAGATACCACCTCAGCGGCTGGGCCCCGGATGACCCCCTCTGGGCCCTCCAAGCGGCCGAATCGACCAAATACCTCACCCGCTACCAAGCCCTCGCCAAAGAACTCAACATCTGCGTCGTGCCGGGGACAATCATCGAGAAACACGACGATCTAAACACGCCAACGCAGTTCTTCAACACGGCCTACTTCATCTCCAACGATGGGAGTATCCTCGGATCTTACCGCAAGAAGAATATCTGGCATCCCGAGCGTCCGCACCTCACCTCCTCCGGCTCGGAGCGGCATGTCGCGTTCGATACGCCGGTTGGGCGGGTGGGGATGCTGATTTGTTGGGATCTTGCCTTTCCGGAGGCGTTTCGGGAGTTGATTGCCGATGGCGCCGAGGTGGTGATTATTCCTACCTTCTGTATGTTGTTTCCATTCGGTTTTCTTTTCTGTGTGATAGATACCCAGAACTTACGTGTCGATAGGGACACCCAACGATGCGTCCCCAGAAGCACTATCGCACAACCCGGCATCGGAAGCGCTCTTCCTCGAATCAACGCTCACATCGCGCTGCTTTGAAAACACCTGCGGCATCGTCTTCGTGAATGCCGCCGGTCCGCCAGAGAACTTCCTGGGTATGTCGCGCGTTGTCCTTCCGACCGTTGGGCCGGTGGGGAAGATGGGTTCTGAGGATGGGTTGCTGGTTGTGGACATGGATCTGGGGCTGCTGGATGTCGCCGAGAAGAATTATAAGGTGAGGCAGGATATGGGCAGGGAGGATTGGTATTATGTTTATAGGCATTCCGCGTCGCAGTAGAGACTTGATCTGGATCTGGAAGTCGCCCGTGCCAGTAATATGTATGTAGGAGTTGACTCAATGCCTTCTTTACTCCCCGCGAGCCGAGCTAGGTCGGTATGCCGACCTAACAAGACAGAAAAGGCCCTAGCCTCCTCCACTTACTCAATCTCCAGGTTCCTGAGCAGAGCGAGTGTCTACATGTATCCTTCTGATGAGCAACAGGACACACTACACAGTATACCATGGTGCAACCAGTCAAACAACGGGAGTCGGGTTTCTAAAGCTAGTCATAGAGCAGACGCAAAATCATTAGAGGGTACAGTCGTCATCTGGGCGCAGGCTCATGGGCAGAAAGGCAAGAAACGCAGACAACAGACCGAAGGGGTGAAAATCGCCCTTCTAGGAGGGACGAGGCGCAAACTCCAAGTCAGAATACCATCCTCCAAATCTCTGTGGGGCATGCAAGACAGACAAGACAGACCCTCAGATCTATCCTAGCTAACAAGGTCCGAAGTTATAGACCGATCGCGCAAGCAAAAACAGAACTGAGTATAGTGCAAAAGGAAAAAGGGGCATTCACTTTAGTTCAAGTCGTGCAAAATCACAAAGAAGATGCGAGGGGGCCCAACTCCGCCAACGCGATAGCTCAATCATACACACACTTCCAATCCCGGACAGTCGATCTTACTGGACTTGGGAGACAATCTCGCTGGCGCGGCCCAGGCTCTCCACCATCTGCTGGCATTCCTTCCGTCGCCGGATGGTGTAGTCACTCTCCTTCAACAGGTCTTCCATATCGGTGTTGGTGTACATGTTCTGGAGCAGCTCGCGCTGCATCTCGTCCTTGGTGAATCTGAAGATTCGGTTAGTAATTGGAGAAATAGATGATAGCCGAAAAAACATACTGGACCAGCGTATACATGACCGCCTTGGGAACCATATCAATCATCGTGCGCTTGGTGATGTTGAAGTACGACGTGATGAGAAGCTCTGCAGATGGAAATTAGCATGCTGATCATCTATGAACCAAGGTAGCACCTACTGATAACCTCAACCTCAATCGCTTCCTGCTCGGAGAGCGTGGCCGAGGCCTTCAGCGTCGCGGGAGGAGCCTCCATGGCTGCCATCTTCTTCTTGTTCTTCGAGGCCCAGAAGCTGCCGAAGAACCCACTGCCGTTGGGGCTCTCCCCAGTGGGATCCAGTGACGGGCTTTGAGCGCGAGCCGGCAGGGGCTTGCCGGTCTTGGGGTCGACTTGTGTCGGCTTGGCGGCGTGGTGGCGCTCATTCACAATGGCCATCGCCTACTTGGGAGTCAGTAGTGAGTCTTTGAGATGAAAAACGACGGAAAACCTACGCGGCTTCCGTTGAGGAAATCTGGGTGGCCAGTGTTGATGTAGCATGCCTCCATGTTGATCAGATCCTTGACCAGCTTGTTAGTCGGGTCCAAGCACTTCTTGAAGAAGGCGACGACCACGGCGTGGAACTTCTCCTTCAACATGGGGTAGCGGCGGAAGAGCTGCTTGTTCAGCAGCTGGCCCAGAATGCGAACCATCTCATCATAAACCAATGAGATACACTTTAAGCTGGGCTCTTCCAGGCGCTTGATTTGTTGCTTCACGATGTTTTCGAAAGCGGCAGTTCCCACGAACAGGGCTGGCGACGGACCAGACGAGTTGTAAAGCATCACCCGGATGTCACCGTCCTTAACGTGGTCAAAGGGATCGACCGCCTTGACACCATTCGAGTACAACTCGTGGAACACAAAGCTGATACGGGCACCACCTGAGAGCTCAATGCTGGAGAGTTCCTGATTCTTTCCCTCGAGGACGGTCCGGAATTCATTACTGAACTCAGTGATGATATTCAGGATAATGTTGGAGGGGTTGCCGAGCATGGAATCCCCAAGCTGCGACAGCTCCGAGGTATACTTCTGAAGGGAGGACGAAATGCGGGCCTTGATATCGGGAAGCGTTTGCTTGATGTGCATCATAAGAATCTAGCGCAGCGAGTGTTAGCCTTTTTCCTTTCATATCTGACAGCCACAACAACGTACCAAGTTTAGCTTCCGAGCCAAGTAGGGCGTACCGCAGTACGATGCCTTGTTCCGATACGCCTTGTGGTTCTCGAAGAAGTTCTTTTCGTTTTCCAGGGCGTATGCGATCGGCCGCTTATTTTCGATGTCGCGCTGGCCACGGTTGACCACCGGAACGTAGCCCAGACGCAGAGGAATAATCCGTCCAGCGAGAATATCCACCACGTCGGTTCCTTCATCCATCAGGTCGACCTTGGACAGCACACCGATGGTGCGCTGGCCCTCCGGATCCACTTCACGCGCCAGCTTCAACCCATCCGAGTTGGCCAGATCTTGGTTGGCGGAGGTGACGGCGAGGATAATGGCGTTGGGTTTGCTGATATACTTGAGCACCATGTCTCGAATCTGACGCTCGATATCCTTGGGCTGGTCGCCCACGGGCACCTTGGTCAAACCAGGCAGGTCGACCAGGGTTAGGGTGAGAACGTTGGGCGAGTAGATACGCAGGTTGATGGGCGCAGGCGAGATACCGGCGTTGCGACCGACCTTGGTCTCCGTCTCGCGCACAATCTCCTCGCGCATCTTGTTGAAGTCGTGGAACTTCTGGCCAGGTATGTGCAGGAACTCGCCATACTCGTCCACGTTCGCCTCGCTGTCGGTGGTTTCCAGCTTCTTGTCACCATTCACTTGCGTGGTCGGAGGCTTGTTGATCAACTGCAGGATAAGGGGTCTCCGAGTGACAATTCCGGAGCCACGAGGCAGGCTAGAAACGTAACAAAGGTTAGTGATCCCTCCAGCGTCGCCACCCCACATGAGGGCAAAACATACAAGTCCCGGCCGACAATATTCTCCAGCACCGAACTCTTTCCGCTGGACTGCGATCCGACGACGACAATCTGTGGCAAATCGATCGGGTTGTGTACCTGGAACCATAATAACGAGGTCAGCCAGCCCGCAGGGGGTCGTAACGGGACGAAAGTCGCCACGCAGCATCCTAGGAGGTACTTACCCCGACTGTTGAGAAGACATCCTGTAGCTTGTTGACCAGCGAGATCAAGCTGGGATCGTTCAAGTTGACACTGCGACAGGCATGAGATTAGTTTTCGGTCACCGGAGACGAGGGACAGGGGGGTGGTGGGTGTGGTGGGTTGCGTACGACTGGCCAGACGGGGATGCCATGGCTGGCGAGGGTGTGGGCGAGAAAGAGGTCTAGACAAAAGTATATCGGAAGAGTCTAGTAAGAGAAAGACAGGAGGGCGACAGAGAAGAATGGGAGGAATAGTGAATGTTTTGGGTGGGGGATGAATGAAGAGGGAAGAAGAAAGAGAAGGCGGTGATAAGACCAGGCCGGGCCAGGACTGGACCACGAGTTGGGTACCTAGTCTAGGTACCAACATTCACGCCACCCATACGGGACCGACCCAACAGATCATAATGGATTGAACGATTCTTATTCCACAAAATAAATAGCTACAGCGAAATCTCCCGAATCTCTAAAACAACATCACCTACTTACTCATCCGACACCGAGGCAAACCGCTCCGTCATGGACTGCAGGATCTTCTCGTACTTCCCCGTCACCTCCTGCTCGTTGTCCGGGACCTCGAACTTCATGCCGCGCAGCGACGCCTGAAGATCGGCCGTAACCTCGCGCACCTTGCTCCAGTTCTGGCCCTGCGCGATGGCCTTCTGGGCCTCGTCGTGGAAGCCCATGAACGCCTTCATCATGTACTCCGTCTTCCACAGCGGGCAGAATTGATCGTAGTCACTGTAGCCGTTCTGCTGCAGGAAGTCGTCCTTGAGCATGGCCGCCACATCCAGTGTGATCTTGTCCGAGTCGCCCAGGGCCGCCTTGCCGACCAGCTGCACGACTTGATCCAGATCCTCGGACTTGGTTAGCAGCTCACGGATTTGGTCGCGCAGGCGTGGGAAGTCGGGGTGATCCTTTTCGTAATACTTGTCCAGCACGTTGGTATACTTGCTGTACGACATGGACGTGTTAACCGACGGGAAGTGCTTGCGCTGCGCCAGTTTCTTGTCGAGACCCCAGAACACCTGGACGATACCCAGGGTGCTACTGGTGACGGGATCGGAGAAATCACCACCAGGCGGACTGACGGCACCGACAATGCTGACACTGCCGTCACGCTCGGGGCTACCCAGAGCGGTAGTCTTGCCAGCGCGCTCGTAGAACGAGGCTAGCTTGGCACCCAAGTAGGCCGGGAAACCTTGATCAGCAGGCATCTCTCCCAGACGACCAGAAATCTCACGCAGGGCCTCGGCCCAGCGCGAACTGGAGTCCGCCATCATGGCCACGTTCTTTCCCTGATCACGGAAGTATTCGGCGATCGTAATACCGGTGTAGATAGAGGCTTCACGCGCGGCGACGGGCATGTTCGAGGTGTTGGCGATCAAGCAGGTACGCTTCATGATGGGCTCCTTGCGACCTTCGATGGTAATGGAAAGCTAGAGAATAGAACAGTCAGTGACGGGTCGAAGAAGAACAGAGACTCATGCCTACCTCGGGGAAATCCATCAAGACCTCCGCCATCTCGTTACCACGTTCACCACAACCAACATAGACGATGATGTCGCTGTTGGAGAACTTGGACACTGACTGCGAAATGACAGTCTTGCCGCACCCGAAAGCGCCGGGAATGCACACGGTGCCACCTTGCACACTGGGAAAGAGAGCATCCAGCACTCTCTGGCCGACAATAAAGGGAGCGTCGGCGGACTGCTTGTCACCGACCGGGCGGGGCACACGGACGGGCCACGTCTGCATCATTCCATACTCGGTCTTCTTGCCCTGGAACTCGACTTCCAGCAGCTTCTCCTCGACAGTATAGCTGCCGGCGGGGGCTATCCGGGTGATGGTACCCCGCGCCCGAGGGGGCAGCAAGATCTTGTGGTCGTTCACCAAGCTGTTCTCAAACACGGTGCCCCAAATGTCACCGCCGGTGATGTGGTCACCGACCTTGTAGGCGGCCGGCTTGTACTCCCACTTCTTCTCGCGGTCCAGCGCATTGACGGAAATGCCACGCGGGATGTAGATGCCCTTGGAGACGTCAGAGATGGCTCGGAGGGGTCGCTGGATACCGTCGTAGATGGTTTCCATCAAACCAGGACCGAGTTCGACGGAGAGAGGCTTGCCCGTTCGGGTGACCGGGTCGCCAACAGTCAGACCGGCTGTCGGGTTGGTTGGTCAGTAGCAGTCGAGACACGCTAGGGGTGGTGAAGGGAACTCACCTGTTTCTTCGTAAACCTGGATCGTTGCCTTATCACCTTCAATGCGAATGACTTCACCGACCAATGAATCAAGTCCGACATGGCACTAGAATGAGGTGGTGATTGTGTCAGTCCAGTGTGGTGCTACCGGGGGAAGCTTCCAGCTGTCACTCACCAACTCGTACATGGCACAACCAATCATGTGCTCGGCCACGACGACAGGACCGGAGACGGAGAAGACGGCGCCATGGGGCTCGGAGCTCTGGCCTTGCTTTGCCGGAGCCATAATGGAGGAAGGGGGAGGCGTGGAGGGGGTTGAGGGTAGAGTGGTGGAGGACGACGTTGAAGAGGGCGAGGCGGGAAGCGGTGGGAGGTCGGGGGCGGGCGGTGATGCTTGAGGCACCGAATGGTCCAGCCCTTGTATCAATTCCAGCAATGAGGGTCGCGATCGCAGTCGACGCACTCCCAATCCAAGCATCCGTGGCTGTTTTGTGGTGTTGGTTTAGTGTCGAGGCTGAATTTGGCCCGATGGAGCCCCTAAGCCACTCCGGTGCTTTTGCGACTCCTTCCGACGGGTCGCGGTGGGAATCATCGTGATGGCCATGCTGGATGGAGCCCAGTGATGGCACTCGCCAGATCTACTCCGGCTAGAGTGGACTCTTCTGGCCACCGTCCATGAGTCTGAATGTGTCCAGCGGCCAGCATGTACATCTAACCCGAAGCCCAGCCAGCTCTAGCTTGGCCCAACATCACCCACACCGGCTTCATCCTCCCCGACTAATGGATTTATGAACACAGGCATTACTGAACCATCGCATGTGAAGCATGCATTTGCTCAACAGCATTTACATATGGTTGGACAGGTCGATCACGTTCACATGCCTCTATGGCAAGATCCCCCCTCACGGTTCCCCGGACCCCGGACCACGGTAAAATCTGGAGCCGCCAGAGAGCCACATCTGTCATAATTAACTACCATGCCCGCGATATAAAAATGTGGCGATCCAAGGTGCAGTATAGATCACCCGATCGATATTGCTTGGACTCGGAGCCATGGCCGCAAAGTCCCACCAGCGAGGCAACACCACCGAGTACCACTACTGGGGTTACTCGTTTACCTGGACCGATCGTCATCGTCCGGCAGAGGAGCTACAGCCCATGGTGCAGACGTGCGACAGCCTAGCCGATGAATGTGTGCAACGTCTCAACCAGCTTCCATCCCCTGATGGCGAGACCAAGACCTTCAAGAAAGATCTATACGGCCTGCTGAAGGATCATGCGGATGAAGACCCTAAACTGAAGGAGCTGTGGACACAGGTCAATACGGTTCCGGAATGGGTGGACTGGGACCAGATCCAGAGAGGACAAGATGTCTTTTACCGTTATGGCTTGCCCATCTTGAACGTGGTAGGTGTGTTCTGATAAATGGTCTTGATGTTGGTGCTGATATAGATGTATCAACAGCTCAGCTTTCAGAGCTTACTCGGTGGAATGTATGCTTCTAAACCCAAATTAAGATAGTCCAAGACTGATTGTCGCATCTAGGGGCGCGATCCGAGTTGTCGAGACACTCGCCCGAACCGGTGGGTTTGGCGCCAAGGTTGTTCGACGCCGACTGCTAGAGACCCTCCAGCATGTCCTCCAGGTCAACAGCTCAGCAGAGGGTATGAAACCCGGCGGCGAAGGCATGGTTTCCTCTGTGCGCGTGCGGCTCCTCCACTCGTCCGTTCGTCTCAAGATCTTAAGTTTGGTTGAAGAAAAACCAGAGTATTACGATGTCCAGAAGCATGGTACCCCTGTCAGCGACCTGGACTGCATTGGCACCATCAACACCTTCTCCAGCTCCGTAGTCTGGCTCGGTCTTCCACGCCAGGGTATCTATCCCAGTCAGAAGGAAATTGAAGACTACATTGCGCTGTGGAGACTGGTTGCGTATTATATGGGCACGCCAACGGAACCGTTCGAGTCCCCGACCAAGGCCCGCGCCATGATGGAGTCCCTCCTCCTCACCGAGATTGATCCCACGGAGACTGGCAGGGTCCTGGCAAAGAACATCATCATCGGGCTGGAGAACACGGCCCCCGCTTATGCCTCGAAGGAGTTCATGGAAGCCATGAGCCGACTCCTCAACGGCGACGCACTCGCGAACGAGCTGGATATCCCGAAACCCACTCTGTACTACCGGATGCTGATCTGGGGGTATGTGTTCTGGGTTGTATGGGCCTCATACTTGATCCCGAAGATCGGATTTCTTGACCGGCTCATGATTGGAGTAAGTTATTTTCCATCTTTCAGTTGAAGCCCTACTGACAAGTGTTCCAGCTCCGCCGCAAACACTTCTACAAGGTCATTCTTGACAAGAACATAGGACTGGGAGGCGAGTCTCGCTTTGAATTCAAATACGTGCCCACTCTTACACGCACTACGCGTTTGGGAGAACGGCGGTCGACCAAGTTTGAGAAACCGGGAATCGAAAACTTGGCGCGGATGGGGCTTTTCTCTGCTTTCATAGCACTGCTCACTCTCGGTATGGGTCTGCTCTTTGCCGCCAGGTCAATACCCTCGAATCAATTGTTCCTAGCTATCCAGTCATAAGGGGAAAGAGTGCGAGGTTTCTTATTAATGTCTAAATGCCGTTATGAACAGTCTTATGTTGAATACCTGTCGGTCACCATGAAGCCATCTCAATAATATCACAGTCATAGTAGAGAAGCGTGCCACTCCATCTTAACAAGGCCATGATCAATATGGCCAGCAATGGGCTTGTCGTGCCTTTCCTCGGCGCTCTACAAGCCTGCACCTCGGTACTGCTCACCATGTGCTACGGCGTAGCAGCGCGTCGACTGCGACTCATCCACGAAGCAACCATCAACGACATGTCCGGACTAGGAGTGAAGCTCTTCCTCCCTGCCCTGATCGTTGTCAATCTCGGCCGGCAGCTGCATCTGGACACAGCGCTAAACTACCTCCGGGTACTCAGTACGCAAGCACGATGAGATACATCCGAATCCCTACCTGATAACTGTTAGTATGGTCCGCACTACATACCTCCGTCTCAATCATAGTAGCCTATCTAGTCTCCCATCTGTTCAAGCTCCCGCAATGGGTGACGCCCACCTGCTCATTCAACAACCCCATATCATTCCCGCTATTTCTCCTCGAATCCCTCAAAAGCGTGGGCAGTCTGCGAGTCCTCCTCCGCGACAGAGAAAGCATGTCCGAAGCCATCGACCGCGCGCAGAGCTACTTCCTTGTCTGTGCCGTGATCGCCAAGTCCACGGCGTATGCCTTGGGACCGAAGATGTTACACGATGGCGTGGATCCGAACAGTAGTATCGGTGATGCAGAGGAGCACCATCGCGCTGTCAGAATTCCCGAAGAAGATGAGCAGCTCACAGAGCGCACTTCTCTTCTACCGAGGCGTGCGCAAAAAGCTAGACAGGCGGCTGGTCGCCGCATTCAGCACTGGAGTAAATGGATCGGCTCGTTTTGCCCGCACCGCGTCAAGCAGGAACCGATGGCACCGTTTGGCACGCCCTTTGCCGACGTGGTTATCGGGTGTACTATCCTCGGCGCGGTGCTGGGTTTAGTCCCTGCTCTGCACTGGGCGTTTTTCTTCCCGGAGGAGGAGGGTGGGATATTCAGCGCCTGGCTGACCTCCAGCGTTCGTCATATTGGACATCTGTTTACCACGCTGCAGATCTTCATGGTTTGGTGTAAGTTGGGCGTCAGTTTTGAGCAGATGATCGCATCTGGCGACTCGGGCCGGACACCAGTCAAGGCCATCACGATTGTTTTTCTGCTGCAGTTGGTGCTCTGGCCGGCGATGAGTATCTCGCTGATCTATGGATTAGCAAGAGGCACTACGCTGCTCGGCAGTGACCCTATGGTCTGGTTCACCATGATGCTCATGCCAGTTGGCCCGCCGTCGCTGGTAATTTTAGGGTTAGCGGAGCTGGCGAAGGCGTCGGAGCGTGAGAAAATGGCGATTGCCAAGACGCTGACGGTAGGAATGAGGACAGTACTGGAAGCGAGAAAGGGCTGACGGGTGTTAGATCATGTATGCACTCTCGCCGTTGGTGTGTTTTGCCATCACCGGCGCCCTCACGGCATCGGAGGCAGTGCTGAAGGCGAGATCGAAGACATGAATGGCATGACGTCTACAGCGCAGGGAAGAATGTGGCAACCGACCTCACATAGCATTATTATCGATTTGATATTGTTGTAAATTACATTCTACCGACTTTCATCCCATCGCATCCCCATGAGTGACGAGTTGTTTCGTCCGATACTTCGCTCCTAATTGACCATCCTCAACCGTCTTTTTACTTCTAAAAATCAAGTGCAGGTTAGCCCTCACATCCATTCTTTATATGGCTCATCACCAGTTTTCAAGCCGGTGAGAAGGAGTACATACTCCACATCCCTTGCAGACGCACTCGTTACCACAAGTGCAACCTTGAGGTCCGGTACAGTTGCAGGTCGATCCGCAGTCGCAGCCCATAGTGTGAGAGTGGAGTGTGTGAGAGTGTTTGAAATATGATCTGGTGGGTTAAGGAGTAGATGTGTCTAACACTATTTTAAAAAATGGGCAGATAGCTGCATTATATACCTCCGGGTGGCCAGTCTGGGCTGACAGCATCATGATGGCGTCAGTAGGCGATGGCGAACCACTGGAAGAACGTAGGTCGTACTACCTATTGTAGTTAACTCAGCTTCGGGTAGACCTGCCCACAGGGTGTCAATAGCTCGGTATCGAGTAGGTACCTGCCTCTACTATGTAGGATGATGCGCATCAGCTGATAAGCGTCGGTGCAACAAAGTCACACACGCTGCTTGTCACGACACCTGGATCCAGTCTGACCCACGCCGATAAGGATCCCGCCCGACAGAGGGGAACCCAACCTCGAACATCATCTTTGTTACCTTCACACTTCGCCTTACCTTCCCTTCCCCTCAAGAGACAAGGCCACTCGCCAAAACCCCCGTGTACCCGCAGCTCCGTTTGAGGTTTGCTCACCTGGTTCTGCCACACAGAGCCAGGGTGACTGGGCAAGAGATACCTTCGACCTGGCCGACAATCCTCCCTACCGACCCTCCATCGCCTCCGACCACCCCGACTCTCCTTTCCCCCTCGATTCCTCCTCGCCGGCTAGTAATCCCGGTGCATCTCCTCCACTGTCAGAGTTCCCGCCTACAGCTCCCCAGCTCTCCTCCCGCCGCCCAACCAACCCTCGCCGCCGCCCGCGTCCCTCGGACACACCGAGTCCCTCGACTGCGGGGACCGCATCTGACCCCGGGAGCCAGCCCGATTCCCGCCATACCGGCCGAGCCGCCGGCCGTTCTCCCTCCCCCAAGCGCAGGCGCCTGGTAATCATGCGTGCCGATGGACTGTCCACAGCGAACGGCTTCTCGTCGAATGGGACAGTCTCGACGCCCTCGAGGAAAGCCGGTCTGAACGGACAAGCAATCGCCACCAACGGAAGCTCCCATACGAATGGTGCCGACAAGGCGTTGGCGAGCCCAACCTACTTCGGCCATAACCGAGAGGAGGTGACGCGGATATTGATTCAGAGCTTGTACGAGCTAGGCTACAATGGGGCGGCATCACTGCTGAGCTCGGAGAGCGGCTATCAGCTGGAGACCGAAAGCGTGGCAACATTTCGGAACGCGGTGCTAGGAGGCAGGTGGTCGGAAGCCGAGAGGATCCTCATCCTGTCATTCCGTTCGGATGCGGCGTCACAACGCAGTGGCCAGAAGTCCCCGTCCGAGGATACCTTGGCGTTGGCCGAAGGTGCCGACAGGAACGAGATGCTCTTCCTCCTGCGGCAGCAGAAGTTCCTCGAGTTACTAGAGGCCCACGACCTGGGTGCTGCGCTTACGGTCCTCCGGCAAGAGCTGACTCCATTAAATCATGACATCGAGCGGCTGCATGCGCTCTCCAGGTAAGGCCCCCTGTGCGGGGTACAAGAAAGGACGTATATTAACCCGGACAGTCTCCTCATGTGCCCGCCGGAGCTCTTACACGACCAAGCGGTGTGGGATGGGCCGGTCAGCTCGTCTCGAGAGCGCCTGCTAGGTGAATTATCGAGTAAGCCAAACCGCGGTCGGACCTCCCGTTCATACTAACTCGAGATCAGAATCGATTTCCCCATCCGTGATGATCCCCCAACACCGGCTTGCCATCCTATTAGACACCGTGAAGCAAAGCCAAATCAACAACTGTTTATATCATAATACCGCCGAACCCCCCTCGCTCTACTCCGACCACATGTGCGACCGCAACGACTTTCCGTTGGACATCAGCGTCAATCTGACCCAACATTCCGATGAAGTCTGGTACTGCGAATTTTCTCATGATGGCACCAAACTGGTCACTGCTGGCAAAGACCGAAGCGTGCTCATCTACGATACGTCTAGCTTCGCCGTGCTTCATCGGCTCGCCGACCATGGAGACGGGGTTGCATATGTGAGCTGGAGTCCGGACGACTCGAAAGTGATATCCTGTTCACAAGACAAGAAAGCGCGTGTGTGGAGTGTCGAAGTAAGCGTGTCTCTATCCATACATACAGAAGTTTTGTCTATGCTAACACACACATTAGACTGGCCGGTGCCTGCTGACCATCAATCAACACCGCCATCCGGTCACTGCGGCCGCATGGGCTGCAGACGGGGAATCATTTGTCACGGCTTCTCTGGATGCGAGCTGCCAACTAGGTCATTGGAGTGTACGGGGGCAGCCGTTGTACATGTGGCATGGCGGGTTCCGTGTCCAAGATTGCGCTGTCAGCCCCGACGGCCGACGTCTTGTAGCGGCAGACACGGAAGCCAAGATCCATGTGTACAATTTCCTCACTCACGAGGAAGAGTACTGCCTCCCGCTTCCGAGTAAACCGACCTCGGTTGCCATCAGTCGAGACTCGAGACACGTTCTGGTGAACTTACAGGAAGGGGAGATCCAGCTTGTGGACATGGAGACTACTGCTGTGGTCCGGCGCTTCCGAGGCCAAAAACAGGGCGAATTTGTGATTCGGAGTACATTTGGCGGAGCTGCTGAGAATTTCGTTATCAGTGGCAGCGAGGGTGAGTTTTTTTCTTGTCGTTTACTGGACACCACTAACTTATTTCCCAGACTCGCGCGTCTACATTTGGCACAAAGAGAACGGGACACTGGTCGAAACATTGGACGGTCATGTCGCGGGATGCGTCAACTCAATATCCTGGAACCCGGTAGACCCAGGCATGTTCGCGTCGGCGGGCGATGACTGCATCGTGAGAATGTAAGAATTGCCCTTTTTTTTTTTAACCTGTGTCGTTGTCGTCCATATACTCACAAATACCCGCCAGCTGGTCTCGAGATCACGACCGAACTCGCACAAGCACAATTCCCACGCCACGCCGAGGAATTGCACCATCAAATGGATTCACGCAGACGAGCGCATTGCGAACCACATCATCAGCCTTTTGAAACGAGTTTCCCTCCCCTCTTCTTCTTCTTCCTCCCCTCTCTCCATCCCCTCCACTTGGAGAATGTCTTTTGTGGCTCTCCTGTCTCTGTCTCGTGCCATTCGCTTGCTTTGTTTTCCTTTCTTTTATTTCATTCTCACATGTATCACGGTCAAGGGACACACATACCCGGAGCTTTTTTTGGACTGAAAGACGACGATAAACTTTGCTTTGATTTATTTTTTCCCCGCGTGCTTCCGTGGCGTTTCTTGATTCTGTCTCCCGCTTCTTCCGCATATACATCGTACGTAGTAGTCTTGGGGAATGGTGAATTGTTACGCGACCCTGTCTAGTGTGCCTGTTTGGACGAGCATCTCTAGATACAATGTAGTAGCGCTTTGGCTTGCCTAGGGCTGTTCCAACAGTACTCCAATTGGCCCAGTCTGGGCGGTATGAAAGAGCTCGCATGAACCGCCAGCGTAGATCGTTTGATGGTCCGGATTGACAGGTCATATTATTCCGATTTGTAGGCTGCGGGGTAATTTATACTCTCTCGCTCTATATTCCATCTGCAAGAATCTACTTCTCTCCCAAGAATCAGTTTTGGTGTAAACTTACATCCACTTTGTCGCTCCTCCACTCAACCGGCCTTTGATACTGCACATGTAGGGTTTTGAGTGCTATTCTCCACCAGAGCAATCTCTCCTTCCTCACTACGCCTAGGCTCCAAACTCGTCCCCGGTACCAGGCGCGTAGTGAGTTTCTTGCTTTGACACCTTACAGGTACTCTTTGCTCTTACACCCAAGGATACTGGATACTAGACTCCTTCGCGCTCCGCTTTCCTGGCACCAAGTGCGTCTTCGAGGAGAGGAGAGGTCCAGTCCACCATGGTTTTCCGTCCAGACAGCCCCGTCGAACTTCCTGATGGTCGCCTGGTGTGTGGCTCGCACGGGCTCGTGATCTGTGGCATCTGCACGGTAGACTATAGCTTCATGGAAGAAGATGACATGGAAGAAGGGGACGACTTTGAAGACCGTGACATGGATAACGACGGAGACAGTGACGATGATGATGAAACTCATGATCCTCCTGAAAATCCTCTACGTGGCTATTTCATTTCCCACCCTCTTGGTACGGGTCTGGGTAGGGAGTGCACGGTCGGTACGGGACGCGTGATCCCTACGAAGTTTCATCCTCCAAATCCGAGTGATACGCCAGAGTCACTTTTCCCACTTCGCATTGGAGAAAGGTCTACGCCACGTGTACGTCGGTTCACTCGTAAATCCGACTTGGGCACCCAATTCCTTATTTACACCGATGGAGCGTGTTTGGACAACGGCGGGGCGAACCCAAGAGCCGGTTGTGCCTTTGTTTTCAAACCTACTACACAAAACCCCCTAGTCCACGGCTATACTGCCTTTCGTCTGGAAAACGAAGGACCCACCGGCGAACGACATCCGCAAACAAGCAATCGCGCAGAATTGCGCGCCGTTATCGCAGCTTTACGATTCCGATATTGGCCTGGAGAAGGCGCGGATGGACTAGTTATTGCAACGGATTCCGAATACGTAGCCGAAGGTATAACAACCTGGATACGCGGATGGCAACGGAGGGACTGGAAGACGAGCATGGGGGCGCCAGTCAAGAACCAAGACCTTTGGCAGTGTCTGCTCGGGGAGGTGGAATTCTGGAACGAGAAGGGGATGAGCATTGAATTCTGGCGTATTCCAAGAGAATGGAACACTGAGGCGGACCGCCTTGCCAAAGAAGCCGCTAATGAGGACCCAATTGACGAATTCGCCACTGTATCGGGCGTCCTTGTTTAAACTTGAACACAGATAATCCGTCTCTCCAATGGAATTCATCACACGCTATCAGGGGCGATCTACAGGAGGGTCCCCGGACCAGACCCCTTTCGGTTAGGTATGTTATTTGAATCCTCTCCAGGATTGCGTCTCTCTGCGAATTGGACTACTATTCCTGTTCCGTGCTCGTTCAGTCTCATTTCTCTCGGCCTGGTTCACAGGTTATCTACCCTGACAACTAGGGTATGAAATTGAAGAAGTGCTTAGGATGTACAGGAGTTTCAAAGATGCGTAGGCCGTTTTCTAGCTATGTATCGGAAGGGGAAAGGAGAGGCCGGGGCAAGAGTCAATTTGTGTATCTGAAATCATCTCTATTCAGTAAGTACCGGTAACTATTCCACCAGAACTGTAAAAGTACCAGTAGGCAGACAAAAATATTATTATCGTTCTCGTGATTGTCTCCGATAGTTGCTATGTAATATGGTCTTGGGTCCTATCCTCAAGTTTGGAAGAAAGACACCGCCACCCCCCAGCAACCTTGCCAATCTTCCTCCCTCTCTGATCGACATGTAGCTTAAGCCATTATCCACTGTCATAGACGAAGAACAGTGGGGGAGAGTTAGCAGGCGGTATTCCGACGAGTACGATCTTTAGGGAACGAAGATACATCCTCCAGTTCCAAATCGGCAACCACAGGTCTTGGCAGAACAGACCAAAACAACGGGAATTTGCCGGCAACTGACTCAATAAAATGCCCCGTTACACCCGCTTATCTTGAGAGGTCCGTTTCGGCCCCTATTAGCCTCTATGCGTATCATCAAGTCAGTGGAGAATAAACGGTGGGTCGTTCGTTGGTCATGGTGTTAGACTTACTTGAGAACCATGGATCCAGCAAATCTGAATGGGTACCTGAGATTGCCAACACCGAGACAGTCTATAATTAGCCTAAAATATGATAAAACATGTTTGATAAACTGTAACGGAGTCCCTCCGACGACTAGAACACTTGGCCCCAACTCCACCTTGATGCTTGACTAGCGTTGTATACTCACTGATCGGCGTCAGCAGTGGCAGTAGTGCAAGATAGTCTTCGTTTGGGGCCAATGACAGACCAGATAGATCAGCTCATAGAAGCTTAGTACAAGCCGCAGCGATAAACACGTTACATACATGATGCATTCCTGGGGCTGCTCCTCACCTGTCTAAGGCTTGTATGGCTTAAAAAGGAGAAGAGGACCAAACATAGTTAATGGCGTCAACAAATACTACACTGTGTTCCTTTGTATCTGTGTTGAGGAGATCTCCATTTAAGGTCTAATTGCGCCTGGTCAACGTGGACTCTATTTCCTCGCATTGCCATGCATTATACACTCCTCCTGACTTTAGGCTCTGGTATGTTATTCATTCTTCTACAGCTGAGGAGAGTATCTCATCTCGCAAATTAGTTCTTACCGCAAGTGCAATTCCGGGTAGACATGCTCTCTTAGCTGGACGACAAGTCAGTTCAAGTGGAACAGTGTCGCCTACGTCTAGCAGCTCTACAGCGACTTCTAGCGGCGCATACCCATACAGGACGGACTATGCTTATCTTTGCAAGGGCAATGTGCTAAATGCCAAAGTATGGAACCAGTTTAATATAGACGGGTGGTCGGCCTATTTGTTAGAATCCCTGAGCATCTTGCGATGGTTTTGAGACTAATTTATATCTAGATGTAACGAAATGACTAGCGGCAAGGAAAGTTTCCTGGATTACCTCGTGCAGCACACGACTGGCATTAGTGAATTTCATTGCGAAATGTGAGTTCAGCTATTATCCACCGATGCATTATTGATTTCTAATTAGCGGTCGTTATCTCTTTAGTGGTCAAGATTGCGATTTGACCGAAACTGCGCAGGGCTGCAATACAGCGCCGATATCGAATCCCCAGAACTGGGCTCTGATCTACGGGATCCGGAATTTCCATAACTGGGTCAATGGGATGCTCACAGCGATTGATTCAGCCCAGACAAACATGAACACAATGAATGGCTATATGCAAGCCTACTTCACAACCCACAATTTCACTCTCGCGGTATATACCTCCTTCACAATTCCAAAAGAACTCAATTCTAAATCTTTCTCGCAGGCTCAAACTTATCAAAACTCGCTCGTTTCAGGATCCATGAGTGCTTTAAGTGGACTTCTCACCTTAGCAAAGCTCGCCTTACCAGAATTGAATGCCATAACAGCGGCTGGAGCTCTTGCAACTCTAGGTGGTGCGGGGGCCACAATGGATACGGGTATTCTGGGGTCCATTATGTCAGAAACGGTTGGAGTGTGCGTTTTTTCTCCTTGTGATCTCTGCCATAAAATACTGATGCAAACTAATTTAGCATCGAAACCCAGCTTAAGGAGATAGGCAATATGGATAAATGGTTGTACCATGTATTCGAGGCTATGCGATACGCAGTCATAGACTGGGGCAACAGTACCATCAACGGCATTGCCTATTTCAGCGAAGATGACATGTATTATTATCTAGACCCCTCTGGTGTCGTCGACTGGCTTAATGGCGGTGCCTTTGCGCAGGACATCTCGGAAACATACCAGCTAACGATCGATAATGCGGCCATGAAATCCGTCTTTGCCGTCGCTGTCTCGGATCTATGGGTCCAAGAGGAGGTTTTCATCGTTAATACAACCGACGCCTGGACATTTACTGGAGATGATTATGCGACATTGAATATTGACAAAAACGACATGACTAGGGTCACTTATAATGACCAAGTCTACTTTTTCGTTAAGAACACCGACGGCGCGGCACCCGACTCAGCCTATGACCCAGTGCCTGGCATTGATAACCTCAAGGAGTTAGGACTAAGCACTACTGAGGTTATCGAGGCCTCCGCCTACACGCTCAATCATATCGGCTTCAATAGCACTTGGGATCCCAAGGGCGCACTCTCTGCCATGACCTCGGACGATCCTCCACCGGGTGGCCTCTTCATGAATATACCCATCTGTCAACTGGGCATCTTGGAAGCCCCCTCCGTGGACCTGTTCACGCAGGGCTGTTCGACTGTGGACATAGCCGCAGAGGTGAGTACTTTCACATTGCCCCCGCCATCTAATTTGCTAACAACCTTGGTATGTCTATAGTGCGACTTTAAAAGATATATCAACTGGTCCTGCTCCAAGCAAATCCAGACCACAAACGGAGTCGTTCAGCCCTGGCCATACAAGATGTACGATCCAGATTGGAATTAGCATTTATGTAGTTACCCCTCCGGCCATTTAATGATTATTGTTATGAAAGAATATCCAAGCACCTGGTCCTAAAATCGTGTGGCTTTGGAAAAGACATAGGCCATGGAGATTCAAGCAAGCTACGACAACGTCATATTCCTCGTAGGGCATAGGTTGTCTGTTCAAATATGAAAAAATTACGTTCCCTCTACTTATTCTGGCCCTTGAAAAGACTTAACAAGCTCTTTGAGTCTAGTGGCGGCCATATCCAGGTCGAGATCGGGAGATATTGCCTCTTTCATACGTATTCCGTTGAATCCATGCCAGCTGACGTGACCCCCTAGGCCACCTTCGGATACTAGCCCTAACTAGTTGGCCACTCCTTGCAATTGAAAGTCTTTTAAGTCTAGAAGGGTAGATGGACTACTTGGACTATTTGGGGCTGGAAACCTATCGAAATGTTCAAGTAAGGTATTATCGCCAAGAAGAGGCTCAACTGTTTCGTTATGTACGAAGGTCCAGTGGCCTCTTAAATGAATAACAATGTACAGTACTTCTAAGCTCATCCAAAATTTTGCGCCTTCCTGAACATGCTGTAAAGTGACCCTTTCGGTGTTCTCACTTCGCTCACTTTCTCGAAGCCGAACTTGGTATACAGCTGAATCCCGGCCGGTGAGGACAGCAAAATCCCATCTCTATGAGCTTTATCGGCTTCTTCGCATGCCCATTTCATAAGCATAGAGCCGATACCACGGCGCTGATACATTGGATTCACAGCCACGATAGTGAGGGCTAGAAAAGGGTAAGCATGGACCTGCGCGAAGAAACAAGGCAATCCTCTTACACCAGATATTCTCCTGACCATGTATTACCCGGTTTTGCTCTGCCATGAGCATCTTTGAGACTTCTGACCAAGTATCCTTATCCAGTGTCTCGGGCTCAGGATTAGAATGAAGTTCTACCTGGCCTTTCTGAATCTTATTTTGGACAGTGTTATTCAGGACAGCGTAGCCAGCAAATCCAACAGGAGTCCCGTCTTCGGTACAGATTTTGCGGAAGTTGGAACTGTCTTCTTCCAAACTATGTTTGAAGTTGCATGTCATCCATCGAATTTCGTCTTCTTGGGTCTCTGGGCCAGAATGGGGGAACATTGTGAGACGAATCGGATTGTCTAGCATGGCCGGGAAGTCACATTCTCGAATCAGGCGCTCAGCATCTGAGGCTTGCACGTGCAAAAGGCTGAAAGACATCTGCGATATGTCCGTTGGAAGGTATAATAGATGAAATTGATGTTCTTGTCCACTAGTTCACAGTGCCCATTAAATATAAGCAGATGCCCGGTGTCTGAGCAGAAGAAATGCGATAACGGACGCGGAGTCAAGATCGATCGATTCTCAACGGAGTAAGCTCGGTTTCGGGTAGTGGGGAGTCAGCCAGCGCGAGCCTTGTTAAATGCCAAAATTTACTCGTTACCCCTGAATCGTGAGGATAGATAAACTCTTCAGCGATAACTCTTGCGTTAGATGCACCTGCATACGATCAATTCTATCAAGTTCTTGTACTGATCTCATGCACTTAGTCTTCTCCTTGTAGGAAGGTATAGGTGGTCTTTGCGGAGAGGGCGTACATAGTCTACCATACAAATTACTATGCGGTACAGGGTACTCACTATTTTTAGACGATTAAATATTAGCAAAACGATTGGCTATAACGTTTTGGCCCTATTGCGACCATCGTCCGCCGTACCAAAACGGAAAGAATTCGGAAAATCAGTTAGTTGTATATAAGGCAGCAAAATCTTAATCTACCTGTAATTTCTCCTCTCATTTGCTAAGCTGAGATTCACATTGACAATATGGGCCCCGTTGTCATTAAGCTCGTCAAAGGTGTCGCGGCAGGTATCGGCCTTGCCTCCGAGGGAATAGCTGCCCGCAAGGCTAAGAAGACACAGAAGACCCAAGCGGAAGCGAATAGGGGAAGCCTTGCAGATGATGAATCCGAACTCGTCGTGGAGAGGGACGCTGTCATCGATACTCTAGAAGAGCAATGGGCCCTTGACGAAGCGCAAGAAGAGCTCCAGCACACATCACACCCCCAGGATGACCCCCTCCGTATAGTGAGGTTGTCGATGGAGCTGCTCTTGCTACCTGGTTTGCAAGTCAACATCCGACACCCACGGGTGCTGAACCCGCTCATCTACCTGCTCCGATCCTTCTCCCACAGCGCAGACCCAAGGACCGTAATCGTGGATTCCTTCGCGCCTATGCGCCTGACTTGGCCCCATTTGGCATTGACCAGGCCACGTTCCTTGAATTCTTGGACACAGCCGAGAAAGGCTGCCGGGCGCACCGTTGGCTGCAGGCTATTAACCTGGCTGCCCTTGTGGGCCACGCCATCCCATCTGTTGCGGCAGTTGCAGTATCAGTGGCAATCCATCAATTTGCCAACCTGACTATCGCCGCAGATGGCCGTCGGAGGTACGCACAGAGGACTGATACATATTTTTGGAAAAAGTAGCTGACTATGATACAGGACCAACAATTTCTTTGATCAGGCGAACGAGGAGTTCTTCAAACCTCGTGGGCTGTACTGTCTAGTCTTGACCTGGATTCCGGAAGAGCCAGACGCACCAGCAATGTCGATGGATCTCCAGTCCACTGTTGCTAAAGCCATGACCGGCAATGATTCGACCATGCTAGGGTCAAACAAGCTTAGACGCCTCCAGCAGAAGTTCAAGACGTCTGACGGCAAGAATTATGGAAACCCTTTTCCAGAGGTTGCGCCCCTCGTTTTCCCCGAGCTGGACCAGTTAGAAAACGGGAAGGCCGCGGAGAAGAAGCTTTCTAAAACAAAGCGACGGGTTGAGTTTGTCAAGACCTACTTGGACAAAAGAGCGCAAGCTACCTTCGTAAGTTTTTCTTCGTTATACTCAGGCAAATCTTGCTTACGATGCCTTAGCAAGCGGAAAACCCTGACAGCCATTTGAACCAACGGCCAACACCGACATTTGCCTCACGTTATGCTGATCCTAACCATGCAGCTAGCAGCGGGGATCTGCTTAGCTTGGTGACGGGGGGCTATGCCAGCAGAGGTAGCAGGAGCGGCCGAGGCGGCCGAGGCGGCGGCGGCGGATTGATTGGCGGACTGGCAGAGCTCATCAGAGATCCCCAGGGGCTCAACCGCGAGGCTACACAAAACGCAGGCGGGAGGGAACCTGGTCCAGGTGCCGATACCCTTATAGGCGGCGGTCTGGTTGAAATTCGCAAATTATTCGAAGGAGTAAGGGCTTCCAACTATCCCTTGAGAGCAACTATTAACATCTGCAACAGAAAGTGATATACCTGGCAATTGTGAATATGCCATCCGAGGCTGAAATGAGGGTGGCACACGATGCTCTGGATCTGCCAATGAATTAAAGGATATCCATGATGCTTCCTCCAATAGTTTCGTTTGATAGAGTGAAACAGGTGGAGGGCGTGGCTAATGGTTCACGGGCGTCTGTTTGAATTGAAAAGGATGACATTTCTTGAACTTCTTTTGATTGCTTTTGAAACATTTCAATTGATCCGGTCCCGCTGGAAAACTAGCAACTCCAAAAAGATAGGTAACAGGGCCTAACTTTTCCAATTCACAGATTCGAAAAACAAAAAACTCAGTATCCTCTTGAGGGCATTGCAGTCTGGAACTATGATCGCTGGCATGTTAGTCACTGGGTCAAATTGAATTTGTCGTGGTATCTCACAGTAACAGTTAATAATCCCTTTCCCCCACGCTAGAAATTGCCTGGCCTTGGCCGAGTTGGCAGCCACATAATCCAGCCATTTTCAACACAGATGAATGATATGTGCTGGGATTTCGCACGGAGAAACGAAGTATGCTCGGAGTGCCCTCGAGGGATAAGTTAATTACGAGAGGAGGTCCGCGACTATTAAAGGTTAGAAATGGAAAACCATCCAGGACACAGAGTACTTACCATTCATTGGCATTTCGTCAATCTGGGTCGAGTAGTAGAGTTCGATGTCGCGCAGAATGCGGACATCGTCGCTGGTGACAAAGTTGATAGCAACGCCCTTGCGACCAAAACGACCACTGCGACCAATACGGTGAATATAGTTCTCACGGTTGGTAGGCAGGTCATAGTTGATGACGAGCGACACCTGCTGGACGTCGATACCACGGGCCCAGACATCGGTGGAGATAAGAACACGGGAGTTGCCTTGGCGGAAGTCCTGCATAATGCTATCCCGTTCCTTCTGCGGCATCTCACCGTGCATGCTTGAAACAGTGAAGTTGGCCTCACGCATCTTATCGGTGAGCCAGTCAACCTTGCGACGAGTGTTGCAGAAGATCACTGCCTGCGTGATGGTCAGAGTGTCGTAAAGGTCACATAGCGTGTCGAACTTCCACTCCTCCTTCTCAACCGCAATAAAGTACTGCTTGATGCCCTCGAGCGTCAACTCGTCGCGCTTGACCAGCACACGGACGGGATCCGTCATGAACTTGGTCGTCATATCCAACACGTCATAAGGAAGCGTAGCAGACACCACAACGACCTGGGTCGCCGGTGGCAGGTAGCGGTAAACATCGTAGATCTGTTCGCGAAATCCCCGATTCAACAGCTCGTCTGCCTCATCCAAGACAAGCATCTTGATGTGTCGCGTGCGCAAATGCCGCCGGCGAATCATGTCGGCAACACGACCAGGTGTTCCCGAAACAACGTGCTGGCCATAGTCGAGCTTGCGGATATCTTCGCCAATGTTCGTGCCTCCGATACAGGCGTGGCACTGGACGTTCATGTAGTCGCCAAGGGCCATCACCACGGACTGAATTTGAGTTGCAAGTTCACGAGTAGGGGACAGGACAAGCGCTGAATCAAGCAAAGTCAGCACAATAACATAACCTACGAGGAGATAGACACACCCTGTGTTTCTCGCACGACAGTGTCAATGACTTGGAGGGTACTGATCGTAAACGTCGCAGTTTTACCAGTACCCGACTGAGCCTGCGCAATCGTATCGCGACCTTTGCAAATTTGAACGATGGCACGAGATTGCACCGCTGAAGGCGATTCGTATCCGTAGGCATAGATTCCACGAAGCAGACTCTCCTTCAAGTGCATGTCCTCGAAGGTCGGCGCAACCGTGACCTCCTTGGAGGTGTTGAACTCCATGCGCTCTAAATCCTGTCAGCATATTTCCGCCCCGAGACACTGGTTATGCCATACCCTCAGCGCGTCTGTCAATGCCGTCTGCCATGGTGAAGGTGGTGTTCAGTTTGCGATGAAAAAAAGGGAAGTTGCGACTGACTTACTTTCTCCAGTGGCCACTCTCACGTGACCCACCCGCAAAAGCCCTGGGCAAGCTGCAGACCCGGTCTTTCTTTAGCACACGCTCACCATGTTGCTCGAAGACCAGCGATTCATCCACGAAGACCTCGAGCGGTTGGAGCAGGCAGTTGCTGACCGTGTCGCGGAGGATCCAAGAAATGTAAGTGCTCTCGCTCAGGTGTGCTCGGCATCCCCTCCTAACCAGTCGTTTTCACCAGTTTCGCGAACGCCTAGCGCGTGACCATGAAGTCGCCAATTTTTTGAATCGCATTGAGGAGCAGTCAAAGAGGCTCCTGGATATTTACAAGGATGCGGGCGGGCTCCGGGAGAAAGAAGTGCAAGCCATCGCAACGGGCGATCAGTTCGAGGAATTCTACAAGCAGCTGGACGACATCAAAGACTTCCACAAGCGCTACCCGAATGAGCCCGTCGAAAACCTAGAGCGAGCGTATAAACGCCACCAGCCCGGCGAGGGTGAGGCGCCGCGTGGCACGGAGATCGACAACATGTTCACCGGCGAGGAAGGATTCGGACAATACTTGGATCTGACCATGATCCATGAAAGTTATCTGAATCTGCCTAATGTGAAGCGAGTGACCTATATCCAATACCTCGAAATTTTCGACTCGTTCACGCCCCCCAACATGTTGGTCAAGCGCAAGGACAAGATCTCCGATCGATATTTCCGCTACGTCAATGAGCTGGCCAGCTACCTCGAAGGCTTCATCAAGCGAGTGCGGCCGTTGCAAGATCTGGACAAGTTGTTTGCCGGTTTCGATGAGCAATTTGAGAAGCAGTGGTGGGCGAAAGAGGTTCCAGGCTGGACCGAGGAGAAGGCCGAGAACGGCGCCTCTGGCCCCAAGACCGAGGGAACTGGCGAAGGCACCTGGTGTCCCGACTGTGAGAAGGAATTCAAGAACGATAACGTCTACCGAAATCATTTGACTGGCAAAAAGCACATCCGGGCGGCTGAAGCTCGCAAGGCGGCTGGTACGTCAGGCGAGAAGCCATCGACACCAGTTGGCAACACCTCGTCTGGGACTCATAGCTTGAAGGAGCGAGCGGTTGCTGAACGCGAACACCGTGTCCGCTGTTTGGCAGATGCCCTCCAGCCAGAGCGACAGGCCACCCGGATCAACGTGGAACGGAGACAGGGCATGACGGAACGCGAACGTCAAATGGAACTTGAAGCGCTGATGGCTGAGCCCGAGAGCTTTAGCGGCGAGGGCCGTACTGGCGATCAGTCCGACGAGGATGACGAAGAGCGCATCTACAATCCGCTGAAACTGCCCCTTGCCTGGGACGGGAAGCCCATTCCATACTGGCTTTACAAACTGCATGGACTGGGCGTGGAATACCCGTGTGAAATCTGCGGCAACTATGTCTACATGGGCCGCCGGGCTTTCGACAAGCATTTCTCCGAGGCAATGCACATCTATGGGCTGAAATGCCTGGGGATTACCTCGAACACAAACCTTTTCCGTGAGATTACCCGGATCGAGGATGCCGTTCGACTGTGGGAGAAGCTTGAGCAAGACCGCAAGAAGGATAGAGATTCGCGAGACAACGTGGTCCAGATGGAAGATGCCGAGGGCAATGTAATGCCCGAGCGAATTTACCTTGAGTATGTCTACCCCCTCTGCTCCTGCTTATGTGGGATCTATTTGCTAACGATTTGCAGTCTTCAAAAGCAGGGTATTCTGTAGACATCTTGTATTCACGTTTTGTATCAAAAGCTTGGAGTTTGGCGGTATATCATGGTCTTCCATCCATTCGACGGTCAGGATAGTTTTGGCTGGAGGTCCCAATAGTCCCAGGATACTATTCCACTGGGCATTTCCAATTGATTTTCAATTCCTTCACTTCTCGCTTCTAGCCGTAGAATAACCATAGATGCTCACGTGCTTACGTGAAGCCGAGCGCGCCGATTCGCGTCCCGCCATCTCCCCACCTGGATTTGCCCAATTTTCTATCTCCTAATGATGCTTGCTTCATGCCCTTCAAGTTCGCTTTCCTGTGCGATCTTCTCTCCAGCCTCGAGAAGAACAAAACTGCCAAGGCCTCGACCGCCGCACGGAACAATGACCCGGATATCCGGACGGTCAATCAGTGGTTCATCCGGCATGAACGACGGATCCATCATCCCGACACGGACAGGCTGGCCCTGCTCTCGTGCATGTTCCCCGAGAGACGAACAGACCGAGTGTATGGGTTGCAGGCAACCTCCCTGGCACGCGTAACTGGCCGCTGTCTATACCTCGGATCGTCACGCTTGGCAGACCTTGATCGATGGCGTGTATCCGGTGGCCCTGATCTGGGCCAGTGCGTGGAGAATGTTATGCGACAGGCCGAAAACCATATTCAGGACCACGCGGAAATCACCGTTGAGGAAATCGATCACGCCTTGAATCTGATCGCATCCCGATGTCGCTTCTCTGACCTTTCTGTTTGTCGGCAGCACACTGCCGTTCATATGGAAGAGGCTCTTGCTCCTTTATACCGAAGACTGAGTAGCCGAGATGCCAAATGGCTCACTCGCATGATTCTGAAGGACTACTCCCCCGTTGCCCTACCACAACAATATACTTTGGAAAGGTTTCACTTCTTACTTCCGCAGCTCCTCCAATTCCAGGCCTCCTTCGTCGGAGCATTGGATATGCTTGCCTGCAGCCCAATGAATCATTTCCCACCCCGTCCAGATCCGACGCTCGCTGCCACGTTGAGCTCGCTAGCTTTACAACATCTACGCCCTCAAATTGGCTTCAAAATTGGACGACCCGAATATTACAAGGCTCGGAGCGTCAAACATTGCTATCAAATGTCACAGGGCAGGCGCATGAGCGTAGAGAGAAAGTACGACGGGGAATATTGTCAGATCCACATTGATCTTACAAACAAAAAGAATCCTATCCGGATTTTCTCGAAAAGTGGCAAAGATTCCACTGCGGACAGGTCAGGCATAATTCATGTTGTGGAGGAGTCCCTTCGAATCGGACATTCAGACTGCAAGTTTTCGCAGTGTTGCATTGTTGAAGGAGAACTCCTAGTATGGAGTGATAAGCACGGCAAGTTGTCCAACTTCCACAAGCTGCGTCGCTTTCTCCCTCGGTCTGGGACCTTGATTGGTGTTGAGAATGATTCTCCGTAAGTTGACTCGGCCATCCAGCGTAATATACACTCTCTCATGAACTTAGGCCGCAACCATATGAACATTTGATGATCGTTTTCTTTGATATTCTTCTTCTTGATGACGATGTCTGCCTGGCGAAGCCACATCGACTACGACGATTACTTCTACAAGATACGGTCCACTTAATACCAAACCGAGCCGCTGTTTCTGAACAAAAAGTTCTAGACTTTGGTCGGCCTGGTAGTCAACACGAGCTGCAAATCAGCTTTGCTAAGGCTATTGCTCAACGCTGGGAAGGATATGTATTGAAGGCTTGTGAGGAGCCCTATTTCCCGATGTACTCAGGTGTGGATAATGCATTCGGTCGATGGATCAAACTCAAAAAGGACTACATTCCTGGCCTCGGGGATACAGTTGACCTTGCCTTGCTCGGTGCAAGCTACGACTCGCGAGATGCTGCTGCTTTAAAACACCATGGGAAATTGCAGTGGACACATTTCTTTGTCGGTTGTCTTCTCAACAAAGAAGAGGCCCTACAGTCAAGGGAGCTTCCTCGTTTCAAAGTTGTCGACGTGATCAACCGGCACTGCATGCACATCCGCACCATGAAAATTTTGAATGAATATGGCAAGTTCTATGCCTGCAACCCTGACTCTTGCCAAACTTTCAATTTCGAATACGGTCACGAAAGTCTCCCAGCTATTTCAACTCTTTTCAAGAAGCCCTTCGTCGTGGAGATGATGGGCGGTGGATTCGAAAAACCTTCTAGTGCTCGGTATTTTACCCTCCGGTTTCCGCGTGTTCTCAAAGTCCATATGGATAGAAAGTTTGAGGATGCAGCATCATTTCGAGAACTGCAACTTGCAGCAGAGAGTGCCCGTGCTGTACCTGCCGAAGACCTGTCACAGGAGCGAGAGGAGTGGTCGAAGCGTTTAAAAGTCAGCAGTGGGCTCAATCAATACATCGTGAGGAGATCAAGGAGCCTTTCTTCTGCGAGTTCTTCGAGCGAATTGCGGGCATATTCTCCCACGCCGTCTAAGTCCTCTGACGTATCGAATGATGCCGACGAATTCGACTCGCTTCCAAGGACGGAGGCTGAAGCAACGAAAGACGAAGGGTGTTTGCGTGTCTCCGATGAGAACACTGCTTTCCCAGTAGTATCTATTGAAGAGACTATTTTACCGACCCTTCCTGATACCTCTGGCAGCGACCATATCCTGACTGAAAATTCAAATTTGTCAATGCGCCAAAAGCACAGCCAAAAAGAATCCGAGCCTGGCTCTCAGGCCTCCAAGTTTGGAAGCTGGCGAGCTGACAAGTCAATGGAGACGCAATCATCCAATCATTCCAACCTCTCACAAGCAACGAGTCTGGTCTCTGTTCACCAAGCACAACTCGGAGCACACCATGATCGTGGAACTGGTATTGAAAGCACCCATGCCACCACCCCAGCTCGAAAACTGTCTGTGAAATCTCCACTGTTCACAGTTCCAGGGTACATGCCTGACAACCATTCCGATTACGTTTCTCTGACGCCGCAAATGAATTCCTTCCACGGTGCGCACGCCTGCAACAGCAGTCTCCATCAATTCTTCCAGAGCCTGGGATCTGCGGAGACTCGCTCATCGCTCCAACGTTCCAACCCCTCTGCTGAGGCACACGACATGGCATTCGGTACAGTCCTTTTGAACCCAACCAGTACGCCTTTGGGACAAGAAATTCACAAAATTGGTGAAGCTCTATCTGATATACTGCACAGCGGCACCTCAACCCTCCCTTCTAACGGGAGAATCTTCTTTTTGGATTCAAGCTTCACCAATTTGGATATAGATGCTGGGGACCTTCGGTTTTGTCTGCGTGAGACGTGGTTGAATATCGCGCGCGAGTATTACTATGCTTGTCTGACGTGGGGACCTGAAAGAACATCTGGCGAGAGATCATCGGATGGGCACGTTTCAGTTGAATCTTCTCGCTCTCGATTGAACAGGCACTACTTTAACCCTACAGCCCCGCCGGCGCTGTCAGTCAGCTTTGACAAAGCGGAGATTGCTGCGTTGGGGGAGTATGTTTCGATAGAGCCGCTTGTGCACGTCCTGGAGAAGGAAAAGAGTATATACCCCGAGAATAGTCTTGAATAAGACTGTGGTTTCATACAGATCCAAAAGGAAGTCGTCAGAGTCATGATCCGCCACCATCTTCAACGCCTCGCTACTTAGACGGGTAATGGGAAATAATACAAGTGCTAGGAAAAGATCAAGTGCAAGAATCAGTTACCCTGCATCCTCCCTTCTTGCCCGCACATCTCTCATTAGCGCTTTTGCCTCCTCCACCTCGATTCCATACTGGCACAGTTCATTCGCCAGCTGATCAGCACGGTCGAGATCGCCATTCCGTAGTGAATACTGAGCGAGCCACAAGCGCGCTTTGCACGTAGTGGCTGTGACAGCTGTACCCTGCCAGTGCTCCTCGGCTATTGAATCATCATTCTGGACACCGAACGACGAGCCTCGATCTCGTTGTCGCCGGCGTCGCGGTCGGGATGGCATGTCCGTATCTTCGTCTCCGGAATGGGCGGTTTCGGCATCGCTGTGGGCGGCATGTTCTGAGGCAGACGAATACTCTTCGTCTGAGTTTTCCTCGCCACCAACGGGGGCACCACCCATTTCTTGTTGAAGGGTCAGTTCCATGTACGCTGCCGCCTCTTCTTCATCTTCAAGCCGTTCGTAAAGAGTGGCGATTTGATGCAGTGTTTCTGGATCGAGGATTTTCCGCGTTGTGGGCGACCCGGGGCTTGCAGCAGTACCTGGCTGAGTTCCGTCCTCCGCATAGTAAGAGCCAGCCACCAGGGCACGTTTGAGTGCTTGAATGCTCTGTTCAATGCGGCTCATCTTCGCATAGCAAGACCCGACGGCTTGCCACATCTTTGGATCATATGGATGCAGCGCGGCAGCACGTTCGTAATAGAACAGAGCGTAGTGCGACATGTCAAGAACTTCGTAGGCCTGGCCGAGACCGTACCAGGCGCGGTAGTCCTTGCGATTGACATCGACTGCGCGGCGGTACGACTCAATGGCGGTGTGTGTGTTTTTCATCTCGATGTATTCGTGGCCCATCAAAGTCCAGGCGGACAGAAAATTGCGGTCAAGCGTCAATGCGCGTCGGAAGTACATGACTGCCTTTTCGTGCTCGGACTTGAGAGAGTAGTAATTACCCACAACGCAGCAGGTCTCTGGGCGGAATTTATCAGTCGCAGTTGCAACTTGAGCCACAAAAGCCAGTTGGGGCCGCTTGTTCATCACGTAGAGAATGTTGGAGAAGTGGTCCAGACTGTCGAGGCGATGTGGTGATACTTCCAAAATTTCGGTGAAAATGTCGGATGCTCTTTCGAGCTCTGGATTGTCATTTGGTTAGAATCATGCCGCGCGACATATCAGGGCTGTCATACCTTTTTCATGGTAGTAGAGAAGGGCTCGTTGTGTTTTGAGAAATGCGCTACGAGGAAATATGTCCTCAAGCTCCGTCAAGGCCTGATACGTGTCGCGCGTTGCCTGGTACAGCTCTTGGCTGCAATAGACGTGGAATATCAAAGTCATGATGTTTTGCGGCAGGAGGTCGACAATTTGTCTCAGCTGCATCGCTGTCAGTCTCAAATCTCCCAGAAAAGGTCCCAAGCACTAACATCTTCAGTGCTCCCCAAGAGATCGTTCAATTCTTGCCACGCGCCCCAGTGAAACGGGTTCTGGTGCACACTCTGAATGAGCCACTTCTTCGCCAGCTCTTCATTGCGCCCTTTCAGTAGGACCACAGCATAGAGGTATTCCAGCCATCCCTGGCCTCGGTCAGCCAAGCCCTTCGCGCTCCGCTCCATCAGAAGGCCTTCCAATCCGCGAGCGAGATCAGGAAGTTCTCGGTTGACGGCCATCCCGCTGTCGGACGGACCCAGCACCATTTCCGTCTCCTCGTCTTTCCGCTTCTCACCGGCCAGATACTTAGCATAGAGAGCCAGGAATAGTGATTTTTGACTGATTTTGGGGTACGGGTTTTTAGCGTTTTGGCTTTTGCCGAGAAATGGGGAGGCTTTGTCTTTGCCCTTGGTTGACGTCCGCGGTTTTTTTGATTTTGCGTTTGGAGTTGTCGTAAAAAGAGGAACAGGAGATACAGTGGGAGGAAGGAACACAGCTGCGCAGCGGTCGTATTCCCGTGTGTCGAAGTATGATTTTGCAAGTAGGTACTTGTGGGCTTCTTGGGCCTCCAGTGCGGCTTCAACTGGGTCTTGAGCGCGTAGATAAGGGTTCGAAGAAGGTCCAGGAGGGTCTGTTATGTCCATGGGCGATTCGAGGTCGGTGTCTTCGTGGTCCAGCTCCGCAAGTGAGTCCAGCATTTCGGCGGCCCTAGAAAGAGGCTTGTGAGATGGTGAGGACGAAAAGGCAACGCATCGAGCCATACCATTTTGAGGACTGATACAGACATCGCTCTGACGATTGAATCGCCGCAGCCTCCAGACGGAATCGCAGCTCTCGGATATTGTCTTCGTTGAAATCCATGGCTGCAGAACGTGCGGGCAGCGCCACGTCAGAGATCCCCGCTGCTGGAAGTCTCTCAGCCACTTCGAGGTACTGTGAGCGTGAATTGTTGGAGTTGACCAGGGCAACAGGGCAGGTGCGGGACAATAACAAACAAACAATGCAAACAGTACAAACGCGCCAAACAGCCTCTGCGGGGGGGAACAATGGGTTTTTTGAAAGGGAACGAAAGATCGGTCTTTCTTCCAATTGCTCTTATTTTCCCTGCACAATCATCATGGCTTCTACTACCAAGCGCGCCGACTTCGAGGCTGTCTGGCCTGGCCTGGTCAAGGATATCCTGGCCCACGCCCAGCGGTACAACCTGCCCGCCAATGCGATGGAATGGTTCGAGAAGGTAGGTTCCCTTCCCAAATGGCATCTGTGAAGCCCAAACAGCCACTAATGGAGTGTCACCCGATAGTCCCTCAATGCCAATACTCCCGGTGGCAAGTTGAACCGCGGACTGTCCGTTCCCGACACCGGTATCGCGCTTCTGGAGCAGCCCCTGAGCGCGGAGCAGTTCGAGCACCTCAGCATCCTGGGCTGGCTGACGGAGCTGCTGCAGGCATTCTTCTTGGTCAGTGATGATATTATGGACAGCTCCATCACACGCCGCGGTCAGCCCTGCTGGTACCGGCAGGAGGGCGTGGGCATGATCGCGATCAACGATGCCTTCATGCTGGAGGGTGCTATCTACCAGATCCTCAAGCAGAAGTTCCGCTCTCACCCATCCTACATTGACCTGGTGGAGCTGTTTCTCGAGACGACCTGGCAAACGGAGCTGGGCCAGTTGTGCGATTTGATCACCGCCCCCGAGGACAACGTCGACCTCAACAACTTCTCCATGGACAAGTACATGTTCATCGTCACCTACAAGACGGCCTATTACAGCTTCTACCTACCGGTGGCTCTGGCAATGCACTACCTGCAGCGTGCCACCCCGGAGAACCTCAAGCAGGCCCACGATATCCTCATCCCTCTGGGCCAGTACTTCCAGATCCAGGACGACTACTTGGACAACTTTGGGGATCCGGCCGTTATCGGCAAGATCGGCACCGACATTCAGGATAACAAGTGCTCGTGGCTGGTGAATCAGGCTATCCAGCGCTGCACCCCAGAGCAGCGCCAGGTGCTGGACTCTGCCTACGGTCGCAAGGACAAAGAGCAAGAGGCCAAGGTCAAGGCTATCTTCAACGAGCTGGAGCTTGAGAAACTCTACAAGGACTATGAAGAGAGCGTCGTTGGCGACCTACGGGCCAAGATCGCCGCCGTGGATGAGTCGAAGGGCCTGAAGAAGGAGGTGTTTGAGGCTTTCCTTGCCAAGATCTACAAGCGCACCAAATAGATTTCCTATGTCTTGGGAATAGAAAAAAGTCTTACGATACCCGCGACTTGTGTTGACGAGATCGTCTGTCTATACAAAATGAACTAAATATGTTTCCAGCGATAATGCAGTCTATTACTTTCTGAATTGGTTCCCGTTATGCCAGCAATATACACCGGATATACTCATGGTCACTTCTTGTCTCTACTGCTTTCAGCTCGCCAGTGCTATCGATTTACAAATGAAGCGTGTTCAACGCCATGAGGCACATCAAGCCGGCAACTAATCCAGCACAAGGCAGGGTCAAGACTCAACCACAAACGAATCCAAGCTAACTGCCGCCAATGAACAGCATAGAGGTCGTAGTTCGTGGAGACTGGCAACCCGAGTCGCTACTCAAGAAGCACTGTGATCACAGCGCCGACTTCGACATTAAAGCCACGGTTGGGAGACATCTCGGTGGTCTCCTTGCCGAGAGCACGCACGATATGATATCCGAAAAACCAGAACCCAATGCCTAGAGCAGGCCCGCAACAACCAGCAATCAAACTGGAGTTAGCACCTCGGTATTGACCACTCCGGCATGGTAGGTGCTGTATACGGCGGCCCAGGGCTCAACTGCGTTGGCCACGTCGTTGGACCCACGCGCAATGGAAATCATCATCGCCAACACGCCCGGCATTATATGATTTCCCTTCGAATTAGGAGACCGGGACACTCATATTTACCCACAAGGATCTCTGTCATTATAGGTAAATGCATAGGGATTAAAATACAACTAGGGCCAATGACAAACATATCTCAGACCGAAGCGCTGAACCATAGGAACAGAATTCGTAGTACCACTAGGCCCGGCAGCACGGAGTTTCGTGCATCTTCGATTGGCCATCACGGGGCGAAATGGGCAAAGGATTACGTCCGCTAGCCTAGGCTTTCTGATCTAAGTTACATCCGCTAGCTAAGGCTTTCTTAACTTATATCCGCTAGCTTAGGCTTTCTGATCTACATCCGCTAGCTAAGGCTTTCTAAGCTTACATCCGCTAGCTTAGGCGTCCAAGTATGGGGCGTTTTCCATGGCCGTAGTCGATGGGGCTGAAAGAAGCCATCAGGTTTTTAAGAATAATGACGAATGTCACGAAAGAAGTATGGATACACGAATTTAGGGGGGAGTCCGTTATATCGTGTATGAGAGAACGATTCAAGTTGATATCCTAGTAGTTACAAAAACTTTCAGCACTCCACCAAGTTGACGCTTTGAAATCACTGCTAGCTGATTTTGTTCGGAATTGCTGCCACGAGGCTGAGCCAGTAGTCCACACGCATTTGGTCCCACCATGGTTTGCTTTATTGTCGGGAGAGAGAATTCGGGTATACACTAGTACCAAATGCAGCCAATGGTTCAAAATCGGAGGTCACGAAGTGTCTGATTCTGAAGCTATCTAAATCGCCCCCAACTTATATGAGGATTCCTGCCAGGCTGAACCGCCGGGTGCTGTGGCTGAGACTGCACCTTGAAATTATTGGTGGCTACATAGTAATTCTGTGGGTCTTAGGCGTACTGCCCATAATAACAATTAAAAACAGTGACTATATATTTAGAGGCACTCTTGAACTACAGTATATATAGCACGTTCGTTTCCTTCCTAGATATTTTTCTCTGATATCAGGTTCAGACTCGGACTATTCACACTATTCACACTACAATCAAATCAAGATGTACTTTGCTCTCGCTGCTCTTGCCTTTGTCCTTCCAGTGGCCTGGGCCGACTCTGGCTACGGCGAATCGTGCCCTGAGTGCTCAATTTCTGAGCAATCCGCAGGCCCGGAGTTAGATTGCAGCTGCTACGTGCCGAACTTCTATGACGCTCAGTATACGTCTATAAACCTGAACGAATGTGTTATCAATGCAGATAATACTATTTTAGGACAATTTGAGTATGCTACTTCATTCCTACTCTCGCCTAGATAGTGATTGCTAATGATATCCCGAATAAAGTGGAGGCTTTGGCAATTCCTGCGATACGCCTTCTCTTGATGGAACCGTTCTAACGGCGACTTGCAATGGGGTCGTTAGTTCCCTTGACCTAAGTGAGAAATCTATCCCAGGTATTTTTATTATACTAATTGTTCGATTTATAGATGATATCATTAGTTTCAATGAGAACCGGGAGCTACAATGCTTTGGCGCGACACTCACAGCAGCAGCGCCAACATCAACACCCACACCATATTGAAGGGGCCAGTGATTCACCTTGAGGGTGGCATGGATCCTAGTCCTGTTGGGCGCCAAATTAAACAGCTGCGACCGCCGTCCGTCAACTCTGCCACGATATGTACTCGAATTGTGGTACCTCACGGGTTCAGGTTAGCAGTGGGTTAACTTAGTGTATTGGCCATTGTATCTATACTTGAGCGTTTTATTGTCCAAATCGAGAAACTACAGGGCTACGCCTCGAGGCAAGCATAAGTGTCGATCAAACGATACGCCGGGATGGTCGGCGCTGATCTGAGTATTTGATAAAAGACATGAATAAGCAGTCGGTTTGATCTAAGGATCGATATGGATTGTAGTGCGTATCACGACCGACCACCCCTTTGCGCTGGCAGCTCGATTGGGCGATGAAAGAATATAGGAAAAATATTTAATTCAGACATCACATCAAGAAATCAGCAACTATTGGCACCGTTAGCGTGCGTTGTTGCTATTGGAAATGACCAGACAGTTGGATGGTGAGCGCTGACACCTCAGCATCCTTCTCCCCAAGATGCGTCGGGGAACCTTCCATCGATAGTTAGTTAGTGCATCAGCTTATAAATCCAACAATGCAACAACACCAGGCCAAAAATAAGTTTTATTCCATTCTTCCCATCAAAAAAAAAAAAAACTTTTGGACACTCAAGTTAGAATCAGACCATACTTGACTGCTTTAACTGACACGACGATGGGTCCTACACTCCCCAGTCAGAGACGGGCCATCGTCAAGGAAAGCCCTGGGCAAGCGGTCATCACGTCCGTGCCTATGCCCGACGTGCCCCCTGGATACATGCTCGTCCAGACGCAATATGTTGCTCTTAACCCCGCGGATTGGACCGATATCGACGGCGATGAGTACATCGGCTGCGTGGTCGGCCTCGACTACGCAGGGACCGTAGTTCAAGTCGGCAAGCAGGTGAACAGGACATTTGAACCCGGGGACCGTGTGGCAGGCATTTCACACGGGTGCAATGTTCTGCATCCGGACTATGGAGGGTTCTCCGAGTACATTCTCGTGAAAGCGGATGCTCAGATGAAAGTTCCGAAGACCATGAACCTCGAAGATGCGGCCTCTATGGGTGTTGGTGTGATCACAGCGAGCATGGGTCTTTATCAACAAATAGGTCTTCCACTATCTAGCCTTGAGAACGTATCCAACAACGACTCGGAGTGGATTCTGATCTATGGAGGATCTTCAGCAACTGGATCACTGGCTATTCAATTTGCAAAATTGTAAGAAGGGCGGCATTCCAATGGTCCCATAGTTTATCCATGGTCTGAAAGCTAACATATAGGAATACAGGTCTGGACTGAAAGTCGTCACCACCTGTTCTCCCCGCAATTTTGATCTGGTGCGCGATATGGGCGCAGATATCTGGTTTGACTACGTCCGTCGCTGTCTTATAACCATCTGCGAGTCATAGTCGCTGATTTCATTGAGCAGCGTGACCCAAATATATCCAGTCTGATTGCATCAGCAACCTCGAATACACTGATTTACGCTTTGGATGCTATAGCCACCGATGAAACAGCGGCAATTTGTGTGGCTTCCTTCATGAATCCGGCCGTCGCAAGGTCGACAGTTCCACCGAAAGCCATATATGCTTGCACTCTCGACCCATCTCTGCCACTGTCAACATCTACACCGGTGGAAAAGAAATTCTTTCTGGGCTATACTTTTTCTGGAGAAGAGTTTCTGTTTGAGGGGGCTAGATTTCCGCCTATCCTAGAGGATCACCAGTTCATCATTAAGATCATGGAGCTGGCGGAGCAACTTATTCGAGAAGGAAAACTGAAAAATCATCCTCTTACTCTCAATCTGGACGGAAAAGGCTTCGAGGGTGTGCTTAAGGGCCTAGATTGCCTGAGAGAAGGGAAGGTAAGTGGAAGAAAATTGGTCTATTCCGTTTATGAAAAGGAGGATCGTGGTTACGAGAAAACGTAGAAAGTGCGATTAGAGCAAGACGGATTGAGTCCTGAGGTTGAATGATATTTTTAGACAACCACAATGAGCCAACATCGCGATTATTTATATTATTGCGATTGATATTTCCTCTTCTCTGATTAGAGTCAAGGAGCGGAATGATGCTAGGTGATGTCGACCGATGGTATAGTTCCGCCATTATCTTCTGTAGCCAATTTCAGGAATACCCGTGCTCGTAGCGGATCAGACGGCGAGAGGTTCTCAGGAATAGTTCTTGATTTCCAGTGTGAGGCGGATAGACGATGTGACTAAGAACATGACATACTATTTCGAGGCACTAATGCCATCCAGGCCTAAGACACGGACTAGCGATGCGTTCGAGACTCAAGACAGAACATATATACGGACTTGCACAATATGGAAGTTTCATAACCCTTGGGTTGCAACTCCCCAACGATGAACCATTTTATATCTTGGTTTCAATTTGTCGTATCTCTGTCACATACTTGATTATCAACCGCGGTTCCAGCCCAAACTTAACTATAGTACTTAGCCAGTTGTTTTCATGATCTGCGTTGCTATTATTAGAGAAGTGTGAATAGTAATAAGCGTCGCATAAGCAATTGCAAGAATCTCGAAATGGCGCAGAGCATTTTTCTACAAGGTACGAACGTGGTCCCCACCATTGACACCCGAAAGGGTCTCTGCAGCCCCTATTCCGCTCTCAAAAAACAAATATGGCTGCGGTTTACGAGTCCAAATATGCTCACTCTCCGTGCCACCGGGTGAGTTAGAGGCCGCCGCTGATGTGTCTTCACGTCTTCAGGGCGCGGGCCATTCTGAACCGACTCAGCCCCATAACTAAGTTTTTGGCCCGCCTTAGTTAACTCCCTCGGTCACGCCACTAGCCCTCAGTCACTGGGGGCGAAGGCCCGTATTTAGCGCGACACTTCCGCCCCCACCAGCGTGATCGGTTCAAGCTGGCCCCTTCGATAATTGCAAGACTCTGGGGCTGAGCGTGAGTTCAAAACTTACTCTTCTTCCTTCTCCTGCTCCTCTTCCTCATCCTCCTCAAGCGTGAAGAGCCCACCAGCCTTGACATCGTCGCTCTTTGAAAAAATGCGTTCAGGGAAATCGAGCCCGACACCATGAGCCCGCTGCTCGTTTCCTCACTTCTTCTACTGCTGCTGTGCCGCGATGTGGCCGCCCTCCCTGACCAGAATAGCCTGTTCCGCTCCGACGAGTACTCCAATGGCGAATTTGGCTCCTGGCCGGTGCACAACTACCGGTCTAGCGATATCCAAGGCCCTCTCCTCAACTACTGGAGCCATAGCCGCGCCTGCGATGATGGCAAGTATACGCTGCTCACACCACGAGGCGCAAGCGTGAACCAGTCCGGGCCCACAATCATTGACGAGGACGGCAACCTTGTTTGGTTTAAAGAGTATGGCAGCACCTATAATGCCAATGTCTACCAGTTCCGTAATGAGAGCTATCTGACCTTTTGGGCTGGTAAGGACTCTTTTGGCGGCCGCGGAGATGGGACTCTCTACATGGTAAGGCCGCTCGAAAGATCCATGGACCGAAGTGGAAAACGTACTGATTCGGATTTAGCTCAACAAGCACTATGAGGAGGCGTACAAGATCCGCGGTGCCAACGGCCTTTCCGCTGATCTGCACGAGTTCTGGATCACCAGCAACGACACAGCTTTGTTGACTTCGTTCGCCCTAGCCTCCGCCGACCTTCGGATGGTAGATGGGCCAGAACACGGCTATGTCTGGGACGGGGTGTTCCAAGAGGTTGATGTCGAGACGAACGAGCTTCTATTCGAGTGGCGAGCGTCGGAGCATTTCTCTTTCGAGGAAAATCTGCGCGGTCTGAATGGTGGGAAGACCAAAGAAGCTCCGTGGGATTTTTTCCACCTCAACAGCGTTGATAAGGATGAGCGCGGTAATTATCTCGTGTCATCACGATACATGGCCTGCGTTACATACATCGACGGCCATTCAGGCGATATCATCTGGAAACTGGGCGGGTTGCACAATTACTTCACGGATCTGTCTGGCGGCAACGCTACCAACATCAAAGGGCAGCACCACGCCCGTTTTCAGCCGGAATACAACAAGGACAACAAGCGCGCAATAACCGTCTTTGACAATGGCTCGGGCAGCACGGTCTCTAAAAATCGGCCCACTCGAGGCTTGTTTCTGGATATCGACGAGGAGAATATGACTGCGGAGGTCCGGCATGAATACTGGAATCCGATTCCCGTTAGCGTCAAATCTCAGGGATCGGTGCAGGTGTTGGACAACGGCAATGTGCTACTCGGGTACGGGTATGATGCTCTATGGACCGAATTTAGCATGGACGGCGAGGTGCTATGCGACGTGCATTTCGCGCCGGAACATGGTTTTGGTAGAGGCAGGGTCATTTCATACCGGGTCTCCAAGCATGACTGGGTAGGACTGCCTAAAACGAACCCGAGTGTTTCCCTGTCGGACAACGAGATCGCCGTGAGCTGGAACGGCGCTACTGAGGTGGCTACTTGGGTCCTAGAAGGGACGCTCAAGTCCCACAGTGATATGGGTGACGATGCCGGGAGTGAAACCCGCCGCTCGCCCGATGGAGAAGAAGATATGGACGACGAATTTACTTTCATCTCTGCAGTCCCGAAATCTGGATTTGAGACCATCTTCGACATCCCGCCGGGCACATCTCACCGCACACTCCGTGTCGTCGCACTCAACAGCACGGGGCATCCGCTCGGAGTGACAGAATCTTTGAACTGGGATCCAAAGCAGGCCAGCTACATTGTCGTCGGTGGCAAAAGTGATGGTGATGCTGTTGGGGCCCATGCAAAGATGAAGTCGGTCTTATTCTTCGCTATTGGGTTCCTATCCGCTTCGTTGCTGGCCATCTGTCTGTGGCTTTTCGGCACGTGTTCATGCTGCGCTGGCTTCAAGCAACGGCTCCGCAGTAAACTCGGAGATCAAGAGGATGGGCGAGGAGAATGGAAGCCTGTTGGCGTGTCAGAAGATGATATTAACGAACTGAATGATCTATCTGGTCTGTCTGACGAGGACGAGGAAACGGGCGGCACAGTAAGATCGGCCCTTTTGCGCAAGGAAGAAGGAGGCGAGCTCTAATTCTTGGGTTCTGCGGCGGTTGAAGCATGTTATGGCGTTTTCCAATTTAGAGGTAGTAGTATATTCCTCTCTGTATTTTATGTGATTGATTGTATACGTATACATAGACCAAAGCGATTTTTCATTTCATTTTCTTGTGGTTAGAATATAGCCAGACAAAGGAGTGAAGCCTGGTATTGCTTGCTACACCTCGATATGAGAAGGACGTTTATTCCTTGCTCAGGAACCCCGTGAGTGCTCTGTTCGTTTAAGCAGTGGCCGGGACCTGCAGGCGCTTGAAGCCACCCTGGGCAGCAACCTCCTGCTGCAGCTGAACCATGCGCTTCTGGTCACCAAGGGGGTCAGTGGAGTCGGCATCGAGCGTCCAGGACAGGTAGTCGTTCGTGTAGTTGGGCACGAATTCCGAGTCAAGAACACCGAGACGCTTTCCGTAGGCCGTAACCTTGTTCCAGTCCCGCTCGACATTCTTCAAGTCACGACTAAAGTAGGCGAAGGAGCGCTCAAAGATCTTGCGGTTGACCGGGTCCGCCATAATGGGCTTCATGTCGACGTACTCCTCGTACGCGGCAGCCGGGTCCGCCAGCACGGCGTCCGTGGCACGCTTGACGGCGCGCATAAACTTGGCCACTTTGTCTGTGTTGGCGGCCAGGAAGGAGTCGTTGGCGATGTACAGGATCGAGCAGAAGCAGCAGCAGCCTAGCTCGGCTAGCTGGTCGATGCGCAGCATCTGCACGTCGGTGCGAGAGCGGCCCTGCGAGGCCAACCACTCCTCCAGCTCGACCATCTGCACGTTCTCGAGGCCGATGCCCGCGTCAATCTCGCCGCGGATGATTGCCTTGGTCACGTTCATCCCACATCGAACCGCAGTGTAGTCGTCGGCTGTCATACCGTAGTACTTGGTGAGCTCGTCGATTTGGATCTGCGTTGTCAGTTGATATGCACAACCCGGTCAAGTAATTGAACTCACCTTGCCAAATTCACCAACGTAGCCAATTCGCTTTCCCTTCAGGGAGCGGAAGTCCTCGGTGATCCCACTGGACTTGAGGTACACGACGCCGGTGAAAGGCTCATCGAGCAGCGAGCCAATGGATGTCACCGGGAAGTTGCGGGCTTTGGCCTGTACAATTCTTGGTCAGCGTGTCCTGGATATCAGACAACAATTGACGCACAGCCAGCGTATGAATCATGGCCTTGAAGCCCATGTCGACCTTGCCGCTGCCGATGATTTCGGTGACATCGGAGGGGTCATTGGGCTCCAGAAGGGCCACCTTGAGGCCTTCATCTTTGAAATATCCTCTGGACTGGGCGAGGTACAGCGGGGCATGGTACGGGGTTGCGTGCCTTGAAGAGCGACATTTAGCTACTGAGAAAAAGATCTATGGAGTTAGCATACCAGTTGGTCAGGAAAGTAATCTTGTCCGTGGCCATTTTGGAGTTATTCAAGACTGTTGAGTCTTCCAATTGAGTCAGTACAACAGAGACAAGGCATCCTATCTGTTCTCCTCAGAAATCAACCTTCAATATGGTCAATCCTCAGAAGAACAACAGATAGAATGCAACAAAACACAAAGGGGGGAACAATCAAAGTCACGCATGTCCTTTCGCTAGTATTGTCTAGATCAAGTTATGACAGTATAATCTCAGAACGGCCCGTCCGCCGCCTCGACCTAGACCAGCTCTCTTAGAAAAAGAGAGCTGGATCTGAAGATCAAGGCAGCCGACGAGGCCGAACACCTGTCATGCGTGCGCAGTGACTGTTATACTATGTACGATACCTTGATCCACGAGAAACCATCGTAGCGAGGGATCCCGTCCTGCGACCTCTCCCGGAGGACAATCCTCCGAGAGGAAGAGTCTACTAGGACCTGCGTGGCTCCATTGAAGAGAGCCGTACCGAAGGTAAGGTAGTAGACTTGTGGTGGAGTTGGTGGAAACGGATTTCTGAGCGAAAAACAACAGATGGTAAGAAGGGAAGCAGGAAAAAGATGGCGATGGAGGGGTTAAATACGTGAGGGTGGAATCGGAATGATGTGATGATTAGTTAACTATTTTTCTACTTCATCGTTACCTCAATCATCATTGTGGACCTTACGGGCTCACCGAGAAGCTGCAACGAAAACGATCAGCGCCTCTCATTGGTAACTCTATCCCAGACCGGGTCTTCCGGACCCAACAGGCTGCTTAGTTCCTCGGCAGCAACAAATCACCTGGTCTACATCATGGCAACTATAAGACATTGCATTATTGCAATAGTTATTAGTCGGATATTACCAATGCGAGTACATTTCTCACCCTCAACACGAGGGAGAGTTGACGGAAATAAACAACACAGAGGCTTCAAATGCACGAGAAATGAGCAGCGGAAATAGCAAACAAAAACATAAATCCAAGTGGAGGAAGCAATTACAAAGGACCGTCAGTTTGGGGATGGAAGACGGGAGGGACAATATCACAAGTACAAATAAGGCCAATGGGATGAATAGCAGGCGAGGATCTTCCAGGCATTGGTTGCCAATGACAGACGGAGGATTCTCAAGCCTGCTCGGTGGGGCTTCCCTCCGCGTGACGCCCGCCGTTGATCGAGATGCTATCCAGCGGGGACTGCGTACGCTCAATGGACTTGCGAGTCCGCAGGGTGAGAGGGTAGAAGTGGTCATCCGGTTCCTCCTCCTCACTAAAAAGCTGGATCAATATAAGTCTTTGTATGAAGGAAAGAATACTTACGGGAGCTTCCACGCAACGTAGTCTTCGGTGGTTAGTCCCTCCCGGCCCTCTTGAAGGGAAGCAAAGTCTCCGGGGGTCATCATGCCCGAGCGATCGCGAGGAGATCCCGGGACTGAGAGAGGACGCGAGAGCTTCTGTTCGGTTCCTCCAAAGTAGTCGACATAATCCTCGGTGCCATCGAAGGAGGACGGGTACGCTAGAACAAATATGAGCAAGAGAATAAATGGTGAAGGCAGGAATCATACCTCTTCGCAAAGCCAACTGGCGGGCCTTGACATATTCCAAGCCCATCCGCTTCCAGTCAAGCAGATCGCTGAGCCGCTCCGTGCGGTTACGCTGGTTAATCCGCTGGCGGCGGCTCTTCAGCGTGAAGTTATACATGAAATCGGTGAGTTGGTTGACCGAATCGTCGACGCCCTTGGCACGACGATCCACAATATAGATCCCATAGTCGGACGAATTCTCGATCAACTCCTCCATATAGCATCCAAATCCGGACAGGTTGGTGGTGATGCTCGGAACACCCATGACTGTGCATTCGGCGGGAGTGTAACCCCAGGGCTCGTAGTACGAGGGGAAAACTCCCAAGTGCGTTCCACGGACAAAGTCATCATAATCCAGAGGCAAAACCGGGTTAGAAGAGTTCAGGAATTCAGGATGAAAAACAATCTTCACCCGGTCAGAGGAAGAGTTGAACAGCTCGACCCGGCGGAGTTGGTTCAGAATCGGGTCCTCCGAGTCGTTGAGCATGTTATGTGTGACGATCGGGGGCAGGCCGTGCCGCTTCATGGCGAAAAGGCGACGGCGCAGCAGCACACGGTCCTGGCTGGTGATGAGATCCTTCTCGTCGGGCATGTTGTCACCTTCTTTCCAGGCCAGGCACCGCTCGTACATCCGCTTTCCGATACCCTGTTCGATGTTCTCAATTGTATCACGCAGGGATTTGACCACCGCCTGTCCCTTGAGCGACTCGACTGTCAACGAAGACGTCTGCGCCGGCATGATGATAAAGGCCACCACGGTCGTGGTCGACCCACTCGATTTGAGGCGGTGGTTGAGGCGGGCCAGGCCCTCGATGAACATATCAACACCCTTGTTGCGGAACTCGTACCGACCAGCGGTAAAGAGATAGAGCGTGTTATCAAGGTCGAAATTATTGTGGCCGTAGAAATGGCCGCGGACGAAGTCATTGATTTTCTCCTTGGCTTGCGAGTGCAAGTTTTGGAACTCGTGCATCGCTGAGAACTTCTTGACATTCAGCCCATTTGGCAATACTCCATCGGGCTTGCGCTTCAGCAGATGTTCACTCTCGAACGCGGTGATGTGCGAGACCGTCGTGAAGACGTCCGCGCTGTGGGCCGCCGCGCGCTCAATACAGTAGCGGTGGTAGATCCCCCGCTTGCCCGCCTCAGCATCGACATCGAAATATTGGAGGTTGTTATAAAAGTCGACCGACCCAGCACACAGGTACCGGCCGAGGAGAGTTGCGTGGGTCGTAAAGATCGTCGTCACATCCATATGGCGCCTCTTGGTCAGTGGCAACGCCACGCCAGCCAGCCATTCGTGGAAGTGAGCGACGACAGCACGGTGGCGCTCATGGGCCAGGTACTGTCAGACATTCAGGGTCAGCAGCTATTCCTCATCGACGCTGGGTCCGACCTACCTCTCCCAGGAACCACGCCACCAAATATCCAAAGACGATGGCCTCATTGGTCTCATGATCGGCAGAGGGGGAGGGGATCCCGGATGCATTCCACAGATCGCCCTTCCACTCGTCCAGCCAACGATAGCCGGTACCGGTATCGATCAGGAGCACCCGGGGAGCACCCTCGATCAGCCAGCGCCCGTAGACGAGGTCGATGCCGCGCTCCTTCATGGACTGGATGGTCTCACGCATCGCCGGACTAGCAGGCGTGAGCTCCTCGACCTCGACCATAGCGGAGGCTCGGTTCAGCGGGCCGATCAGAGTATATCGCTCGCCATACTCGGCGGTGGTTACGGGGGCCTTTGACTTGAGTACGGAGTAGATGCCACCGACGCGGTTGGCGACTTCGGTGGCAATCTCGAAGAGCATGTGGTTGCGAACATCCCGACGGGCAGGTTCACTCTCGTCGGCCATTATGACAGAGAGGTTGGTGGAGGGAGGGAGGGGAAGAGTGACCGGGAGAGGGAGCGAGAGAACAGAGACTGACTTGACTGGAGCTCTTCTTGAGCTCGGTCTGTGCGGGGGGAACAGAAGTGGGTCTCTCTGGGGGCTGGGCCAACGAACTTGGTTTGCCTCCCTCAACTTTCTTGGAACATGACCTAGGTGGTGCTCGACCCCTGTCCTAGGTACCTCCGGTGTCTCGAGTTTTTCTCCGGCCTAGACCAGCAGGTATCCGAGAGGGAAACGGTGAGCACAGTGCGACGAAAAAAAGTCTCCCGGTGTCACCGAATGTGGTTACGCCACTCCTAGCCGTTGGCCGCTTCGGTCAACTTTTTGGGACAGTGCCCGGGGAACGCAGAAAATGAGAAACTAGATGCTTCATGTATATCCCTGACAAGCCCCTTGGGAACACGTTATGCGGAGTAGGCGATGCTTCCTGGGAACACACGGTGGTGTCCTGGTCATACAGTTCCTCCCTGTCCTTTAATGGAGAGGCGGTAAGGCCGAACCGTTGTCTCTATCCTGAGCAAAGCGTACCTCAATTTCAGCATTAACATAACATTACTGGGATTTGTGTTTGTAAGATAGACACTGTATTGAGTGTGATCTATTCAAATTGCTGTGTCTGGCTCATCAATTCCTAGTACCTAGTGTCACTGCGTCTCTTTGCCCTTCCTTGTCCTGACTTGTCGACGAACAAAGCCGGTAGGGCAGGATCCTAGTCACTAGTCGAACCACCCACAACATACTGTTTCTCCGTCTTGAACTGACTGAGTGCGCGAACACTCAGATTCGAGGTATCGACGTCGATCTGTTCAGGCGTAGACGCAATACACCGATCAAGAGCCATATCTGAGACCGTAGTAGCTAAACAAGCAAAACCACTCTGTATATGAAATCGGTCATGATCAGAGGCGCCCTCTCCCCCGTGGATACCACCGTGGCATCACCCTGCACAGCTGACCTCCTGCTCGAGCAGCCAGTAGGCCCATCTCCTCTTGATCTCGCCATCCACGACGGCGGTGTTGCTTAGAACCTATACTACGAAACAAATCTCTGAGATAAGCCCGCACAAAAGCGACAAGCAACAATCCTATTAATATGTCCAATCCGAAGTATCACCATTCCAGTCGCCGTGTAGAGGGACTTTGACGAGACCAAATCGTGGTAGCCAGGAATCCTTCCAAGGTGTTAGCCTGGACATACTACAGTCTCGAAACCCGACCCAGAACCTAGTTGTCAAATACAAGTCAGTCACTTTACCATTATTCAGAATGTTAAACACCAAGCCTTGGGTCACTCACAGCATCCCACTATCCGATTGCCAGATGAGATTCAGTGCATCAGCAGAGTTTGGCCAGAAACCGACTCTTTTGATGTCCCTGGTCATCATGCACTTAGTCAGTATGGATCAATGTGCAAGAATAGTAGAGTTGACTACTCACTGGAGGGTCTTCTTGAAGGCCGCACGGATCCGATCTCGCTCGGTCCTCGGAAGCTGCCAGAAAGCGGTAGCATTCCCAGATAAATCGCCCAGCTGTAGCCCAGGAACGAATTCCCACACCACATAAATCAGAAACCCGCCAGGTACTAGCCCTGATTGGTCCTGTTGCGACTCTTCATAACCGAGTAGAGCTGGTGTGAACTTAGAGGTCTGTTTATCCTTGCTGGGAGCCTGATGTGCATCTAGCTCGATGGGCTTGAATTCCATGGCCTGTGTGGCGCGAGTGGTCGATTCCATAAACTCCGTATTCGTGTACGGGATTTGTAGATAGACACGCATGAGCGCCTGGAAGCTCGGATCTCTCACATTCTCGCATAATAGTTTCAAGGCTGCGTATGAGGGATTACCCTCCCTCGCCTGATCTTTCCCACGCTGATGCTCGATTTCCGTCTGGGCTTCGAGAACTCTCCACTGGGTTGGCTCAGGCTTATGAGTAGTGATAATTTTTCCGGGCTTGACGACTTCATGCATAGGCTTGGCGATGTCAGGTGGTGCTCCCTGGCGGAACCAGCTTCTCGGAAGCGACATCTCGGGAGTCGTTATCTCTAACGGGGGTTGGTTCGCGTCCGTGAACCAGCCCGAGATCACGGTCAGGTTCCCGTCCGTCATGGTGACGACGTAGGGCTTTTACATTCTGGTAGCATGTCCGGGTACGACAGCGACAGCTCTGTACCTGATCCTCTTTGAATTTCATTTCATCGCCCTATTGGGGTACCCATTATAGCGTATAGAGAAATTGCTAATTCGAGACTTCTAGATAATATGACCTAAGCAAGGAAAAAGGAGCCCGTGAGTTGAGGGGAAGGCTCAGAGGTACTATAAATACAAGTTCCCTAAATGACTTCCTATGTAGAAGCGTGGATGTGACATTTTGGGTTAAGTTGTCGTGGCGGGAACTACAGCTCTAGGCGTCAGAGGCATCGACATCCCCCAAACGGCACCTCTGCTCCTGGACTACTAGCTTGACGATCAAGGCTTCCATGTCAGTTCCCTATCAGCACGAATGATGAGAGGAATTGCGCATGGAATCTGCTGCATTCAGCGATTCCTGGCATAGATAGCTCACTGTTTGTAAAGAGTTAAAATAGCGACTTAACCATGGTTTCACCCGTTTGGTTCATACCGGCGTTGAAAGAGTAGATTCACGGCGACGGATCTTTTAAGTAACAGAAATTTTCGTAGTAGTGTTGAAATACTTACAACATGCGAACAAGCATACATAGATCGGGGGAAGTTGTCAGCAACTTCATCCGCTGCTGCAGTGTATATAGCTCTAGTATACTACGTATACTACTCATTCAGGTAGGCATATTCCAGCATACGAAAATGATTTGTCAAAAGGATAGCTAGGAATGGCTTAGAAGATGTATAGTATAGGCTAGAGTAGATGCATGGTTGAGTCGGGCATTGCCGCACAAAACGTACCTGCTGCCTGCCCTCTTTGTACCTGCTGCAAACATTTCCCTCCACCACCCCTCTGCCCCGGCCTTGGTGGGCACATAATCATGATTGTGGCTGTAACTGGGTCCAGTGCCAGTGGGGGATATCTCGAGGTCGATACTGCTGTGAGGGTAAGTCCCTCAACACCCGTTCGAGACATGCTTCCACTGTCTCTGGGAGATGGTAGGGCTGGGGTTTCTTTGCACTCCTCGGTTGCCCATCCAGTGTGCGATATATAAAGCAGACTCTCTCGCATCATGATCAAATCCTCAACTTACATTTACTTTTTCTTCGGTGCCAGCACAGTCCTCGTTTGACAGACCCCACGATGAACCAACCAAGTCTCGCTCATCGACTAAGCCTACGGCTCATCTCCCCTCTAGGAATCGCATCCCGAGGTATGGCCAAGAAGCTATGGCGCAGACTGCGACCCATCAAGATACAGATCAGCTCGCCGGTCTTGAAACCGCTGCCCGATGCACTGGACTATCAGCGTGCCTCGTCGCCAAGCTATCGTGGCGTGTCATATAACCGGATATCGACGCTCATGGACGTGGATTACTTCCGCGGCAGCACGAATCCAGGTGGGAAGAACTCTGGAATACTGAAAGTGCTCAATCCGGACCCCTCATCCAAAGCGTCCAGCGTGGATGTCCGCGGGAAGCCATTTTCCATAGCTCCAAACCCTCCTATCGGTGCAGGCCCTCCCCGTCTGCCGGTACTTTCCTTCATGGTTAGCCCCGATCCACCTTTGTCGTCTATGATCGCAACGGCTCTTGAAGGACTGAGATGTTCGCCACACGCGAGCTGGATAACCGAAGAGGAAGATATGAGCCCGTCGTCGCCTCCCGCTTCAGAGATGGACAGCCGCTCGGATGTTCCATCGCAGCCAACAACCAAGCATACCATTGCGCGAAAACCACTCCCTTGCCCAAAGGACATTCTATTCCCTCTTAGAATCACCTCGGATTACAAGCGTGACTGGAATATGGCTCGACTTGGCTGTCACCGTCAAACCAGCAGCAATCCCAGCACCACAGAGACCATCACTGTCAAAAACGCCCGGCACTCAATTCAAACAACAGAGTGCTTTACTTCCGTTTCAGCCGACAATCCTCGCAGCTCGTTCGGCGCCAAGAGCTGGACCTCACAGGACGTGTACCGCAACAAGCAATCGCACATCGCCGCATACCTCGCAACGCTAGATTACTCTGAAATCCGGCGAGGGGTCGCCCCAAGCATCCACAGCTTGTCAACCCGGGTTTCTTCTGGTATCTCATCAGTCTCCGGTGTCAGCCGAGGCACTTGGCGCAACAACTCCGTTGTATCTGGTCCTGACGAGTTGTCGTTCGTGGCCATCGCTGGGTTGGTCGCTCAGCACCGCAGAGGGCTCGGTGGAGTTTTGGAAAGAAATTATCGTTGATGATACACCCTAAGTCATGTTGTCTTGTGTTTTAAGAATTTCTGCAATGTTGATTTTACTTTTCTGGATGGTAGAAGGCGTTCGGGTGAGGGTGCTTTGTTAGATTAGGGCCAGTTACTGATCATGTTTTTAATCGATATGCAGGAACAAAGACATCTCATTCTCAGAGAATCAATCTTTTGTCAGTATTCTAATTTCCATAAGACCCATTTTTACTCATCCAAGCCGTTGATGCAAAACGATGGTACACATACTCCTGTTCTACCAAGAATCGAGACGATGACATCTCCGTTCCCCACAATGACCTCATGATGCTGTCAAGCCCGGTTACACCCTGCCATGGGAAGAGTATTAAAGACCACGAGACCCCTATGAAGACTTTTCAATTGACATTCCAATTGATTTTCAGGTAATTGAACCTGCACAATTTGCAATTTGTCCCAGCAATATTAACTCAATCTCCAGAGACCAACCTTATACATCTCCCTATCAAATCAAACCAAATCAAATCAATCACAATGCCCCGCGGCGCCGAGTACGACAACGGAATCCCTCAGAGCGACAACGCCATTGAGGCGGGTGAGACGAAGGCTCATGGCACTGGCAACAAGGTCCGTTCATATCTCCATCCATACCACTACTGCCACCCGAGAATTGCACCACCGGAGACACTAACAACGCTCTAAACAGGACGCCGAGCTGAACCGCACCCAGAAGGTTGCTCCCATGCCTGAGGAAACCGGTTCGCATCGCGAAGTCTTCCCTGGCCAGGGCAGCGCTGGTCCCAACCAGTCTGGCAGTGGCAAAGGCGGACATGAGCCTAAGACCCTTGGTGAAAACAAGGGTCTGGGTTCTCAGCCTGGTGTTTAGATAAAGTCGTCTGGTACTTTTTCTTTCATCTTGAAAATCTACGTCGGCTACGCTTTTCACCGACAGATATGTGATATGGATTGTTTTCTGATATGCTATGCGCTAAATCTGACGGAGTTTTGAGTGCTGTGAATGGTGCATTTGGATGCGGGTTTGTGGCAGGTTGTATTTAATATAGCCTCAGCATATAACTATTCAATATCCAGACTGTATATGTAACAGCTCATAAAGTATATCATGTATCTCACCTTGCGAAGTAGTTCACAAAGGATGGAATTAGCTTGATGCCTCAGGTATATACACTTTGTAGGGGAAGTCTCAACTTTTTCAAAACATCTACACGTCCTCAAAAGGTCTGGCAGCCGCAGAGGCTTGTACTAGATGACAGAGGAACTATTAACTGTCTGTCCTAGATGTTTGAAAGTAATGACCAAAAAGGTCTTCTGTATATCCACTAACAAAACGCCGGGCTATTTCTATAAATGCGTGCGTAGACAGGCTATGTGATGTATACAAAGATCCAATAAGTAATCAAAACGCGTAACAAAAAAGCTTCTGTACAATTCCAAGGCTGAGGGGAAGAAATTATGTATAAAGTGGTTGGTGAGTTGGCTGGTATACGTGGAGAGACCGCCAGGGACCAGAGGATATATCAGAGGGAGACGTTATGAAGACTCCGGTGATTTGGAGCCCTCCTCTGGTTTCTCGCTTGCCGGCTCAGACTTCTCAGACTCGCCGGAAGCAATTGTCTTTGCATTGACGAGCTCGAGAAGCTGGTCGCCAAGATCGCCAGCGCCGCTGATCTTGCCCAGCTTGCTTCGGAAGTGCTCAACATCGGTTTGCATCCTAGACAAATTATTAGTATCACGTATGGAAAATGACCCGACAATACTAACCTCTTTTTGCCGGCTTCTGTCTCGACGCTCGCGTCCTCAAAGGCTTGGGTCCATTGCTCCCGATAGCTGTTGAAGACTGGTCCCATGATCATCTCGACGCTCATGTCAGGAAGGTGTTTACTCAAAACACGATGCAAGGTGCCCGTCTCCTTGGCCAGAGTCTCCATGTAAGGGTGAACGGCAGTGGACGTGCCGCTGGAATCCCAGTCGATCTTCTTCATGGCGGTGACGTGGACTGTAGAGCGTGAGCTCATGATATCCACCAACTTCTCGTGGATGCCGGTCTGGTGGTCCTGACACAGTCGCTTGACCTTGTCAAATTCGGCCATCATGTGGTTTGCCTGCCCATGACGACGGACGAACTCGCGCACATATGGCACGAGCGCGATGACAAAGCTTAATGCCTGCGAAGACAAGGCGAGATGCTTCGTTGTGATATTCTTTAGGCCAGCGCTGCGCGTGGCGCCGGCACCGAGAATTAGCTGGGAAGATCGCGAGTTGAAAAGCTTGAGAATCTCCAGTAGTTGCGGGGCGATCTCCTGGATCATGTTGGGGATGTTCGCCATGAGATACTCGAACTCTTCGATGCTGCGCATGATCGCCATAGCCGAGTCAGGCAGTATGTACTTCTGCTCGTCGATCACAGCACTGCGGATCTTCTCCTTGCTAGATCCGTTCGTTGTTGCATCTACTTCAACTGTAGGCACTGAACCGTTCTCGCTGCCGGGAAGCCAGATCTTGGAGATACCAGTCCACGCGTCGATATCTTTGGTGCTTGCATCCAGGATCCGGGTCAAGATGGTGGTTTCGGAATCTCCAAAGTCTCGCGCGTCCCACCGGTCTGCATCCATGACTTTGACAATACGATGTCTTTGGCCTTCTCCAAATCGACTGATGAAATCCTTGATCTGGTTTCCCACAATGGTCTTCAGTGCCGTACCACTTCGTCCGGAGATTGCCTCGCATTCGTCTGCAAAGAGGCGATTGAGTGTGAAGTATCTCAGGAATTCCTCCTTCGAAAGTTGGGCAGTTTGTTCCGACCGAACTTTCAACACCTTTGTAATTTGGGATTGGGCAATGTCTACCGCTTGGCCAAGAAGACTTGACATGTCCAAAACCTGCAAGATCTCATCTTGGGCCATAGCCGAAGCCGCTGACCCAGGCTCTGGAAACTTCACGTTTTGATCAATGCTCTGAGTGTTAGGACTTCGGGGCGGCGACTTGATATTAGGCGTGGTTGGTTCTCCAAGGCCGCTGGCAATATCAAGAAGGATCTTGACTTGAACACTGAGTCGCCTGAGGGCCTCGCTGATACCCGAATAGACACCGACCAGCATCGCATAAGCATCATCGGCATCAAGGGCGCGGAGGTTACGTGCAAGAATGCTTGACTTTTCCTGCTGGCTTTGTTGTCGGCTACCACCTTGCGTAGATACCGACACCATCGATCTCATGGACTCGGTATCGTCGTCGCTAGAGCTGGGCAGGTGTTTGCGAATAAGTGCCTTCATCTCGCGCAGCACTGCAGTTTTGAACGAGGTAGCGGCCGGCGTGGTGTAACGCGCACGCGCAAGCCCATTCAGGTGTGTATGCAATCGGGATCGCAGCTCCTTATCGAAATTCATGTAGGCAGGAGAAATCGAAGCTGCAGCGCGGTGCAAGCCCCGTTGCCGTTGGAACGAAGCTCCCCAGCGTTGCAAGGTCACGTCGGACGCCACATGCTGGACGTGTTGTCGCAAATCGCCCAGAAGATCATCCAAAAATCGGGTCTCATACCCTATGCCAATGCGTTGCCGCAGTGTGTCAAGGTCGTCCGATGCTCCCTCCAGAGCCTTGATTCCTCGGAGATCAATACGCCGCCGTGGAATGTCAGGGTCCTCGACGTCTCCAGCAAGCTGATCGGACACCTTTTCGCCAGACATTAACTTCTCAACCTCCTCGAGGCCGTCAGCAGCTTGTTCAATCTCTCCTTGCTCAACTAGGTCCTCGCAGCGGGAGACCGATTCCACTACATCTCGCAGCTGCGCCACGGCGGCTGCCAACATTCGCACATTCTCTCGTCGCCGTCGAAGGTTGACGATCTTGAGTCCGCCCAGTGCCATTTCCTTGTCGATTTTCTGCAGATCCTTTCTCAGGACTTGGATACGTTTCACCGAATCAGCCGCTTCTGCGTGCAATTCTCGGAGCGAGCCCAACGCAGTAAAGAAGGATTTTGATGCCGTCGAGATTGAGGAAATGAGGTGGATCTCCACGGTATCCATGTACCATGAGAGCTTCTCCTGCAGAATGGCATTGGTCGCTAGCGCTTTCCTGCCAGTTTGGGCGGGCTCCACAACAGATCCGTTTGCATGCTTCTCATCTTTAGTCGGGGGCCTTGGTGGTCGCACCACGTCTGACTTCTCGGAGACCACGTCAAACGTGCGAGGGTTCTCCAGACGAAAATCCTCCTCAAAGTAGAGAGGGGGAATTGTCGATAGAGGAGTCACTGCAGGGCCGCGGCCGCGGCCACTGCCGCTTGATGTGCGTCGCCCCCCTCGGTCATATGGTGAGCTCGGACGTGAGGAAACCGACATTAATGAAGACCTTCGCTCCGGCGACCAAGGCATTAACGAGCCAACATCCTCCGGTTTCGGGGATTTAGCTCCCCGCGCCAAAGTTGTTTCCTCTGCGGAGCCTTCCTTTGCTTGTTGGAAAACATCGTACAGCGAGCCCACCTGCGAGAGATACGGTTGGAAGGCTTTCGAGTCCACGTGGGAGATGTTGGTCAGGGTGACTGGGGGGATGTCGCGAGAAGACGGTGGCTTATATCCCATCGATGGCGCGGAATTATGGGGCATCAAACCGGTGCGGACGATCGGGGGTTGGAGGAGGGTCGAAATGGCTACGTAGCCGTACACGGGTCAGTGGGGGAAAAGCGAATCGCATCGCGACAGAACATACCATTCTGCTCGGACTCCGCGATTGAGCCATTATTGAGTGAAGAGTCTAGGACGCCTCCAATGCTCACAATGGAGCTGGCAGTTGATCCCCGCCTCAGGGGGTATCGTTGCGGCGGGATGCGCGGAGACTCGAGCTGGGCTGTCGGAGTGTGAGACAGCGATGGCGTTGACGCCCCAGACGCCAGGCTGTCGATTGACTTCCGCGGGCTGGTTGGCGACATCGCTATACGCCAACGAGCCGAAACCGACGGCCAACTAGGAAGAGCGTGGGCGGGAGGAGCGCAGCTGTTATCTGATCATGACAGCTGGACCACGATACCCCTGGAGCTTCAATACGCCCGAGTAGAGTTGCCAATGCTCGGCACGTAATATGCGGGCACCCGCGACTTTGGTCCAAAATATCCAGGCGCAACAAAAGGGCTGTCCGGAGTGAGAGGGAAAGGTTGGGGCAGGATCCAGGTGGCTTTGTCGGAGCCGGGGCAGCAATGGCGGAAGTAAACGCTAACCCGAAAGAGACAGCGCTGACTAACCCGCCATCGAACCCAACCAATTTACGCGGTCGGTCGTGAAGTAGACGCGTCGCGTCCCATCCTTTTTCTGCTGCTCTCTCGCTGTCTTTTCTGTCCCCCACACACAACTTTACCACCACCACCAACTCCTCCCCCCAACTCTCTGGCATTGCCGTCTGCATCATGGATAGACGCACTCCATATACGCTGAGCGTTCTGGCACCCAGCACCGCCGGCGCAGATGAGTCCCGCACGCTCACCGAGGGCCGGTTGCGCGATTTCGTGCTGGAATTCCAGCTCGACAATGCATTCATCTATCGGTACGTGACAGCATTGAACGATACACGCCAAGCTCTAATGGGTTTGCCAGTGATCAATTACGGCAGAATGCCCTTGTGAAACAGTACTACTGCGACATCGATATTGCCCACCTCATCTCCTATAACGAGGAGCTGGCTCACAAGCTCACCACTGAACCGGCCGATATCATCCCTCTGGTGAGAACACTCCCGCTGAGTATCCGTAATGTTTTTCTCACACCCTATAGTTTGAATCGGCGCTGCAGCAGTGCACCCAGCGGATTGTCTACCCGGGGCAGCGAGATATCACCCTTCCCTCCCACCAGCTGCTCCTTCACTCCTCCGCATCACACATCTCGATCCGCGATCTCAACGCTACCAATATTTCTCATCTTGTCCGAATTCCCGGAATCGTGATTGGTGCGTCCACTATCTCGTCCAAGGCGACCACCGTCCACATCCGATGCAAGAGTTGCGACCACAGCGAGACTATTCATGTCGATGGAGGCTTTTCTGGGTTGTCTTTGCCCCGACGCTGCGCCCGCCCCAAGGAACCCGGCGAGGAACCCAATCAGCAATGTCCCCTGGATCCTTACGTGGTTCACCATGAAAAGTGCCAGTTCGTGGACCAGCAAGTCCTGAAGCTGCAAGAGGCCCCCGATCAGGTCCCAGTGGGTGAACTGCCAAGACACGTCCTCATTTCGGCAGATCGGTACCTGGCAAACCGAGTCGTTCCTGGTTCCCGCTGTACGGTGATGGGAATTTTCTCCATCTACCAGGCCAAGGGTGGCAAGAAGGAGGCCGCTGTGGCCATCCGGAACCCGTACCTGCGAGCAGTGGGTCTCAACACCGATATGGACCAAACAGCCAAAGGCAACTCTATCTTCTCCGAAGAAGAGGAGCAAGAGTTTCTCGAACTCAGCCGCCGACCCGACTTGTACGATGCTCTTGCTAGAAGCATTGCTCCGTCCATTTACGGCAACCCGGACATTAAAAAGGCGATTGTTTGTCTGCTGATGGGAGGTTCAAAGAAAATCCTTCCGGACGGAATGAAGCTTCGCGGTGATATCAACGTGCTCATGCTGGGTGACCCCGGTACCGCCAAGTCTCAGCTGCTGAAGTTTGTGGAGAAAGCAGCACCAATTGCCATCTACACCTCCGGTAAGGGCTCTTCGGCCGCCGGTTTGACCGCTTCAGTGCAGCGAGACCAGACTACGCGCGAGTTCTACCTGGAAGGCGGTGCGATGGTCCTTGCGGATGGCGGTGTGGTCTGTATCGACGAGTTCGATAAGATGAGAGATGAGGACCGGGTGGCCATTCACGAGGCAATGGAACAGCAGACCATTTCGATCGCCAAGGCGGGTATCACAACGATCCTCAACTCCCGGACATCGGTCCTGGCCGCAGCCAATCCGATTTTTGGCCGATACGATGACCTGAAAAGCCCTGGCGAGAACATCGATTTCCAGACGACCATTCTGTCGCGTTTCGATATGATCTTTATTGTTCGCGATGACCACGAGCGCGGCCGCGATGAGAAAATCGCCCGACACGTTATGGGCGTACACATGGGTGGTCGAGGCTTTGAGGAGCAGGTCGAGGCCGAAATCCCAGTCGACAAGATGAAGCGATACATCAGCTACTGCCGGAGGTATGTTACACCACCTGAATTTTGAAGACAGTACTAATACTTTCCCAGCCGCTGTGCCCCTCGTCTCTCCCCAGAGGCTGCTGAGAAACTCTCGTCCCATTTCGTGTCGATCCGCAAGCAAGTCCACCGTGCCGAACTAGAAGCCAACGTCCGGTCTTCTATCCCGATTACCGTGCGTCAGCTTGAAGCCATTGTCCGTATTTCCGAGTCTCTTGCGAAACTGTCGCTCTCACCGATCGCCACCGAGGCCCATGTGGATGAGGCCATCCGTCTCTTCCTTGCGTCGACCATGGACGCCGTCACGCAAGGTGAGGGTGCAGGCAGCAAAGAACTCATGGAGGAGTGCAGCAAGATTGAAGACGAGCTGAAGCGCCGCTTGCCCATTGGCTGGAGCACAAGCCTAGCGACGCTGCGTCGCGAATTCGTTGACGGACGCGGCTACACCGAACAAGCGCTCAATCGGGCCCTCATGGTCCTCCAACGGAGGGAGACGGTACAGATCCGGTCTGGCGGGTCCCAAGTCTACCGCAACGGTGTCTAATTGCTATAACGATCTGATGCGGTCTCTGGATGGTAGCCATGGTTTTTTGTGCATCTGCTGGGCTCACGGGCGCAGGAGTTATGAGCGGTGTTTTGGCGTGTTTCAATATGGGCAGGGTCTGCCATTGTTTATGAGAATAATGTAATGCATTGATGCAATTGCCATCATTTCTGGAAAACGTTCTCTCCAGGTCTAGATAGTCCTGGGTCTGGTTCTATCCTTCAGTTAGGGCTACGATGATGATGTAACCTGGGAACATAGCTCCCCACATCCCACCTTGCACCATGATCTTCACTTCTACCACTGCACAGCGACTCAACAAGATTTTCGCCCTCCCAATCCGAGCCTTTCCGCCATGCCCTCTCTCATCCGAGTCATCGGCTCACTCAATGCCGACATGGTGTCCGTGACACCCCGATTTCCAGACCCCGGCGAGACCATCACCGCCTCATCCTACTTCACCAGCGCCGGAGGCAAGGGCGCCAACCAAGCAGTCGCCTGCGGGCGCATGTCCAGAGCGCAATCAAGCACTACAAGCGACGTGCACGTCGAGATGCTAGGCGCCGTGGGCGCATTGGACGGGCACTTCGAAGCTCTACTGAAACCAACCCTCCAAAAGTCCGGCGTGGACCCGTCGCGCGTGCAGGTGATGGAGAATGCATACACGGGTGTGGCGGTTATTATTGTCGACTCGTCCGCTGGCGGCGAGAACCGCATTCTCTTTTCTCCTGGAGCCAACTACACAGGCATGCAGCCTACGCCTGACGTACTAAGCATGGGTCTGGCGGCTCCCGTGCCGGACGTGATTGTGATGCAGGGCGAGATCCCCGTTGAAACGGTCATTGGCACGCTGCGGGCTGTCAAGGCGCTCAGAGACCAAAACCGGGCTGCTGGCAAGCGCGGGATCGAGTGCGGACCGGAGGTCATGTTGAACCCGGCACCGGCACCACCGGGCGGTTTGCCAGAGGACGTATACGCCGCTGTCGACCATTTCATTCTGAATGAAACGGAAGCTGAGCTGATGACGCCGTCACCGGAGCAGCTCCTGCGCACCGTGCCCGAGGCGGAGGGTCTAGAAGACAAGGAGAAGGTGGCACGGTATTTCCACAGGCTGGGCGTGACATACTTGCTCATTACCCTGGGCTCCAAGGGTGCTTGGTACAGTGCCGCAGAGCCTGGATTGAGCGACGGGGGCCAGCGCTTTACGAACCAGATCCCTGCCGCGCCCGTGTCTCGGGTCCTGGATACCACGGCCGCAGGCGACACGTTCGTTGGTGCCTATGCGGTCAAGGTCGCGCGGTGGCGGGAGCTGCGCCGCAGGGAGGGCAAAGCCGGGCAGGAATTGACCGCGGCTGAGAAGCCGCAGCGGTATCAGAACGTCATGGACGAGGCGATGCGCTTTGCGGCGCGTGCTTCAGCGCGTGCGGTGGAGCGCCAGGGTGCCATGGACAGCATTCCATGGGAAGACGAGATTTGAGCCGGGTCGTGTACAATAGAGTATTATTAGAACAGGATACATACAGGAAAGCATATACAGCATAGAGAATGGGGTTCTTGGGATCGATCCCCTCGTCATCGCATACCGGAGAGTTAAGTATGCCACGAGGGGGGGCAAGATCGCACGATCTGCCTGACGGCGAATTTTTGCACGCGAGTCGGAAGGGCCAAGGGGTGGAGGGAAGGCACATTCTTCCCCTCCAACCAGCCATTGAATATCTCCTATGTATGCCAGACTTTCTGACACGCTTGACATCACAGCCCGGACAAGCGTGCCCCGCCAGCTCCAGTCGGAAGCATCTCCATGGCCGGGGTTTCATCGCGGCGACCTCGTGAAGTGAACGTCCGCCCCGGTGAGAACATCTGGGGGCCAATGGACCCCGATGCGTTGGCCGAGGAGAGTTTCATTCGAGGAGGGGGTGCATCGGACGAGCCAGCATGCATGACTATCGTACGGTAAGGGCGTGGTGAGCGCGAGACGTGTCGCGGCGAAGTACCGGGTACGCGGTGGGTGCATACTGGGGCCGTGGGGGGTTGAGTACCCGGTACCCGCCACGGGAATGGCCTCGACGCGTCGCAGGGATACGCGGGGGTGGATGTGATGGGTCTTGCAGCAATAATCGATGGTATTCACGATAGTCGATGTAGACACTGATGAAGAAAGTAATATCGCCGAACGAAGAAAAGACCGGGTCCGCTGGAACTGAGCGATGCAATCGTGACCTGTGAGAGCAGTTGGTCTGGGGAGGGAGTGCATCGCCGGGTCTCTCTCATAGATCGAGTGGAGCCAGATACAACATTCATCCATACCATACCAGACCGAACATTCACCCGCCCGCCACCCGCTCGGATCCAATCGACCTCGTTTCCAGGCGCCTTGCGTGCCAACGCGATCACGACGCGCCGACTCCGCTGCGGCCTTCATATAGTGCCCTGCTCGTCCTCGTTCTGCTCCTTGCCTCGAGTGGACTGCTCACCACTGTCTCGGTCCTATATCTATACACCCCATCACCACACCTCCAACCATCAGCCCTCTCTCTCTCTTTTGCTCTCCGGTGCTCACACTGTAGTGGACTCGTCCACCCATCCTCTCTTTCCTTGATCTCGCCGCCTTGGGCCCTAATTCACGCCCTGCCAATCATTGCTCCATTCCTCCTGTTCGTCCGTAGCCTCGATCTCCCCCCACTCCACTAGTTCAAAACAAACCATTCCCGTCCTTTCTTCTTCACCATGGCTGCTCTCACCATGACACCTCCCACCCGCCAGCCCTTTGCCAGCCTGGACACTCCGAGGATGCGCACCCTGATGCGGTCCAAGCTGAACCGTCAGAATGTGCAGAATGGTATGTTTATTGATTTATTCACAACAGATCATGGGGAATCCAAACACTCATCATCACCACAGGCATCGCCATCTCAGCAAAGACCCCAATCTTCATCGACGACGACGCCGAGAATATCGATCCAAACACCCAATCCCTCTCCAGTAAGCGCAAGCGCACCTTCGAAGACGACGATGAGGACAGCCTCAAGACCGCGGTTAAGCCCTCCAAGACCTCGCGGATGGCTCTGAAAGTCACCGGTCCCTCCACGCCCCTGAAAATCACGCCCGCCACGCCCAAATCTGCTCCCATCCTCAAACCAGCCGGTCGTTCGCCCCCGACCAAGGCTAGGACTTTCACCGGTCGCCGGTCGACTATCGCCAAGGCGCGCCCGCAGTCGAGCAAGCTGGGTGTCGGTCGTCCGTTCTCTCTTGCCACGGCCCTGGGACAGGGCAAGACTTTTTCCACTTCTTCTTCATCCAAGCCTCAATCTCAGCCCAAGGGTCCTGCGTCGTGGTTCTTTGACATCCACGTCGACTCTGAGCAGGAGGAGATGACCAATCTCATGCAGCACTCCACTGGCGTGCTGGATATCAGCGACGATGAGGGCAAGGATGCTGTGGTCGACGGCCGCGGGAAGGAGAATGTCCCCCCCGTTGAGATGGGACCGGAACCCCCTCGCACCCGTGCTTCGGTCTCTGCTGCTCACAAGGCCGCTGTCTCCTCCAAGATGGACGAGGACCGCCCCCCGCTGGGCGAGCTCAACGCCGCAGACTACTACGCCGAGGACTGCAATGCGTTCTCGTATGCTGTTGTCCATGACGACGCCGATGAGAATGTCGCCGAGTTGAAGAAGGCTTCTGCTTTCGCCTTTGCTTCTGCTGCGCCGGCCTCGTTGAGCCAGGGTGCGTCCCTTCCTCAGTCCGTCACTGCCTCGATCGCTTCCGTGCTCGACGCTGCCGTCCCTTCCAAACCGGAAGTTGATGACTCCAAGACTGCTAGCTTGCCTGATGCCCCTGTTGGGGTCTGCAAGAGCTCCAGCGCTGCTGGTGAGGCTGTGCAGGGAGCACAGGAGAAGCAAGATCCTGCTGTCTGATCCCCCAGCATAAAATAAAATGCATGCTCTTTGGCGTCTTCGGCTCTGGTTTTGGTTGGTTCTTACATCTATCTGGGTAATCCGTTGTGCATGGTTCGTTCCGGTGTTGATTGTTTATACTGTCTGCTTTGCGAATACCCTGCGTTTATACTTTCTTTCAAATGGTTCCCTTGGACTTTTCCTTCCTTGACACCTTATTTCCTTACTCATGCGGCCTTTGAATGCTTTCGACTTTCGAGTTTGTCATGTCTGTTGATGTCCGTTCAGTGTTGTTTATGATGTACATGGCGCGCACTTGCTTTATGACGATTCGAGCACAATGATTAGATGACAATTCTGCACTACACTACCCTTCTGTTTCCGTAGCCTCGCTGTAAGAAAAGCTAGCATGTCTCCGGGTATACATCAAGTAAATGCTCTCACTCCGCACTACTATCCTCATCATCATCCATCTTCCCATCGTCATCTTCATCCATGGCATCCCTATTCGCCACGGCAGCAGCAACCTGCGCCTCGAGCATTTCCGCACGCTCAATCTCTTCCTCCTCGCCCTCACTCTCACTCTGTACAGTCTCCTCCTCGCCCACTTCATCCTCATCCTTCTTCCTAGACCGAGTTCCCCGCCCCGTTGCGACAGCCTTCCCCTTCCCTTTCTCAACAGAAGGGGCGGTCGGCGCCGCCATATTCCTCCACGCCGGCGCGCTCTTCAGCGCGGACCGAATCTCCGTAGCAAGCATCATCTCGCGACTCGGCACGTCCGAATCGAGTGTGAAATGCACCATGTCAGCCTCGGAGCGCGCATGGTCCGGGAATGCAAGCACGCGGCGGAATTCCGCATCGTCGGGTTTGTGACCATCAATCAACGCCTGAATCTTCGCGCGCATGATAGTCTTCACTTTGGCGATGGTGCCATTGCCAAACCAGCCGTCGCCGATTGTCTCGCATGTCGACCGCAAGAACGTGTCCGAGGGAGAGGGCGGGTAGAGCACTGCGGCGAGCTGCGGATCCTGGATATCGCGGGCCATCCAGATGCGGCCGTCGCGCGGGAGGGGTGGTTCGCCTGTGAAGATGTGGGTGCCTGAGAGCGCGGCGTTGACGCCCGCTTCTGTGCGTGGGAGGGTATGCCGTCGACCGCCGCCGCCGTCGCGGGCGCCGTCTGAGTCGCGCGGCAGGATGCGGAACATGAAGGTTTGGTAGTCTCTATATTGTGGGGAGGAGCGGGGGTCGACGCCGAATTTGATGATGGCGTCGCGCCAGGGCCCGGAGCGGAAGATATAGCCCACGTAGGGGATTGCATGTCGGAGAGTGGTGCGTTGCTCGTCGGTTGTGAGGAAGTTGCGTAGCGCGCGCCGGGTCCAGGCGGGTCGTTGGTTGAAGAGTTCTCTGAGGGCGCTGATTGTGTTGCGTAAGGTGCTGTCGAGGGTACTCAGGGGAGGACAGCCCTCATGTGGCATCGTTGGGACCGCTTCCGCGTCGTAGGAGACCAGATGGGTGGCGATCTTGGCGGGTTGCTGTGTGTTCACTGTCGTGAGCTCGCCGGACTGGCCGACGGATATTTTGACGGTAGGGTTTTGACGGTAACTTTGGATGGAGTTAGTAATGTACGGTGTTTAAACATAGAGATAGACATACATGTAAGGAAATGGAACATCTCCGCTGCTGAAGGAGGGTGGTGGGATGATATCCACGTCCCGGAGGGCCCCTTTACTCATGTCGATGTCGAATTGCTTCAGTTTGTCCACTGGAAGGGGCTTAGCTCTTGATTCAGTTGAGTAACCAGTGTTCTTACAATCATATGGTAGAATCTGCTCCCGGAACCGGTTCGTGAAAGAGCTTGCTGTTGTCGAGTACACGAAATCCGGCATTCCTGAAATTGTCAGAACTGATCATGTCGTTGAAAGAGGAACCATATACCTCGAAATACATGGGTTCGTTCAATACGACCTACTGGCTGCACGTCGTAGCTCGAGACATTATCGCGAAGAGAGCGAAGTAAATCTCTTGCACTGTGTCGCCGGGGCAGGTCATTTTCGTCGGCAGCACCATTCGGCCCTGCGTCTGCGAATGGCTCATCAGAACCCCGCTTGCGCTTACGACCTGTCCGTTTAGGAACAGTGACTTTCAGCAAGATGTTGTTCGACGCTGAACTTGTCGACTGGATTGGCCGTGCCATGGCATCCTCGGGCCGCAGGATTAGGCTGGCTGGTGTATCTGCTTTGGTCGGATTAAGGATCTGGATGGAGGCGTCAGCACTGATTTGTCGAGGATACGGATAATCACCTACCTTCTTGATCCCTGTATCTCCCTTCAGGGTATCAATGGCTTTGTCCAGGTTGCGGATCACGGCTGGATGCTCGAGACTGACGAGGCGCCGCGCCGGGACTGCGTAGAAGGGAGCCGTCTGTGACTCGCGATGCGGGTCCATGGTGGAGGTGATTCTCTGTGATGGATGTGGCAGTTTAACTTGTCGAGGCCTTGAATACTAATACTTTGGATCTCTCTCGCGCGTAAAGCAAGGGATCAGAGGAACAAAACCAGATGGAAGGAAGAAATGTCGCGTTCAGAGTGCAGCTCTCAAATTCCGGCAGTGCAGTCTCGATCTGTACTGGTCATTCGAGCACACGGCGACCTGAGATCTATTAAGATCCAAAGCACAACTGCGCGAGTCTATCTACTGCGATTCCACGGCCGAGTAGTGGCAGCCTGAGGCAGATATGCTGACTGATTCATGCCTCAGGCACGCACATCGGGCCAAAATGCTGATGCGGGAGTCAGATTCAATCTTATTGATGAGGCTCACGGGATATCTGTGTATAGTATTAATTCGTTGGTCTATTATATATACGGGCCAAACTTTTTTCATTCAAATCAGAATGTCACTCAATTCCGTGGCTTATCGGCAGGGATATATATATCGACTTCCTTCACCGCTACTGTGAGACTGTCCACCACAACACCTCCCAAGTAACGAGAAGAAAAGCCAATCATGCCCGACATCACGCCTCAATCCCCTGCAATCTACCAGCATAATACACTCCCCCCGAGGATTGGGTCGGGTAAGACACCCACCAACTATGCATAGTAGCAAAATGCCTAGTAGTGGAGTAGAGAGCACAGACACCGACATGCCCATATAGCCGCAAGTGATTTCCACCTTCCATAGTAACGTGTCTAGTACTAGTTCAGTCCCTACTAGCAGTTCCTGAGACTCTGTCGCCGAGTCAGGTGATCCCCACAGGGGATGCTGACATAACCACAGTTGAAACAAGCGGGAAAAAGCATACCAAATATACCAAACCAGACGGAGAACGAGGATAAAAACTAGAGACAGTAGAAGAGTCGCAGATGGCATTAACACTAGAACCTAGACATCCGCGTAGGGCCCGGTCGAGGGTGTGATATAGGTCGGGTGTGTCCCACTCATCGCCATCACAGCCAGGAGAGGCAGCCCGCCTTTCCTTCACTCACTCACCTAACTCACTCTCCCTCTACCTTCCACTCCTCCCCCCTCCCCCTCAACCACCACCACTCCTCAACATCCTCATTTTGTTCGTCATCCTTCTGAACGGCCCCCTGTTCGTCGGGTCTCGTTTGCCCAGCTTCCCCCCCCTGGGCACCTCCCTGGGCCCTGATCCCCTAGCCTGCGTGTCAGAACCCCCCGCTCCAGCCTGCCCACACACTCCACGACAACCGCCGAACCAAGCTCCGTTGTTTATCGATTTTGGTTCTGCCCCGGGAGTACTAGTCGCTCTCGGCACGTCAATTGCCGCACTGGAAACCACAGAGGTAAGGCTTCGCGACCAGCACTCCGCGCCTTGTTGTTGTCTTCCCGCATCGGAAACGTCTGGCCCCGTGCGCTTGCTGCCAGCAAGCCCCGTTGAGACTGCCCGACACCAGTGCAATTGAGCTCTTCAATGTGTCCGCTCTCTGGCTGAATGATCGACGAATCTGGAATCGACTTCTTTTCTACTCTGGTCTTTTTTTGGTTTTGTGGGATTCACAAGCTCACAGGACTACTTTACTAGGCCGGTTCGAACAGCTCCCTCCCCTCGCGGCTCTCCTGAGAGGCCTTACCCATCACCCTCGCCCTGGTTAGCCCCGGCTAGAGCACGCTGTTAGGTTGCATACCGAAGACCCTAGCCGAGTACATGCGGCTGTCTACGTCGCCGTCACAATGAAGGGATTCCGACAGAGAGTGGTGAGTTGTCCACTGTTCCGCGCACATCTCATAGCACCACTGCCCACACTCCCCTTCCCCGCCACTATGCAGCAATCCCCCTTGCTCGACTGTCCCTCGGACTGACACTCCTCTCTACAGCATGAACAGTTGTCGCGGGCAAAAGATGCCAACAAGTCCTCGAAAAAGAAAGACTCCTCCAATTCCTCATCCCAGACTTCCCTCGGCATCCACCATGCGCAACAGTCGTCATCTCCGAACCAAGGCACCCCGACCTCGTCTACTACCTCCTTGAACGATGCGCGAGGCAAGTCACCGGACGATGCTTCTCCAGCAGGAACACCTGCCAATGCAGCCCATCCCGGAACGCCGGTTCAACATTATATCCCCCAGGGAGCCGGTGCGGCCGGTCAGCCTGTGAACAATGGCCCAGGAACTCCGACCAGACAAGGCCAGACGATGGCTCCCAGCGTGATTATTAGCCCAAGTGCACCGGTAAGTCATCTCTTGCCTGTGCCCTGGCTTCCATTACTAGTTGCTGACTCTTGAATGACTGTTCCTAGCATGCTCCCCCTCCTGGTGCTGCCGAGACGATGCCCGGAGACCTGGCGCCTCCCAGAAAATCGCACGTTTTCGACCGTCTTCAGACCACTCCCAAAGACCTGTCCGAGGGGATTCGGACCCCCAAGCGCCAGCACTCCTCGCGATTTGACATTTCTGATCAGCGTCAGAGAGATTTGGAGAAGCTGCCGGGCTTTCATGAAGTGCCTCCCAACCGACGCCAAGACCTGTTCATGCAGAAAATCGACCAATGCAATATCATCTTCGATTTCAACGACCCGACGGCCGACATGAAATCCAAAGAGATCAAGAGACTGGCGCTCCACGAGCTCTTGGATTATGTCGCCAACAATCGGTCGGTCATTACGGAGCCCATGTATCCACGCGTGGTGGAAATGTTCGCCAAGAACCTCTTTCGACCCATTCCTCCTCCCATGACACCCCAAGGTGAAGCCTTTGATCCGGAGGAGGATGAGCCCGTACTGGAAGTGGCCTGGCCTCATATCCAGGTCGTCTATGAGTTCTTCCTGAGGTTTATTGAGAGCCAGGACTTCAACACGAACATCGCCAAGGCATATATCGATCATCAATTTGTCCTTCAGGTATGCTGTCTGCTCCTAAGATGACAGATGAACGCTAATGACCTCTCTAGTTGCTTGACCTGTTTGACTCGGAAGATCCTCGGGAGCGTGACTTTCTCAAGACGACATTGCATCGTATCTACGGCAAATTTTTGAACCTGCGGTCATATATTCGGCGATCTATCAACAACGTCTTCTTCCAGTTCATGTATGAAACCGAGCGACACAACGGTATTGCAGAGCTGTTGGAGATCCTGGGATCTATCATCAACGGATTCGCGCTGCCGCTCAAGGAGGAACACAAGCTCTTCCTGACCCGTGTCCTGCTTCCCATGCACAAGGTGAAGAGCCTGAGCATGTACCACCCGCAACTGGCCTATTGCATTGTTCAGTTCTTGGAAAAGGACTCCACTTTGACGGAAGATGTATGGTCCTTGATTCCTCTATTTGTGTGATTTATGCTAATAGCTCTATGCAGGTTGTTCTTGGTCTGCTGCGCTTCTGGCCCAAAACGAACAGCACTAAGGAGGTCATGTACCTGAATGAGGTGGAAGACATCTTTGAGGTGATGGACCCGGCCGAGTTCGCCAAGGTGCAGGAGCCTCTTTTCAATCAGTTGGCCAAGTCCGTTGCCAGCCCACACTTCCAGGTTGCCGAACGTGCCCTTTACTTTTGGAACAACGAGTACTTCTGCAACCTGGTCAGCGACAATGTGGAGACCATCCTTCCGATCATGTTTGCACCGCTCTATGAAAACTCCAAGGGACACTGGAATCGGTTAGTGGAACCCTTGTTACCTGTGTCCTCTTCCGACCACTGACGTTTTTCCTTCGCGCTCTAGGACGATTCACAGCATGGTGTATAATGCCATGAAAATGTTCATGGAGATCAACCCCCAGCTCTTTGACGAATGTTCTCATGAGTACACCGAGCACCAGAACAATGCGGACCAACGTGAAAAGACTCGCTTGAGCCGCTGGGACAAGATCGAGGAACAAGCCAAGGACCGGAAGAATGGCGTCCCGCCTCCACCGGCTCCCGTCGTTGATGTGCCCGAGCCTATCGACGAGGTGGAGGCTATGACCCATGAAAGCCAAAAGCGACTGAATACCCTGAAATTGCAGGAGGATCCCGATACAACGAAGGAGCGTCCTTCCCGAGAGGGCACTCCTAACTCGGTGAGTTTTGATCATCTCTGTTAACAATGGTTTCGAGATACCTGTATCCCCTTGCGACTTGTTCCCCCTCTGTCGGGCTTCACTGCCCCTGTATTTTGTCTTCTTGCTAAAAATCCATGACTGTTTATCAGCAAGCGTGAATTCTAACGTGGGAACGTCCGTTTGCTCCAGACACGACGCCGGGGCTCCATTCGTGGCACGCGGAGACGACGGAGCGGAAGCGGCAGCGAGATTCGCCCTCGACGACGATCGGTCGGCAGCGGGACCAGTGCCACCAATGTACAGATCTTGCATCGCAGCAACTCGACCAAGTAATCGCCTCGGGAGGCTCTTGATGGACATGTGACTTGCGTTGATTTTCTCCTGCGACGATGGCATAGCGACTATGGGCTGCAACGATGTTTTTCTTTTCTTTGTGTCTTGATTTTCCCGCGGTATCTAAACCCCCTTGATGCTCCCCTCACCTGTGCCTGTTGTTTGATTTTTCTCATTTTCCTTTTGTGTACATGGCCTTCTTTTTGATCTTCTCTTTCCGTGGTCGGCTCCGTTGAGCGTGTGATCCTGAGCGGCCCTTTGAGTTGGATTGAGTCTTAGAACCGTGTTCGGGTCTGGAAAACAGGGTGCGAATGGCGTTTTTCATCCACCGATTTTTTGACGGTCGGTGGGCTTCTTCGTGTTGAGAGTTGACTACCTTTTTTTTTTCTTTGTGTTTTCTCTTCTACTAGACCTGTACTCCGATATGACGACGCCTTGGACCAGCCTGCGCGCGTAGTATTTAGCGGCCTCGTCGAAGGCCATTCCTCATCCGTCTCTCTGTCTGTACCTAGTTCCTGAGGTATACCTAGGGCCGTCGGCCGGAACAACTACAGATCCACCGCGCTAACCCGACCTGGCCTAGCCGAACCCACTGACTAAGCATTTTCGAAGAACCCCAGGCCCTCTGCTCCAGAGGGCTCTTCTCGCTCCGGCTGCTAGGCGTGAGTCGCGCGCATTTCAATCCTCTCTTCCCTCCCCCACGGGGTATTCACGTCCTCTCCTTTTTGCCCGTCCATCTCCCTCTTTCAATGGACCCGACTCTTCCTTTCGAATGATTTGACGATACCTCCCAAAGTCTTTCTCGCCTGCTTTCCTCCCTGCCCTAACGATCTTTGACATCTGTGACCAATTTGTCGAACGAGCTACGGACAGCTTCCACCACCACCACAATCCCGCATGTGAATTGACAGAAAGGACTGCGCGGGCTTTACACTTCTTAGCCGGCCACCGGGCCTGGCAGTAATTGCAGTCTTTTTTTCCTAGTCACCGGCCCTGTCGAGGGCGTGCCTCGCGATCATGGAGCGGAATATCGATATTTACGCCAGCAAGCTGGGGGATGAAAAGCTGGGTATGTTGGCAGCATCTGCTCCCAATCAAGGATATTAGTGATCGCGAAATTGACCATTTTTCTCTCCACTGCAGAAGTAAAAGTGAGAGCCAATGTCGCAACCGAGTTACGAGACAGCATTGAACCATTATGCTCCGGTGCCAACTACCCTGTCTTTCTGGCAAAGCTGTGGCCGGTATTCAAGGCCATCTTGAAGGGGGACCCGGTCTTCTTAAGCTTGTCTTATGAACAGGTATGCATCGTGACTGATTTTGTCGACGGCTGGTGCGCCGTCGATTCGTCTGCAGATCGGTGCGACTAACTGTTTGTGCCCTCTCCCAGAAACTACGAAACTGTATCCTCGAGACCCTCCATCGGCTACCAATGGCTTCTCCGGACGTTGAGCCCTACGCTGCCGACATGGTCGACCTGCTGATGGATCTCGTCCGGATCGAAAACGAAGATAATGCCGTCCTGTGTATGAAGACAATCATGGATTTGGAGCGCAACCAGGCCAAAGCGACAGCGCAACGGGTACAGCCGTTCCTCGAACTTATCCAGGAGATGTTCCAGACTATGGAGCAGGTGGTTCGGGATACCTTCGATAGCCCCAACCAAGCCACACCTTCTGGCATGCCTTCCACGCCGAACACCACCGCCCAGAACTTTCAGTCGCCTCGGCCAAACTCCCCTGCAGCATCTGTGGTAGACCTGGGAAATCCCGACCAGCAGCAGTCAAGCAATGTCATCCTCAAGGGCATGCAGTCGTTCAAGGTCCTCGCCGAGTGCCCCATCATCGTCGTCTCGATCTTCCAAACTCACCGCGCGTCGGTATCGGCAAATGTCAAACTCTTTGTGCCACTCATCAAGACTATCTTGCTGCTGCAAGCGAAGCCGCAGGAGAAGGCGCATGCGGATGCTGCTGCGCAGGGCACAATCTTCACCGGCGTGTGTAAGGAAATCAAAAACAGAGCCGCATTTGGGGAATTCATCACTGCTCAAGTGAAGACGATGAGCTTCTTGGCGTACCTTTTACGTCTGTATGCTCATCAACTCCAAGATTTCCTCCCGACGCTTCCATCGGTGGTTGTGCGACTTCTTCAGGATTGTCCGCGTGAGAAGTCCGGAGCAAGGAAGGAGCTTTTGGTTGCCATTCGCCACATCATCAACTTCAACTACCGCAAGATCTTCCTCGAAAAGATCGATGAGCTTCTGGATGAACGGACTCTTATCGGTGATGGCCTCACTGTCTACGAGACGATGCGGCCACTGGCCTACAGCATGCTCGCCGATCTCATCCATCATGTGCGCGACCACCTCACTCGCGACCAGATTCGGCGAACGGTCGAGGTGTATACCAAGAACCTGCATGACGACTTCCCGGGCACGAGCTTCCAGACAATGAGCGCGAAGTTGCTTCTGAACATGGCAGAGAAGATTTCAAAACTCGAGGACAAGCAGGAGGCTCGTTATTTCTTGATCATGATCCTTGATGCAATCGGTGACAAGTTTGCTTCCATGAATCACCAGTTCAACAACGCGGTCAAGGTATCCAAGGCCTACAAGGCCTACAAGAAGGACACCGAGCCTCATGCGGAGAACTACCTTGCCGAGAAGGATCAGCCACCGGACTGGGATGAGATTGATATCTTCTCGGCCTCTCCTATCAAGACTTCCAGCCCTCGTGACCGGGGTGGGGACCCTGTTTCGGACAACATTTTCCTCTTCAAGAACCTGATTAACGGATTGAAAAACATCTTCCATCAATTGAAAAATTGCAACCCGGATGACATTCAGATCGATCCGAACAGCGTCCCGATCAATTGGTCAGAAGTTTCCTATGGGTACAATGCCGAGGAAGTCCGAGTGATCAAGAAACTTTTCCACGAAGGCGCTCGCGTGTTCCGCTACTACGGCGTCGACCAGTCTCCCCCGGAAATCAATTACTCCTCCCCATTCGATTTCCTTGCCAGTCAGTACACGGCGCCCATGTCGCGCGAGGAGAAGGAACTTCTGGAAAGCTTCGGCACCGTCTTCCATTGCATCGACACGGCGACATTCCATGAGGTTTTCCACTCCGAAATTCCGTATTTGCATGAGCTCATGTTTGAGCATGGTGCTCTGCTTCACCTCCCGCAGTTCTTCCTGGCCAGTGAGGCGACTTCACCGGCATTCTCGGGAATGGTGTTGCAATACCTCATGGAACGCATCCACGAAGTTGGGACGTCTGACATGACAAAAGCCAAAATCCTGCTGAGGATGTTCAAGCTCTCTTTCATGGCTGTGACGCTCTTCTCCGTCCAGAACGAACAGGTGCTTCATCCCCATGTCACGAAGATCGTCACCAAGTGTATCGAATTGTCGGTCACTGCTGAGGAACCCATGAACTACTTCCTTCTCCTGCGATCTCTCTTCCGGAGCATCGGTGGTGGACGATTCGAGCTTCTCTACAAGGAAATCCTCCCTCTCCTGGAGATGCTCCTGGAGACCTTCAACAATCTGTTGCTTGCAGCTCGAAAGCCGCAAGAGCGTGATCTTTATGTCGAACTCACCCTTACTGTTCCGGCGCGACTGAGTCATCTCCTTCCTCATCTCAGCTACTTGATGCGTCCAATTGTGGTGGCTTTGCGCGCCGATTCAGACCTCGTTGGCCAAGGCCTACGTACTCTCGAGCTCTGTGTGGACAATCTTACTGCAGATTACCTTGATCCAATCATGGCTCCTATTATGGACGAGTTGATGACCGCTCTCTGGGACCACTTGCGCCCTCAACCATACAACCATTTCCATGCGCACACCACAATGCGGATCCTGGGCAAGCTCGGTGGCCGCAACAGGAAGTTCCTCAACCACCCACCCGAGTTGTCATTCGAGCAGTTCTCCGACGACAACCCGAGCTTCGATATTCGGCTGATTGGCCCCAGCGAGAAGCGGCCTTTCCCCGTGGATATTGGAATTGACCTTGCGATAGCCAAACTCATGGAGGTTCCGAAGACAGCTTCTGCCAAGGACTCAGACGCCTTTTACAAGCAGCAGGCTTACCGCATGCTCAGTTCTCATCTCAAACTCCAGATTGGGTATGAGAACCTCCCCGATGACCTGGCCTCCTTGATCCGGTTGCATGCAAACGACCTGTTTGAAAACAAGACCGGCCCCATGGCCGATATACTTGACAAGTCCGAGCGATCAGCATCTATCACGAAGAAACTGGCGCAGGAAGCAATTGTGAAGAAGCTTATCAAGGCTTGTATCTTTGCTACGACGATTCCAGACCTCGAGCAAACGGCAACTGCTTTCGTAGCGGATGTTTGCAAGCATTTTACCGTCGTCGAGGTCGGTCGGGCTCTTGCTCAAGCTCGACACAGCCGCAAGCCATTTGATGTGGCCAACGGAGAAGGCCCGGTGAACATTGATTCCCGAATCCTGGCTGAGGCTATTGTTGACTGCCTCTCCTCGGACAATGTTCACGTTCGCGAAGCTGCCGAGAAGGTCATGCTCGTCGTGAAGGATGCTGCCGCTGTCATCTTTGGTGCTCCCGAGAAGGCTTCCAAACTCTTGTTCTTCCAGCACCTGGGCCGTGTCTTCTGCCACAGCTGCCACAGCGAGGAGTGGTTCACGAAAGCAGGTGGCAGCCTTGGTATCAATCTCCTCGCGACCAAGTTGGACCTTGGAGAGTCTTGGCTTTACGAACGGCATTTTGAATTTTCGCGGGCTCTGATGTATGTCATCAAGGACACGCCTGCCGATCTCCCTGCTTCGACGCGCATCCAGTCGCAGGATACCATTAACTTGATTCTGCAAAAGTGCGGCAAGCTCATGCCCAAGGATGATTTGAAGAACGAGAAGAGCCGCCTTCTCGCTCTCTGTGGCTTCTTCGTTTATGAGCTGGGACATATGAATAAACACGTCCGCGAAACGTCTCGCCGCTGCTTCATAACCCTGAAAGACGAGCTTGGCTGCGAAGTCCATGAGCTCATTTATCCTGTGAGGGATCGCCTCCTCCAGTCGATCTTCAACAAACCTTTGCGCGCTCTTCCTTTCCCATCGCAAATTGGCTTCATAGATGCCATTACGTACTGCTTGGGCCTTCATAACGACATCGTCACTTTCAATGAGCCGCTCAATCGACTGATGTTGGAGTCTCTTGCCCTGGCCGACGCTGATGACGAATCTCTGGCGTCCAAGCCGAATGAGTTCAAGAACGCGGAGATGATTGTTAACTTGCGGGTTGCCTGCCTTCGCCTCTTGTCCATGGCAATGAGCTTCCAAGAGTTTGCCAACACCCCTCAAAACACGAGTCGTGCGCGCATCATCTCCGTCTTCTTCAAGTCACTATACTCTCGGTCACCTGAAGTCATTGATGCTGCGAATGCTGGGTTGAGAGATGTCTTGACACAAACCAACAAGCTTCCCAAGGACCTGCTTCAGAATGGCCTGCGTCCTATCTTGATGAACCTGCAGGATCCCAAGCGTCTGAGTGTTGCGGGTCTGGACGGCCTTGCCCGACTCTTGACCTTACTTACGAATTACTTCAAGGTTGAGATTGGTGCACGTCTGCTTGATCATATGAAGGTCATTGCCGACGATACTGTTTTGCAGAAAGTCTCTTTCAGTCTTGTGGAACAGAACCCGGCCATGAAGATTGTCGCGGCCATTTTCAACATCTTCCATCTCCTCCCCTCCGCGGCCACGTCCTTTATGGAGCATATTGTCAACAAAGTTCTAGACCTTGAGACGAAGCTGCGAAGAACCTCCCACAGCCCATTCCGAAAGCCCCTTGTTAAGTACCTTAATCGCTACCCGAAAGAGAGTCTCGCATTTTTCTTTGCTCGCTTCAACGACGAGAGATTCGGGCGCTTTTTCGGACAACTTCTGGCTGATCCTGAGAGCGAAGCATTGCGCAATGCTGTGGTCGCCGACTCCGAAGGGTTTTCCCATGCCGCCTTCCCGCAGGAGTCGACCGAAGGCAAGAACACTGCTGCCATCAACGGTATCTATGTGGCGCACTCCGTCTGTTCCTTCAGCTCAACCAAGAATTGGCTGGTTTCACATACGGATTTGAGGACCAAGCTTCTAACCTCTGGTCGAGAGTTGGAGCGCAAGCTTCGAAGTGACAGTCTGCCGACGGATGAGCGACTCAGGGTGGAGCAGGCAGAAGAGCAATTGATGGACGTGTTCACAACCTACCTGACCGAAGCCACGCATGACTTGGACTTTTTGTTTGAGGTCATCGACGGATTGTCCGCGGATGAATTGAAGCGTACGCTAGCGCTTCCGAAGTTCATCTACCACCAGATCATCACGAACGAGTCGATTGACTACCGACGTTCCGTCATCATGCGCTGCCTCGATCTCTATGGCCAACGTGCCTGCTCTCAGAGGACCAAGACGTACGCGTTCCGCCATCTTGTTAATCCCATTTTTGCCATGGACGTGCAGACTACGTGGAACAGCTCGCCAAACACCCCGAAGCTTATGGACAAGAGCATGACCGAGTCCATCCAAAGCCGCCTGTGGAAGCCTCAACTGGCCGACATCAGCGAGGAGTCGAGCCAAGCTGGAGTGGACCATTCACGCATGGAGCTGCTTCAGCTGTCTGCCTTGTTGATCAAGTACCATTCTCAAACGGTGCAGGACTCCCGCAAAGACATCATCAAATTTGCCTGGAATTACATCCGCCTCGAGGATATTATCAACAAATACGGTGCCTACGTCCTTATCAGCTACTTCATTGCTCACTACGAGACACCCTTCAAGATCGTGATCCAGGTCTATGTCGCCTTGCTGAGGGCTCACCAGAACGAAGGCAGAGCCCTGGTCACTCAGGCTCTCGATGTATTGGCTCCTGTTCTTCCAACAAGGACAAGCGGCAACCAAGGGGCAGAGGCGCGGTACCCATTGTGGGCGAAGTGGCCTCGTCGTATCCTGGCGGAAGAAACCGCGAATCTGCAGCAGGTGATGAGCATCTTCCAATTCTTGGTACGACAGCCGGACCTCTTCTACGAGTCAAGGGAGCATTTTGTCCCTCTCATTGTGCCTTCTCTGATTAAGATCGCGGGCCCACCGAACACGTCCAACGACAGCAAAAAGCTCGCACTCAATCTGATTGGTTTGATCTGGCACTGGGAAGAAAAGCGGGTCAAGGGCGGCGCTGATTCCAGCAGCTCCAGCGTGCCTCCGGGGCCTATGGAATCGCCAAATGCGAAGAAGCGTAAGCTTGAAGAGGCCCAGGGAGCATCGGCATCTCCAGCCTCCTCTACTTTCGCTCCTCCGAGCGGTCGTTCAGAATACACCGTTCCTCCTGATCTCCGGGCGGCTTTGACCAAGTACCTCATCACGTTCATCACCACCATTCCAGAACGCTTCTTGGTCCCGGCTTCTAAAATCCGTGAATTGCCCTCTTCCAAACAGCAGCCGCTTGTTCATACTGGCGAGATGATCATCAAAGCTACCAACCTGCTGCGAAACCTACTCTCACCGGAATACTGGGGTGACCTCGACATCGACCTTTATCAGAAGGTGACGGAACCCATCCTCTCAGGAGAAAAGGCAGACAAACCAGACGAGAAACATATCACTGCCATGGTGAACACTTTGCAGGTCTTGCGGGTGCTGCTGGCGGGCAAACCGAACGAATGGATTACGGCCCGTCTCCAAACCGTTCAGAAGCTTTTTGAAAAGCCTTTGAAATCGGATAACCCCGAGATCCAGGACTGCTTGCACGGATTGGAAGATGAGATGGACATTCCAATCAAGCTGCCGCCGCCCGTGCGCCGTGTCCTTGATGCTATCCCAGATGAACAACCTGACGACGAAGATGCCATGGACACCGAGGGATCAGCGTCGGAATTTTCCACATATCTGTCTGCGATTGCCACGGAGACTCTCTCTGCAAGCAACTATGTTTCGAGTCTGAATACCCTTTGGACGCTTTCCAAGAACAAGCCTTCTGAGATTGACGCACATATTCCGGCTGTGATGAAGGCTTTTTCCCAGAAGCTTGCCAAGGAACATGTTGCTGCCTCCACTACCACCCCCGCCGCCACCCCCGGCAACAACCAGAATGGCGGACAGCCCCCGCAAGGTGCAAAGCCTTCGGAAGGGGTTCCAGATCAGCAAGAGTTTGAGATCGGCGTGGACCTCATCTTCAAGACGATTGAACTGATCTCTGTGCGCATGTCTCATCTCGGCGATCAGCGGCGGCCCTTCCTCAGCGTGCTGGCACAGCTTGTGGAGCGGTCGCAGAACATCAAGTTGTGCAGCAAGGTTCTAGGCATGACGGAGTCTTGGATTTTCCATTCGACCGAGTCGTGGCCGACTTTGAAGGAAAAGACGGCGGTTCTACACAAGATGCTGCTATTTGAATCGCGCCCCGACCAGACGATGCTGAAGAAGTTCCTCGACCTTGTCATCCGAATCTACGAGGACTCGAAGATCACCCGCACGGAGCTGACCGTCCGTTTGGAGCATGCTTTCCTGATCGGCACAAGAGCGCAAGATGTTGAGATGCGGAGCCGCTTCATGCGGATCTTTGATCGGAGTTTGACTCGGCTGGCTAGCTCGCGCTTGAGCTATGTGCTCACTTGCCAGAACTGGGATACTCTTGCTGACTCTTTCTGGCTTTCTCAGGCGTCCCAGTTGGTCCTTGGATGTGTCGATATGAACACCAGCGCTCGCTTGAATCCGGCTGACTTCACTCTGTATCCTGTTTCATTCCTTTTTGGCGGTGGTGACAAGGATCCCAGGAAGTCAGATATCATGGTTGATGATCAGCTGGAGACCTTCGTTGCTGAGCGCAGGCGGTTCATGTCTGACATTGGTGATGTCCGGGTTCGTGACTTGATGGAGCCTTTGATTCAGCTGCAGCACACCGATCCCTCTGTTGCCTACAAATTGTGGACCACCCTCTTCCCTCTCTTCTGGTCCACATTGTCCAAGGAAGATCGGATCGACCTTGAGAAGGGCATGGTCAACTTGCTTACGCGGGAGTACCATCAGAGACAACTGGACAAGCGTCCCAATGTCGTACAGGCCCTTCTTGAGGGTACTGTGCGTGCCCGTCCAAGGTTCAAGATCCCTCCTCATGTCATGAAATACCTTAGCCGTACCTATGACGCTTGGTACACTGCCGCGACATACCTGGAGGAGAGTGCCATCAATCCGATTATCGATACACCGACCGTCCGGGAGAGCAACCTGGACGCACTTGTCGAGGTCTATTCGGGCTTGCAGGAGGACGACTTCTTCTACGGAACTTGGCGACGTCGTTGCAAGTTTGTTGAGACCAATGCTGCACTCTCCTACGAACAACAGGGGATGTGGGATAAGTCTCAGCAGCTCTACGAGAATGCACAGATCAAGGCGCGCTCTGGTGCCATGCCATTCTCGCAGGGTGAATATTTCGTTTGGGAAGATCACTGGTTGATCTGCGCTCAGAAGCTCCAGCAGTGGGAGATCCTTAGTGATTTTGCCAAGCATGAGAACCTGAACGATCTTCTGCTGGAGGCTGCATGGAGGAATATCGAAAACTGGCAGAGCGAAGGGAACCGCGAGCAACTCGAGTCTTTGATCAAGTCTGTCTCCGACGCCCCCACGCCGCGGCGCACCTTCTTCCAAGCCTTCATGGCTCTTCTCCAATATCACACGAAGAAGGAGGGTCTGCAGGATTTCAACACGGTCTGCGATGAGTCTATTCAGCTTTCCATCCGCAAGTGGTTGCAGCTGCCCAAGCGCATCACGAACGCCCACATTCCGATTCTGCAACATTTCCAGCTCTTGGTTGAGCTGCACGATGCCAGCCATATTTGCGGCAGCTTGTCTCAGACCAACGAGCGGAATCTGGATACCAAGTCTGCGGAGTTGAAACTCCTGCTCGGGACCTGGCGTGATCGGCTGCCCAACCTCTGGGACGACATCAACACTTGGCAGGATCTTGTCACTTGGCGTCAGCATATTTTCCAGCTTATCAACGGCACATACCTCAGCCTGTTGCCCCCTCAGACGAACAACGTCGCCAGCAACTCTTATGCATACCGCGGATACCACGAGACTGCCTGGATCATCAACCGTTTCGCCCATGTCGCACGCAAGCACCAGATGCCTGAGGTCTGTATCAACCAGCTCAGCCGCATCTACACGCTGCCGAACATCGAGATCCAGGAGGCCTTCCTGAAGCTGCGCGAGCAGGCCAAGTGCCACTACCAGAACCCGAAGGAGCTGAACAGTGGCCTCGATGTGATCAACAACACCAATCTCAATTACTTCGGACCACAGCAAAAGGCCGAGTTCTATACGCTGAAGGGCATGTTCCTCGCCAAACTCGACCATGTCAATGAAGCGAATGAGGCGTTTGGTGTCGCTCTCTACTACGATCTGCGACTTGCCAAGGCCTGGTCTGAATGGGGCCAGTACAGTGACCAACGTTTCAAGGCTGATCCAACGGACTATGAGTTGGCCAGCAACGCGGTCAGCTGTTATCTCGAAGCGGCTGGTCTTTACAAGAGTGCCAAGTCGCGGAAATTGCTCAGCCGTATTCTTTGGCTTCTCAGTCTGGATAACGACGAGGGCAAGATTGCAAGTGCGTTCGAGAACTTCAAGGGAGATACCCCGGTCTGGTACTGGATTACTTTCATCCCGCAACTTCTCACTAGTCTCTCCCATCGTGAGGCGCGCCTTTGCAAGGCTGTTCTCGTGAAGATCGCCAAGCTGTACCCGCAGGCGCTCTTCTTCCTGCTTCGTACGAACAGAGAGGACATGCTGAGCATCAAGAAGCAGCACGACCAGAAGATGAACCGAAGCAGACAACAGCAGCAGCAACAACAACAACAGGGCTCTTCGCCAAGTACCAAGGCCCCTGCTGTCGATGGATCTCCCATCCAGAAACCCCAAACAGCAACCAGTGCGTCTCCGGCCGTTCAGAATGCGGGCTCTCCAGTAGCTGCGCAGACACCCGCACAGCCGCCGCAGAGCCAATCACCTGCGCAGCCTCCAGCTCAGGTGCAGCAGTCACCACGCCAGGGCCCGGGCCAAAGCCCCAGTCAACCCCAAGCTGGTCAGACTTCGAACCCACCGCAGCAGAGCAACCTGCAAGCCTCGGGACCGAATGGAACCCCGCAACAGAATCAACCCGCCTCGACGGCGGAGGGAGAGAAGGAGCCGCTCAAGAAACCATGGGAGTACTCCGACGAGATCATGTCGGGACTCAAAACAGCCTTCCCCTTGCTCGCCTTGTCGATGGAGACGATGGTCGACCAGATCCACAAGAACTTCAAGTGTCCGCCCGACGAGGATGCTTACCGTCTCATTGTTGCTCTCCTGAACGATGGGTTGGCTTACGTGGGACGCATGCCTGGATCGTACGCGCAGGATTTCAAGCTGCCATCTGCGACCGAAGCCAATATCACCAGATTCGCAGAGACCATTCTCCCCGCGCACATCCGCAAATCTTTCGAGGCGGACTTTGTGGTGAAGAAGCCGACCATGCACGAGTACATCCAGAAGCTGCGTCGCTGGCGTGACAAGTTTGAGGAGAAGCTCGACCGCCGGGCCCCGTCCGGATTCCTCGAGTCCTACTCGCCGCACCTAAGCGAGTTCCGTTTCCTCAAGTTCGACGAAGTCGAGGTGCCAGGACAATATCTCCTGCACAAGGACAAGAACCAGGATTTCGTTCGCATCGACCGCTTCCTTCCGGACGTCGACTTGGTCCGGGGTATTGGTGTCTGCCATCGTCGCCTGAAGATTCGTGGACACGACGGAAGCGTTCATGCTTTCGCAGTCCAACACCCAGCCGCACGCCACTGTCGGCGTGAGGAACGGATTCTTCAATTGTTCCGCATCTTCAATGGGTTGCTGGCGAAACGCAAGGAGAGCCGACGACGGAATCTGTACTTCCACTTGCCACTGATGGTGCCGCTTGCGCCACACATTCGCCTGGTCCGTGACGATTCGTCGTATATCTCAATGCAGGGCATTTACGAGGACTACTGCCGACGAGTTGGCATGAACAAGGATGAGCCGGTGCTGTTCACGATGGACCGGATGCGTTCTCTGGCGGAAACGAAGCAGAATGTATGCTCGCCCCCAACTCCGCTCTCTAGGATTACAACTAACTTTTCCCAGCGCACGCCCGATCAGCAGCAGGTTCTTCGTACTGAGATCCTGACCGCCATCCAGGACAAATGGGTTCCCAGTACTGTGGTTTTGGAATATTTCCAGCAGACCTACCCCAACTTTTCGGACTTCTGGCTCTTCCGGCGGCAGTTCGCCTACCAGTACGCGGCCGTTGCTTTCATGACCTACGTGATGCACATTGGCAATCGCTACCCGAACAAGATCCTAGTCTCTCGCTCGACCGGCGACATCTGGGGTGCCGAGTTGATCCCAACCATCAACCCGGCCAAGGCGTTCTTCTACAACCCAGAGCAAGTTCCCTTCCGCTTCACGCCGAACATCCAGACACTCCTGGGCCCCATCGCCACCGAGGGCCTGTTCGCGTGTGCCATGATGGCGATCGCTCGCTGCCTGACGGAACCGCGCCACGAACTGGAGCAACAGCTCAGCGTGTTCGTGCGTGATGAGATGATGTTCTGGGCTACAGCGCAGCACCGTGGTGTCCTTCCGGTGCCACAGCTACGAGATCTGGTCTACAACAATAGCGAGATCATTGTCAACCGCGCCGTCAGCCTCGCCAGCCCGCCGGAGGGTAACCTGCCTGCCAACCAGACCACGATCGATCTAATCTCGAAGGCGGTTAACCCCCAGCACCTGGCATCGTGCGATGCTTTGTGGATGCCTTATCTGTAATGTTTGCTTCTGAGCCGTGTTTTCTTTCTGCATGGACGAAGGAAGCGGGTTAGTTAGTTCTTGGGCGCAGCTCTTCGGAGTGGATTTCTTTCTCGCATAGCGCTTCGGGGAGGAGCAGGAGTGCTTTTTGGATGGGATGCATTTTGTATTTTTTTATTTTGTGTGTGTTTATTTGCTTGTACTATTGTTGAGGTTATGATAGTTCCTAATGTCTTACAATTCCTTGATGTTCATACCGGGCTTTGCACGCGGACTGTGATTGGTTCGGGGTCTCACTCTGATCCTACCGCCGACTGCCGTATCATTCCCTGCCAACTACAACTTCTCTCCAGAAATAATGGCCCGACGATCCAAAGAAACCGGGCTGTGCTCTCTAGCCTGTACCGAATGCAGGAAGCAGCATCTCAAATGCGACGCTAAGAAGCCGGCATGCTCGCGTTGTGTGCAGGGTTCGTTGTTGTGCCAGTATCTGCCTTCTCGCCGTGGCGGGCGTCGGACGGCCCGTTGCCACGCAGGTAAAACCACAGTCAGTATTCTGTCTTTCTAGTACAATCGGACTCCATCATGTTAAACCCAGATACCAGGCCACTTCTACTCCGATAATGCCCATGCCGGGTCCTGGCTCTGTCCAGAACAATGTCACGCCCAGCAGGACTCCATCGCAAAGACGTGCTCAGTCCAGTCTTCCACATATGACTATGGACCAAAGTCCGTGGCCGGTAATGCTTCCACAGAATGGTTCCGATCAACCTCAACCTCCCTTGGAAGCAGCTGGTAGATCGTGGTTCTCCGATGATCGGTTACTGCGACTGTACTATGAGAACTTTCATGTCGCTCATCCGATCCTGGTGCCGAGTTCCTCTTATAACGACCGAAATTACCCTTATTTTCTCCAGCTGGTGGTAAATTTCGTGGGATCTCACTACATTCCATCCAGTCCCAGACAGCAGTACAAGGACAAAGTCACGGTGGAGCTGGCCTCCAATCCAGACCGGTCGCCATGTATGGTTCAGGCGTGGTTGATCTACTCTATTGCCCTGTACTCTCGTGGGGAATGGTCTGAAGCTCAAACGGCATTTTCACATAGCATCGAGATTGCTCTCGAGCTCGGCATGAACCGATGGGAATTCGCTTCGGCTTCACAACCAGAACGATCACTGGAAGCAGAGAGTATGCGACGAACGTGGTGGGAGCTATATATTATCGATATATACATGGCTGTTCCGCTCAAAACCATCACATTTCGTTGCGGCACTGTGCCACCGGAGGTGGGTCTGCCTTGTGAAGAGTCGGAGTATAATGGTGGTTGCGACGTTCCCAAACCTCGAATGATCCTGGATTTCAAGCGGAGAGTCTTTGCTCCCGAAGAAACCGTCTTTTCATCATTCAGCTACCGCATTGATGCCACAACGATCCTTTGTCGAGTCTTAGTGCTGAACCGGCTGCGCGAATGTCACCGCGACCACCTTCAAGCGGTGGAGAATGCGCTGGTGAGCTGGATCAACCACCTCCCACCCAAAAAGCTGGATATCGTCGACCCATACGGGAATGTGGATGAGATGATGTTCCAAGCACACCTGACAATTGCCTACGCCGCGATGCTACTGCACCTGCCCCGGAGTGACCTCCAGCCTATTTTGTCACCACCCGACGACCGGTTCTGGCCTGGAGCACCAGCCCATTTATCGTCGACTTTCACCCGCCTTGTGCACAGCATCAAAGCCACCGAAGCATCAAGACGCATGTCGGATTCCATTTCCATCTGTCCGAATATCTCAAAACACACCCCCTTCGTCATTCCGGCATTAGCGCTGTGCGGGATGATCCAGATCGCCACGTCCACTAGCCACTCGGAGGAGTGTTTTGATCACCACTGCAACCGCGTAACCCTGATTCTTGGGTGCTTGAAAAGCACCAAGCGAACGTGGAACTTGGCCGAGGCCGCCTACCAATGTGTCCGGTCATCTGCATCTGATATCTTGTCGGATTCGATGGAGAAACAGAATGCAGAGCCCCTGGATAAACTGATTCCGACACAGCAATCTCCGAGTGACCCCGGGCGGACTACTCCGGCCACACGAGCCGCCCCGAATGTCATGGATGGGCAGGATCTCGTGCTACCGGAGCTATCGCCGGCGTTCCTAGACCCGACTTGCTACAATGCTTCATTTTTCACTGCTATGCCTGAATTTGACATTAATTAGAGCAATTCATGAGATAGTTGAAAATGTTAATAATAATTACCCACAAAATAATCCCCCTTCACCGCTATACATCTGTCGTGTGGCAATCGCCGACGCAACTCAGTCGCCGATAGCTGATAAGGCGTGATTGGCTCGTGCACGCAGGACTGACCACAACACTGTCGAGAAGACAAGAAATATAGCAATGTGGTCCGAAAATCACTCCATACTGTGAATAAATATGGAGACGAATTATGAGACTTTGCATGTATCACCATGTCTCACCTTAGCCCGAGATCTGAGGTCTGTTAGGGTGACGTATGTAGGCATTTTCATATCTGCCCCTCCGAATCATGCGGACCACCCTTGCGCCATGGCGGTTGCATATGTCGATAACCTTAGGGACAAAAGCCGTGCTCTCATTCGACCCGCTCCTAGCCGTTGACGTCTGTCCGCCCAATATTGCGTCGATCCGGGGCAATCGCCGACTCAATGTTATGGGGCCATGGATAGGAGTATGGGACAAGCTCGGGGTTTGATGAACCTCGTGCCCCTTTATAAAGGCACTTTCCGGATGGGTGGATTGGAACTGCTCGTGCTAGCACTCTCATCTGAACACTCCTGAATCCACAACATGTCGTCCATTTTTCCTTCCAGTCCCACCATTCAAATCGGCCATGGCGTGTCATCAAACTACTTCGACGCACGCATCAGGCTCACATCGAGATATGACCTAGACGAACTAGTGCGAGACATCAAGGCTCATCTGGGGGAGACTGGGGGAATTTCCTCATCGGATGTGGACGAGGAGTATTTGATCTCTCTTGCTCAGAAGTATGCATCTCAGCCCAGTGACTGGGCGAAGTACTTCTACAACGACACAAGCAAGAACTATACACGCAATGCCATTGAAAACATCAACCGAAAAGCCAACATCGTATGTTCCTTCCACATCCCTTTTCCCGCATGAATCCCTTAGCTAAGTAACTCATTTAGCTCCTCCTCGTGTGGAATCCCGGCAAGGGCTCCCCGATCCACGACCACGCCAACGCCCACTGCATCATGAAGATCCTCGCCGGCGAGCTCGAGGAAACAGTCTACCACATGCCAGACCAGGACGCAGAGACCAAAGCGCCTTTGGAGATCAAGTCCCAGAAAGTCTATCGTTCGAATGAAGTGACTTATATCTCCGATGACATCGGACTGCACCGCGTGCGAAATCCAAGCAACAACAAGGTTGCTGTCTCATTACACTGTAAGTCTTATCATTGGATTTTATATATAAGCAGTATCTGACCCTTACCAGTGTATACCCCCCAAATGCAGCAGACTATGGGTTCAACATCTTCGATGAGAAGACCGGCAAGGCTAGCTTTGTGCCGCAGGCTCGGTCTGTTGGTCATTCCGAGGGAGGGGCAGAATAATGATGAGATCTGAGATACCCATTTGCTTTTGTCCTGCATTGGGGGAGTGCATTCGAGGAGTCACTGCCCTAGTCTGCGTTTTTCTTGGGCGTTTGTGTATAAGCGTTGTTTGAGAATGATATCCGGTCTGCTTTTATAGCTGTAAATTCATACTTTGAGAACCATGCCCGGTCTGTCGGTTAATAGAAACATACGATTATACATTCCCTGTTGGCCTTCTGAGGATTTCTAGGATCGATGCCATGGCAATAAAATGATGAGTATCTATTTGATACGGTATTCCCGCTGATTTCCCAACGCCATGCCAGTAATATTGAACACAAAACACGCCTTATATCAAAGATGGCTTCTTCTTGATCCCCAGACTATTGATAGGAGGTTTCTTAGCCTTCTTCACTCTTGCAAACGATGCTGTGGGAGGGGGCATCTCGGCTGCTTGTGAAGCCTTGGTATCTGGCACTGGTGCCGCAGCCGTTGACTCGTCCTCCACAATGCGCTTCACTCTTTCCCCCGACGACGTCATAAACGCCCTGCGAGCCGCCTCCTCATCTTCTTTCTCGGCTCGCAGCTGCGCCTCATCGACCTGATCCTCGACATGTGCCAGAACCGCCTCGTCACCGCGTGACTCGTTGCGCGCGATCCGCGCATTTCGGGTCCGGATCTCATCCAGCGCATCTGCAATAGCCATCTCCCGCTTCGAGTCCTGCATTTTCTCTTCGAGTTCGGCCATCTTGTCACGCTCCAGCTGCTCCTGCTCCTCGTTCTCTTCACGCTCGAGTCGATTCAGAGTTTCTTCTTCGGTTTCGTTGTATTTCTCCGATTTGGAGTTCCGCCATGGCTCGAAGTTGCGCTTTGCGCCGCGTTCGCATTCGTAGTCCATATCTAAGCGAGAGTTAGTTTTCTGGGGGTTCAATAGTCCAGAAATGAACGAAGGACTTACTCTTGGGATCCGTCCGGAAAGTGATCTCGCCGCTGCAGCGGGTGCATCGGATGTAAAACCGGTAGATGGGGATGTTGAGATATTTTTCTTCCAAATTTTCCTTTCTGGCGTTGAACTTGCGCCCTCGATAGATGTATTCGCCGCAGTTGGTGCATTTCATGGGGAAGGGCGCCATCAGGCGGACGGTGATGACTTTGGGACCGGCTTTGCGTAGGTGCTTTGGCGTCCGCCCGATTGCCGATGGATCGAAGTCGGGCGGGTAGTACTTAGTGAGGACCTTGCGCTCAGACATGTTGGTGGTGGTTAGAGGGTGGAAGGTGAAGCGGTGGTGTAGAGAAGAGAAGAACAAGAGAGAGCGAGTGGCGGATGATATGCGGAGAGTCAGTCACGTGACCCTCGAATGGTGTTGACTGCTTGATTTATTGGATTGTTTCTTTTCTTTGCTTTTCTCATTTGCAGACAGACACCCTTGACATTGCCATTGCTGACCTTCCCTCTGGATCTTACTACCCTGTATCCTTGCCCATCTCTGGAAGAACTGCACTGCTGATCACGCACGGGCCAGTGTTTGTATTCCGCCCAAACAGAAACGCGCGATCTGCCCGACAATCATCAATCAGTTGACACTCTTGCAGTTTCTCCAACTGAGTGCAGCGCAGAGCCGATGCTCCATGCCGGTTGATGCCTGCCTTTCTTTCTTTACCTGACCAGCTCGATCTACGGCAATGGAAAGGTTCCTGCGCTCCTGGCGACAGGACGCCTTGAACCGTGGCCAGCATGATTCGGCCATCTACATTGGCGACAAGGTCCTCGCCCTCACCAGTATGCTAGTATCTCGCTTACTGACTCAGACACACGCTGACCACTATCTGAAGACAGTGATTCCGACGCCTTCTGGCTGGCGCAGGTCCATTTCTCCAACAATAACTTCACACGCGCCTTAGCTCTTCTCTCCCGCAAGGACCTCATCTCGAGAAGCACTGCCTGTCGATACCTCGCTGCGCATTGCTACATCAAACAAAACCAGTTCGAGCAGGCCCTGTCAATCCTCGGCGAACACAACCCCACCGACTTAATCCGCGACAACAACAGTCGTCGCAAGATCCAACACCTCAACGACCAAAGCCATGTCACACTCCGGAATGGGAAGGCAGCGCGCGGGGAGCGAGGAGATGAGCGAGAGAGGGAGGATACCAACAACGTTCGCTTCGAAGCAGCCATGTGCTACCTGCGGGGTCTCTGTTTCGCCAAGCAGAATGCGTTCGACCGCGCTCGCGACTGCTACAAGGACGCGGTGCGCATCGACGTGCAATGCTTTGAGGCATTTGACCAATTGATGAAGAACTCGCTCATGTCGCCCGCAGAAGAGCTCGAGTTTCTGGAATCCTTGGACTTTGACTCTATCATCTCGCCCGATCCTGCTGTGGAGCAGGAAGCGGCTGACTTTACCAAAATGCTCTACACCACCCGTCTTTCCAAATACTCCTCTCCGAGCATCCTAGCCGACGCGACCGAAACCCTCTCCACCCACTACAACCTGGCCGAAAACCCGGACATTTTGTTATCGCGCGCCGAGGCGCTGTACACCCAATGCCGCTTTGCTGAAGCGTTGGAATTGACCTCCTCCATTCTATCTACCTCTCAATCAACCGATCTGACAACATCCAACGCCCCGAGTATTCCTGCGCAAAGCCATCTTGGGCATACCCCTGCGGTGTACCCGCTCCATTTGGCCTGTCTCTACGAAACGGGAGCGACCAATGCACTTTTCCTTCTATCTCATATGCTCGCGGACCACGCGCCAGAGGAGCCTTACACCTACCTTGCAATTGGGGTTTACTATCTTGCAGTGTCCAAGATCGCCGAGGCTCGGCGCTTTTTCTCCAAGGCCTCTCTGCTCGATCCGCACTCGGCGCCAGCTTGGATCGGGTTTGCACACACATTTGCTGCAGAAGGCGAACATGATCAAGCCATTGCGGCATATAGTACGGCCGCACGATTGTTCCAGGGGAGCCATCTGCCCCAGCTTTTTCTGGGTATGCAGCATCTCGCACTGAACAACATGTCTTTGGCTCATGAGTATCTCTGTGCCGCTTATGCCATGTCCACCGGGGCTGCACCCGGGTCTACGCCTTCCCTTCCGATGAATCTATCGCCTGGCACCTCTCTGGGCGGTGATCCACTCGTCCTCAATGAACTGGGCGTTGTTCTATACCACCAAAACCACCTCGACGGGGCAGTGGAATTGTTTCGACAGGCCTTGGCCTTGGCCACTTCTCTACAATGCGAGCCCAGCGCGTGGGTGGCCACACGCGCAAACCTGGGCCATGCCCTGCGCCGCATGGGCCGATTACCCGAGTCTCTGCGTGAGTTCAATGAGTGTCTGCGCGTGGGCGCCGGAGGAAGCAGCATGGGGTATTCGCCTTTCTTGGGCGGCGGTGCAGGAGGCTCCGCCGCGCTCGCGTCCGCATCAGGCGTCGGGGGCTATGAAGATCGTGGACTGGTCGGGTCTCTCCACACCTCCCGCGGGCTGGTTCTCCTCGAGTTGGGCCGCACCACTGAGTCAGTCACCGCTCTTCACGAGGCAGTTCGTGTGCTTGGAGCCAGCGGGGGTGGCGATGCAGCGGGGGTGCCGGTGTCGCAGGCACATTGCTCTCTCGAGCCCTGGATATCTGGGCTTCGGAGGGTCGCGAACGTGATCGCCATTCCTTGGAAGAAACGCTCCGATCAGGCAACAGCCGCAGCTCGACACGATCCCGCGAGCAGCCACCAGATGAAACGCCCCGACGCCGCAGCGCCCACCAAGAATCCTACCCGGGGGAGTGGACGGACGAGGTCGCGCACGTCGCGACCCCAGAAACGGGTGCCGATACCGACACCCTTGGCGCACGTGTAGAGATGGAGCTGGATGAGAAGGCTGACGGGCTGTTACAGCGAGCCTTGGGGCAGGTTCGCCCCAGTAGATCACGGCCCCCCAGTGCCCGCACCGATGGGGAAGCGGGTGAGACGCTGGCGACATCAGGTCGCAGTCGAACCGACAGACATGGGCGGAGTCAGTCACGACAATAATCCGCGGAATGGTGCGTGCATTGTTTGTGGGCCAGTTATTTTTGGATACGCATGGGCAGCGGGCGTTGATGGGGGCTGAGCGGGATGGGATGTTTTAGGGCTGGGTTGGTTCTTTGTACAAGCATATCCGGGGGAGGGTACCTCCAGCATTGTTAGATGGCCGTTCTTTCATACTAAGATCATAACGAGCCCAAAAGACTCTCGTTCATATTAATATCATACCGAACCAAAAAGTTTCCACCCCAAAAAAAGTTTCGTGACAAGAGTGGGATTCGAACCCACGCCCCCTTGCGGAGATCAGGACCTTAACCTGACGCCTTGGACCAACTCGGCCATCTTGCCGGAACAATAGATCCAGGCCCCGGTAGTGGTTTGTTTAGTCATCTCCACGGGATCAGTCGTCACGGCCCCATTGTCCTACGCCATCGCCGTCGATCACGGCTTAGGCGCCAGGCTGAGCAGGCTGAGTGGGTTCTCGTATACGAGTCAGGAGCCTCGTCTTGGCGGGTTCTTTCCCTTTTTCCATTCAAGCTCGTCCTAACTCCACTTGCTCGGCCCCCTCGACTCCAATAGGCAGCCAGCCTAACGCTCCCCGTGTTGCCTCTCCAGAGAATTCGATGATTAACCTTTGCTAGCCCAGGGACAAGCCGCGCCACCATGACGCGCCAGGCTCCACCAGGCTCCCGCCCTGAGGCTCAATCCCATTCATGGGTAACCCGAAGGGGCCAAGACCCTGCTTCGCCCTCCAAGTAGTTTCAGGAACACTTTTCCTCTGGAACTGACTTGCCTCCACACTCCCTCCCTCTGCTTTCCTTTTCTCACCCCACTTCTACACATTCCTTTCTTTCTTTCTTCCTTTCTCTCTTGCCTTTTATTCTCCAATCGTGACGGTCGAGAATTGATCAACAAATAATGCTGCGTGCTCAAATCCCTTCTCCTGCGCCATAATGATGGCCCTCCCGAGCTGCTCCTTTCCGCGCCTGCAACGCGGCCTCCTGCTGCTGCTCTGTGTCCTTACCGCCCTCTCCTGCAGTATCATCGTCGCCATCTGGTATGGCATGAACACAGACCGCGAGTACATCCACCCCATCCTCACCCAGCTCATTCCCGCCGGCCACTGCGCGTGCCAGACCTCCACCACCTTCGAATGCTCCACCTGTCTCTCCTGCTCCGACACGGGTCTGCGCGACCAGTCTAGTCCCGCCCCCGTCTGGCGCTTCGATTACCGTCGTGATGGCCGTAACCAAGCCCTCGATCGGATGCAGTGCCAGGCTGCCTTCCCCGGCCTGTTTGAAGATGTCGCGCGTGGCGAACAATACTGGCGGTCACACGGCGCCCTGTCGACCGAGGAACTCGACGCCATCCCCATAAAAGAAGGCATGGCCCGTGCCTTTGTTTCCCACGGCAACCTCCACGTCGTTGCCGCCCGCGCCCACGGCGAGGACCACCGCCGGAAAATCCTGGGCGTCTTGAGCTCGATCCATCGTGCGCTGGCCGGCGATGGGGGTCGAGCTGCGAGGCGTGATATTGAATTCGTGTTTTCGGTGGAGGACAAGGTGGAGGATGTCACGCTCCCGGATCATCCTGTCTGGGTCTTTGCGCGCACGCCGACCGAGGAGGCCGTCTGGCTCATGCCCGACTTTAGCTTCTGGGCTTGGGACAACGACCACAACGCCATGGGGCCGTATGATCAAGTGGTCGAACGCGTCGAGCGTCTGGATATCCCCTGGTCAGAAAAAAAACCGCAGCTCGTGTGGCGTGGCAAGCCGAGTTTCGCGCCCAAGCTGCGTCGTGCACTGCTCGAGGCTGCTCGTGATCAGCCCTGGGGTGATGTAAAGCAAGTCGACTGGGCGACGGGCACGAATTTGCTCAAGATGGAGGACCACTGTCATTACATGTTTATTGCCCATGTTGAGGGTGAGTTCCCCTCCCTGCCTTTTTTTTGGTTGTTCTCTTACTAACAGCTTTCCAGGCCGGTCCTACTCTGCCTCGCTCAAATACCGACAGGCCTGCAGGTCGGTCATCGTCGCCCATAAACTCCAGTACATCCAACACCATCACTACCTCCTCATGTCCAGCGGTCCGAACCAAAACTACGTCGAGGTCGAGCGCGACTTCAGTGATCTCGGCGAGAAACTTGAGCATCTTGTCCGCGACACAGACGCCGCCCGGCGCATCGCCAACAACAGCGTCAAGACCTTCCGCGAGCGATACCTGACTCCCGCGGCGGAGGCGTGCTACTGGCGCGCGCTGTTCGACGGATACGCCAGTGTCTGGAACAGCTCGGTGAGCTCGTGGTCCGAGAGTCTTCACTACGAGCGCGGGCTGCGCTACGAGTCCTTCGTTCTGCTGGACAGCCAGCAGATGTTCGACTTTCGGGCCGAGACTGCGCCTCATGGATACACATAGACCATTATACATAGACCGATGGGGCCAGTCCAACCACTTTAATATGTTTGTTAATAGCTTGATTTGGGAGTTTGGGCACAACAGGCGTTCGGGGTCACATCATGTTTCGGACCCCTTGCTATTACCATGATACCATGTGAGCGTGAATAGAGACTATCGAGCATTCGTTCAGTGAGCAATTGCAACTCTTGCTTCTATACTCTCCAATGTAGAAAGATCCAAGTACATACTATGGTTCATTGCGGATGCTAAGATCCGGATAACACCTCCCTCCAATCAGTAGCCCGGCCTACGACTTGGCATTCAATTTAGCTCATTTAACCCCTGTTAGTACCGGTGGGTTATGAGATGAGTGCCTGCGACGAGACTGCCGCTTAGACGAATCGAGTAGCATGTCTGTTGCAGGTGTGAGAACTGGCCTGTCCTACTAGCCCTTTTCTGCGCAGTCAATGCAGTTCTGTCAGCAGGCAGTTAGTTCGTTTTACGCCGATTTGGAAGCATATTTTGGTGTCGACGAAGTGGTAAAGAAAATGGAGGGAGGGTGCTGATATCAAGGAGTCAACTAAACAAGCACAGACATCTGGTTTCTTGCTTGTGCTGACAACGCTGTTCATAGAGGGCCTGGTCCACCTTCCTTAATGATATGATTTCTACTTCCCAAAATCTGACTTGATCTTTCCCCCATTCAGAAAATGGTAGCGAGGATTTCTCAACCCGCCATAAAATCGGTCATTGACCCCGTGGCACCCCGGTTGGTTTCCCCCGCCAATGCCTGTCACACAAAACCCGGTCCCCTTCGCCAGAGCCACTGATAAACCGAGCCAGCCGCTCCGTAGAAACTCACAAGGAGGCACATGTGACCGGGATAGAACCTGGGGATATTAAGGGATAGGTCCTGCCGAGACATCTGGCTTTGCACATCTCAGGTATGTCTGTCCGATCTGCTGATCTGAGCCAGGACAGAAGATGAAGCAGTCGGAATGTCAATACTGTTTAACAAATGACGTAACTATGTTTATGAACCATTTGGTCATATGCTAGTTTTCTATTACGGTGATTAATGTCCAATGCGTAACAGACTATGTATTTTGTGATGATATAGAGGCTGGAGGTATACTGAAATGCACTGGCTCATAAGGTGAGGCTATAAGTTTAATCTCCTGGATGGCCTGGCCTGTCCGTATTAGTATTAACTATTACTGTACTAGAATAAGATTACATCTAGGACAGGAGCTGGACCAATTCCGCGAATTGCTCTTAACTATATATAGCAACATTGTGACTTTCATACTCAACTTGAAGTTCTAAATTTGCGGTAAAGAGCCTTGAAATTCTTACCTACTGGCATACTAAAGACACAGCGTGATTACAGATTTAATCTAAAAGTAAACCGGGCTTATAAATGACATTGATCTCTACTCAAGAGAGGCAGTAACCAAAGTTGATTAACAAGAAAAGAAGAAAGCATAAAAGATAGCTCCCCCATCCTCCAATCTAGTCGAAGTGAATCCGCCACAACTCCCGATCACAGTCACTTGTATAGCCAGTCCGCGTGTGCAGCATAGCGGTATTATCACTGATGAGCAAATCTCCCTTCTCCCACCCGAAGCGCAGACAGACTCGATGGTCGTATAGTCCCGAATCAATAACCTGCACAATAGCCTGATCGTCGTTTTCAATGGTGATTTTGCAGGTAGAGAACTTTGTCTTTGTCGAGTCCCACGGCTGATGCCAGCGTAGACATGGCTTTCCCGAGAGCGGATGTTTCACGACAAGCGGCACATTTGGGATTTTGGATTCCCAGAAGCCGTCATTATCCATAGCCCAAGTGACATTTTCAAGCCTCTCAGCGGTCCATGGAATAGGCAGGTATCGGAAGAAGAGGCGTGAACTGGCAAACAGTGTATATCCACTTCCTTTAGGCGCCGTAGCTGGACAAGTAAAGAACTGGTAGCCCGGTGGTCTTTGAACCTTGGTAGTCTCCCCGGTGACCGGGTCTTGCACCTCTTCAAACTTGAACATGCCGTCAAAGTGCATGGGCATTGCTTCATTTGATGTGACATTATTGCCCATCTTGTCGGACCGACCCGCGTCCCGCACTTTCTGGATGATGCCGAAACTCCACGGAAGAAGAGTCCCCAGCTCCTCAGCCTTTTCGACATATAGCTCTTCGTCGAGGGTCTCGGAAAACCCACGAAGAATAATTGGGGACATGCCATTTGAGAGTTTGCGGACCTTCCGCATGGGGATAGAGCGGAGAGATGGTGGTGGATTCACATTGTCGATATCTGCGGGTCGGATGATGAGACCGCAGGGGTAGAGATGCTCGAACTTAACAGACAGACCGTCATCGACCCAGTTGAAGATATCGGACTTCTCTCGGAAGTAATATGGCTGACCATTTTTAAAGATCAGATCATGCGTGTCGCGTACATCTTCTGCGTGCACTGTGCGATATGATCCATCTAGTCCGACAGCCACAGACGAATGCCACGGGGTATAACCCAATGCGCCTCGAACCTGGGGGATAAGAGAGATGGATAATTTTTTCTCGCCAGCAGACTGGTGAATTGAAAGTCGCACGTAGTCTTTCCGATTTGCTTTGATTGCGGCCGCGAACATCTTTCCGCGAACAATCATTTGCCGCGCTGTTTGAGCGATGTGGGCCTGTCTCGAGCGCTTCGACATCAACTGGTTTTCTTCTTGATGTGCCAAATCCTTGGTCAGGAACTTGATATATCCGCGATATGTAAGGCAGGTATCAGTGTCGGTTTTGATGGCCTCGTCGGCATCAAAGGTTGGGTCTCCAAAGGAGTACATCAGTTCCCGTCGTAGGCAGTTGGCATGCGCCAAGTAGGATGCTTTTGCAGACTCTGACGACTCGGAATGAAACCCCGGATGCTCGAGAAGCTCGAAGAGACGAATGAATTTGATATGGTGAAGTTCGTTCTCGATCGCCATCTTCCGCAACGCCTCTCCATAATCCCAGACAGTGTCATCAGAAACTCCAAGTATGTCTACTGAATGTCAGAAGTTTCACTTTGATTTTTCGAAACATTAAACTCACCATTGTAGACAAGCCCGTCCGAGCTAATGTATACATCGGCGCCAGGCTCATAGATCCGGGCGATATTCTGACACAATCCGTTCAAGTGGAAAAGCGCCAGCTGTTCGCCCAGATCAGGAAGCGTGCCTAGCACCTTGTCTCGCATATTGGGCGACTTGAATGGGAATGCGGGTAGAATCATGCGAATGGGTTCCTGTTTCTTGACCTGCGCGCGCACGATCGGAATGAAGGCGTCAAATCCCTTCCAGGAGCCACCCGGTTTCTCGTAGTCAACCCCATAACTTTCGATAAGCTTTAGAATGGCGATAGACATATTGCACTCTTCTGACTCTGTATTTGAAGTGGCATCCTGGGCCACGCCGCTGTTGAGTACATTTTGTGCCTGGCGTTGTATGTGGAAAATGCCGTTTGCGGTAACCACGCTAGGTGTGATGGACCTGTTGATGGGGGTTGACCCAAATGACAGCGTCGCATCGTTCGACGAGAAGGTGGCGTCTGTTCCATTAACAGGCATTAACTTTGCCCCCTCGGGAATTATTCCATTCTGATCTGTCGCCGCGCTATGCGAGGCCGAAGACACAGCGGAGAGTGGCGTCAAGACAACCATCCTGTTTTTGTCTCACAAACAAACGTATACCGCAGAAGGAATGACCGCAATTGAGATTTTTTTTATCTTGCACCTATGGGTTGGTGGTCAGGAAGGAGCGCATTTCCTGCCAGACCGGCAGGTGCTATATAACCGGGAGCAGAAGTTTGATCCGATCCTTGAGCCACAGGCATATTTTGTGCTGATATGATTCTGTCTAGTCACTGTACTTCAAACTAAGGACTCTAAACTTACATAAGAGGCTCTTCTCAGGAAGTATTAACTTAGATCATTCATTGTCAATTCTGTGCGACCTACTTGTAATTCTCACCCCGCTTACAGTGACGAAAATGGAAAATGGACAAGAGTTGTGATGAAGTCTGTCAGCAACGTTCGGACAATAAAAATGAACTAATGGAAATTCCTGGAATGATGTGAAGTATGTTAGCAGGGGCAAAGTCTGATCACCGCATAGATCTAGATGGTCCGCGGGATCTCAAATTTGCATGTGTATCAGTCAAACTAACATGGGGTCTCCAGCATGGACTGGTGCGACGATTCGATACTCGCAAAAGGAAGCCACATGGTCCACGGGAAATAACATCTCTAAAGGAGCAATTCAAGGAACCTGCCCAATGACGGGCAACCATGGAGTGCATCCACAGTCCCTTGAAAGTCCTATTGAGAAACAGGCTGTGGTAGAGGATCGTGACTGCATTCGTTCTATCTATGTGTATGTATCAACCAATCTGGTATTACTGTTCCAACTCTTTCCAGTCATACTCCATCACCCTCGCTATGAAAGCTGCCATATCCGGACTAGTTAGCTGGCTGACAAGGTAAAATGTGGCATCAAGGCCAGAACTAATTCCGCCAGCAGTAATGAGCCTGACAGCGCCACCCTCAAGAAGACCACTATCGATATAGCGCCTAAACTCCACTGTGGTGGGGGCGGCGCCCTTATTCGCTCGGGAGCATATATCGCGCAGGGTATCAAGATCCGTATGGTGGGTGGTGACTGTAACCCCAGCGAGAATCCCAGTTGCACCGAGTAAGAAAGCGCCAGTGCAGACAGAGAATAAAATGCGGTGGTGGGTGGAGGACCGTTGCGGGAGGCCTGAAAACTTGCGGATGACATCCAATTCCGGCGCCCCGGTATCGAGCAACGTGTGAATCACTGAAGTGGGTCCACCGGGTACGATCAGGATGTCAAAACTCGAGATTGCATTGATCGCTTCGCCCAAAAGAAGATCCACGTTTACGGCCAGAGAGCCTGCGGCTCTGATACTGGGCTTTCGAGCAATGGTTTGCATCTTGAAGATCCGATCTGGATTATCTGAGCTGCGATTGTGCGAGGTATGAGACAGGACCTCCATTGGCGCTGCAAAGTCGAGGATGTCTGCGCCATCGAAGACGATTACTCCAACGTTGTAGTATTGCTTTGGAGTGGTCATGGTTTTTCACGTGCAATAGTGCGGTATGAGGAACTGTGGAGAGATGACGCTGCTTAACGAACAAGAGGGGAGATAAAAAGCGAAGTTCGTTAAAAGATGGTAAGAGGTGTAAGCTGCCTCTGATTGAGGGGGGTGCTGACAGGGCCGACGATGGTTTGTCACCATCAGATGCTGTCCCACCCCATGGCCTCCGTCCCCGCCGATTTGGGGACTGGAGCGGCCCCGAATATCAATTGTTTTGCTGCATTGGGCGCTGGAAACCTAGAATCCCTGGCTATTGCTTGTATAGACTGCAAGGTAGCTCGGTAGTTGGCATGTGCACGTATTTGGTTTTCCTGGTCGACACAGGAGGTACAGTCGCCGATGAGAATATCCGCAACGCAATTTCCACCGTTTTCTATGCTTTCTTAAGGATTAATATTCATTTGGAAAAGTTCTTTAAGCGTAAATGCTCAAGTTTAAAGAAGTTAGGGCTAGCTCGGGATGTGGGCAAACCCCGCTCTCCCCGAATCGCCGGCTACTCTTTACGGGTCTGTCGGATTGGTGGGGGAATAAAAACATATTAAATGCAAAGAGCTCAAGAGAGAAACTTCATATATGTAGAAAATACAGTGCAGCAACAATGGTAGGCCACCAACACGATGATGACCACTTCTCTATCAACAACATCCCGTTCGGGGTAGGCTCGTCCGTCAACCACCCAGTCCCTCAATGTGTCACTCGGCTCGAAAGAGCCATTATCTTCCTTGGGGACTTACAGCAGTCAGGCGCCTTCTCTCACGTGCCCGGTCTACCAGAGGGCATCTTCGAGAAATCGACGTTGAACGAGTATGCAGGCTTGTCGAAGGACGTCCAGCGTGAGGTTCGGAAGCTGCTGCAGTCATACTTGACAGGTGTTCTGCCTCCCAATAGCACCGAGAACTTTGAAGATGTTACGATGCATCTGCCTGTGTCTATAGGCGGATTCACAGACTTCTCTTGTAGTCTCCACCACGTCAAGAACGCCGGCCGAGCGATCTTAAACGACGACACGCCGCCCCCGGGCTTCTTCAATTTCCCCATCGGATACAATGGCCGGGCAAGCACTATAGTCGTTTCTGGGACGCCGATTGTTCGGCCACAGGGACATTTCTATGATCGCACTGCATCGACCGAAACGAAGCCTATTATCTTCGGGCCTTCGAGGGCGGTGGACTACGAACTAGAACTTGGGGTTATTGTCGGCAAGAGCGTTCCACGACTCCAGGGATTGAATGCAAAGGATGCTGATGAGCATATATTTGGCATGGTCATTTTGAATGACTGGAGTGGTAGGTTGGCAACTTTTCCCGATATCCTTAGTCAAGGCAGCTTGCTGACCCGTCGCGTCTAGCGCGCGATATTCAGGGCTGCGAGATGGTCCCTCTCGGCCCCTTAAACGGCAAGTCGTTCGCTACGACCATTTCTCCCTGGATCGTCACATTGGACGCGCTTGAGCCGTTTAGAGTTCCTGGTACTGAGCACAAGGTCCCTATCGCAAGTCATTTGGAAGACGTGACCCTTTCCAACTATGACATAAATCTCAAGGTGCATATTCTCGTTGGAGACCAGGAAAACTTAATCAGCGAATCCAAGACTACGGATCTTTATTGGAGCGGTCGGCAAATGGCTGCCCACCTAGCCAGCTCGGGTGCCGATCTGCAGACTGGTGATATTCTGGGTACCGGGACTGTTAGTGGAGATTATGATAAGAGTTTAGGCTGCTTACTGGAAGTGACCAAGGCTGGGAAAGAGCCGCTTCCCCTTAGGGATGGCTTGACGAGGCAGTATTTGCAGGACGGGGATGTGGTTCGAATGAGCGCCATGGTAGGGCTGCCGGGCGATGGGGTTGGGTTTGGCATGTGTTTGGGAGAGCTGCTGCCGGCACGCAACTTGTAGAATGTTGAATGTCAGCGATACTGTTTCTATGGATTATAGCACGTTCTTTGGAAAAAATGTGCCCAAGGGCAGGTTGACTACCTACGAATATACTCAAATGGAACCTCGGTTGAAAGAACTAATGATTCGTATCCAACTGAAAATTTATTCGTGCTGAAGCATGCAGATAAAGTGCAATTCGCGGTTGAGTAGATATAAATGAAATGGAGTTAAACAACCATGAACACCTTGGCCATTCTCCAGGGCAGATTACCATCGATATACGCCAAAGACTAGTCCGGCGCCATGCTGAAGAGGAATTAGAAGACAAATCAGAGTAATATAAAAACAGTCACTGTCAACTCCACAGCGGGGGATGAATGTACTCTGCTGCTCGATCGAGTAGATTCGGCATGGTCCATTCCCCGCTAGTAGTACTTTCTGGCGTGGGAGGCGGCAGAGAACTGACAGAAGGTGTCATTCCAGCTGACGGGGGAGGAGCAAAAGGGGTACTTTGGTAGGTGTTCGACTGGTTGGGAAAGGCATCTGTACCGGTGGGACCGCTGCCAGATCGGATAGCCGGATTGCCCACCGCATTGAGGAGCTTTTGGAGAGCACGATGTGTCTTTGCCAGTGATTTGGCCCACTGCGTTTGAGTATCTGAGCCAGGGACGGCGGCGAGAGAAGTTGGATCTATGACGGGGTTAATGAAGGCTGGTGGGTTTGTGGCACCTGTAATCGGGTCATAGGTGCCGGGGCCGCGAGACGGAGATCCCAGTGTAGCGGCATTTGCGGCGACATGTCCTGTATCATAAACGCGTTCAATACTGGCCCGTTCAGCGATTATGACCTCTAACTGCCGCAATAGGGTCCAAACTTTAGGGTCTGATTTGGCCTCCTCGATGACAGCCAGTAGGAAGGCGGAACTGATGGCTCGTTGTAAGGTAATCCAGGAACGTGCGGCATGAGTGCTGATGTTATGCATTTCAATGTACGCCTCAACAGTGGCCATCAAGTTGTAAATGCAGTCTCCACGCATGCTAGCGGTGTGTCGGTCATTGACATCGGCTGTCGGCTTGAGCGCAGGTCGGCAGAGCTCAGATGCAAAGTATGACGAGTGAAGTTTAAGCACAACACGCTCGAGATGTTGAGTGACCGTGGCGCAATATTGACTGTCGCGCAAATAGGGTTTTGCTTCGAGAATAATCTTCTGGATTCTTTCCTTGTAGCCTTGGATGCTTTCGAAGCTTATCTGCGCATGCGGACTAAGCATTCGGATCCGAACAACCTCCAGCGCCAAGGAAATAACCCGGCAAAGAGATTCGAAATACAAATATTCGCCTGGCTTGGATCCTTCCCGATACGCTATGGCGGGCTGGCTAACGGCTGTGGTCGAGGGTCGATCATAGGAAAGCGAGAAATGGCTGTCTTGCCACGCCATAGACCACCTGCTCATATCAGTATCTGTGCCAAATGAATAATATTGCCAAAAAAGTCTTACCAAACGTGTCGTCGACGATATCGCTCCGCAGACGAGAATCTGGTCGAATCAACATGCAAACCAAGGGCCAATCCCATCCGAAGTGTCATGCCAAGCAGAACATATGAGATTCCAGGGTTCATGTTGTACGATAAAACGTTTCCAATCACCAAGAGAGTTTGGATAGCTTCAATGTTCGGTTGAGACAAGAAATTGTTCATCCGCAGACATTGGTAGGAGCAGCACACTGAGCCAACAATTAGTGGAATGATATGGCGGGAATGTAATATACCAAAAAAAAGGCAACATACCGTAGACCTGCGATGTCAATTCTCTTTCTTTACTTGAAAGATCTGATGACTGGCATCCAGAAGCAAGAACGGCAAACAGTAAACCCAAATATGCGATGCTGACGCCAAAGGGCTTCTGAGCTTCATCTGTGTCCGCGCGATAGACACCTCCTATTGAAGCTCGAGTCTGTAGGAGAAGCTCGAGAGTATTTTGAAATTGAGGAACATCTTCGAGGACCGGGTAAATAGCGCCCGCATAATCTCTGTAGTAGTAATACAACCTGTTTCGAATAACATTAGCTGCCATCGCCATAGACCAAGTTAGAGGGCTACCCACTCTCTGCACTGTTGATCCGTCGGAAGAGCACTGCAGACGGCACTGATGTCAAAAGTTGACATGTCCGACGACCATAGGTCGACAAATGGATAAGTCGCAGATTCATTATCAAGGCCCAGTTTTGGGAGTATCCCGCCTTCCAAAAGCGCCTGGAGCTGGTCTGACCCAGATTTATTGTTCAAGATGTAAGCCAGAACAGACCGTGATCCGAGGTGCACAGTGCCTTTCCCGAGGGTATTTGCCGCGTGGATCCCCTCAAGTTCAGGGGATGCGCCCTTTGACCGGGAGCTTGCATCTCCACTCTGTACGCTGCTGGTCTCTATCGGCGGCTGATAGCCATCCTCCACGCGGTCCAGACCAACCCGCAGACTCGAGATTGTCGACTCCATTTCTCTCAGCCTGTTCCGCATGTTGTCCCATTCATCGCGAGCTATAGACACACGCCCACCAGCGCTAGCACCATTTTGGCGACTCGAAGAAGGTTCGGCATTCGGATGTAGCTGGTCATCGTCATAACTGTAAACCCCGGAGTGATCGACAGATCGGCTTTCGTGAACCCCTGGAGCTCGTTTCTTGATAGGTCGTTCGTAGGAACAGATATCGGCGTGATCGCGCTTGACACAGCCGTCGCATGGTAAATTGCGATCGCATTTGACTTTGCGCGCATGGCACGGATAGCAAGCTTTCGGCTCGCGTGCCTTGCGCTTCGTTCTGATGATCGCATCCACCTGATCCTGGGGTAGATCATGCACAGCTCTGTTGGACGCGGACATTTGGGAGCCAGCGGGTGTAGAGAAGGATGTAGATGGCTGATATGGCGACGCCATTGCGTCTTGTTGTCGGGTTGCTGGGGTTGTCGGAAAGACCGAAAGAGCGTCTTACCCGAGCAATGACGGCATAGGGGCGGAAGACCGGAGGTAACACGGGTAGAGCGATTAACTGGCAATGAGAGAATCTCCTGTCAGTCCGTCAGTCGCGCATGATGGACTGGACAATTGCTCGGAACTGGATTGGAAATCGGACGCGGTCTGTTCCACGAGATCGGGATGGAGCGGCAGATAAGATGGGCACGTGATGTGGGGCAACCCGAATGCGGAAGTATGCCCTTACGTCAACGATGATTTAGATGGTTGGGTTGGATGCAATATGCATGAATGAAATTCGGTACAGCCTGCTAATTATAAATTACATTCAGGTGCTAACTGAGCATGAGAGCCTAGTAGTCTAGGCCTTCTCATTCTGAACACCCTCGGCACTAGGCGCCTCCTCGGCTTGCTTGCGAGCTTTGACATCCTCAATTTCCCGTGCAAGACGAGAATCTCCCTTGCGTGTTTTCCAAGCCGGGGGGCCATCCTTGGAGAACATGAACTCAATCTCTTCCAGGGTCTTACCGCACGTCTCAGGATATAATCCAAACACCCAACCAGCCATGAAGATGCAAAGGGTCCCAAAAATCATGAAGACCTCCCACTGGATATTCTGGAAGCCGGGTGGTGTAAACAAACCCAAGGCAAAATTAAAGAGCCAGTTGCCAAGTGAGGCAATACCCATACCCGTAGCTCGTGTGCCGAGAGACCAGACCTCGGCAGCGTCTATATTAGCGTAGGTTAGTACATTCAACAAAAGCTGGTGGGAATGACATACAGATCCAACACATTGGAGCCAGTGTAATCGAATAGGCGACAATGAGCAGATAACTGAAGGTGATAACAGCATTCTGCGCATTCTTACCCACAACTCGGAAGTTGACATTGGGATTGCCACCAATACCGCCAGGGACCTGTAGTCGCAGAGTTAGCAGATTGCTTCTGCTCAAAACAGCATATACCTTACGTTAGCTTTGTTAGTGGCCATGATGGCACCAACGATGAAGTGACAGAGACCCATGCTGAGAGCGCCCGAAATCAGCAGGCTGCGGCGTCCAACTTTGTCAACGAACAAGAAGGTAATGCCGGTGAAGATGATGAATACAGCGTACTAATATTGTCAGGAACTCCGTTCATGTGAATAAGAAGATTGCGTACCTGAATGCCCGACGTGATCATAGCGACGTTCCCAGTAAGGCCTGCCATTTCTGCAATGTATGTCAGGTAATAAACCATGACGTTGGCTCCCGAAAGCTGCTGCCACATTTGGACGGTAAAGCCAGCCAAGGTGCGCTTCCACATCCCCCTGAAGAACAACTTTTGTATAATGTTGCCAGCGTCATTCTCGGCCTGATTTGTTATCGAGATCTCCTCCCATTCAGCGATAACCAAAGGATCATTCACGTCCCCATTAGCTTGGATACGTGCCAGCACTTCGATTGCCTCCTTCTTCCTGCCCACTTTGGCGAACCAACGTGGTGACTCAGGAAGGAATGGGAGCAGAAAAAACATGAGAACTGAAGGGATCCATTGCATAGCCCATGCGACCCTAAAAGAAGCAGGCCCAGAGATGAACTGGAGCACACAAATGTCAGCTTCCTCATTTTCATACGCAACTTGGTTCATGCTTACCGAGCATCCATAACTGAGGAAGTACATGATTAGAATTCCAAACTCACAGGCAAGCTGTTGAATAATAACTACAGTGCCGCGACTTTCTGCCTTTGCGATCTCAGCAAGGTAGACGGGTACTTGTGAGGTGGTCACTCCAATGCAGAGTCCGTTGATGGCACGGCCGGCAATCAGCTGGCCCACTGAACGGGACGAAACCTGAACAGCGGTTCCAATGAGCCAGAACCAGTTGGCATACCAGACCGAGTCGCGGCGGCCAAACCTGTCTGAGAAGTAACCGGCACAAATACTGCCTACGACAGACCCAGCCGCCAAGGAAGAACCAATAGCGCCCTGTATCACACCAGCCGGAGCGTTGAAGTAGGAGAGATACTGTTTGCTGACGTCGACGGCCGAGATAGATGAGATATCAAATCCGAAAAGCATTCCACCAAGTGTAGCGATGACTGCTACTGCCCAGACGTTGTACGCTATAGATGTGTCAGCATGTGCATTACGAGGGTGGAATTGAAAAGATATGTGTACTCTTGGGCATTTTGTCGAGCCAGGACATTCTGTTGGCACCTCGTGGGCTCGCTGGTAACGCAAAAGTGCTCAGGAATTGAACTCACTAGCCCACTGAAGCGGGGGAGTGCAAAACACGGGGTTTACGCTGCGACTACGTCAAAGCAAGGTATTTAATGTTTTGTCTCCAGACGCTTGGTCCAGTATACTCCGGGGGGAACCCGGGGTTAGCGTACGCCATGTGGTAATCCCGATGCTGAGTGTCAGAGGATCTGTTGTACCAGTCGTGGGGGCAGGATTTCGCTAACTACGATTGGGTCGAATCCGACGTTCTATGCATGCTCAACCAGTTGAGTGGCAAATGGAGCTTTGACGTGGATTTGAGATGCATTGTTGGACTTATCCTCTTGAGGCAAATATCCGTGGAGGATAATCTCACCACTTACCCGTTTGATAGAGCTGAACGGATAAGTGGTGCCGGTCGGACGAAAATAATTCTGACGAGGGCGAGTATAATTTCAGTAATTCAAGATCATGGAAAACCGAAACTAGTAAGGTTGGACAGTAATTGGTTTTACCTTTTAATCCGCATCAATGCTCCATCAATGTAGCCTTAGGTTGTGCATAAAAATAGGGAGGGGTAATCAGGTTACTCAAGGAGCAGCTCGGGGTGGCGTGGAGACCTACCTTATACTTCGGGGGCCGATCGCTCCCGGAGATGGTAGTCTTCCCGTCAACAGTATCACTACTCGGGGAGTAGAAAGAAACAACGGGTAGTTAAGCACTGAAAGGGAAAGACGAAGTGTTCCAGTACGGTCTAGAATCAGGTGTACATGCGTTAGAATCTGATTCCGATCAAGCAGATACCGAACTGAATATCACTTCTCAGCCCCAAGATTCGGGAAAGAAACAAGCTCGCGCCAAGAGCCGATGTTGCTTAGCTAGCGTAGGATGTCAATCGCTAGTCGTTATTCTGCCTACTTGAAACCCGACTGCATTGAACACTAGCGGGCGTATTTGAACCCTCTAGGAGAGAAGCGTAAAGGGAGGAGATGACAAGTTGGCGTTTACTCTGAAACTAATTTAATGGGCCTCTGAGAACCTGCCATAAGGTCGTAAATAGTTGCAAGCGTCCTCGATACTTGAATCATCGAAAGACACTCTCGAATAGTACCACCGATTAGGGCCGATGACGGGACCACAAGACCGATCTGTCTTCTGGAATTGAGAAGGCCCTTCTCACACAGGTTTGCATGGTCGATCAAGACAGAACCAGTTGAGGGGTTGTCAAGTCGTTCGACAAGACTTCAGACAGTGCTCTTGCCGCCACCACCCCCTCCAACGAGGGCGGTGAACTGTCCATGATTGCCGCAAACATTTACCAAATCTCGGTGCTCGGGGAGTGGATAGACGGCAGCTTTTTCTGTGGTCATTGATGCCTCAGTAGTTGACAGATACCTGATGAATGCGATGGAATCATTGTCAATCTTTCACTCAAGGCAGTCGGGATAAGACTCGATTGGGCTGCAGTTCCTAGAGCGCTCGTCAGTCCAAAACTGACAGACAAATGCAAGACGTCCCAAGATCCAGTGGAGAAAAATTCAATTCAAGCCTTATGAAATGCTCTCTGGCTGGATTACAGCTGAGCTAGCGGTCCTGAGTCCCTTGGGCCACCATAGAATCTCAACTGTGTGAGATTATGTGAATGGTGATATTTGCACCTAGCGACCGTGCGAGATAAGAGCTTGAAGGGAAGGTCTTAAGAGGAAAGGGGTACTGTGGGAAAGGGTGTCTGAGACTTTCAAAGAATTGCTCGCGTTTCAGTCTTGAGTCGGACATAAGGTCTGTGTTTTCAGCTTGGTGATTTCCAACATAGAAATGAAATCCAGTAGGGAGAAATTACCATCTTATCTTTGCTTACGGTAACGTCCCATGGGTATACCAAACAATCCAGTTCCCGAGGCATGATCCCCGGTTAGAAGGCAAGTACATTATTAAGTAGACAATAATAACTATCGCTTAGGAAGAAGAGAGCCGAAAAATACATTGAGCACCACAAGACAGTGGAACTCGCAAGAAAGCACAAAACACATAAAATGAAATAAGGATTGATGAGAATTGGTTTCTCCCCTACCGTCTGTGGCATCAATAATCAGATCCAAGCGTATTGATTCCGCCGCTTCAGTAGCCGTTCATTCGAGTACCGCAATGCGGGCAGAATGGGCTGGTGATCGAGGCTCCACATTGACCACAGAATCTGACTGTTGTCTCTGTTGCCTCTTTCGGAGGAGGGGTATTAGGATATGGCGTAGTCTGCTGTGTGTCGGGGTATACCGGTGACTGAGAGGCCAAAGATCGAGCGGCGTATTGTGCGCCGGGCTCCGGAACAGGATAGGTTGGTCGAGGTGCAACAAAAGGCTGTGCATACTGTTGATTTGGGCCCTGCATAGTAGGGGCACTGACATATTCAACAGCCCTTTGAGCATGACGCCGCTTGACACAGAAGATAATGAGGAGGATCCACGCAGTGAGTTTCAAGACCGCGCCAATTGCAAAGCATGCAATCCCGCCATAATATTCGCCGTCATTTCCCTCGCAGTAGTCATCACTGTAGTCGGTGTAGTAGGAAAAGCTGCTGTAGCAGTCTGAATAGGAGTTGGAAAGGTAAGTGCCAATAAGTGCACCGCCAATAATGAAAAAAACAACAGCAGATATAAAGAAACTAATTGGCCACCATTTTGAAATTTGCCTTGATTGATGCATGCCTATAGCAATGTGGGCACAGTTTTGTGGTTTATGATAGGTAGTAGGAATGAAGAGAAACAGAAGATGAGCCGGGTCGACGAGCACAGGCTGGGGACGAAGCTAGCCTTTAAGGCAGGGAGGGCATGTACCGTATGATTAAATTATCGTGCGGCTGCGGCTCAGTGTGGTGGCGGACCCAATGGACCCACATCGAGCCGCTAGATGTAACGAAGGAGGCGCATGTTTGATGCATCTCGTATCCAGAGATGGCTCGGCCACAGTCTTGAGTTTCGCGAAGTAAAAGGGGCCGAGTTGGCGTTTATGCTCCTTATAATCTCTATTTTAAGAGTTCTTACTACTCTCAGTTACTCCATAGCCTGCTCATTGCTTTCTAATTGTGCAATTCAATCCGCATCTTCGTAAATGTCCCTCGAATACGGGCCGTTCCTCTCACCACCGACGCAAGGATCTGATCGACATTACTGAACCCCAATACGATCTAGTATCTCCCCGAACACGAGGCTGGCCCATTCGAAGGCTTGCGAACAGGGATTCGATCCAATCATGATTCGTGTGCGGAGTAGGTCTCGTCAATTATACGGAGTAACTCTAGGTGACGATGGAAAGGCAATGGTTGTGCGTGGTCTTTAAATCTGAAAGCGTGGCCTTTCCACGCTGCGAATCGTTTAAGAGAACCGAAGTCGACTATACCTAGTTTTGTCTTAGGTCTTATCTCGTTCAATGCAGCGGTCGGTACACCAAATTAGTCGGCGCGTACATCAGGAGTATGGTAAAGCATTTAAGGGCAACACTGTGCCCTTGTAAATATTTTGTTTTTAAGGTGTTTTGTTTATCAGAAAGTATAAGCCTATGGAAGCTTTTCACATTCTTGTACGCCTCTTAAAAGATTTTAGGCGTACCTTTTTTCTAAATGCCTCGAATCAAAGCAAAGAACCTAGAAGAGGTTGATTAGAATAGCTTCGTTCAATAACCTAATAGTAAAGTTGAAGGTGACTTCGAGGATTCAACAAAGCGAAATATACTTTTCGTGAAACGAAACTTTCAAAAATAGATTGCCCTTACGCAGAATTATTAGTGGCTTATACTTATCTAGATTTTCGTTGAACCTCAAACCACCGAATTATGAATACTAGATTAAAAATATCACGCTAAGGATAGTCGAAGGCTTCCTTCGCTAGTATCTCGAACCTATAATGTTAAATATTAGTCTAGATTTCTAGTCTTTGTGCGATACTTCTAGATATTTTAGTACGAAGAGATGGATAGTCTCTTCCCTTAAGATCTTAGGCATGGGATGACTAAGGCAAGCTTCTCCTTCCTATTAGACAAGGATAATAGCTGACTTAATTAGCTAGTATATACTACTCTAACTAATAAGTTGTTATGGGACCTTCGTACGAAGTCCTGATATTGTTATACTCACCTAAAGCTTCGTGACTGTTGACCGCCTTTTAGTTCTGCCGTGTTTACCCGCGTATCTTGTTTCCCCTTTCTTTCTTCCCATTTCTCTTTCTTCCCTTCTTTAATGAATCCTTCTTGTGCATAGGACATACCATCAATTGACACAATTTGGCCTGATCCCTAACATCCAGAGCTTCTAGGTCGGGGGAGCATTGCAAATTCCCTTTGGTGCCCATGAGCACTGACTTAAATAAGCCGCTAGATAAACTATTAATATTGGAATCGTTCCTTAAATAAGGCCCAGGGTACTTGCCTCCAGCATCGTAAGCAAGCGTATCTGAATGAGTCGAATAATTAGTTCATCATTAGGATATTAACCATCTCGAGATACACCATTGGACCCTTACCAGCGTTTCGAACCATCTTCAAAGGATTGTTTTGAGAAACTCTCGCAAGCATCGCTACTCCTTCGGCTTGGTATGCTTCACGCCCAGGAGAAATTTCAACATCGTCTAGGGCCATTCAATATAGACTTAGCTCTTGTTCTCCTGAAACTACGGGGTTTAACTTACCGAGATTGATATTTTGCTCCACCTGGTTACCGTTGTCATCCACATCTATAAAACTGAAAACATGCTCGGAGTGGGAAAGTTCATGAAAGAGTACACCTTCCGGGCAATCCCCCATAATATCATCTAGATGTTTTCCAATCATGTCGTTTAGGCTCAGGGCACGATAATCGGATAGGTAACGTAAGTCATCTCCAGAGTCAGACTGAGAACCGGAGTCAGAGTTTGAGTCAGACCCGAGCCATTTCTCGAACATGAATGGGCAAATAAGCATCCAGTCACTAACAGCGCCAGTTGTTGGGTGAAGCATTGCAGCAAAGACGTCTTCGTCGTCACATATTCCAGACTCCTCCCCAAAGCTCATAACTACCTCTCTGTTATTTGAATCCAGGTTGTTTCTGTAGAATTCTAGACATATTTAGTGACGGAACAGAGCAAGGCTTCTATAGGTGAAGGCAAGGCAGGTGGAGGGACTAACTGTAGTCATTTTCAGACCTCTCATATATGAAATGTTCATCGGTGCAGAAAATAGTAGGTGCGTAAGTCCCAGAAAACGCGAAATCGGATATGATTTTGTCAGTCCCTGAGAAAAGAAAGAGGTTAGTAGAGGCTTCGAATTTTTCTGTTGGCGAAAAGACATGAGGGATGGCTCACTCCGGATAACATCCACCACTTGGTCAATTCTGTCTATATTACCCGAGACCTCACACGAATCAGTATAGTCAAAATCTCCATAGAACATCTTGAAAGTGTTCATTCGGTTTTTGAGCGCAGAGGTCAACTGGGCTTGATTGATAGTTAGCTAGAATCTCCTCCGATGAAGCAATTCTCAATGGCCGTACGATTCTGATCATTCAGTACCCCATTCAAATAATCTTGCACACTAGCCAGGGAACTTCGTTGGACCTCGAGCTACCAACTCTATCAGCTTTCGAGTCGCCACTCCACGAGTTCGGGAAGGAGGATTAGTACCATTCTTGAACATTAGAAAAGGATGTTTTAATCACATTTTCCTGGGTTGCGTCGCATCCCACAAATATAAATTGTTGGAAGAACGAGGTTCTTGGAACTAGACTTGTCGAGTTTATAGAACTGTTCGGAAGAGCACTGGTAAGACCAACAATAAAAAGGAAATGAATGAAGTTCCCTGCGCCTGAATAGCCAGACAGCCACTTAGAAGTGATAGAAGGCCTCATAGTGATTTCCAAGTACAGAAAACTTGAAACACAACAAGACTGCCAGGAGGAAAAGGAGACAAGCGAAGGAAAGTTCGAATCTTATTTCAATTCCTAAGCGTAAAGGCCAAAGCTCATAGTATTAACATTCAAAATACATACCCGCCCCCTAATTAGTCGGGCCATCACCTGCTCACCTGCTATCACCGCTCTCGCAGGTGATGGCCCGACCAATTATGGGGCGGGTATTTGTGTAATTTATTTCTGAATAAACCACAGTGAAGTTTGAAATCGAATATAAAAATCGATATTCACTCGTTTCGCCCATACACGGGAAGAAAAGGGGCCGGTAGCAGAGCTGTCCCGGACCGGCCCCCTGAACTTGAGATTTCTTTTAGCCCCAATGGCCCCAGGCCGGCCCCAACAGCTTTCCTTCGCCTTATATCCACTTTTAAGGTGGTACACACGCAAAGATCGTGTCTGGTGAACAAAGAGAGGCTAGATAGGTGGGCCACAGGATTCGCTTAGCCAAATTCACAAGAACCTCAACGTGGAGACTAGGCACTAGTTTTACCACGGCTCAGTTTTAAGGACACGTGTATTTCTATGTTAAATATGACCAAGATGAGTGAATGATTCTAAGGGGCTAAAAGTTTCCAACCTCAACCAGGCCAGTTTTTAGTGAAACAGCGCCTAATTGATGAGGTTAAAGATGCCGTAAGGGCAAATCCTTTTCAAAATCTCATTTCATTCTGCCTGACATCTCTCAATCTACTCCACAATGTCTTTCACCACATCATTGTCGGATACTGTTTTCTTAACCCCCGAGTTGCTGGAAATGGTTCTACTACAACTAGATCTACGAACACTTCTCACCACTGCCCAACTGATTTGTCGTACCTGGATCAATTTGATCAAAGAGTCTTCATCTATTCAAAAATACCTATTTCTAATCCCTGATAAGAGGGTCGATGAGATTCAAAATCCGTTGCTAGCAGAGGCCTTTCCTGCATTCTTCCCAAAGCCGGGAATATGTCCGCCAGAGACGGACACATTCACGCTTTCGACACTCGATATGATACGGAATCCCACCAAAAAAATAGCTTATGTGCGAAAAGAAGCAAGCTGGAGGAAAATGCTTATACAGCAACCACCAATATTCGAGGTCGCTTTCATAAGAACCCGCCAAGCTATGAGAAGTCAATCTTATTCCTCATATGAGATCCTGGTGAGTTACCAGATTGTTTTATTTTATTGGATATTATTTCTTTAGGTTCTGACAAAGTTTAATTAGCCTGTTCAAAATGGACATCCTTATCATGATGGTGGTATTCGTATGCAAGTACTTTTTGATTGGCTACTGTTCAGCAAACATACATCTTTGGGAGAAAACGCGTCAACTAATGTTTACTGGCACGGATACACTCCGATTCCAGTTACAAAGGTGGAGCGAAACCCAAAACTGACTACCGGTTTTGAGCGTATTGTTGGGAAATATAAAGTTGTTATTTATACAAGATACGCTGTGCGCCACATAGGGAGGCATGTTCCGCCCAAGAGCAAGGAGGAAGTCTTGAAAGACGAGATTATTTCTTGTTATGGGGATTCCAATATTGGTGCAAATAATTACTCATTTGAGGAGATTGACATCAAGGAAAGCATGCTAGAATAATGAAATGTCTGTCACTATTTCCAAGGTCCACTGTTGAAGTCCCGGGAGGGATAAATATAGGCTCAGGAGAGTAGTCGATTTTGCTCGTCATTTCACCTACAAGCTCCAGCGTAAAGGAGCGTGCTTGACTCAAAGATTGCCGTCATTTGCTCTCCTAATTGCCCTGGGCCCTTATCTCCTGATTTTAAAATTGAGTATATCGTTTTATGAAACGCCTCCCTGAAACCTTCAAATTTCAAACCCAAAAATCTATAGAAGCGAAGAGGATAGACGTAGAGAGACTACTAGCAATAATTAAATGGTTTCATAAATTAGAGGGTGAGATAAATGCCCTCAAATTCGGACCACGCAATATCTACAACGTCGACGAAACTAGCTCCCAACTCGGCTAGGGAAAATCCTAGAAAGTTGTGACTAACTTCCTAGATAGGAAAAAGCATGCCCTAACTAGTGGTATAGGGAAATTAGTGATAGGAATCGAATGTATCGTAGTAGATGGTTAGATAATACCTCTAATGATATTATATGCTAGCATAGTTCACCTTAAGAATTAGTATCGATATTAGCCAGATTTACCTAATGACTATGTCATTACGACGTCGCTAACGGCTAGAATAATAAGGTAAGCGCTTATTTAATTAATTAATTAATGAATTAATCAATTAATTGATTATTTAGGTCCGCGTATATCAATAGTTGCAATATTTTAATAAGTATACAAAACCACGACTTCTATAGCGTATAGACTATCGATTATTATTTGTTAATAGCCATAAGTCCTATAAGGAGCTCGATTTCATCAATTATTGCTATTATAATCGGATACTTCTATACTATTTCCCTTCTAAACTTACCTACCGTCTTTAACCTCTCGATTCTAAGCCCTTCTAGGCGTATAAGCACTATTATCAGAGGGAGAATAATAGGACTAAACTATAAGGTAGGTCAGTTACAGAGAAGAGGGATTTTCTTCATCAAATCTATAGGGTTCCAGCATTCATTCAAGCACTATAGGCTTTAGCCCTTCGATCCTAAGGTTATTTACAAAGCACTTCGACCAGACGATAGGCTAGATCTAGTTGTCTATGATGGATGCCAGGAATACGAGCTTCTAGAGTAGGATTTCAATCATAGCCACCTAATTGAAGAGGGAGTATTAAAGGGGATCTAAAAACTCCACCCCCTGATTCAAGTTCTACTATTAATTCACTACTAACGATAGTTACAAAATTACCAAAAATATTAATAAGGCAAGAGAGCTCCCTAGACGATGATAGTCCTAAAATAAATAGGTTAAAGCGTCGGGTTAAGCTAATTTAGGAGGGAAGTCTTCTATAGGCCCAATTAGCGGCCTAGGTATCGGGGGAACTTATTCGCCTCTAGGAGAACCAGGAGCAGGCCAGTGCTAAAAAGTCTAAGCGCCAATCATCTAAAGGGGGTGCTCTACGAGTCAGGGACTCGAATACCCTCATCCAAAATAGGGATATCATCGAGACCGAGAAACAAAGGCGGAAGCATGAAAGTGAGGCTAAACAGATACGGGATGAATGGGCTCGCCAAGACCAAATTAGGGAGCAGGAAAATCAGAGAAGAGAGGCAGAGCTTGAATGGGTTAATGGAGACGACGGCCAGCCACTTTATACTATTGATAGACGTGGGGGGTATTTGTAAATAGCTTCAATTCTTGATGTTTTTGGGGGGGGTGGGGGAGTGTTGCAAAGTTTCCATTAGACTGGGTTTCCATTAGACTGGGTTTCCATTAGACTGGGTTTCCATTAGACTGGGTTTCCATTAGACTGGGGAGGGCCCTCACCAACGGAGAGCGGTGAGGGCCCGACTAGTTAGGGGGCGGGTACACCGACAAAATCCAAATTTGGCTCCTCTCAGAAAGAGCTTGGTAGCTGTATTGGATCGAATGAGTCATTGATATACGGCAAATTGCTTCCAATTCGTTCACTATACCTAGACCAGAGACAATCGTCCCAGGGCCTGAGTCACAGGGCCTGGGTAGTCCCGAGACAAGAATAGTCCTAGGACTGGAGTTGCGGGAGTATTTTGTCGCGGAAATAGGAACACAGCGTTGTGCCAGTCCAGTAACTAAGAAGATCGGTACTGTAGATGGTCCTGGGACTGCAAAATGGTCCTGGGACTACTGTGAAGGCCGAGTCTGTAGAAATAACAGAGCGCATTCAACGAGAGAAGCAAAGATACAGAAGGTAAGTGGGAAGTACGACGATGAGAAGTTGATATATCTGCCATGTCATACTGTACAAACCAAACAAACAGAGCAAAGCAAATAAACGAAGCAAGCAAACAATAGAAACAATCTAAGAAGCATCACAATCATCACAACTACGTGGTCCTAGGACTGCATTCTAAGAAGTAGTCGTGGGACCATAAGAAGTAGTCGTGGGAAAAGGGCCGCAAGAACGTAGATGGACGACCGTTGAGGATTGCACCTGTTGTGGTCGCCAGTTGGCGATCCTGCGCTCGTGCTGGTCGTACGACCAGGATCTGACGACCGTGTCGGTCAGGAGCACACGGTATTATGCATCCGATCTTGTTACACGGGTTATCAGTATACGGGCCCACCCCCCAGCCCTCGATAGGCGTTGGACACCTTGGGCACTCAGCGCACATGGCTCTAGGAGAAAGCTTAGAGAAAGCTCAGGAATCATAGGACATGCTGGACAGTAGTCGAAAACAGAAATTTGTAAACAGTTGCATTAGTAAAACTACATAATAAATTTGTCTCTAAAATTAAGTTACGTAGCTAATGATGAGATGGTGCCTGAAGTTGTCAGCGCTGCTGCCCTGATAACTAGTGCAGCCGGGCTGGCGCCCAGCGCCCACGTGACATGTTTTGGCCTTACAGATAGGGCATTGCGATGGTTGGAGGGCGGAACTCCTGTAGTCTAGACTTTAACACATACAACACTCTCGTCATTCGATAATAATAAGACGTTTGATTGCTTCATTATTCTATTCGGTCACAGCATTCGGCTCAGCGCCAGCCAGAATCCCCTGGTTCTCCCGTCCGTCTGTTAGTCCTGACCTGACGCGCCACTGTGCAACACTTCCCGCTCCACTAGATAAGCATTCCTTTTTGAAAGACCACTTACTCAATACCTCTCACCGTGATCTCCCTTTTTGTCTGGCTTCTATCACCTCTGATATTCTCTGAGCTCTCCACGCTGATTAGATATTCTATAGAGCTTTGCTAGTTACTGATTCTGTTAGCGATATTGGCCAAGAATGAGTTTAGACTCTGTAAAACCCCCGGTGATATCTATCCGAATCTGTTGAAACCTGCGACCCTTAAAGTCTGACGGAATTAGCCTAATTCCCCACCCTCTTTATGGGCGAAGACATTTCACAACAATCATCGGAGATATGATTTGACAGTCGCTCGGTGACGTGATCTGGGGAACGGATGGCATGAGCTCCCCCGCACGTCCCTCCGTGGAGATACTTTAGCCTGACTTTGACTCGATAGTGTCTTGTGTTGCTAATAATGACACTTATTGGTAGAACCAGATGCTGAGAGTTTAACAGAGTTAGCCCCGGCCAGACTCCATTGATGATTGTCCTGAACTATATTCCATCCAATTGGCTTGGGGTTGTGTAAACAGGGAATTCTCGAATCTGGAATTGTAAAGGTTACATATAGGGCATTGTTGAACATCAACTTGCTGGCTTCTTATTCTCCGAGTCAAGAATTAAATACAACACAGTTACCATAATAGTCAAAGGCGTCCCTATGTCGGAAAAGTACACATCCTATGTATTTGCGGAGAGGGTCCAATAATCCTTGCCCCCCACACCGGATCTCGTCATCGCAGTACCCAAATTGCTCATTCCATCCACCCCTACTGTTGTTCCGGCTTTGTCAAAAGCAGATCCCCGCCAGGGGATAATCTGATTTGTTGATTCAGGCACTCGGCCGGGAAATTGACACGATAACATACTTTCTCGTCTCTGTCGTGGCTTGTCAGTGCGGAGTTAAAATATCGCGTGAAGCACATGGTCGATGATATGCTTCTACAGATATTACTAAATAGCTTATCCCCCACTGATTGTTCTACTTTTGAGCTGCCGAGTATTTCACGTCACCAGACCTCTCGCTCTGTACAAAACTCGAGGCCTGTTCTGTCGCCATGGCCGCCCCCGCAGAGAAGACGGCCGATGCGACAAAAGATGCCGGCATCGACTCAAAGGACGAAGGCCCCTATTCACCTTCGTCGGACAGTCTCGCAGAATCAGTGGGCATCAACGAGAAAGCTCTACTCCGGAAACTGGACTACAAGCTCCTTCCACCATTGACATTACTATATCTCCTTTCATACTTAGATCGGAGCAATGGTGCGCTTCCTAGATTAGAGATTCAGTAGACAAATACTGACTAGCCGATTTAGTCGGAAATGCAAAGCTGGATGGCCTCACAACCGACATCAATATGTGTATGTCATATCCTTCACTCCAAGAATTCGGAGACTAATCGAGGGGTCCTTGCAGCTGGAGATCAGTACCTCAACGGCCTCACCTTGTTCTTTGTCGGCTACGTGCTATTTGAGATCCCATGCAACATCATTCTAAAGAGGGCCACGCCCAAAATATGGCTGCCCACCCTCTCCATCATTTGGGGGGTTGTCGCTACACTCTTAGGAGTTGTTCAGAACTACTCCGGTTTCCTGTCTTCGCGGTTCTTTCTCGGCGTGGCGGAGAGTGGTCTCTTCCCTGGCGTGGTGTTCTATATGTCCATGTGGTATAAACGGAATGAACAGCACTATCGCATTGCTCTGTTTTTCAGTGCCGCATCCCTTGCGGGTGCGTTTGGTGGAATTCTAGCATGGGTCGGTTCTCTATCTATAATTGGTTTAATATATCTAGCTAACTATCTCCAGGGCATTGGGCACATGGAGGGTGTGGGCGGGTATAGTGGCTGGCGATGGATCTTCATCTTGGTAAGTTCCAGGAAGCAAACAGAAAGTGATTCGAGCTAACTTAGGGATATCTATTTAGGAGGGACTATTGACTCTCGTGGTTTCCGTCATCAGCTATTTCTGGGTCTACAACTATCCCTCGACTGCAGAGTTTCTCTCCAAGGAAGAAAGGCAGTTCATTCAATTCCGCCTGAAAAATGATAACGACTCCACGCGCGAGGAGGCCTTCACATGGTCCGCTGTGCTAGATGCAGTTAAAGACCCTAAGATTTGGCTATATGGATTAGGATTTCATACCTTATCTCTGCCGCAGTATACGCTTTCACTCTTCCTGGTGAGCTAGCGGCCTTACCCCAAAATTAAACGTCGAAAGGTTTCTTACATCTTGCAGCCAACTATTATCGAGGAACTGGGGTTCTCAGCCGCTGAAGCGCAGCTACTTACTGTGCCGCCGTATGTGATAGCTGTCTGCTTGACCATCGCGGTCGCGGTTTTCTCACAGCGGACACGACGCCGGGCGCCCTTTATCATGGGCTCATCTGCAGTTGCATGTATTGGATATATCATCTTACTTACCGATTCCCATCCTGGAGTGTGTTATGTGGGAACTATCTTCTTAGCAGCGGGCATCTTCCCTGCAGTTGCCATAGTGTTATCTTGGCCAGCCAATAACGTCTCAGGCCAGACGAAACGGTGCATCGCCAACGCTATGCAGATTTCTATTGGTAACTGCGGTGCGATCCTCGGCACACAGCTGTACCGCACCGAGATGAAGCCACGCTATTACCTTGGTAATGGCGTTGCGCTAGGATACCTAGTTGGCAATATCTGCGTCGTGGGGTTACTGTGGTATATCCTACATCGGGAGAATTTGGAGAAAGAGCGTTTGCGGGAAGAACAAGGATTGACTGCTTTGATGGGCGATATTGGAGACGCAGAGGGCGAATTCTTAGGAGATAAGGATCCCCGCTGGGTTTTCCAAACGTGAGGAGGATTCAAAACAAACATAGAAGTGTAGATTAAAAGCTTTCTAGCAAAAATTTAGCGGTGATTCAAACCATAGGGAATTAGACTGTTCAGACAGTGCCAGACTAGGTCATAGGTCACCACCATAGCTTACCAGTTGGCCGAAGCTAGAATACACTAATCCCTATCCAGGTTTAACCTGCTCTTCCAAAGCAGAAGGCCCCCATATTAACGAGATCTCTCATTAGTAGTACATTAATCGTCCTATGTAGACTCGCTAGCAGGGTTTATAGAATGATCCAAATTTGTAGGTTCTTAGGTGACCCATAGCTAATGGAGACGCGCAATACCCTAGAAAATATCAGAAGCAGGCAGAGGTGGTGACTCGTTGTCGCCTATCCTTGTCAATATAAATAAGCCTTTAGAGAAGCAACTAGAAGACTTTTTGGATCCCTAAGTCTCTACGCACAAGCCTCCAAACTTATAGCTATCAATTGTTTCGTTGGGTCCATTGCATCACGACCTGCATCAAATTCAGATAGCAAAGGGTTCTTATTCTTCTTGATAGTAGAATTTCACATTTGAATAATTGCCAATCTCAGGGCCGACGTCGACTATTAGAATTTGGAACAAGCCGTACAATGTGGCCTGACTCGACCACTGATCATTATGGGTGTTGACAATAACAATGACCCTTAAGGTCAATGACCGCAACCCTCAGTCCACAGGTTTGAGGATGAGGGTCACTGTTTTGACGGTCAATGAGAGCCTGTCTCTCTGGACGCTAAATAGAGACTTCCACAATAGGGCCCGTGTAGATGCGACGGGCACGGATAAAGTAGTATACAATGGCAAGAATGCTACTGCCACCAATACCTAGAACACTCCAGTTCATTTCCTCCACACTTGGATTCATTCCTGCAGGCCAGTAGCTGAAAAAGATAACAATGGTGATATAAATGATCGCGTATGCGTTGATCAAGATACCCCAGATGCCAGGGCAATGGAATGGCCCCCAGACAAGCTTCGCACCGGGCACGTTGACGACATCGTCCTCGCTGCCGTTATACCGAGAAATTTCGCCCTTGATTCGGCGGCGGAAGAGCAGAATCGAAACCACGAGATAGGAAAGGTACACACCAGACACTGCCATGGACAGAATGTCGCTCAGGGCAACGGCAGAACCAATGTTAATAAGGTTTAGCAGCGCACTGACGACTACAGTAAGTAGGATGGAGTTGACTGGCATCTGCCGGGATAGGGAAACCTTGTACAGTGACCGTTAGATAATGAAAGACTTCCGGTGAAGCATGATTTCCTTACCTGACTCCACCATCGCCACCCAGGAACTCCCCTGTCTCGGGAGAAAGACCAAAGTTGGCGAGACGCCGCGGCCAGCATGCCCATAAGCGCGCAGCAGTAAATAATAAGAACGATAGAACACATGGCCAGTGCACCAGACGGAGAGTTGGTTGCTTGATAGAAGATCTCCATGAACGGATACCCAGTGGGGGAGTTTAACGCGTCCTTGAGATTGCCAACGCAGAAGAGCACAGCGATCAGCATGCTGAAGCCCAGGGAGCCATTAATTGCGACACTAAGCATAATAGCCTTAGGAATAACACGCGATGCATCTGCAACCTCCTCAGACATCTGATTAAGATTGTTAGCTAACATAATACAGAGGCTTGAGCAACTCAAAAACTTACGTGCACGGCGGCATCGCCTCCAGCGAAGGCGAAAGCACAGCTAGTCATCCCGACGAACCAGGATAATGGCTGTGTGGCAAAACCCCCACCATTCTCGAACTCCAAAAAAACTTCCTTCGCTGGCTGACGGTCTGCCATGTATGTCAAGGGTATCATGACGCCGAAAAATCCAAGTATGTGGATCACCAAAATGACCGCCTCAACTCGGGGCAGAAGTTTTCCTCCAACCAGGTTCACAAGGAGTGCTACAATCAACAAAGCCCAGACAATCAACGTCCCTTGCCAGGGAAGAGATTTATAGTGGCTGTTTCCCAGGATCGCAGCACCTTGGATCATTGTTCCGGCCAAGTAGCCAGACGCAGCGAAAGCAGTCTGCCAGCCAAGGACAGCAAACCAACCTATTGTTATATACAGACGGTTAGTAAGGGATATGGTACAATATGGTCCACAGTCTAGAAATTACCCGTGATATAGCTGAGAAATTTCTGGTATTTGATCGGAGCAAGCATGGCAGCCCAGTGATACTGACCTCCGGAAGTGGGCGCCCTATTTTATGGTTAGCTTCAACATTGAACCTAGTAGGGAGCCGCAACATACATAGATGCCAGTTCTGACAAGACCACGAAAATGGACGTAGTGCCTGCCCATCCAAAGATGAAGGCATAGACAGTACCGCCAAAGCCGCCACTGATAACTGTTAGAATCTTGTAGGTAAACAGGGTATTGGGGTTATATGCACATACTTCTCCAGAGAGCTACTGAAGGTACTGAGCAATCTGTCAGCAATGGAGCCCTTGAAAAGTTAGAATGGACCAATTTCACCCAAGCATGCCTTCCCAGGTACTCAGAATCGCGCAACTAAAGCCGAGAATGGAGAGAATACCGAAGTTTCGCTGAAAAGATGCAAGTTTTAGCCGTCTGGACTTGCGACATTATTGGCTGCAAAGATCACTAGGCATACATACCTTGAGGACTGGCTTTTTCCCCATCCGTTGAAGGTCAACATTATCACGCTCCTGGACAGACAGGCCGCGATGTGCCTCGCCCGCCGTGGAATTCTTCAGTTCATATGATACCATCGTTTGTGGTCAATCAATGGTATGGCAAGAATTGGGAAGATAGAACATAGGTAGGAATTGAACAATAGGAATTGAACAATGCGGAGAGTGATACAGCCGGTTAAAAAAGGTATTGGAATTGTTGAAAAAAAGGGGCAAGAGCATCACATTCTAAGTGATGAGTTTGCATGTTACATCGACGGTAATTTCATACACATGAGCGAATGATATTAGTACACCTGATCCTGTGTGTGTCCGACCCTTTGCCCAACGCCCAAGGGGTTCAAGGCCCCGTCGATCTCTTGCAAGAAAGTTGGCCGTGTATCCAATCAGGCTGCGGCTGCTGATAGGGCGAGCTGATAGCCCGGGGGCGCCAAAATTGGGCGAATTCCCCCACCCAGTCAGTGTCCATTGCTCAGTGCTGAACCCCAAAAGGCTTACCGATGCCATGTTTCCAGTGGAACGTCTGTAGCGAAGAAAACGATTGATCAAGTCGTAAGATACGCAGAACAAGGAGAGCTGAGCAAATAAAGAGGCCGAGATAGCGAAGACAGAGCAATCTACGTAGCTAATGATCGGACTGTCGGAGAGGCCGCTGTGAAATTAAGCGCCCCCTCCGAACCCCTGGTACAGTATGTATTTTATGGGAAGCAATCTGTATTCTTGATTTACTGAACAGTGGATGGAATTGGTGGTTCGCCCCAGCAGTGGACACCAAGGATTGCAGCGGGCACCAAGGATATAATACAAAAGCAAACGTAACCACGCGTGCTTCCCTGTCAGTGTTTTTATGAATTTTTTTGTTTGAGACATCCATCTTCACGTCCAGCCTCGATGGGTACACGATTCAAGGGCGACACCAAAGTTCCGGCGGTGAACGTCACCACCTGGGTTCTTTTGGTCACAATAATTTTTAGTGTCTTTGCTCGACTGGGAACTAAATATCGACTATTCCACAAGCTCACCGTCGACGATGTTCTGATCATCGCGTCTCTGGTATGCTTGTCTGGGATTCTTTCTGTGTTTACTTTGGCACCTTTCTAACGAGATCTTTGGGTAACAGGTCTTCGGCATCAGCCAGGGTATTGTCGTGTCTTTGGCGGTTGGTTCCGGCTATGGGAAGCATATCAAGAATGTCTCCAGTGCCGACCAGGTCCAAGTGATGAAGGTCCGTTGATGGTCTTGCATCAGAACTTCTCTGAGCTTTTATTTTATGCTTTTGGACTCAATGCTGACAAGATAATGACAGAATCTCTTCGCAGGGTCTCTGCTGTACATCCTGAGTTTAATGTTCTCGAAACTATCTATGATCGTGTTCATCCGGAGTCTCACGCCGTCCTCCAAAGACAAATGGCTCGCCAGAGGAGTAGAGGTCATCGTCTATGCCTGGGCGACCGTCGCAATTTTTGGCTCTGCTTTTCAATGCGCCGTGCCGCACACTTGGGATATCTGGAACGGCCAATGCTTTGACGAGGTAAGTGGTATCTTCTCATCCCCACATCGCCTTCTTTTCTACGACTTCGGATCATGCTAAGGAAACTCAACGGGGTCTCCAGCTGGCATGGCGCTACTTCATCTGCATCTCGAACATCATCACCGACCTCTTGATCTTCAGCCAGGCCATGATATTGATTTCCAGCATCCAAACGTCGCTGGAGCGACGCCTGATATTTGCGGGTATCTTTGTGCCCCGGCTCTTGTGAGTATTCGGCCCTGATCTTCCCATGCTTCCGCAAACTCGAACTAATCGTCTCGCCTTCTCTAGTGTGGTGGCAGCAATCATCGTCGAGATCTTTTTTATCAGGAAAGGCACGCAGACCGCCGATCCGACGTACAGCATGTGCGAGATCACGATTCTGGAAGTGATTATTCAGTGCTTGAGCATCGTGAGCGCATGCTGGGGACAGCTTAAGCCGTTTCTGTCCTGGATGCGGTCGAACGGCCTCAAGCTCGAGGGCGTTGAAGACCCGACGACCTGGAACTACAAAATGAGCTTGCGGTCGCAGACGCAGTCCAAGTCCCGAGACCGCAAGCTTGAGAGTCATGAGACATTCCCTCTCCCGAGTCGACGAGGCCAGAATTTCGTCACGGAGAATTGGGAACTGGATAGCCAGTCGAGCCAGGCGCACATCGTCTCGGAGACCCGCCCATGGACGAGCGACAGGGGCGACGGGGGCCAAGGATCTCCCTAATTACATGTATGTATTACTTGGGCAAGCTAGTGGTGGATATTAGTTACGTGCTTGATAGCCTCCGAAAGCGGATTATAATATAATATGTATGAGTGAGACGGTTAGCCCCCAGCTCTAGCTTCGGCATGTTTCTATTTGCAATGTAGTCGAAGGATTCGAAAAGGGGCTAGTTAGTTTACTACCCATTGCAAACGGCAATTCTTCACCAATCAGCTCGAATGGTTCGTAAGCACTGTAAATCCTTTACCATTTACATCATTGTTGAAGGTCATCAACTGCCGAGACGGTTGGCATGGTCAATGTGCTCTTAGTTCTGTATCCTGCACTTTCCCATTCGAGATACAACTTGACTGATCCTCGCCCTGAGCGCTGCAACCTTCCTTTGCCCTGCCCTCGTCCCGTGCAGGTTACACTGTGTATTATATCTATCTCTGTATAGGTGCGTTTGGCGACCCAATACTGTGCGCCCTGGGTGACATCTGGCAATGGGCCACTCTCTTGTGTGCACTGTGTGCACATCCTAATATAAATCGCAATTGCAGAAGCATTCCTCAACCATGGATTCCATCATTGGCTGCTTATGATTAAATGGCCCTGCGCCAAACATGGCCACCTCTCAATAGTAAATAGCAGTAATCTATTAAGATATTTCACCCGAAATATCCTTCAAATTGATGGATAATCAGATTAATCCAGGAAGAAACAAGCCAAACAGGTCCATGTCGACTCGACTTCGACTCGCGGATCTCAAATCGACTACTTCCAGGCTAGATCCTGATTTGCGAGGATCAGGTTCTGCCAAGCCCTAGCTCCAATGAACGGTTCTGGCCCCGGATTCGGGCGGTCGATCGTCATCGTGCTGTGACTTCCAACACTGTAGACTAGGCGCAGATCCGCTGCCCAGTCAAGGCCCACTCACGTCCAATAAGGCCGGGGGCGCTCCCAAAAGCTGAAATGTGGGTCCAGCGCATAGGCCTAAGCAATTCTCCTGCAGGTCCCCCAAACTTATATTCTAGGAGCGAGTAACTCGTCCAGCGAGGTATCTCCAGTTGAAGGTGGGGGCTGAATTTAGAAATAATTATAGCCTAGCATAATGTTCACCTACGGCCATTGTTGCATGTATGCGCGGAATATTCCAGGGCGGAGGAAACATCCACTGACTTTCAATTGAGTGGACATGGTGGTATCATGCAGATCGAGGGGTGCTGATAAGCGGTGCCTCGGGGTCCATTGGTTCGAGGAAGATGGCTCTCTAGCACAGAGAAGGCAGTGGCCAGCTGCATTGGCTGGGTTAGGTTGGCAAATCAGAGTTGAGCCGGTCACCTTGGGACCATCCTTCATCCTTCATGCTGTCAGTGTGTATGTTACACCATGTTCATAGTAACTTCAGGACCCGACTACCAATAGGTAAGCTAGGATGTTGATGTTGGGAGCCCCTGAAGGGCCAAAAGGTCGAGTGGGCGTATGAAGATATGGGCGTATGCGAACTCCTTTTCACTTCAGATTGCACTAAGAACCCCCCCCCCCCCAAACCCAAAAAAATTAAGAATAAAAGGGCCCTACTCCCAATATTTCTCTCTGCCCTTCCATATTGTGCTTCTCTCGTCCTTGCGTACCATTCAACTTGCAGACTCATTGGTAACACCCCCTTCTCTTCTTGGTTGGAATACAAGAGAACGTCTAGCCAGATGCTTGATACTAACAGGCATTTTTGCAGTTCATTTATTCTGTGTACCAAGAGGCAAATTTAGCAACCATGCGTCCATTCATTATCCTTGCAGCTTTCTTTAGCCTAGGACTGGCTAATCCAGTCGGAGGATCTTCCGGAGAACTGTTTGAACGAAAGGTACGCAGACTGGCAATTTCCCAAAAATTGGAAGGCTGGCTTTGATCCACAGTGCTAATAAGTCCGGACAATAAGCAGGAAGTAAGTGTTAAGTCCATGTTGAAAGCATGGCCGTCCTAATCCAGAGTCGTAGCAGGAATGGGCAAAACAGGACTGGGCTAAACAGGACTGGGCAAAACAGGACTGGGCAAAACAGGACTGGGCAAAGCAAGACTGGGCAAAGCAAGACTGGGCAAAGCAAGATTGGGCAAAGGAGGGCTCGGCAAAGCGAGACTCGGCAAAACAGGACTGGGCAAAGCAGGACTGGGCAATGCAAAATGAGGTAAGTGACGAATCTCTACGACAACAACATGGCTGTCTTGATCCAGGCTGCTAACTGGGACGGGATATTAGTAGCGTGTGAGTGATCAATATCCCGGACTTATTGAAATGGTTGAGACTATGACACTAATAAATATTTTACCGGAAAGTAAACAATCCGTCCTGCAGGCATTGTTCTTTGTGTTGAAATCTACGAGCATTTACTGCAAAATAGGTTTTGGGCACAGTGAGGACGGATGCAGTGACTTTCTGCCTTGGTACTGGGTTTTTTCCTTGTTAGGGTTTCCCGGTACTGTGATGCGAATGCAAAGGCTGAATTGGTATTTTTTTTCTTAATTTCTATAATATGAGTTTCGTTACTAGTATATAATATAAGCTGCGTTAGTAGTAGGCTTTGGCGGCAGCTGTTGTAACAAGCTGAGTACATATCGGTGGCAGAGTGGCAGGGCTATCACATCGCTGTCGCAGTATTTTGGGTGCCTTCTCAGATTTACAAAACCACAAATAATCGCAAATTTTTATTTTCTCCCTCCTATCATCAAACGCCAAGATGCTGAATCAGGTTAAAGTCATCGAGTCTCGCATCTTTGAGGCATACCAGATTGCTAACCAGGAGAGGAAGCCGAATGCCACGGCGCTGGCGCGTTAATTGACGTTTCTCGCCCCTTGCTTCACGCGTAATAATAGTTAGCCGCCTTCTTCTGGAATGATGTCCGTTGGACAACGTGGCGCCAAATTATATAAGAAGCCGATCTCACGGGCAACTTGGAAAAAGTGTCCCGGCATTGTCCGGAAAAATTCTTAATCACAAGATAAGAGCCTGCATTGTCAGATAATCGTGCAGTGTTCAACTGGAGCGTTTCTTTCCGTATCTTGAGAAGGTTCAGGAACATGGCAGGAACATGCATAAAACTCGGGGGCTCGTATAGGATTACTAATCGACATCAGGGACTTTCAGGAGCGCGAAGCGTGTCGTAATTCTCGATCGATATTCTCCGGTCTACGTATCCAGTGTCACGTTCCACATCACGACGCTCTCGATTACCTCGATAAGTAATTCTGAGTCTCTCGCACCAATTGTTCTCTCAATATGGGGACCAACATTATCCGGCCTCTGGGTCATCTGTACGTCTCGCGGTTTTGATTGTAGATGTGCGTTTCACTAACTGAAAAGCAGCGAGACATACCATTGCACTAGACAGTATATGAGCCTCTATCCATTTGCAGCACAGACATGCCAGTATACATCCCCAAGTTCCATGTCCGCCGAGACTTGTCAGCAGGTGATCAAAGCGGCCCTAGTGCAAGTCGTGCTAGCACACCCGGCTCTACAAGTCGGGATCGGCGCCGCAGACACCAATGAGCCCTGCTTTCTCCGGCTCCCGTCTCTGGATATTTCCAATCACTTGGAATGGAGGGACCTATCTCAAACGCCCCCCGCTTCCTACGATGACGCTGTAGTCAAAGTCATTGAAGCAGAGCACACAAAGGATTGGCAGGATGTAGCGACTCGCCCTGCGTGGAAACTGACCGTTGTCCAGAGTCCCATACCCAAAGACGGGTCGGGGTTCACCTTCGACTTCCTTTTCGCGGCACACCATTCCGTTGCTGACGGGAAGAGTTTGAGTTTCTTTCACACCTCTCTACTAGCTGCATTAGACGAAGCATCGAGGAATCCAGTCGAAGTGGAGGATTTCGTCGCTTTGCCAACAACTTCGGCCCTCACACCCTCGCAGGAGGATATCATGGAATTCAAGATCTCAAAGTCGTTTCTCATAAAGACCCTTTGGGGAGAGTTTGCGCCCTCGTGGCTCCAGGGGAAATCCTCTGCCCTGCCTTGGACCGGCGCGCCAATCTCTCTGCGGCCGCAGCCACAACATACGCGGCTGATCACCTTCCCGGAAGAAGTCGTGTCCCGAATCCTCGAGGCCTGCAGATCACACAAGACGACCATAACCCCTCTGCTTCAGGCACTCATCGCCACGTCGATGTCGCAGAGACTGCCTGAAGAAACAATGACTAGAGGTGTGGCCGCCGTGACAGTCATTGGTCTTCGTCCCTACGCAGACAAATCGAAAATCCCGCACGGCATAGACCTTGATAGATCTATGGGCGACATTACGACCGCGTATACACACAAAATCAGCCCATCCACGGTTTCAGAACTGCGAGATGGAAGCCAAGACCCGGACGATTCTGCGATCTGGGCCCTGACTACGAAGCTTGGCTCGGAGCTCAAAAAACGCCTTGCAAAATTGCCGGAGGACGATATACTTGGTCTGTTGGCGTGGGTATCGGATTGGTTCAAGAGAGCCAAGGAAATGCAGGGCAAGCCGCGAGATGCGACTTGGGAGGTTTCGAACCTTGGATCCATGCCTTGCCGGGCCACTCGCACCGGGGCTGGAAATGATGGGTGGAAACTGCGACGCTCGATTTTTACTCAGTCTGGTAATGCCATCGGGCCGGCTTTTGCCGTAAATGTCTCTAGCATTGCCCAAGGCCCATTGACTTTGGCGCTGACCTGGCAAGAGGGCATTGTTGAGGGGGCATTAATGGATGGGCTGGCCAAGGACTTGGACTTGTGGTGCAAGCAGCTTCAAAAGTCTGGCAAGTTTACAGCCTTTTGATGGTTATTGTTCGGTCTGGTTTGGAGATCGTGTTGTTATTCACTTCGCTATGAGATTTACGGTTATTAAGGTCATCTAATTTTGTGACCACTCATTGAAAATCTACACTAACTATAAAGCGTTAAATGGAATTAGTACTTATTATGAACTTTAGATTGAGTATATATTATATGCAATGCAACATGCGCCTTTTAATGCTGGCGGCGGGAATCTTGAAATGAAATCATGCGAGAAAATGAAAATGCATTTTGAAAAAGGAAATTATGCCTTGATGGCCTGCTCCTCGTCGTCGGCAAAGGCATACTTCGAGAACCGGCGGATCTGCTCGCCCTTGAAGTAGAAGACATAGGGGATAGCACAGCAGGCCAACGCAAGGAAAGCGAGGAGCGAACTGGCCCACTGATAGCCCAGCCGCTCATACATCTGCTCAGTGAACAAGACAGTCGAAGCACCCCACATGGAGCGGAGGAAGGTCTTGGCTGCAAGAGCAGATGCGGCTTGATGCTGATAGGTGTCCACTGTTAAAATAGTCAGTGACCTGATCAATACGTAACTGGCAAGGATATGGCACTTACCAAGATAATTGTTAGCGGAGTTGTACAGGAAAATGAATCCAAATCCCACGGGCCAGCCGCCAATCGCAGGTCCAATCCAGTGGAGTCTTGGGTAGGAAGTCCAGGCAAAGATGAATAGACCGACGGGAATAAACCAGCAGGACCACATCATTGGAATCAGACGCTTCTCGGCGGGGGGCTTGCCTCCGTGCTGTTGGGAGATCTTGAGGTAGTGCTTGTTCACAAGGGGAGCGCAGGCAGCGCTCATGAGCACACCAAGGGCCAAGGGAATGAACATCAGGCCGGTCGACGATGCACTCCAACCCTTGCCCATCTGGTAAACGATAGGATAACTGCAAAAGTTTGTCAGTGTTTCCGGTCGTTCAGAATCGGAAATCAGAAAAAACTTACGCCACGAAAAACATGTACAGCAAGCCATACAGGACAGACATGTAGATGGCAATGCACAGGACGATGGGCTCAAGCAGGAGCAACTGGAAGGGGCGAAGGAGAATGATGCGCATCTTGTCTGCCAGAGGTCGCGCGTCGAGCTCAGTTTCGGTGACAAATTTGGGGTCGTTCTCGGTCTTCCTGAGCTTCGCAGCTCTCTTCTTCAGCAGAGTAGGGGCATATGTCTCTGGGACGGTGAAGGTAATCAGGACCCATGCGACAAAGGACAAAATCAGCTGAATCCAGTAAAGCCATCTCCAGCCACAGTTGTCACTAAGGAATCCACCAGCCAGAGGACCAATGGCGGGACCGATGAAGGGGGCAGCGCTGAAAGCTGCCATTGGAACACCGCGTTCTTCGTTCTTCCACAGATCTGACAGTGTGCCACCGACTAGGGTCATCGGGGCGCTGAAGGCGATGCCGTCGATAGCTCGGCAGACAATCAGAGTACCGATATTCTTGGACACGGCACAGGGAATAACGAAAATGACGGCCACCAACAGAGTAACGGCGTAGACCGGACGGCGTCCGATGACTTCAGACAATGGTGCGAAAATCATGGGACCGACACCAAATCCAATGACAAAGACAGTCACGGTGACGAAACTGACTTCACGTGAAACATTGAAGCTTTCCATAGGACCCTCCAACTTGGCCGTGATGACACTGCTGCAAAACGCGACCACAAAGCAGGTGAAGGCGACGACCATGGTACAGTACCATTTGTATAGCTTCGACCAGTTCTTGGGATTCTCGGGGTCCTCGATGGTGAAGGTCACCAGCTTCCAATCTTCCATCTTGCCGGTGACATTGGACTTGACCGGCTTGATGATCTCGCCGGCTCGGGTTTCGGTGTAGTACTCCCGGAGATCTGCGCCATCATTGAGTTCGGTGAGCGGGAGGTTGACATAGTCGATCTCTTCGGGTTCCCCTAGGGAGGCAGTGCGGCTGGAGTCATTGGTGCTGGTGCGGGTGCGGGTGCGGGTGGCAACACAGCTCGGCGTCTCCATGTTGTCGGATATATTGGGGATGCAGATGTTGTGACAATCTGGTACAAGGAGTACTGCGAGGGGGAGGTTGTCACTCTTATACTACACCACAGTACTGCACCGCGGATCGCCTCCTCCTAGTGGAGCATTCCAAAGAAGGATATTCAGTCATGATGAAAAGACTCGCGTGGCATATGAATGAGCTTGGATGTATTTCCCGAGCTTGGCCACTCGGTGATAGCTCGGTTGCCTTTTACGGAGGTGGCGCGCTAGCCAAATCAGGCAAGATGCTACGAACCCGCCGATTATGATTGTCTGTCGTGCGAGCTATAAATTCCCGACAGGATTGTTTATCGCGCGAAATCTATAGATTTATGACATGGGATTCTGGAGAGCTCCGCGGTTGGACGCAACAAGATAATCGATTCCAATGATAAAGTTTCATAACTGTCATAATAATGCTCTAATAAAAGTAGACGTGGCCAGTGCTTGAAGCTCGCAGATTAGCTTTCAAACTTTTGCATCCTACTGCGTATACTATGCTTATGAAGAGCCCACTTTGAACGAGCGAACGAGTCTCGGGCCGTCTCGGGTCCAATCTAGATATTTCTATGAAAGAGCCGTGGTACTTTCCCCTTGTGGCCAATTCATCTAGATCAATCTCACCCGAGACCTGCGTACCTGTGAGAAACCTGCTACAAGGCTGTGGGGATTCACGAAGCGGTTCCGAGTTCCAGCTTGGCATCCTTTCCGTGGGTTTGACCTGACTGCTCTGAGATAAGACTTTGCGAAGACTGTTAGGAATCTCCAGCCTGCTCCCAGCTCCAATCCTAGAGCCGAGTCAGAGCTGGGAGGTCACAGCTTCAATATTGTTGTAAACTCAAAAGGCAGGGCACAAACTCTACTTCTATTTTTATTCAAGGTCCTCGGTAGCAAGTGTGTAGAAAATATCTCTTGGCATGATAGAATTCCATCCCTTCGGATGGTATTACCGCTTTAGGCAGTTATCAGACTTACCTCATTTGTACGTCAGGATGAACTATCCGACATTAATATGGCGCCAAGCCATCACACCGGAAACAAATTATCTGGAACTATACTCTTAATAGATTTTGCGGTCTCAAAGCGGTCTGATTGGCAGGGCGAAGTACAAACTGCTCCGCATAACGCGGTATTGAGCGCAACACAAAATTATGTTCAAACCGTTATATTCTTGTCTCAGGAAGGTCTGATTTGTCACAGCTGTGATACATGCACAAGGTTCGGGCCTTTGTGCACCGTATTTGCGGAGAATTTCTATCACCTCGTCCTGTCTCTTCCTTTAGCCCAAGTTATCATCGAACGAGTCCGTCGGTGTTGGGGTTCGCGCTATATTTAAGTAACATTCCACCAGTGCTTCATCGCTTTTCAGAATGGTCAAGAACAGTGCGGTGATACTGCGGGCCGCTACAGTATTCGGGTCCGCTCCGTTCAACAGCATCTTCTCGATGGATGCCTGTCCCATACCCGATTCCTCGTACCAATGGGCCAAGACACAGTATTTGGAGCAGTCGGATAATCTACGATCTCCACCAGCTGTTCCTAGGGTGTTCGGAATAGAATCATCATCACATCGAGGGTGGTTGTTACTATGTAGTTGGTGACTCTAACCAACACCGTGCCCGATTCGATTTAGGTCTCCAATCAGCACGTGACTTCTTCACGATAAGGCCAATCGGGTTAGCGCGGGGCTCATTTTTTCCCGCAAACCAAAAGATTTCAACGAACAGGAAGGAACAACCAGGAGCTCTTTTTGTTGCGCACTCCCCGTGACAGCCTTCACTTGACAGAGGAGGGACTCTGTCCGCTTCTCTCCTTCTCCCACTCCTTCACCATGACTTCCGCTCCTGAGACAAACTATCTGGCCATCCCTGGCTCAGTGGCGTTCTCTCGCTCCAGGAGTCGTGCCATTGCCACGAGCCTTGGAGTCCAGGATGTTCGAGCACAGTGGATTCACTATGTGCACACCGTCCAGCCTCTCGAGGAGCCTCAGCGTGCGGTGCTCGAGCAGCTGCTTCGGTACGGCGATATCACCGACGTCCCCCCCTCTTTCACCTCCGACGATGGAAATTTCGATACGTTCAATGTGTTCCCCCGCACGGGGACCATTTCGCCATGGAGCTCCCAAGCAACCGGTATTGCGCATGTCTGTGGCCTGCGCAGGTACGTGAAACGAATTGAGCGGGGCATGAAGGTTTCCTGTCTTCGCAATGACTCGGGGGATTACACCGCTGGATACCTGGACGTCCTACACGACCGTATGACGCAGATTATCAGCCAGGATGAGCCCGACTTGCATCTCATGTTTTCGGAGCACGCGCCCCAGCCCCTGAAGACCATCCCTCTGCAGGGCGGGCAGCGATCCCCCAAGGAAATCCTCCAGGAAGCAAACAAGGAATTGGGTCTGGCCCTGGATGAATCAGAGATCGACTATCTCGCCGAGGCATATGGTCCGAACGGCGCCATTGCTCGCGACCCTACCGATGTCGAACTGTTCATGTTCGCTCAGGTGAACTCGGAGCACTGCCGCCACAAGCAATTCAACGCATCGTGGGTGATCGACGGGAAGCAGATGCCCAACAGCCTCTTTGGCATGATCCGTAACACTCACAAGAAACATCCCAAACACACCGTCAGCGCGTACAGTGACAATGCCGCCGTGCTGGAGGGTGGTGAAGCCGCATTCTGGGCACCGGATACGACCACTGGTGAGTGGACGCACACCAAGGAGGTTGTGCATTTCCTAGCCAAGGTGGAAACCCACAACCATCCCACCGCGGTGTCACCCTACCCCGGTGCGGCCACGGGTGCTGGTGGAGAGATCCGTGATGAGGGCGCTGTCGGCCGCGGGTCACGTCCAAAGGCGGGACTTTCAGGCTTCTGCGTTTCCGATCTCTTGATTCCTGGACACAGACAACCCTGGGAGCTCGATGTGGGCAAACCGAACCATATTGCAAGCAGCTTGGAC